ATAGATAGATAGATAGATAGATAGATAGATAGATAGATAGATAGATAAATCTTCTATTAATCATGAAATAAATCGTAATTTTAAAGTCTGTTAGCTTAGCTGAGTGCAGCACACACTCTTCCAGCTAACCCCATCCCTCCCTAAGATACTGTATTCAGACTCCTTTGTCAATTTTGATTTGCAATTCTTTGATTTGAGCATGTTTGCCGTTATGCAGCACCCTGCAGCCCTCACAGGTCACCTTTCTGCAACTCACTCAGCCCTGCTGATCACAACAGAGCTGGACTTCAGGGAGGCTCTCAGTCCACTCCCAATACCCCAAAGGTCAGACCCTCCCTACCATCTTCACCACGTCCATCAACTTTAAATAGTGTTGGCCAAAAACTACCCCTTAAACTGATCTAACCTAAACTGCAGAAAGAGCGGCTGCGCAGACATAGAAGAACTGCATCTCCTGGTTGTGGATCCCCTGTGAGAAGACCTGAATCCCCTGCAAGCGTCACAAAGCACTTGGCTTCTCCTACAACCTCCAGGTAAGATTACTGTTGTTGCTGAAGTAAAAGGTGGTCAGGGCATTCTCTTAGTTCGCAAGCCGGACATATGCCCTTTTGTGTGCAGGCTTGTGTCAAAGGTCCGGGCCCAGTCTCCCAGCAACTCCCACCAGTACCATCATTCTCCAACAAGACATCGCCAAAACCTGTCAGCTGACGGCAGCAAAGCAGAAGACAAGAAGATGGAGGGAAAGTGCGGGCAATCCAAAACTGAGCCTGCTGTGCCAAACACTCCTGACATCAACGGCTCCATTTCATCTTCACAAGCTGAGAAGAACATGGTCAATGATGAATTGACAAAGTCCAAGCCTTGTAATGGGGATCCGTTTGACAAGAGCCTGAACAGGGACACATCTGGAAAGGCTCAGTCTCCTGACAGAAGGAACAAAGTTTCCTCCAGAGCTGATTCTTCAGAGAAAAAGATCCAGAGCATCACACAGGGTGGCGACAAGAATAAAGGTTAAAAAGAATGTTCACTGCACTCAGCATTTAGTTACATTGAGATGATTTTGAACCCCCCTCTCCATGTGTTTCAGAGTCAGCACCAGCTATGGGGAAAGCGGTTGCTGGCACAACCAATGCAGAGGAGGCTACCAGACTGATGGCAGAGCGCAGGCGCCAGGCCCGAGCCCAGAAAGAACTGGATGAGAAAAAACGGGAAAAAGAGGAAGAAGAAGAAAGGTGAGATCATTGAGTACATCAAGCTTATTGCAAAAGCAATGATAAATAGCAAATACTAAAAAAGAACATGTGTAATCTCGTTAAACGTTGATTAGACGGAGGGAAGAGAAGCAAAAGAAGCAGATCGCTGAGGAGCAGCGGCAACAGCAGGTATCGGCTCAGCAAGAGGTGGATAAAGGGAAGGATGTCAAAGACGTTCAGGGGCTGAAAAAAGAGGAAGACAAACAGAAGAGAGAACAGCAGGAAGGGGAGATGCAGATCCAGGTGGAAACAGAGGTAATTAAATTTTTTTTTTTTTTAGATTTCTTGTCTTGGTTGTATAAATAAACTATTGCATGACACACACAAATGCACTCCGTCTTGGTTATTAACAGAAAGAAAAAGCCAAAGTCCAGGCCCAAGAGGATGCAGAGCGGCAGCGTCAGCAGCAGGACAGAGAACAGCAGAAACAACAGGAAGAGGAGGAGAGGCAGCTCCGAAAAAAGGTTAGCTTCAATACTGTTGCCCTCAGAGAGGAGGAGGAAGTCTATTAGGTCTTAATTTAAGAACCAGAAAACTCATAAAACGTATCATTTTACTACACTCTTTCAGAGAATTGAGGAGATCATGAAGAGAACAAGGAAGGGTGAAGCTGATATGAAGGTACTGTAAGAGACACCCTCTGTTCTCATACAGTAGACCTGCTGCCTTTAACACCAGCTGATGAGCAAGATTGTTTTCATATTTAATTTCTACAAACTTTGACTGCGCCGTTGTTAACTCATTAAATTCTATCATTGGTGATACTCTGGTTCTGTGTCCTGATTGTCTCAGGAGGCACAGGTGGAGGAGCCTGTCTCACCACCAGGTTAGTGTGTATCCTGTCCTCCTGCAGACACTTTGAGTTTGCTTGCCGTCCATGCTTATTTCGCTCCTTGCTGTACGCCTTGCTGCTGTAAAAATGCAAACAGGGCATGTGTGGTTCATGATTTTGTTTTTGTTTTGTTTTGTTAGTAAATCTTAAGCATGTGCAAAAGCAATCTGAGTTGGCTTGTGTCAAATACACAGAAGATTGTGCAAAAAACAAGCAAACAAAAAACAACAACAAGCAAAAAAATAACATGCATTATCTGGGCTTTTGGTCGTTTGTTGAATATTTTGATGTAGTTTATCCTCTGCATGCACATTAAGCCAAATGCATTTGCTTTTATTCTCTATTCGCAGGGCACTTTTTAGTGCACAGAATGAGAAGAAGGCAATGATATTCCAAAAATACATACACATATATATGTATTCTCTTATTATAAACAAAACACAAGTCACAAAATGGCTGTTGAATTATATTTTCCTTTTTATACTGACCACTTTAGCCAGCTTGGATTTTATGAACTACCATTGTATTTCCATCCCTAAAGTTGATCTGATTGATCAACTTTTGTCCAAACAGTGACTCCCAAATGCTGCTCAAAGTATTAAAGTCTGAAGAAAGACACCAGAACATTACTCTATAATCTTTAAGGCCTTTCCAGGCTGGCAGTTTGTGCCTCTGAGGCTTGAGCAGCAGAATTGGGAGGGCATCCTCAGCTTTTAGTAATCCCTTTAATTCATGCCCAAACCACTACCCTGCTACCTTCCCGAGGACTCCCATTTCAAACCCTCTAAGAAATCTATCCAATAGGGCACAACTGCAAATCTACCATGTTTTGTAGGTCTTGATCATATTCAAGCCTTCTTTCTTTCCAGGCCTTGTTTTTTTTCCTGCATGTTTGGGGTCAGTTGGCTACAATTTTGGGATTTGGCTGGCTTTTGATGACACTAGGTCAGAATCATTTGAGTGCTGCTAAAAGACACATTTTGCCTGAAAAAATTATGCTCTATGATGAACATTTTTACCCTTTCCTATGATGTAAGACTGTATTTAGAACAGACTAATTACATTTGCCTTGAGGTGAGTGATACCAGAACAAATTCAAGTTTACCTAAGTCAGACATAAAATGTGTGCAGAAATAACAACTACAGGTTGTAATTATATGCATCCCAATGTGGAAGATGCAGACTTAGCAATAACAAACTCTTCTCTTGGTGCTGAGAGGACGTTTCCACTGCAGAGTAGCATGGGAGCTGTGAAATCAGGCCGCTATTGAGAATGCCCTTGAACGTTTATTCAGCTCCCCCTCTTGAGACACTACGCTACACAGAACAAACCCACTGCATTTGAGCTACCCAGAGTTCAGTTTTAAGGTGGAGGCTGCTTATGCTTATCTCAACAGCTTTGGTTCAAATCTGCTCATTAGATAGAAAGAATCCTCTTTCCAAGGTCAAATAAAATCTGTGGTGTTCTTCACAGGAGACGTAAAGTTGATCAAGCAGGCGAGTCAGAAGGTTGAGTTTCAGGTTAAAAAGCAGGTGACAGTGCAGGTCGAAACAAAGGAATGTATCATCGTGAGGAAAGAAGAGACGGTGGCACAGATGGACAGCCAGAGGAGCAAGCACACTCAAAACAACGCAGCGCAGTCTGCTGTGAAAAAAAGGCAAAGCAGCCCCGACAAACTACAAACCAGTCAGCAAGAGCAGGGCAGCCGACTTAGCAAAGAGCCCAAGGCCTGTGCTTTAGCACAACCGGAACAAAAAGTGGACCTGAATGTAAACAAACAGCAAAGAGGAAATGTTCAAGATAAAGCCGAAGCGAATAAAAAGTGCACAAAGCCGACGGCGGATGCCAGTCCAAACCAAAGAGAGGGCGCTAAGATGAATGGAGTGGTGAAGGGTGAAGGAAGTGCCTTGATGAGCGGTCATCAAACAGCTGACAGAAGCAAACAGCAAAACCCAAATCACTCAACCTCAGCTGGGGGAAAAGCTGAAAAGAAGTCAGCTGAGGAGGTTATCAGAGCCTCTGTTACACCAGTAGCGGTGGGACGCCTGGCACCACCCGTCATTAAGCTGGAGCCACTAGACGTGGTGCGCACAGGGTCATGTGATGAGGTGCAGTCAATGGAGGTCAGGTGAGTCCCCCCCCCCTGTTGTTCCCAGGTTAAATCATCGTTACAGTTTATGCCGCAAAAAAAAAAAATGTATTGGCCTGAATTTTAAATCAGATTTCTGTTTAAATAACTGTATTTCAGTCCAGCTTCAAAGGAAGAACTAATCTCCATTCCTGAGTTCTCACCTATCAATGAAATCCAGCACGGCAGCATCGGCAACAACCAAGCTCTGGAGGATTTAATGGACCTGACAGGAAGTGTCACGTACCCCAAACTGTCCTCCGAAAACAGGAAGGGTGACTGCAACAAGAACATGATAGACGGTGTTGTTAGTCCCATGACAGACTCAAAGCTTGTTGGCATGTCGCCTTCAAACAAACTTAGCGTCAAGTAGTCCATAAGTCTTTTACCTACCCTCATCTGCTTGCTCTATCTCTACTATCCATCCGTCACACACAAAAACACAAAGGATATCTTATTATGAGGATGTGCTCTTGTGTCTACAGTTATGGGAATAGAGCCATAGGAATTTTCTTATAAATTCAAACTGTGTCTTTCAGTATAAACAAAATATTTCCTATATACTAATTACAGCAAATTAAACTATGTGTGAAATATTTTGCTGCTGTTATGAGGAGCACATGTGTGAAAGGCAGTCATGAAAAGAGTGTGACAGTGTGTAGAAAATGACAAAAACAAAGATAAAAATATCAGGGATTTGAGTATAATAGAAAATGACTTACTAACTTGCATTTGCTTGTAAAGAACTTCACAATTCCTCACTGGTTCATTACCCCTGGAATGTTAAAGCCTGCTCTGAGCATCCGTGTATGCAGTTGCTCCCCCTTTCTACATGCCCTAGAAAACCCTTAAATCAAGTTTAGTGCAGAGCTAAGGAAAGCAACTATATGATGGCCACATTTGTGAAACATCTGTTGCATATTTCTAACAAGGAAATGTTATTCATGCATGTGTTGATTATTGGTCTCTGAGGAAGGGGTTGGATTTATCAGGTCAAGGCAAAATAGTATCAGAGCTACGGCTGTCCTCTTCCCAATCCAGTACATTCTAATCATGGAGGACTTTTCACATTTTAAGATGACTCTTTTCTGATGGGACTTGAATGCATGTGAGTGTGAAATTTCAGCTCATACCCATCGACTTAAAGTTTATTGCACTTTAAAAACAATCAAACACTGGAATTGTACATCAATGGAAATCAAATGTTAGCTGCAGACCAGAGTTAGTCTCTGTTGTGAATTTTTTTGCCGTGGAGCTACCCTTACATGAAAAGCCCACAGAGAAAAAAATGGCTTTCTGATTAAAAAAAAAGAAGAAAAGAACTGATAACTGAGCAACCTGATTTAAGTTTAAATGTTTTCTGTAGGAGTGCCTTGATTTGTTAGACACAGTTTCAGTAGTTCAACCTTTTCTCATCCCGTTACTTTGTTCTCATGTGGTCTTCTCCAAGAAGGAGCTCTGTTAGCCATACTAGTTTTCTGTATTTGTCAATTGATATTATGATATGCTTTACGATGTTTTCAGTCACTGTAATTCAAATGCTTGTTCCAGTTTATTTATCTTTGTTTATTTCCTACTTTGGATTAGGATAGTGCTTATGACATATAATACTTGAATGTTTGGTCTAAAACACGTTCTCGTCTTTCCACCATACTGCAGATAGTTATTCCTAAAGCTTGTGCACAATATGATGTAGCTTATAAAGTGACATTTAGATGTTGTTCCTTAAACAGCACATGACCTAACAAGTCACATCTTTAGTGGTATTAAGCAAAGTAGCAAATTAGGAACATGAGTATTTGTAAGTTAGGATGACATTACATAGTATTTTGCATTTTCAAACAGAATTTCTGCATTTATTAAACATTCTTTATTTTTCTTTGCAAGGAGCAATCATCGTATGTTGAAAAAAATCAAGATGTGATACATAAAACATTTCTAAATGTATCCCGATCAGTTACCATATATAAAAACACTACTATGGTCAATCAGCTAGCTGTTTAAGTTATGCAAATACTAGAATTTGTGCATGGATAGCATGGTCACTGCAATGTTACCCTAAACAATAAAGAGTAAAACTATGAACTTTGTTTTTTTGTTACTGTGTCAAAAAAAAAATTTAAAAAAAAGAGAAAAAAGATTAGATGATGGCTAAAATGATGTCATACATTAGAATAAATCTCCTTTCATCTGGTGTTTGCCAGTAAAACGGATGACATACTACAGGCCAGCACTAATTGGTTAATGGATAATGTGGCAACGGATGATAATACCATCTACTGGACATTCAGACTTTGTTTTGACTGCTGCTGTGGAATGATGGATCATACTGAGTCTACATCTGGAAATAAATTATACTGAACAAAATATTTTTAAAAAATAGTTAATGTACTTTAGTAATCCCAAAGTGAAATGGGTAACTGCTGCATAATTCCTTTATTTAATATAGTAAATATTTTGTCATGCATTTATTCCCCCTGAATATGCTTGTTCATTGGTGAAGTAAGTTTAGAGACACTCATAGATTAATAAAAAATCTTCTTGAATTTGGGAAGGTTTAAAAGAAGTTTTCCAATTAGGTTCATGGGTTCATCAATTAATTAAAGTGAATCTGTGCAATGGAGCACATAATCTTGTTATAAAATATGTTCACATCTAAAGAGGTTATTTACTGTCAACAAAAAATGAAAAAGGACTTAATAGCAAAAATATTTTAAATCCTCTCGATGAATTATATGAAGTAAATTAAATTCAATACATTAATCTCAATAAAGACCTTGTAATAGAAAAGCAAGACAAGTAACTAAAAGCTACTTAACAAGTGGGATGCCTCTACTCCAACATGTCAAAATCTGGTGTCCAATATTTTTTGATTTTGTTCTCTCTTTTTCCATCAGAAAGCTCAATCAGCTGCCACAGTATGCCAACTTCCATGTTTACATGGTTACGCATCATAACAAACTTTGAAAATAATCAGAATTACCACAGAAATCTACCCAGCAGCACCATAGCAATGTGGTCTGTTTAGAGAAATAATTGTTTTAGCAGAGTATTAAAATCATTACAACCGAAGCAGGTTCATATAAAGCATACAAATGCCCAGTCTTCTACCGTAGAAAAATACAGTAACAATCAGAGTGATTGTGAATGGGGAACAAAATTGGAATTTTAATAGATGCAAAGAACAAAGAACATTTGAACTTTTTCAGTGTTATATTCTGTTATCATTTAGTTGTCTCCTGCAGTCTGATGTCATTTCCATGACAACAAAACAAAATAGAGCTTTGTTTTAAACTTCTGACTATTTCATTGTATTAATGAGGGGAGGAGACTGACACTCCAAACGGTCCCTTCCGCATGTATTTTACCTCCCAGGCGGTAGAGGGCGCTTCAACTCCTGGTCAATAATAAAGAACGAAGAAGAAAAGCGCAAGCGCTGTTTCTTATCTTATGTTCGTATGTGTCACACACTGCTCTCGCCTTAAAAATTGCTGATATTCGGTAAGTACCTTGTCGTGTTATCCAATTCACATATAGCCAGTGAAATTTGACTTTTTAAATCACGTAAAATAACGTGTTGCCAAACTGTTTAAGCGACATACCTTAATAAGGCGTGTTCCATTTTGTAAGCGCCGTGTCAAATGTTACACCTCGTAGCTATATAAACAAGACGATGTTCCTCATATTACGTCAGCTCAGCGTTGTTTGTGTCGATTATTTAATTAAAGCAGAAACATCAATGCGCTTCACTGGCCACTAAAGTGTTAGAGTTGTCCCCTTATTTTTTGGAAAATGTTAACTCAACGTTGGGACATTTCGTAACGGCTGTTTGGAGCTAAAGCTAAAAATGGACGGCCCAGCTGCTCCGCTCCTTTTGGAGTCTGTCGAGATCAGACCAGAAACCAAAGAGGTGACCGCCATCGTAAACTTACATGCTGCTGCTATGAAAACATAATTTGGCGTCAGTTGAATGAGTTAGTTTCGCGTAAGAGAATGTTGTCCACATTTTCGCGTTTGAGTGGTTAGCAAAAAGGAATGGTTTGTTCACACGGTGTGTTTCCAGGAATATTGATTTAGCCAACACAGAAGCAAAAAAAGTCCAATACATACAATTGTAATCAAATGTTTGATTTGTTTAATCTGATGCCCAATTATTGGAATCTGGTTTTGGCTAGCTTAGTAAATACCTTTTGGCCTACATATAAAGTTTCTGACCATATCAGGGGTAGAAATACATTTAAAGATAAAGATTTATTTATGGATCTCACAACTTAATCAGCTTTTAGAGTCAAAGTCTAACCGACAACTGTTCAATTTCTGAAGTGAAAGCTTGGCAAAATTACTAAGCAAAATTACTAAACAATGCAAGCATTTGCAAATGAATTATAATAACAATCAGGATAGTTCTATCACGGTTTAATCACCTTCAATTCTCCATTGTTGTTGCTATCTCAAACATACTTCAGGTTCAGAGTTCAGCTCTGTTATTCATTTCTATATTACAGTTCATTGATATTTTAATGTGAACCTTTGAGTGCAAGGAAAAGGTTTTTCCATTTAATTTTTTATCTTATTTTGCCCCCAAAATGCCTCGGACATCTAAAATGAAGTCCCCCGTAAAGTTGCTAAAATTGGAGGACACTGTAAATTCAGCAGTGCCTCTAATGGAGAGAGAGAGGAACAGAAAGTGCTCATTATATAACAGTACATCCACTGAGATATGATAAATCAGATCTAAGAGACGGATAACATCTCCAGTAACAACTGGTGCCCCTGACTAAGCAAGTCAGAGCACAGCATGTGCACTACTAAGCTGAATGATAAAAGTTTGAACAGTGCTGTTTTATTTAATGATGTGTTATGTCAGGTTCCTCCAAGCAGCTGGTTGGAACCTGATTTCCCTCTGCATTGCATCAGTCCAGACTTAATGAGAGTAATACATGCAAGCACCTTCCCAAAAGTTATGAATAAGAACCAATACGTTCATTCAGACATGTCACAGTCACTGGCACAAGTAAAATGGAAAGAATTGAATGTCTGGAAGAGGTTTAGTAGTAGAAGCAGAAGTGTTGTGGCTATGTATAAACCTTGATGGGATTATAGAAACAAACAAAGATGTGCACACACCTTATAATGCATCATTTCATGAGGTTAAGATAGAATTAGAATTCAAACTACTTCTGCTACAATTTGCCCCAAAGGTGACGCTCTCACTTCCAAAGATGGTTGGACCACATTTTGGACCACCCCGTTTAAAGCCCAGGTAACGTCTTTCAGCTTTGTTCTTTATGATTATGTTTGACTGTTGAACTAATGTTGACCACTGATCTAACCAAATGATTTTAACTGACTGTGGGTTGTAATTGTAAATTGTTGTTTCTCTTCTCTCGTGTTAGACCTTACGGAGATGGTCGTGGACCTAGTGAAGGGAACCACAGCAGTTCCAAAAGCCGAAGAGATGTCCAGGAATTCCCGGTTAGGGTTCCTTTTCACTATAGAGAATCAAGAGGAAGAGGACGGCTGCCAGTCGGTAGAAGGTTTTCGCCAATGGGAGAGCAAAGGGAACCTCGTTTCAATCACTGGAGGTCTCAGTCTCAGGATTCCTACGAAGCATACCCTCCAAAAATGGAACCATACCACAGCCAGCGGAGCTATTATCCATCTAGGCCAATCCGTGGCCCTCACTTTCATCATCGTTCATCCCCTAACCGTTTTTCTCAAGGACACCATAGTCAAAGGGGCCCACCTTTCCATGGCAGTCCCTCAGCTTACAGGCCAAGTTCCCCGAGACATTTTCGAAACCACCCAGATGACAGAAGGCCCGGCCCAGCACCAGCCTTCCAGGGATCTTTCAGGGGCCACAAACGACACCCAGGTTTTTCTCCGGAGCAGCGAAATCGAGACCCTCCTCCAAGGGAAAGGCCCTATGAACAATCAGGGCATGGCACGAAGCGATGGAATGAGCCTGGACCGTTCTTTCACCCACACAATGGACAGCACCGTCCCTCTGGGTCACAGAGAAGCCCAAGAGAGATGCATGGGAGGGGCTCGTGTACAGAGAGGTACAGGAGTCAAGCAGTCATCCCAGCAGGGTAAAATTATCACAGAGGAGGCCAGTGGCTAGCCATTTCTCCCAGTCCAGAGGTTGTAATGATCACCTCTACATGGCCCCTGCTCATGTGTGTTAGAGGGAATGAAAGTGGGTCTGATGTAAATATGCCATTAAGAGCAGTGTTACATCTGTTTTTGCTCTTTGAAAATATCCCCCCCGTACCTGTTTGATTCTGTCATGGCTTATGAGGTGGCTGCATTTACCATGAAAGTTAAAAGTTCCGCCTCCCACTTAAAATGGCAATGGATCTGTCATTGTAATGATTTTTCTATTGTTTGATGGATGTGCAGGTGGTCGTCTCAACAAGACTCCAGGAGGCAGCGTGGTCCTGCAGAGAGGCAGGGCAGCAGATCCCACAGTAGAGAGAGGGCACAAGATGTCCCTCACATGCCCCCATACAGATCCCCTTCATGGAAAGGAGGCCCTCCGTTGGAGTCACCTTCCTTCCGCAGGAGTTCACAGGAGAGGCAAGAGGCAGGACTCCGCAAGAGGAGGATATCAAACATCAGCATGGCTTCATCAGAGCCTCCACCTGAGCATGGCAGTGAAAAGTTCCCCAGGAGGGAGAGACCTCATCTAAGTGTTCAGAGGCCGTTTGGTGGTAAACCTTTGTCTCTTCGGGATAAAAGTTACTTACTTAAGAGCCGACAAATCAGAGCACATTCTCTCGTGCGGCCAAGAGTACCTACTATTATGAAACCCAAGTCCCATCTGGGTGACATACCCACGCAGCTAAGCACCAGCGCCGTTCTTGCCATGAGGAAGAAACGTTTCCAGCAAAATGCAGCTCCTCTGACAAAGACGGAACCAAGAAAAGAAAAACCAGAGCAATCACCAGCATCAGACGATGAGAATGCCAGCCACTCTTCAAGAGACTCTGGCTCCGGAAAAGAACAGGTGGAGTCTCGTCGGTCCTTGAACACACACAGGTACGGTATTTTCCTTGTAGCTCTGTTCGCTGGGGCTTGATGATGATGATGATGATTAAGAGGTCAAGAAAGAATGTGTGAAAATGGTGCCAGCAGTGGAAAGTGGAGATGACATGAGCAGCTAAACAGCAGAGATTCAGTTGATGCAAAGTTAAATCCCTCCAATATCTTCATGCTGCACATTTGTCACAATACCTACAACTGGAATGGAAAGAAGAGGAGAGTTATGTTCCAGAACCCAGTGTTAAAGTGTTGAATAGCCGTTTTGAGGACTGCGGGAAAATGATTTGAGCCATACTTTGAAGGATTCTTCTGTGTGCACTCATTGTCATAAGCTTAAGAGATACCTTCTTCATGATCGGGAGAAAACCTCTTCATTCAAAAACACGAAAGCAAAGTTATGACATCCACATTGGGGGGAAAAAAGTCAGTCTGAGAGCGCGGGAGTACCCTGAGAGGAATGGCCATGGCCAGCTTTTAAATCTGAAGACGGGTCAGTCAAACCAGCCTTTGGAAAAGGCTTTGGCATTTCATGTCTAGTCATCACATAAAAGGACACAATCCAGACAAACAAGTTACATGATGAATCAAGGAGTTTTCAAGAACATAGGAAGATATAAAATGGATGATCTTACAGTTTACGTGATGGAGCAGGAAGATTCCAGTTCACCATAAAGGACAGCAAAATCTATGGAACATAAACACTGAATTGGAGTGTCTTCCCCTTGAAGAGTCAGAGGACGAATGCAGGCATTCTTGCTGATAAATCAAGTGAAAACCAACTTATGAGCTTTATAGAATTATAAGATTGATCATTTTACTCAGCCACTTGAGTCCAAAAAGGGGGAAAACAACACTTTTTCATTATTTGACTTGATTTAGATTAATCGATGAACTACAGTCAGGAATTATCTCCACACAGATATCAGAAATGTATGAAGACACACTGATGTTAGGAGCTGTATCAGCCACTTGATCTGCACCCCATTCAGAAGAGGAGCAAACATAGTGATGATGTCTCCGCATGTTGCGTCTGAGCACTGGAGCTTTCTACCTCTGCTGTCTCAAGAACCAAAGGGAGAGTTGCCGTCACCCTCATGCTTTCAAATAGCAACAGATTTTATCCAAGCCAGAGCTGGGAGGCTGTACGGGCTATAATTGGATAAAAGGTTCACCAAAATTCAAGTCGGGCCCTCCCAGAGTCACATTTGATCTGTGAAACATCGTGTTGGACACATCTGCTCCAATAATGACAGCACTTACTGCTGCTGCTGCTTAAGTGTTTGATATTAAATATATGGAAAGGGATCCACTGGCTGAGAACACAAAAGCCCTGACCAATTCCAAAAAGGATCATTCTCAAATGATGGAAAAATAATGGATGGACTTCAGATGAATGAGGAACAAAACCAAATTGCGAAACACGATTATTGTGAGTTCTAACTTTTTTTTCGTCACGGGGACTGTTTCACTAGTTTGATCTCTGTGATTGTGACCTCTTCGGTTTCATATCTGAAGTGACCCAAATCTTTTGAGAAGTCAGCATAAGCGAGCCAGTAACGAGCCTTTTTAAAAACACATAGCCACCAAAGTCCATGACACTTTGTCTCCAAGCCAAACCTGCTTGTGTTAAGCTGCAGAGTTACTGCGTCATGAGGGGCCAAAACAAAGTCAGAATGCCTTCAGCCGTGTCTGATTTAAAGGAAAACTGGAGCACCGCGCTAATATTTCTGCACAGCAAAGCAACCCTCCTTAAACTTCCTTTAAGTCGCACCCTGTGGCCTAAATTTAAAGAAGAATGCAATATCGCACAGGTCTGAAATTCCCTTCGGAGATACTGCAGAGCCTCCAGCCCGTTGGTGAGATAACTGGACTGGAAGCATGTGTGTCAAAAGCCGCTCGGCTGACCCAATCATCGCTTTGGATGCATTCCTGCATTTTCTTCATCTTGTAAGTCAAAATGGACGTGGCGCGTGAAGCCCTGAGACGATAACTATGCCTGAGAAAAACTTAAGGAAAATAAGGAATGGCTAATACCGACGGAAGTCACGTCTTACAGTGAAAACCAGCTGTGCTCAGGAGGAGGAAACAAGACTTGGTGTGATCTAGACCAGTGTCTAAAAGTCTTTCCAAGTTTTGGCCACTCTAACAATCGCTCAGATTCATTCAGGGTACAAAATAGGAGTAAAGAAGCATGGACATTCCATGGTCTTTGTAAGTACCACAGTGATGCGTGGCTTTGTAGCTTATATGCCTGTAAACTATTTACTACTGATGCTATTCATTACTGGCTGACATTAAGGTTCCTTTAAGAGATAATGTGTAAACGCAGATTTTTCTTAAGATTTCTTCATGCCTTTGAATAATGATAAATATGAAAGCTGCTGTTGGTGTTTGTGTTGATATGCTGTGGCTTAAACACAAACTTCGACCCCTTTCACAGATCTTCTCCCATAGAGAAACGCGACCTCGTAGTTTTGTCCCACTGGCCGCCCGGCCCAAGCTCTTCCAAAGACTCCTCCCCTCCAAAGGGTCAGAGCCCGAAGTCAAAGACAGGCAAGTCTGCTCTGAAATACTGTGTAGTCCAAAACAGAAATTAGATTTGTTACCTGCAACACACACATTTTGTATATATCTTTTAAAGTGTTAAGTCTATATTTATTGTGAAGCCTTTGATCTAAACGTGTATTTTAATTTTTTTTTACTTTAGAAGACCACAGCTCAGAGGAAGAGACCTCACCGAGCCGACGCCCATCTAAAACTTATGACTCCAGAAAACCGGGGTATTTGGAAAGAAGGGTGTTTAGGTACTGTTGATGTTCAAAACGGCCCGCTTGCTTTGAGAGTTAATGTCTCTATATATAGCCGCAAACTCCAATCAGTGGCTGATCTTCACTATTTTCTGCAGAACGTCCAACATGATGCATGAGGGCAGCAGACCTGAAAAGCCCTTCAGGAGACCAGGACCATGGCCTGGACCGTGGCAGGTCAGTGAGTGATTTATGCATTATGATCATTTACAAGCATGGACAGCTGCAAATGACATACTTGCCTGTATTCAAGTTTGAAGCCATTCTGTAACATTTTAATTGATTTTAAACTTTTTGACTTGTTTTACAGAGGCCAAGGTTTCCTGTTGGTCCACGACGGATGGGTCCAGAGCAGCCAGGATCTCTTCGAAGACCACTCATGGTATGGCTCCATCTTCAAAACGCTCTTGCTTGCTCATTATTTCTGGTTTCTTAAGGAGCACTGCCTGAATCCCTCGTGTCTTTAAGGAGGCTGTGGTCCCGCGTCCTTTCGCACATCAGAAACCAGTGTTCAGAAAAAGCTACAGTATCATGTCCAAATACCGCAATATGAGAGTGATGCGCCAGCGTGCACCGTACCACTGAGGACCAGCACCGGGGAAACCTCTGGTGAGGCTCTCCCTTTTCTTTGCATTTATAACTTGCTCTTAGATGATTGATGATGTTCTTTTTTTTTCTTCTTATTTATGAAAGATTGTGTTGAAGGTTGAGTTTTCTTTTGATCTCAGCACAGGTCCCCCATGCTTACTGGGGTGGTGGAAAATGCTGACACTTCATCATCCCGATCCGCTCTGCTGGGGGCGATTGGAGGGACATCTGTCCAGGGAGACTGTGGCCCCAAACTTTGTGTTGTGAAAGTGCTGTTGCTTACCTTTGGTCTTTGGTACAAGTGTTTCATTTTCCTCACTGAAGTACTGTACTGCTGTATTTGTTTTAGGGAGCTGTTAAAATAGGGTTTTTTGGTTTTTTAAATTTACTTAAGGGTCCCCATTTTGCTCAAACAATGTTGACATTTTTAGTTTGTTTTATAGACGGGACTCAAGCATTTTCTTTGGTATGTAACCCTCCAAACTGAAACACATGTTGAGTTTGACACTCAATAAATTCAGATTTAACACTACTATGAGGTTTTGTGTGTTTATTATTGATATTTGTATTATGAATATTATAGGTGTATATATACACACACACACAACACACATAACTCCCTTTTCTTCATGTCAGTGGTAACATTTACACACCGGGTTGTAGTTCAAATATCCACTGGTGAATCTTTTCTAAATGTTTCTAGGTTTTTATCTTGGGGAAACTGACAAAAAACAATATACCATTAAAATGTCTTTCTGTTGGAACTCTTATCGATTTGTTTGAGAAGAACATTGAGGTTGGGGTTTGGCTCAACCATGAAGTTGAATTTAAAGCGTGAAGCTGAGTGGACTCGGCTGACGCCCTCCAGGGACCTCTACGACACTGAAGGAACAAATGACACCAAGTTTCAGTCTGTATCCCACATTTCATAAATCCAGTTTAGAGAATTTCCCCAGGCCGCTCTGCTCAGGACCCTTTTTATAATCGGGGTTCCCACCGTCTACAACAAATGCTCTGGTCCGCTGCCCTTTGTCGGTGTTATTTTCAAGCAGAGTGGCGCTCCCCTCTGTCCCACTCTAAACTTAGCCCTGACAGTACCACTCCTCATCACAGCCTACCACAGTAGATTACAATAGATGGTGTCGAGTTACCTCAGATGTGGCTGTATTTCATGGGTGACGCTAGGAAAAACAAGGTGAGTGTACGCGCTGGATACTTGGATGGACATTAATCTTGTAATAGGTTTAGTGCATGTACTAATGACTGTAATATGTGGCTGTGTTCCTTCCTGGACTCTAATCGGGGTGTGAGGCACATTTGTTCACTGCGGTGGCATGTGAAAAACAGCTGCCTCTGCTGTAACACTGGCCTTTCATTTTTCTCCTATCATGAAGACTTGTTTTTCTGAACTTGGCTCATTTTTGTTATGTAAAACAGGGGTAAGACTCTGTGTTTTTCTTGAAGGAAAAAGCATGCTGTGACACTGTACTGGGCCTGTAAAGTGTGCTGAGTTCCGCTCTGCTGACTCGCTCCCATCTGTCATTTGTAGATGTAGACTTTAAGGTTCTGCAGGTTTTTGCCCTTGTTTTCCTCTCTTATCACGATGGGCAGCTATAGCTCAGCCATCATTCCTGGTAAGCCTGGCAGCGGTTGTTTGAAAAACTACTAAGCTTGAAAGTTGCTTGTTCAAGGCTGAACGTTAACGCAGGCATTGAAAGCACAGAAAAAGCAACAGGGTGAACATGTGTGAGAGGGAGAGTGTTGCACTTTGATATTGGGCTTGAGCTAATTGTGGGCTTTGTGAGATGTTTTTTAACAGTTGTTTTCCTTTTCTTTCAAAGACACAGAGGAGTTTGACTCAATAGTGTCTGTGGAGGTGAGCCTGGCTGAGCAGGTAGCTCACGCAGCAGATAAGAGGCCTCTGACTCTGGGAAGTATGAAATTAAGCCAAGCCATTACATTACATAGTACTGAAGTAGCTCTGCCATAACTTGACACCCTCTTTGAAAACAGTGTTGTCTATCTGTGCCCCCCCTGTCCTTGGGATAAATTTAACTTTTCTGAGCCGTCTCACTCAAACACACACATATGCAGCAGAGGATATCTCCTTTGGTTTCTTATTTGAGAAGAGCATAACTTTCTTGTCTTGTTATCATAAGCTTTAGATTGTAAAGAAGTCAATCATTGCCGTGACTTGTTTTTGACTGAAAACCTTCAGTTATTTAGGCACTAAAATCTGAAACAATACATACATTTTTTTTGCTTTTCAGAAACCTAAAACCAGACTTGATTGACAGGTAACAATAATGATGGAGGAGGAAAGGACAGAAAATGAGAGTAATCCTTCAACCAAGGAGGAAAGTACCACAGGAACAAATCAGAATAGTTCTGGACTGCAAGTGGGTCTTAAAGATGAGCTGAACCCATGAACAGGCTATGTTGCCACCAACAGAACATTTTAACATTGCATTATTCTCTTCTATTATCGTATTTTTCCTTAGGATGAGCAATCCAAGAGTGTGCCCGTGCAGTCATTTTCCTCCTTGCTGCCAAAGGCTCTCTCTGCTGTATTACATCCAGCAGTGCCCTCGGACTTCAGCTCGGAGGCCCGTCCAAACAGAAACTCGGATAAAAACACAAAGCCAAGCCTGGAACATCTTCAGACAGAGCTGAGAGACCTGAGGGACCAATTAGAACAGATGAAGAGTCAGCACAAGTACGGCTTCCTTTCTGTAATTAAACATTAGAGACCCATTAGCTAACGGACATACATCTGACACTCAACTCGGTTCCGTTACCCAGCAAGCATGCACTTCACAACAGAGTCAACACAATGTTCCTTTTTCAGTCTTAGACTACATCATGTGACCCCTCAATCATAAACTGGATGTTGTAGTGTCATTTCTATCTCTAAAATACTCTTCTAAGTCAAGACTGTTTTTCGCTCCAGCAAAGAGATTAAACTTCTGATGAATGAACTCGATGAAGAGAAAAGGATTCGCTTAACTATACAGGTAAAAAAAGAGAATGTGTTTGTTCCTTATTGTAAATCAAAACAGCAGAACTTTAAAGTCATCAGGTCAGATCTGACTTTTGCTGTCCTGTGTTGCTTTGGCTCAGATGGAAATCCAGAGGATGAAGAAGCACATGTTAAAATGAGCAGATCGAACAACATCAAAGGCAAGAAAATGGAGATTTGCGGGTCTTTTTTGTAAATGAATGTTCTCAAGTGAGTTGACGAGTATGTTCTACCACATTTCTGAGGGAGAAGTTTTAGGGAATTAAAAAAAATGTTTAGTGATAAACTTATGTGCTTTTTTGTTGGACTGCTGAGTCAGCTAACCCAGAGCTAACCCTAACCCTATCCAGAGGTCTTTTCTTTTTGGACCTGAGCAGTGAGCTCAGTGGTCTGTTTATACAAAAATTTTGTCAATTTCCTTTGACTTTTTTTGTCAATCGCTTGTAATTTTGTTACCATAATATGAAACTGCAGAGTGCAGATTTATCTTTTGATTACACTAATTGTTTAACTCACTAAGCCCCAAGTTAATTTATGGTTTGCCTGTGTGCACGAGCGTCATGTAAGAAAGATGCCACTGTTTTCCAGAGTGTTTATGAACAATTAGGAATGAATCCGTACTTGCAAATAAATATAAAGTTGCTGACGGTAGCATTTGTTTTAAAAATATTTAATATGTATAACATTCAACACACATGTAAAATGGAAGCAGTAATTGAAAGGCTTTACTTTGACTTAGCCTTCGTGTCAAGTGAATGATTTTGGGAAATGGACTTTGGGTTGAACTTGTTCGTCTAATCATGAGCCAATCAAGATGCATAAACTACATTATATCATGGTTATTTAAATTATTATACAAATAAACTGTCATTAAAGTCCTCCCAATAAACTCACTCATGTATTATGTAAAATTTCAGAGAGGTTTTTCAGTATTTGTTGTTTTGCTGTTCAATCTCAGAGGAGCTGTTGAATCAGATGAATTACTCCTAGTGATGGTCATGATATGGGGTTTGATTCCCTCTCAGAAGTTGGAGTCTTCGCATGGTATTGGGCTGAAGGTGACCTCTTTGTTCTCCTCAAGAAGGACGTCATATCGACAGAGAGGGCTGCGGGAGACAGGTGCTGCTTTAGAGCCTGAGACTGAACTGCTTAGACACCATTACAAATCAAATCATTGTTCTTAAAGTCAGGCGGGCAAAAATAAATCAGTAATACATATACCTCCGTTGCCCTTCCAGTTGTGTGAGACGGACTTTGAGAATTCTGAGCTTGCGCTTGGGCTGGAACACATTCCCAGTGGAGAATTTAAGCGAGACCTTTTTCACTGCCTGAATGTCTTTGTCAAACTGAGCGAACAGCTCAGTGTTTTTGTACTTCTTGAACTCCACTTCTCGGCTGGGAGGGAAAATAGAATACACATGCACAATGTGAAAATAAGACAGAAGGATGATAAAAAGTAATGGTGTCATACTGGAATTTCAAAAATGATAAATGGGCGGGGGACTTACTGGTCAATGGTTGCCACTGCTTCTTTATTGTCGTCATAGAGCTTAATGGTCAAGTAGCCCGCCCGTCCACTCTTGTTCCAGATCATTACATCCACTTTATAGTTTGTCACTGAACAAAACCCCATTTTTGCTTTTGTTAATAAACATATTTACAATCAAATTTGTCTCATGTTGTAAATCTTCTATTCAAATGCAACAATTAATAAGAGTTTCCAGGGAAAACAAAGAATGAATCAGTCAGCTGACCTGTTTAATTAGTTTGCTAACATGCACTTCATGGTCTATCCTAATTACACAACAAAAAAAATTATTTTGCAAGTATCATTAATATCATAATTACTGTTATTCTTTAATGATAGTAGTAAAAAAACATATGTTAAAACTAATGTAATAATATTATTTAATCATGTAAATAAAAATGTCCTCAAATCCTAGTGTTTCCAACGACACTCATTGACTGAATATGTGGTAAAATACAACTGTGTGGAATTGTACAGGGGGGAAAAATGAAGCCACAGCTAGGTGGAGCCAGAATCATTACAATTAGAATTTTCAACTGCCAAAAAATAAAATCTGCTCCAAATGTACATTGCTATTCTGGTTGGTGTTTGCACTTACTGCAGAATGGAGTCTGTGCATTTGTTTTGAAGTAAGATTTTGTTTGCTCCTTCAACAGACCTTTCCATCGTATCACATCATAACCTATTTAAGGGAAACAGATACATAACATTTAATAAACAAAAACATTTAACATACAAGTACATTATAAATGGTTTAAATATAAAAACTTTTTAAAGGATTGTATTCATGCTACTTCACATTATGATCTACATCTGATGTCTATGTTTGTGTCTATGTTTTCTTTACATAACAGAACAAACAGAAAAAAGATTACAGACATAGTGTGCGTTCTTAATCACTAACCAAAGACAGGACATCCTTTATCCGCAAATTGGTCACAGTTTAAGCATCTACCATCCAGAAAGTCTTCATAGGATGAGCAGGGGAAAGCAATGCTGCTACACGTATTATTCACAGTTTCAATAAAAAGCACCACTGATCTCTGATGGTCACATTTAAAGTAGGATCCCCCTGTTCCATGATGAAAAAGAGAAATGTCAACATGGAAATTATTTAAATGTTTCATATGTCCACATCTTCTTGACCTTACCAGAGAGGATAGTCTTTGGGCAGCCTGGCTGATCTGCTCCTCCATTGGCATAGAAATCAATGTGTCCCAAAGGTTCCCTGAAGCCTAGAACTGAAAACAAAGTTGCCGTACACATGATATAATGATAACAGTATTGTTCACGCACACACAAATGTTGAGCTTTTGCCTATCAAATTTAATCTAAGAGTTATTAATAAGATCAGCGAACTGACAGTCCATATCTGTGTGTAGGACGTCAACAAACTGGGCATCTGTGGGGTCCAGTCGCTTCTCTGGAGGCTGACCAGTAAAGTCTGGGCCAGCGGGATCCAGAGCTGTAAACAGAACAGTAGTTAACTTCAGCAAGAACCTTTCCAGACAGAGGTGCTCAAAGAACATGTGGTTTGAGGGCTTGTTCTTTTCTGACTTCAGGAGATGGAGATGCTCCACATTGAAATCTGTCTAGCTCTACATTGGGAAGTCAGAGATGTGAAATGATGTCCTTACGTGTGTGACTTACCTGTGATTCTTCCAATTTTCCCATTTAAGTTAGCACCCACGAAGCCTGATATGTGAGCTCCAAGACTGACGCCGATCAAGTGGATGTCGCTCATAGAAGCGCCATGATCCTGAAAAGATCCGCTATTAGAGATGCGTGTGTGATACTGCTATCTTAAGGGGATTCAGAAGCTGCCCATACCTTCATCTGCCTAATGAAAGCCGTGACGTTGTCAGCTACTTTGTACGTGTTCTGCACTGCCTTAAAATAAAGGACAGTAGCAGCTCCGCGGTTCCAGTCCACCACTATGACATTCATGTCCGCTCGGGCCAGCAACACGGCTGTGAAATTGTCGATCCACACCGGAGGAGAGCCAGAAGGCCGATAGCCATGAATGATGAAGGTGGTAGGTCGGGACAGGTTAAACTGGGGATGGTCCGTCAGGTTGGTGTGAGACATTAGAGTACCACAGGCTCCATTAGCTCTGGTGTACAGCAACAATCTGACTCTGACATAGGTGCCAGTGATTGCGTGACCAAGCTCTAGATCTGTAAACTCATCACAACTCTGACCTGAGAAATTTATAGGAAAAAGAAAAAAATTACAGATTAGTTTAAGTTGTGATATGATTGTGTTGTACTCAACAAACTGTATTCATGGAAAACTTGCAACAGTTCTACATGCATGAATCAGGCTGAGAGCATTTTGTGCTGTGGGAGTTCAGGAAAAAATAAATGTAAAATCTCAACACTTCACTTTCATTGTCTCTGAAATATGCAATCATACAGCCTTGGTAACCTCAAACGCACCTGTCCCACAAGGATAACTGACTTTTTCGTTGCCATCTACAGGCTTTGAACTGTAGCCTTGAACAGTTTCACACTTTTGTGCTGAAATAGTGTACATTTTCAATGACTAACTCAATGTGTTTTCTGAGAAAACAGATGGTCAGATCTGTGGTTTTTCACTGATCAAGAAAAATGTAACTTTGGAAACGCTCGACTTGAACAAAAACAGTGACTCTCCAGTTACGTCATTCCCATCGGATGTGATGTGAGCTGATTGTCCGGAAGAACCACAGTGATGGTCACCACCTCAAATGTGTTGATTTCCGAAGAAATTTCAGTGCCATAATCAGAAATAAACTTAACTGGGATCTCCAGGGAAGTCCTACGCTTGTGATTCACACGCCATCTGCCGTCACCACGTTTTTGTGTGTGTGGTTGTGTAAATACCATACATACCATACAGCGCAACACTTTAAGGTGACATATATAACAATGTTTTGTTCTGTGCCTTACCTTTGACTATCTGATTTGTTATCAGAAAGAGGGTCGACAGATATAGCCACAGGAACATACTTTACACCAGCAACTTGCAAGGAACTGTAGACAAAGTGGAAAAACTTTTTTTTACACTTTTCTTTTAAATTATTAGAAGGAGCCTACTTCAACTGATAAAAGCAAAGGCAAAAGTTAAGTGACTTATTAACTTACTCTATGATGATATGAAACTATGTTTATGTCATGACTGATAACTACAGAATCATTTATTTACAAGCCTAATACTAACTCAATTTTTACAGTGATCATAAGTGAAACTGAACACTAAACTCTTTTGTACTTGAACCTCACGGTTGGTCTGATATTTTCTTCCTCTGCTACATGACTGAATGATGTCTGTGTTCAATGTCCTTCTGGCATCAGCTTTAAAAGAGAGATCGGGTTAGATTTTCACCCTACTTACCTTGGATGTAGAATAATATTCCCAGAGCTGGTGTGTCAACGGTCCTACTTTGTTTATATCGTCACATATTTGGGAAGCCGTCAGTTCAGGAAGTGAGAGGAGGATCGGTGGAGCAATACTCCCGCCCTGCATGCTCTCACATGGAAAACCCCACCCCTTACCCCAGGTCATTGTGTTCACAGGTGAAAAATTCTTGTGAAGTATTACCCAGTACTTGAGTACTGAAACCGGTTGTGTGACAATTTGTTGTTTTTAATGTGGCTGGAAGATCTTAGGAACAGCTACAGGTCTTTTTGTTGCAGCCATTGTAATTCATGAGGGACTTAACAATGAAAGTGAAATTGTTAGGGGCTTTTCTCAAGAATCTGTCACTTCTGTATAAAGAAATGAGAGATTTTTGTTATTCTTTTGTGTGAGCCACTTAACTGCTTCTACTGGAAGATACTGGATCTCAATATTTCACAACACTACACTGAGCTGTGCTGTTTTGTGGTACATTTTATGACTATGAAACAGCCTTGGTAGAGGACTTGAGTGGGAGTTCAGTCTAACTTTTTCCTTTTTTTGTATTGGTTCATCATCTTTGCCTATTTTCCAGTAATCACAATCTGGTTCTGATTTAAAAGGCTAATGATTAAAGTTTGAATCAAAATAAAAATTAGTTCAGTCAGCATTCATAGTGTGTCTTATTTAAAGAAAAACATAATACAATGACAAGACAAAATCTTTTCATTGGAAAGACTCCTATGAGAAGCTGTCATCAGCAAAGAATGTATACATAGTTGCAGAATTGTGGCATGAATTTTACTTCAACGTGTACGTCCTAATGGCGCAGACATAAAGTGATTGTTTTCAGAGACATTACACCTGTAACTTTAAAATGCTGTCAGTTGCTCCTCCACTTGAAAAAAACAAAGACATTCCAGTTACGTCACTCCCCACATCTGCATACGGTGTATCAGCTGCTTGTTGTGTAAAACTTAAGTGATGACCATTTGTTCAGTCTCATGGTATTAAGACCACACTTGCAATACACTAGCTGTCACATGCCATTATATGCGAAAATAAAACTGTGTATGCCCCTGTGCAAGCACATGCACTAAAACCTACATGGAGTTTGTGTGGGTTGCAGAATACCAGACTCCACCAATAACGCCACACAGGGTTTGGTCACAGAGGAAGTCTTGACTTTAAAAAAAACATGGAACTTTTGACTTAACTCATGCACTTATAAGGAGAAGTTTAAAAAACATTTATGTTGGAAGCGTTGGAGTGTTTTTGAAGAAATTCAAGGCTGTTTTCGCACTGGGACTGACTGTCCCTGTTGGAGGATCTCTTATTCAGAAAAGAGTTGAAAAATTGACCTTGTTATTATTACATGTAAGCATCCCTGCTGATAAAAAACAAAAACCGCAGCCACTAATGATGATTTTTTTAAACTTATATTTCAATTACTATTGTAATGATTTAATTATACTGAAACATCAGTGCTGTTGAGTGGCTATCATGTCATTTTAATTTATTTGTTTTGTGTTTTTAAATTGGCATTGTTTGGTTCCAAAGGCTGCCTGTGTAACAGCTCCACAATTTTTTTCTCGTTGGACTTACAAAGCTTATCTCAGCATGCAGTGCTACAGTACTTGGAGTCTCTGTTCTCTGTGTTTCACTTTCAGGAACAAAAAGAGATATCTTTCAAAGTACCCATTCTTTAAAACAAACTGAACTGAAACATAGCTGGGCAGCAGGGAGGTACACAGTACACACCAATCTGGGACGGAAAGAGAAAGTCTTTGGAAGCTCAGTACTGGCTGCAATCTACATTTGTGATACCTTTTCCAGAGTGGCGTGAACTTTGCTCACTATGCTCACCCGTCATCGGGGTCAGAAAGGCTCACAGGATGTAAACGTTCAAAGGACTGACGGCTTACTATTCACCCAAGTCCACTAGTGAGGCTGGCTGAAAGGACTGGCAGGTTGACTCAGTGCTGTTCTCGGTTGACACGGCGGCAGAACATTCAGGATGGCCAGAAGGAGACGAGGTCGAGGCAACAGCGCGCAGCAACAGCAGACCTCGCAGAGCAGAAGAGGAGGCCCTCGCAAGGTAGGTCAGATTTAGTCACTATGACATGCGGTCACTACACCGTGCACTTTAAAGAATGATTACCTGGACGCTGGAAATGAAAATGTGGCCAGGGGGATAACACCTGAATAATGGGTTTTATGAGTTTGCCGAGGCATTCAGACAAACATTTGCTCTTTGGTCTGTTCACTGGGACAATTTAGCAGCTGCGATTCCTCAGTTTTGTGTTGGGTTTTTTGTACATTCCCACATGAATGATCTCAAGTAATGCTCAATGTTGGTTTTCAAATGAGAAAAAATATTAAATCATGGTTGAAGTTGTTCATCTCATAACCACCAGACATAGTCATGCATCCTGCCATTCACTACAAAGAGTAAGTGCATCTAACACTTTTACGCACTCATTTACTCAAGACATTGAATACACTTGGAGCAGAGTGAAAGTTCAAAGTCTCTTACAACATCACAGATAAAGGTACATTTATGCATCAGCTGACAAAACAAAGTCCATTTAAAGGTAAAGGTAAAGGCTCAACTAGGATTGTTAAGTTCTGTCCAAAGACTTTTGATTTTATTTCCTTTTGATTCCAACCTGCTCTTTTCCAATAAATAATTGACAGGGTAATTTGAGCCTGCAGTTTTACTACCCTTTTTTAGTTATTGATATATCATTAGCATTAATTCGTTAACAATATTCTTTATACAGAGGCACTTGCATTACCCTGTTATGAAACAACTCTGTGAACATAGCTTTCCTGCTCTGAATGAGGGCGCTTAAATACAGTATAAATTTCACTTACTAAACACACAGACATGCACACATGCAAATCAAGTACACTGGAAACGTTATAACTGACTTTGGATGCAATAAAATCTGTTTAGAACATACGTATGTCCATTCACGGTAGAAACTAGTTCATTTGGATGCTGACACCGTGAGCATGAGGACAAAACATGAACTGATTTCACGCTCCCTTTCTGTCTCAATCTTTTCTGTGGGTTTAGGCTCCGCGGGAGCCTGCTGAATTTGCCAAACCAACAGGTTATGAGCCAGACATCCCTCATGAAAAATTAACAATTGCTCAAGCACGGAAAGGCACACCAGGTTAGTCCTCTGCATATACTCATTTTTATTGTGAATTGTCAAGCATCTACAAGTCTGAGATCGGACACCAGTGGCCGGCTGGTGGCAGCATGGAGGCGTGGAATACAACTGAATCAAAATGTTTGAGTGTGCTGGTATCAGGTGGCAACAGCCATATAGATTGTGTATAAGCTGTTTCACAGCCAGTTATCTCTATGATAAGAGGTTTGAAATTAAGACGTTTTTAAGCAGTCATACTTTGATAAGAGGTCCATTTTCTCACGTACCCATACTGATTGCTTTGTAGCTCATCGTCCAGTGCGGGTCTATGCTGATGGAATCTTTGATCTTTTCCACTCTGGACATGCTCGGGCGCTGATGCAGGCCAAAAATGTTTTCCCCAACACTCACCTGATAGTAGGAGGTGAAGTATGAATCTCACTCTCAGTCCTTACAGTGTAAGACTGTTTTGTGTACATAACAGCTACAAGGTACAGTACAAGGTACATATAAACACTGCAGTCATAAGCTTACTTTTCCTTTTTAAATTTCCTCAATTATATTCACTACAATGCAAAAAAAAAAACATTTCTGTGTCACTAGTTTGCAGTGATGAACTGACTCACAAGTTCAAGGGTTACACGGTGATGACGGAGGATGAGCGATACGACGCCCTGAGGCACTGCCGCTATGTGGACGAGGTGGTGCGGGATGCTCCCTGGAGCCTCACTCCCGAGTTCCTAAAGAAACATAAGGTCAAAGATCGCTCTGTCACTGGACACATTTCCTCTTATTGTGTCATATAATAAACAAAAGTGGAAAAACATGTGCAGGAGCATAAGCCTGATCCCTCTCATCTTACACAGATTGACTTTGTGGCTCACGATGATATCCCTTACACCTCTGCGGGATCAGACGATGTTTATAAGCACATCAAGGAAGCAGGTAAGGATAAACCCCCAGAATATTTATTTTTGCTAGTTCTTTTATCAAGGAAACAACCAATACTACAACTACTACTACAACTACTACTACTACTAATAATAATAGTAATAATAGTAGTAATAATCCTCCTCCTACTCCTCCTCCTCCTCCTCCTCATCATCATCATCATCATGATTATCATCATATGTATCAATCTCAGGAATGTTTGTGGCTACTCAGAGGACAGAGGGAATCTCCACATCTGATTTAATCACTCGTATAGTCCGAGACTACGACGTCTATGTTCGACGAAACTTGCAGAGAGGCTACACGGCCCGTGAACTAAATGTTGGATTCCTGAAGGTAAAACATTTTTCAAGCTAAAAAAAAAGAGAAAAATGAAGAAGAGAAGTACACAAAGTTTACCTTGTCTGTCCTGACAGGAGAATAAATATCGGCTGCAGAATCAGGTGGACAAGATGAAAGAGACGGTTCGAACGGTGGAGGAAAAGTCCAAACAATTAGTCTACAGGGTGGAGGAAAAGAGTCAGGATCTCATCCACAAGTGGGAGGAGAAGTCACGAGAATTCATTGGCAACTTCCTGGAGCTTTTTGGACCTGATGGAGCATGGGCAAGTTCATTTTCATAAATATAAAATGCAGAGAGAAGTAAAAGAGGAAAGCTCTGAAAGTTGATTTAGTCTCTGTGGTCTCAGCTGGAAAAGGCCTCGAGCTCAAAACACCTTATTTAAGCCAACCTACAATCACAGCTTGACTTAACAGACAAACACATTTGGCAGCTGTTCTTGGTCACATCGAAATGTAGACAGAAAATGCAGAGTCAAGTGATTTCAGAACAGGGTATTCCATAAAAGGGTAAAGAAATGTCTCCATTGCATGCAAATCTAGCAAAGAATCCTTACATATTTTAGTATTGTAACAGTTTTGTTTTAGATGAGTGGATTTATAACTGGTTAACAGACTGAAATATCCCCAGGAAAGACAAGAACCAGGAAGACCACTAACTTCCACAATCTTTCTTGACGCACAAAACCTGTAAATGAGAGCGAGCCGGAATGATATTTGGTGACACACTCTGTGCAATGTAAAAAAAACAGCAACGTATTACAAACCACCAAGTGTTCTATCTCTGTCTTTCTTCAGCATGCAATTCAGGAGCGCAGCGGGCGGATGATTCAGGCGCTCTCACCTTACTCGTCACCCCGTGGCTCCCCCAGCAGCAGTCCCACCAGAGGACGCTCCTCCTCTGCCGACTCCCACCCCCCCTCAGCTCCCGCCTCTCCCACTTCTGCCGTGTCAGCCCCATCCTCACCCAAAAAGCGGACGCGTTCCTCTCACAAAAGAGCCTTTGCTCAGAATGGACATGTATAAAAAGCTTCTCATGCTTTGAACATCTTTATTTCTCTCTTCTCATGCTTATAAGTAGGTAGGTAACCTGCCAGAAAAGCAATGCCTGGCTGGACTATACATTTTAATGATCCTGTAAAAATGTAGCTCTTTAATTTATTATTGGTATCTTTAGGTAATAGTGGGATATCGGGATGTACATAATGTGTATTGGTAAAAAGAAAATGAAAATAAATTAAATTTATCCATCCATCCATTTTCTGAACCGTTTATTCCCTAATGGTGTCGCGGGGGGACTGGAGCTTAACCCGGTAGTCGATGGGCAAGAGGCAGGGTACTGGGTCTGCCAGTCCACTGCAGGGCCACACAGAGATGAACAACTACCCACACTCACTCATTTGGAATGTCCAATCAACCAAACCAAGTTTTTGGATTTTGGGAGGAAACCAGAGAACCCGGAGAGAACCCATGCATACAAATTCCATACAGAAAGTTCTTGGTTCCCCTGGGGATTTGAACCCAGATCCCTCTTGCTGTGAGGCGATGGTGCTGAACCACCACCTCTAAATTCAATTTATCTTGAATACTATTATGTCCTTTGAAATTCCTGCCATATATGTTTTACATATGAACATTGTGTGATCGACTTCAGTGCGTAGTTGCTAAACAAAGACAAGAATTTTGTTAAAAGAGAGATTTTCCCCCCACGATAGGAAGAAAACACAGAGCTAAGATCATGTTAAGATCATGAAAGTATAATATTAACAATTGATGGAAGCTAAACCTGCTCTAGCAATATTCAAGTGGGTTGGTCTTGACTCAGAATCCTTTCTGAGCCAAACTGATGGGTCATGTAAAGTGACTGAGCTCAGGATCATGACGTCTATGGGAAATGTTCTGTAGAAGTTGATGACAGACCCTGTACTGGCTTGTGAAAAGCTGGAGGAGGTGGAAGAAGAGAGGGAGGTCTGGGGGATGCAGATGCTTTCCCCCATGCACCAGTCTTGGACGTGTACCATACAATAAGAGTATCATGAATGTTGCAAAGAAAAACATTTTAACAGTAACACATTTTTCTTTCCATGCTAGATCTTTTAATTTCTTGCTTTTCCTGATCTGATATCATAAATTGAAAAATTCACAATATTTCAAACACTATACATACTATACGGTTTCTGAAAAAAGAAATGCCTTATCACCTTATTTTCATTTTACGCTTAAGTTACCTTAATATCACCTAAATACATTTTTCCTTTTCTATTTTGAATGTTTGATACTTCAGAGAAAGTGGTGACGTTGGCTGAGAATCTCAGAGAAGAACTCTTAAGATGTAGGGACTCATAAGTTACGAGCTTTATCATTTGTTTTTGGCATCTTCTTTCTAGAAATTAAAATTGTGCTGTAAAAGACAAATCGAGGAACTGAATTAACTATAACAGCAATCAAATGTATACAACAAGTAATAGATCCAGTTAAAGTTGCATTACTAACACTGTCTTAAAACTATCATAATATCTGGCTTTTGCGACAAAAGTGTGCACTCTGCTGGACATCAGAAAGAATACAAATCTTCAGCTTTAACTTATCTTTTGTTTTTCACGTGGTCTAGTATATCTACCAAAAAAAGGGCAGGCAAGCAAATTAGTTAAAGATTCCAGATGTGGGCCAAAATTGAAAACGGGACCTTTATTTGTTAAATGACCAAAAGAGTAACTCAGAATTCATATAAACTAGACTTACTCTGCCCGAAAATGGTTTTTGTTCAGTGAATGCAATGCCCTTCCGTAAGTAAAGTTGTTTGGATTATTAAGTAAAACTGTGAGAGGATATAATTTCCCACTTGGTAAACATAGCTGTAAATTATTTGTGGAGCCAAATGTCGTAAAGTGTGTTATTTCACTGCTAATAGTAGAGCTGAATGAATGGTCAATAATTCTTAATTTGATTTGTTTTGAGCCAAAACATATATATACTGAGGAGATGAATGTGAGAACAGCACACCTGACATATAGAGTAACCTGTATGCTTCACAACATCTTCGCATGAGGTGGAGGGACTCATCTTGGTCCTTGTTGTATCTTTGGCTCAATCCTTTAAAACCAAAGGTATGACGTCACCGTCAGCTAATGTCCAACACGGATTAAAGATGGCGCCCTCTCACGCGCTGAGGTGCTGTAAACGGGCTCTCAACTGGGTACCTGTTCTGTTTATTAACCTGGTTGTCGGCTGGTCCTATTACGCTTACGTTGTGGAACTCTGTGTGTGTAAGTACTCTCATTTTTTGTTTTTTTTCCGGAAGAATTGCGCTGACTTGGTATGTAAATCTGCTCGTATGGACAGTTTCTGGGTTGTCAACTTTGATCAGCTGGTTGGAGTAGATTTAAAATCAAGCTGCATACTCCGCTGGTTTGAAAAATAAATGTAAGATATACACTAACAACTTGACCCTTTCTGTTTAGATAGTTTATTACAATTCATGCTGTCCCTGATAGCAGCAGCATGTAAAACATCTGTTCAACCAGCAACTTTGAATTGATCATTTATCAAGTGTAGAAATAGTTATTTATTGATATTAAAGACGAAAGTGAACTGTCTTAGGTTTGTGTTTGTTGGCTTTAACAGTGTTGTGTTGATACTGTATATCAGTTGTTTTAATTGTTTTATTCTGACTTTTTCTTATCTTTTTTTGTCATAAGGTTTTCTCTACTATTTTTTTTCCTTGCAGGTTCTGTGTAAACACTATGTATTCATCTGTAATGTATGTTCTATCATCTTTATATTAATATAGTCTTTTTTGCACAGTGTGTTTAAATGTTTTACATGCATGATCTGGTTCACTTGTCATAGCTGATTAAAGCTGCTGTTGATGTGAGATGACGTGCCCTCCTTCCATAAAAGGAGCTTTTTTCTAGATTGCCTCAGGTTTGAGCTGATGTTACTGGACATCTTCAGTGTAGTCTGTAAGTCAGCGGCCGTGCTCAGGACAGGGACATCCCTGCTGCTTAAACAAAGCTCTCTGTTATGGGTGGGCCACTGCTGGCCGTGCCAGGCTGCTGCCACATGGTACCAGAGAGGGGGAGATGTATTCATGCATTCTAATGGCATTCATTCACACTCACTAATCTATATGCCTTTTTTCCCCTTCCTCATAGATACAATCCCAAATAATGCAGAACGAAGTAAGTGCTGCGTTATGTAAACAATATCCATATTTCCGTTTTAAAATGTGCTCAGTTTCTCTCATGTTTTTGGAAGACTACCCCAACTCAATTTTTTTTTCTTCAACAGTCAGCTACTTGGTCTTCTTCCACATTTTCTTCGGAATGTTTATATGGTCATACTGGAAAACCATCTGGTCCAAACCAGCCAGCCCCTCTGCAGCAGTAAGCCTGTGCTGTATTTCTAGTGCAAAAACAGCTATGTTGAATTTATCAGAATGGCTTTCCCTGACTCCTCTCTCCTCTCCTCCTGTCAGTTTGCTCTGCCCAGAGCAGAGAAGGAGCTGTTTGAGAAGGAGCAGCGGGCCGAGGTGCAGCAGGAGATTCTGAAGAAAGTGGCAAGGAATCTACCCGTGTACACGCGCACGGCTGGAGGAGGTCAGGCTTACGCTGCAGTAGCAGAAGTGTCTGTGGTTGGCTTATTTCTTGTACTCCCTATAGAGGTTTTGTCACAGACCTCAAGGGTAAACTCTGTTTACCAACCTCTGTGAATAGAGGAAGGAAGCACACATGCTGCTGTCATCACTCAGACCGTGTTTGTCACACATACAGTTGCAGAAATGTGTTGCTCGCTGTTATTGCCTTCGTGTTTTGGATCAGGTGACGCTGCATAAGGTGTTTCTTTGTTGTTAAGTGTTAATTGGACATGGGTGCATCTTCTTTTCTCGGCTGGCTGTCTTTTTACTTACCAACAAGTGTAATGTGATGTGTTTAAGAATAGAAGGCATAAGCAATGACACTGTGTGGCATTTATTAGATTTAGACTTAATAAAATTCAATTTAATTAACTTTATCAGTCCCTGTAGGGACACAAGATTTAGATGGTCAATTTGTGACTTGAAAATTTAATTGAGGATGTATTTATGAATAAGGCATACTCTTTATTTTTGGTGTCAAAACAATTATTTTGTTCAAACATCAGCGTCCTTACACATGGTGACGTTTTCTGCTCTCATTTTTCCCAAAATAGCCATCCGATATTGCGACTACTGCCAAGTAATCAAACCTGACCGCTGCCATCACTGCTCAACCTGTGAAATGTGAGTGCTGTCCATTACAGTGTGTTGTTAAGAGAGACCACTTTGCTTTCTTTTTGGGTTTCTTCCTCCCAGTGAGATGTTGAAACATAACTTCCTCCTACCTTTTAACAGCCACATTATTTATTATGAATAAAATTGACAGAAAAGTTTGCGTTGGACCTGATGCGTTGTTACAATATTTTATCTTGATAAGACATAATAATATATATATTTAGTATATAGATACACAAAATAAATGATTGACTGGAATTGTCATTGTGCAGGTGTGTTCTGAAAATGGACCACCACTGCCCCTGGTGAGTTATTCCTGTTTAATGCAGCATGTCAACTGCTCTGTGTACAGTTTTGTTCTACAGTCACCATTTTTATGGTATGATTATTGAATACACATTGTAAAGAGATATGTATATTTTTATATAGCTCATTTGTCTTATTTTTCCTGCTAGGGTGAATAATTGTGTGGGATTCTCAAACTACAAATACTTTGTCCTGTTCCTGGCCTACGCCACACTCTACTGTGTAGTAATATGTGCGACTGTCATCAAGTATTTCATCAAGTTTTGGACAGTAAGTACATTCGCTCTCTCTGTATATGCAGCATTCTTATCGGCCACAACAGATTGCATGCTGAGATGTGGACAGCCAGTGTCACTGGGATGCACGGGTGTGTCTCCAGTGACCCTCCACAGCCTCCCGCTGTGCTCAACACAATGGCTCATGTAGCAGCAGTGAAGTTGTAAAGTGTGCTTTAACAAAACATGCAGAAACAATCATGTTTTCACTCGACTTGTCTCGTGTGAAGAAGAGCTGTTGTGCCAGAGCAACTAAGTGGAGAGGAAAAAAATGTCCTTTTAATCAGACTGAGTCATTTGGGAAGATTAATTGAGAGGGGATCAGAGTACATTTTTACAGAATGACAAGGCTTACACTGTTATTTCTTCCTGTTTTTGTTTTTTTTCTGTCTCCGCTCTTAAGAAACAACTGCCTGACACGCATGCCAAATTCCACATATTGTTTCTGTTTTTCGTGGCGGCCCTGTTTTTTATCAGCATAGTTTCGCTTCTCAGCTACCACCTGTGGCTTGTGGGAAAGAACAGGACCACTATCGGTAAGTATGGAACATCATGAACGCTGGTAAAGAATCGTGTACTTTTGCAGTTGTCACTGCATTCTTTTTTCAATTCTCTCTCCAGAGGCTTTTCGAGCTCCCGTCTTCGTGAATGGTCCCGACAAGAATGGGTTTTCCCTTGGATTTAGCCGGAATGTGGTTGATGTATTTGGAGACCAAGCAAAGTACTGGATTTTTCCTGTTTTCTCAGGGTGAGACAAATATTGTGTTGTAACTGCATTTACTCCTTATTTAAGTAATCACAGTGAATTACATTAACAAATGAACTGGGTGTGCAGCTGCATTTCTGAACAGAATTTCTGGTAGATTAGCTTGCTGGTAACTCCTCTGGACTCCTGAAAGTGAAAGTAACCATAAATCAAAGTAATGCTTAGTTGTTGACTTGTGGTTTTATTTTTTTTCCAGTCAAGGAGATGGACATTCTTTTGTTACCAGACTGGTTCACATAGACCCTGAGCATGCAAACAGCATCCTCCAGCAGAATGGCAAAATGCAAGAATTTTCTCTTTATTAAAACGAAAAATAAGGATATTCAGTATTGATTTTTGTTTTTGTATCATTCTTTGCTAATCTGTAGTTAATTTAATTACAGCCCAGCGGATGCAGAGCCTAAACCGTGTGCTGATGGTAGTGATGTGAAGCGCGCAGAGAGCAACAGTATAGAGAAAACTGGTGTGTTTTTATTTCAGCCAATTTGTCTTTTTTTTGAGCTGGGATCTTTCTCCTGAAAATGAACATTCCGTCAATCAAAACAATTCTTTTTTTACACCATCTCCTTCTAGACGGAGGCCAGACTGTGGCTGTGACGGTAGACAGTGAGCCCTAGGCGGTATGTGGATGTGATTTTCGAGGCGTTGCTGGTTTGTCTTTCTTGTGTGCTTACATTGGCTTTGTTTGCTCTCACTGCAGGACACGTGCACATCTGCAAAGACCTCTGCTATAATGCCTTAAACCAGGAGCATGGGGACCTCCACAAGAGCCATCCTCCGCCCTCATTAAGAGTTTAAGCACAGCCTCAAACCACGTGCTAATTGCAGGTTTTGTGCAAGGTAAAAGGACCATCCCCAGCACCACCACAGTACTGCTGTCTGCACAACAGAGACACTACAGCCACCTCATAGACTGCACCAGTCTGGAGCAGAGGTGACTTAGGATCCTGTCTTTGTTGATTGCCAAAGACATTTCGAAAAATAATATTTATTATGACTGCACGTGAAAATCTCTGGGAGCATGTGTTTATCTTTATTGTCTGTTTATCTGTGCAAATTAATCAATGTAACACCTTTGAACTAGGAATTCATTCTTTGTCAGTGTTAATCAAAAATTTTTGGAACTAAATCTTGAATCTCGATTATGCTTGTAGAACCACTAGAGCAACATTTCTACAGTCAGACAGTTTGAGACTGCAATATGTCACCTTTCAGCTTATCAACATAAAAGGTAACAAAATCAAATTGCCTCAGATTCAGTTTAAATTTGTTTGTTTAAAAATATTTAATGATTTCTGTTTACAATTTTTCAGTCACCAGTTATTTTACTTGATTGTTTTTTGTATTGGTATTTCTATGATGGGTAAACATACAAATCATATAAGCTTAAAACACGAGGACCAAAGGTTACAAATGGTTTACTATTAAATAATTTAGAGAAATAACCAAAAAAGCATCTGTGATGCATCAATGAGAATTGTTCCTATTTTTATTTATTATTCTATAGACTTTTGCATTTGTTTTGGTTATTTTGTAATGCCAACATTATTTGTTTGAAATATTCCGAATCAAACTCTTTGAAGATGAAGTCCCAAAGGTCAGTGGCATTTGTTCTGCTGTATCCTTGAACCTAAACCAGGATAGATAAGGAGAGATTTTTATTCCATATGTGTGGGTGTCATTATGGTCCTCTCTGCACCGATTTCATTATTTTACACGCCTTTTAGTGGACATATTCACAGCCTGTTGTGGGGGTGGCTTGGGCGATCAGATAACAGTTATGTGAAGACTGGTAGCTGATGTGAATGTACTCACAGTGGTTTAATAACTAACTGCACTGACTGAGCTATGCTTAATGCACAACCAGGCAGCTTCAGCTGCTAATATAGTAGAATTTGTAAATAACTGCTTTTTTATTGAAAATTTGGATATGCTGGTTTATCCCGATTGGTCTGTAACAATAAATATCATGTATAAAACTACAAGGTGTTTATTTGTGTGTGTTTGTCTTTTCTGAAATACTGTTAGGTTTTGAGAAAAAAAAGGAATTTATAATAGACATAACTGCATTTAGGAGGATTAAGATCCACATTCCCATTTTTTTCCCCTGTTTAATGTCACACAAAATAAGCAAGTGACAACAGGAAAAAATGACATTTTATTCACATGCAACAAATTTACATGATAAGTTTGATTTAAATTTGTTCTGAATATCCACCAAACCCTGACAGGTTGAGGATGAGAAAGGGACCTTGACAAAACATGCTGGTAAAAAAAAAAGTTATTTGATGACATTTTACACAGAATTATAATATATCTAACTATCACCCAAATACATATTTGCAAAAGACTGAACGTCTCCTGACAGAGTGTGACGGAGAGAGCTGTAGTCAACATCTCCAGAGATCAACATTAATTGGAGTGTTTGGGTTGAAGCTTGGCAACAACTAAGGCAATGATGTCAAATAAGTATCAGCACGTAGCTTGTGAACTCTCTCAGTAGACAGTGTGGATGGAAACTCAGAGTAATACATTACTATCCAGAGTGCAAACATCATTTTTTATAATTTTTCTTCCTTAATTTTAGCCGCTCTGTGCTGTCTCTGTCTGCCCAGAGGGTCAGAAACCTGGTATAAATTATTGGAGTGTCTATTGGTTATATGATGGCATACTTAATCTAAGAGTCTGTTTATCTTACTTTGAAAAAAATTAATTTAGATGTAAAGCTGTAGTGTTACAGTCTTTGAATATTTGTGCAGTGGTGACCTGCACTCATATTGTTTTAATTATTGTAATTTGTCCGACTTTCTTCCCTCTATTGCAACTATCTGCATGCTTAACTATTTTCTATAAAAACAACTAGATGTCCATTTAGCTTTGGCCTTAGCCGTCGCTACCTATGATTTAACATCAACTGATGGGTGGAGGTTAGTGTAAATGCCATTTTTTTTTTATATCTGCTTAATCCAGTCATCGGTCATAAACCTATTCCAGGAAGTTTAAGTAGTAATTGGAACTTTAGATATAGCACCATCATCTCAGTCATAGCAGTGATTTTACAGCACTATTTTAGCTCACAGCACAGCTGCCTATACTGTAAGCACACATTCAAAAGATCTACAAGAACTAGTCAACTTTTTTATAGTCTAAAGACCTGAAGCGTTTGGGTTACTGAGAAAAACACACTGTATGTGACTAACAAGGTTTAAAGAGATGATATCATAGTCTAAAAAAACTACACCTTCACCAAGAAAAGATGTAAGTACAGTTGCGTACAAAATTCTTGAAAGATCGGAGCAGATTTTCTTTGATTAAGTAATTATAGTTGGCTGAGAACAGGATTAGAGCGTTAATAGCCAGAGAAGTTCAATGACCTCAGTGCCATTCACTCTCTTTTCAATAATAATGATAAAGATCTAGGAGTTACAATATCCCGCTGTGCTTGAAACCTTTGACCCCATTATGGTTCATAAATTCCTTACAAAGAATGATCCAGGAATGACTGAGTTTGTTTGCATGTACTGTATCAAGTGTAAAAGGTTAAGGTCATTATATTTCATACTTCATATTTCGTCAGTCTTTGATCTGAGAGTTGGTACCTTACTTGCCGCTCAACCATTGATCGTTTGTACTTAAGAGGGGTTGCTGCCATTACAATTAAATGTAACAATACAACGCAATAGAATGTATTTGTAGTGTTTACATGCTCATATTCATCGGGAAATAAATAGTGCTGTTTGAAATCTACTTCTTGCTCCTTGGGCCATCAAAATGAATGAACCTAGTGTAAGTTGCTTTGGAGGAAGTTTTTTTATAAATCAAGTGTTTAGTATTGATATTGAGTCGTAAAAGATATCCCTCAGTTCTAGCTTAGAGGTAATTCCTTTATCTTTTCATAGTTTTTTATATGGACGGGAAACGAAACAACACACCCTATCAAAGTTCACCTCTCCGACACACACATCGTGTTACCCTTCCAACAAAATTTCTGACCTTGGTCTTTCTTTAAGTAGTATGACTTAAGTCTGTGAATGAATGAGCAACCGTTAACGTGTGTCCTCGTAAACCTGAAAGCTGTAGGTCATCTCTTATCCCACCTTCATTCCATTGGAGTCGTCTTCAGTGTGAAGTGCGCTCGCAGTAGAATCTGCCACTTAAATCCAGCGGGAGACACTGCAATGTTAAGAGGTAGGATGTCCATTTAGATCTTATTCATTTTCACTGAAGACTAACACATTTTTAAATTGTAGTTTACTAGTGAATTTAAAAAAATGGAAGATCAGCTCGTGATGGAGGAAATGTACAACGGCACCATTGATCCGGCTTGTTTACAAGAGCCTCCGCTGGCTCTTGATGTGATAAAGCGTAAGTGACCCACATCTCTCCATCCTCCTTACTGATAAAGTTTCCTTATCAAACAGTTTGAGCTAATGGTGTTTATTATATTAACTTCCTTCTCCCTGTTTCCATGCTGGTGTTATCAGAGCTGGATGTGTTTGGAATTTGCCTCTACTCCATGCTCACCTTCATGGCCTGTGTGTCCCTCCTGTTGTACCTGGAGCAGTGTGTCTACATTTATAAAAAAATGCAGTATCCCAAGAAGACGACGCTCATTTGGATCAGTGGGGCTGCACCAGTAAGCATTCAGGCTGTTCAGAATGAGTAAAAGCTAAATTAGATCTTACTGAGGCTGGGAGAAAAAAACACAATATATAAATACAACATTAAGAAATTAATATAATGCAGCTACATATTTGTGCACAAAATTTGATTTCTCTGTTTTAGGTAATCTCCACCATGGCTTGTTTTGGTATGTGGATTCCTCGGGCTGTCATGATCACAGACATGACATCTAACTGGTGAGTATTCTTTACACGACACCTGTATCAATGTGAAAACAAAGTATTTCCCCATCTATGTCAGTATTCTGGTTTATATTTACTGTCTTGAAGCTGACTTGTTACCAGAAGCTGAGGCCTAGTCTGCACTAATACCATTTCCACTGTTATCTAGTTCGACATAACTTCTTTTTCACCTTTTTGTATAACCACAAAAAAAGAGACTCTGAGGAAAACGTGCTTAACATTTACATGCAAATGGTTTGTGCCTATGAGAACATCCGAATCAGCTAAATGATCGGATTATAAAAAGTATTAAATGCGACAAACCTTGAAAACCATGTGGAACTTCACAATGAGGATTATTGTATAGTTTTACTACTTGATGAATCATTACACATTCACAGTTTAAAGCTCAAGCTACAGAGAAACGGAAAGCTCTTTCAAACTAGTCCAAAACTAATCCTCATAGAAACAGGTGACATACATTTATCCTGTTTATATCCAAATAAATAATGAATCCTTACCTTGAGGTACTTCCAAATGCTCTCTAACAATCAAGTTTTCAGTTGGATTACTGTCCATTGGGAGTTTGGCACTGCAGCACTTGTTGTTACCACCTTACTGAAACTCTTCACCACTCTCTCATGCATCACCTCTACAGCTGTAACACGGCCAAGATTTCCCTCCCATGTACTGCCACCATTACATGTATTACTTTCAATCCCTTCCACAATACTCAATCTTTTTTTACTTTGCTGTTCCATAACCCTTTTTCTTCCTTTAGGACCCCGATGGAGCTTTGCTTTTAACATTCATATTGTGTTTTGATTTGTGTGCTATTCCTTTAACATAAAAGACTAATTTATGTAAACTATTATATTGATTTTATGGATTTGACGGAAGGGGTATGCTTTTATGTCATAGCTGTTCTTAATCTTATTTATTTGTCTATATGTATATATATCCAAATTTGCCCAAAAACAATTAAATTTCACCTTCACTAACTGGGCTGAAATTCACGTTCTGTGAAAGACTGGATTTAATCATCCATTCATTCACTGTATTTTTATCAGCTTGATTCTCATTCGTCAGTGGCTGGTGTGTTTAGTTCAGGTCACATTTAAATATTGTTTGTGATTCTTTTGGTGGGTATTGTGCACTTCTTTTAAATGATCTTGCCTTCTCCTTGTAGTTACTTTGCAGTTGTGGTGTACAAGGTCTTGGTTCTGTTAATCGAGGAGCTGGGAGGCAGCAGCGCCTTTCTGGAACGGTTTTCTGGTAAAACCTTTAGGATCAACACGGGACCCTGTTGCTGCTGCTGCCCTTGTTTATGCAGAGTGGCAGTTTCACGGTACCTCTTTCTATAAATACGTCCTGTTTTCATTACTGCTTGCCATCTGTGATTTTTCTGTTGCTTTCTCTCTCTGTATTTCTATACTGACACCACATTGTGTGAAGACTGTGTAAACTCATGCTTTATTTTCTCTGTGTGGATATTATTCAGACGCCTGTTGTTCCTGTTGAAGTTAGGCGCTCTGCAGTACGCCATCCTGAAAACAGCACTCTCCGTCCTTTCAATAATACTCTGGACAAATGGAAACTTTGATCTGGCTGATGTAAGTGTTTGAAATGGGTTTATCCACATTTGATTGCGAAAAATTAAATAAGCACAATAGAAAAATTCATTTTTTTGCTCATTTGTAGTTGGAGATAACTGGCACAGCGATTTGGATCAACCCTTTCATCGGTGTTCTCACGATCACCTCCCTTTGGCCTGTTGCTATAGTTTTCATGAATGTCAACAGCTTTCTGCGCAGTCTCAACATTGTACCCAAGTATGCCATGTACCAAGTGAGTAATACCATGCTTGAGGAAAAAAAGAAAAAAAAACACTCTTAAACACACTCATATAAGGTGCAGTGTCAGTTTAGGAAATAATGTAAATTGGAGTGTTTATTATTTTTCATATTTGATAAGTGGAATATCATGCTGAGCCCAGAAAACCTCCTCCTCCAACATATGATTTAGGGTTGAAACACTGTGAATATTTAACTGCATGCTGCAAGATCTAAAAAAGGTCATGCTATTGATGGGCATCTGAAAAGAGAGAGGATTGATCTGTAATCCCACACTGTTTGATGTTGTTTTCGTTCAGCTTCTACCAATTGTCTCAACTGCTTTCAGCTCGTACTTGTACTGAGCCAGCTGCAGACATCGATCATCAACATCCTGTCTTTGGACGGAACCATCGCTTGTTCCCCTCCCTTCTCCTCTCAGGCTCGCGGATCCAGTAAGAAACAACTCTCAGAGCATGTGCTTTTGACATGCGAGCTGAAATGGTTGAGCCTCACGTTTTTGTTCTTGTGTGTCTTTCCTGCAGTGTTGAGTCAGCAGATCATGATTATGGAGATGTTCATCATCTGTCTGTTCAGTCGACGTTTGTACCGTCGGACATATGACCCACTTCCAACTGAGGAACATGACAATGAACTCAACAATAAGGCGGTCCTGCAGGCTGCACTCACTGAGCATGATGTTTAAAGAAATAAGACAGACGGCATCAACATTGCTCTGTAACAGATGTTTGATATTTTCTATGGCAAGGGGTTCATTGAATATTCAAACTTTGGTTTTATATGATACTGTACCTCATTTTGTCCCTCTGCAGAAAGGCAGGCAACAACATTAATCTGATTTCTGCTTGGTCTGCTTGGTTAGTTGGTGTGTTCTTGGAATCTGTTTAATGCGACCCACAACTGTAGTTTTTTTTCTGTGTTCTTCTTTCTGTCCCATTGTATCTTCAGGAGAGGAACATAACTGGGTAAAAAGCAGGTTTATGTTAGCCTAGAAAAGACAGCAAGAACACCTATTTATTTACAGCAATTTGACTCTTTGTATGTTTGTATAGGAAATATTAATGTGACTCAATTTTTTTTTAATTTAGTAAAGATGGAAATAAACAACATCAATGTATTCTCTAATTGTCTCTTTATTAATAACAGTATATCTATAAACCGATCTAGGAGCATCTTTTATCACAATCATGTTTTAGACTATCCCCTAAACAATAGCTCATGGTCTCTGTAAAATCAGGGCAATGTGTTTTAAAACATTTTGAGCCTTTATGACAGCATTGTTACATGTACTACTGTGTCTTAGCAATGCCTGGTAAAACAGGAAGAGTTTTTTCAAGTGCTGCTGACCCACTTAAAACGACTTATTAGGGCTGCGTGATGCATGTGGATGAGACAGCAGCTTTATTTTGAGACTGTCCTTTTTTTTTTTTACAAATCTGTGCCACATGCTTTTCTAAACACAGCCACATGAGGCCATACTTGTTCCATCTTAAAATTGCATCCGTCGTTTGGTAAGTGAAATGAAGAAAAATAAACAAAAACCAGTTGTCAATTCTCAGTTTACATGATTAATAAATGACATTAAAAGAAGACAAACCTGCTAATGTTATTAAGAAAAATAAACATTATTTAATGAAATGACATTAGTATTATGAATAAGGACTACACCCAACTGACAGGAGTTCACCTTTGATGTAGCCAAAACAAAGCAATCTCTTAATTTATGTATAATGATTAGATTTTTATAGGGGGTTATATTCTTCATTATTCATTCTTCTTTATGGAGTTCATGAAAAATTAAATTGCTCATTGTAAAGATGAGCAATTCCCCCTTCAAATATACAAATATATAACCATACTCAATTTAAAAGTTAGAAAGAAAATACACACGTATTGAAACTGGTTTTGTTTGATTACTAATTATGTATAAGATTTAATGTTATTAGTTTACCCTTTTTGTGAAAATGACTACAAACTGCAATTTTATTCCAGCCTACTGGAATGAGTGAAAAAGTATGATGCTGCATTAAATCAGAAGTAGAACAAGATTTTCTTTCAGGCTTAACATAAAAAAAACTGCAATAATCTGGATTAAATGTTTATGAGAAGCCAGATCATTCAGAATTCAAATTTGAACTTATTAATGGAGCATTTGTCTTTGCCGTTTATGTAAACACAGTCATCAGACAGAGAGGAAGAGAAAGCTGTGGTCAGGGTGGCTTGATGACAGCCCCTGGCTCTGCATTGCTGACGAAAGCTGCTTAGCCCCTCAGTTGCTATGGCAACCAGGGAGAGCAGCCAGACAAAAAAAGAAAAAAGAAACAGAGGCAAAGGGGAGGGGCTTTCCAGGGATACATAGAGGAGAAAGGGCTGGATGGGTAAGATAGGCAGAGGGAGGGATACAGGGAACTGATAAAGAAACGCACTTGGAGCAGAAGAGGTAGAACGCATAAAGCTTTGGATATAAATGCTCCATCCACGAGCTTTGGAATAATAACTGCAACAAGACACAAAAGGATACAGAAGAAGGGAGGATTACAGAAAAGATGGATGTACAAACGGAAAACATGGACCCCCCGCCAAGTGAATCGCAGCCAAGTGGAAAAATCAGAAAAGGATTCAAGCTGTTTGGCAAACGCAAGCCGGGTAACATTTTTTCTATTCGAAGCAAAGGAGATGGAAACAACAAGTCACCTGTTATCAAAAGCAAGACCTCGGATGGATTATCTGATTCTCCTGCACCAGATTTGGAGCAGGAGCCAGACGAGGAGAAGGGACAGGAGGCGAGTCAAGGAGAGATGGAGCAGGCGGGAGATGAGATAGTTGGTGAAGATGGTGTTCTGGCTGCCGCTCCTGCTCGCATGTCCTTCTCCTCAGTGAGCTCGGCTAAGTCCCTCGGCTTCCTTTCACTGCTGAGGGGTGGCCGAAAGGGAACGGGGGACCGGAGGGTGCACACTGTTTCTCAGCCAGTGGGTCGCCAGCGTCGTGGGCTGAAAGGCCTTTTTGGAAATGTTAAGCTCCGATCGAAAGATAAAGAGGACAAAGAGGAAACACCTCCAAGCCCACTTCTTATGTCATCCCGAGCCAACAGTGTGGAAATCATAAAAGAGGACCTCACGCTCACTCCTAAATGCCAGCCTCGCTCACCGGTCAGCCCTGAGACAGAGAGCTGTGAGCAGGTCAAGAGCTCCACAACTCACGACGGCTCATCCACGTCCTCGTCAGAGAAAGCAGCCAATGTGAGTACAAGTAATGAGCATGGGCCTCCTGTGCCCACCTGTGAGTCACCACTGGTGCCCGGCGATAAGAGCCTAAGCTCCCTGCTGGCAGACATCTCCTCTCTACTGACCTTTGACTCAATATCAGGGGGTGGAGACATCATGGCTGATGTGGAAGCAGAATGGGGAAAGGCCAGTAATGCTATTAGTACTGTGGTAACGGATGTGGCTCCATCATCAACTTCTCTCTTCTCCAAATCTACCATCTCCTCTCCACCATTCTCCACAGCTGTCAGCACTACTGCTACAGCGAAACCATTCTCTGTAGCTGTCCCTTCCTACAACATTACCAAGGCTAGCGCCCCTCTCTCATCATTCACCACATCTTCCACTCTGTCTTCTCCATCAGTCAAACTGAGTTCAGACCCTTCTCCAGCCTTTAATGGTTCAACCAGCATTAAAGTGAATCTAACCCCTGCTCCCACCGCAGCAAAGCCCTCAACTACTCCTGTTACTTTAACAAGCTTTTCAGCCCCAGTGATGTCCTCTGGTGTAAAGACAATTCAGTCCACACTGAGCTGCACTTCTACTACTACCAAAGCTCCTACAGAGACACCACCTACTTTGGTCAAGGCTACATCAGTTACCCCAACTGTTACCTCTTCAGCTGGCAAACTGGCTTCCGAGGGCATAATGTCTCCCAATATTGCTTCTGTAAGTAAACCTTATCCCGTTGCTTCTTTACCTCCTGTGACAGCTAAGCCAGTGACCCACAGCCCAGTCATTCCTGCTACAGAACCTTTTGTTAAACTGAATTCAATTAGTATTGTCAATCAGCAAAATACAGCTTCACACAAAGCCCCTCAAAGTCAAAGCTTATCTGCAGAAGACTCTAAAGCCCCTGTTTTACTTTCGACGACTGCTACAGGTACAACTAAGCCTTCCATTATGACAACGGTTAGTTCCTCCAAGACAACAACGGTGCCTCAGTCAACTACAACCCCAGGCTCGGTATCTATGGCCCTTTCAACTTCTGTCTTCCCCCCTACTACAACAAACCTAAATAAACCCCCTCACTCACTCATAACAGTTTCAGATCCGGGCACTTCTTCAGCCTCAACTGCCACAAACAAAACCCAACCCAGCCCGACATCTGTTTCAACCCCATTTTTGCCTTCTTTAGATAAGACTCCTCCCATGACTAAATCTACTCCAGCACCAGTCTTTTTAGAAAAGATGCCATCTACTACTACAGGCGCCAAGAGTCATTCTGTTTCTACAGAAAGCCCAATGCCACCCGCTCAGGGTCAGATTACAGTGTCTCAATCTAAGGTCACTCCTGATACTTCTGTATCTATAGACCTTCCTGCTCCAACTCAAAAGGAAGTTCAGTCTAAAGCTACACCCATCCCTGATCAGGTTCCAGTTTCTGTGACAAAAGATCCTGTAAAAATGCAAGCTACTCATTCTAAAGCCTCTCCTTCCCCAGTTCCAATTTCAGTATCCAAAAGCCCTGTTGTTCCTGCCCAGTTGCCAGGATCTGCATCTATGGACATTGCTGCCCCTGCTTCTGATCCAGGCTGTTCCAGTAAAGCTTCTTCTGGCACTGCTCACATCCAAATTTCTCTGCCTAAAACCCATGCCGCACCTGCCACTGCACCATCTCCTGTCACTTCCCCTTCCTCCCCCACAGCCCCTTGGCCGCATGAGGCCCAATCCTCTGTTAAGACGAGGGGGACTAGTCAAACAACAGTGGACCACCAGTCTTCTGGTCCAAACACTACAGGTGTGGAGGGAAGTCAGACCTTGTCATCCAAAACAAAAGAACAACAAATTGAGCCACCAACAACCCTCCCTGAACCATCCAAAGAAAAGAGGCCATCACAGGTCAAAGGGCCAGGGCTTAGCAAAATTCCTGTGGTTGGAGGAGGACGAGTGGGCAAGATACCTGTACGGGAGAGCCAAAACGTAAATGATGAGCCGCGCAGGGATCCACCGACGCCTGTGCAAGATGAGAGGCCCCATTTCAATTCGCATGAAGCAGGGAGCAAAGATAAAATCTGTACTGTTGAGGCAAATGTGCTGACCTCGAAACACACCCAGGAGGAGAGTCAGCAGCCTCAACAACCAAAAGTTGTGACCAGTTCAGCGCGTGACTCAAAGATCCCCGTCAAGCATGGCACACAGCCTCACACTGCCTCCAACATCCCCCAGACTAAAGATCCCACTCGCTCCAAGATCCCTACGTCCAAGGTCCCAGTCCGCAGGGTTGGAAATAAACCTGCTGCCACAGGTGGAAGCACCCAGATAAGAAAATAAAACCATGGACTTAATCCATTTATGATGCAGATCAAGGCTCTGACTGCCACCTTTTATTTCCAGCACCATGCTTTTGAAAAACAAATGTATAGACTGTAATTCTCTCATCTCTCTTGGCTTCACAACAACATTAGCAAGGAGTCAAGACAGCTGACGACACTCAAGCACAAAAAACATCTTCACAGGGAGCCGGAGCGCCGGCCAGGCTCTTTGGTGCTGAGCGAGCTGGACATGCACTCAGGAAAGGTTTGAGGGTCACACCTGAAAACCCAGCAGCATCGGTAACAAAAGCTAAGCAAGATAAAAGGCCACCTGGGAACTACGTCATACACATACACAACATGGGCGAGTGCCTTTTTAAGGGTGCTTTTCCTACAGACTACAGAATTTATTCAGTCTTTTCTACAGTACTTTTAACTTTTGTTACTCCCACTTTTTGCAGAAACGCACCAAGTCTTTTTTGTCTTTCTTTTCAGCAAGTTACTTGATAAAAACATATCTCCTTTTATTTATATAAGGTAATGAATGGCAGCAGCACTATTGATTAATGCAACAACCAAATTTACATTCCACACTTTTCTCTGGATCTATGTAGCAGATAACGTGCCATTCATTTTTGCACAAGATAATGGACTGTACAGCGCCTTTTCATATGTAACTGCATGTTTGGAAGGTGGAGTGAGAAGGACTCTTTGCAGTGAAATGGACGATAGCCATTGTGAATGGCATTGTGGACTTTTGAACAAAGCAGAGAGGGAGGCGAGATCAAATCTCCAGCTCGTACACTGGGACATCTTTATCCTAATGTCAATTATGCTTAGGTGAGAACAATATCTCTGTGTAGAGATCATCTATGTTGTCCTGTTTCTTCTGTAATCAATAAAACAACATGAGTACTTAGCAAGGTGGAATCTGATTAAGTTATACATATCTATTATGTTTTCTACATTGCCTCAGTTTGCAAACAGATAGGGAATATAAGTGTCTATAAATTGGTCACTGGCTCTGTATTACTTACCATTTTACTACACTCTATGCTCAGACTTCACTCACAGAAACATCGTTCTGGCATCATCCACTCTCCAAGCTCACTGACCTGAATAGTAAGCACACGAATGTAAGCAGAGTCCAGCCAATCAGCTACAAGGGAAAATGCTTAACATGCATTCCTTATTATCAGTAAACGGGTTTGAGAATGTCTGTCATTGCTATTCTTGGTGTCAAATGGAACAACTAAATAACTTCTCAAAGACTGAGAGATCATTTGCTTTGAAAAAGTGTTTAATATAACATTACTAATACTAATCTCATATGATTTACATTGATGCACAATTACAAAACTAAACGGTTAAACAGAAATTCATCGCTGTATACTGTGAGGCTAAACAATTGAGTTAAGAATGTGAGTCATGGGGGAATAAAACAGGCAATTGGTGTCAGAAATAAGAAGTAAAAGTACAAAGGGTGAATGCTTCTTTGATTAAAAAAAAAGACGACTGCTGAGGTGACACAAGAAGACCTCTGTTTGCTTCATGAAGCCAGAGGCTACAAGCTGAGAATAGTCAACCCTCATTTGAATGGAGGAAAACACGAGGATTTCACTCCATCAGGTGCTGATACATGCTACAGAGAGCCGAACCAACTTCCTGAGAAAAGAACAGTTTACCCCTCAGGCTCTGTCACAACACATGCTTACAATTTGGTAACACCTGCATTTTGAGTTTATCGTGTTTGAGCAGAGGCCTTTAACAGATATGAAGGTTTACAACTATGCCCTACAGAGCAGAGATCAAGCTTCTAATAAGAACCTGTATTGTGTTGCAGCGTGAGAATCGACATTATGCTCTCCATTTAAGAAAATTACTGGTTTGAATATAATTTCTCCAGTTATTAAGGAGGAAACTGAGCCAGATTCATTCAAGGCTGTCTGTTGTCAGCATGCATTCACATGATCTCTGGGAAATGTGGCCTTCGCGCCTATAAGTGATAATGTCACAAACATGAGGGAAGCACAACCACACGGTGAGATAAACTTTCAACCTCTGCTTTAGTTCCCTCAGACAACCTTTGTTTGTAGGTCACATGTGTTTCATCGCACTCGCTGCTCCCTATCGTGAAGGCCACCCCCTTTGCCCCAATTATGTTAAACAAATTAAAGCACCAAAATGCACTGAGGGCACCCAGGCTTTCTATATGTGTTTGTGTCTGTTTCTGCCTCTGGAGACTCGATGTGCTTCTTTAGAACCTAATTTAGCATGCTTCATTCTGTGTTTCCATGCCAACCCCACTAGGTCAACCAATGAAAGACTGAAAGTGTCAGGAGGAGGAGTTTAAACCACGAGGGCCTTTATGAGTGCTCATGCAATTTCTACACCCAATTATTAGGTTATTTTTTCCAAATGGAATAATTCTGATAACTAACGTCTCATAATAGTGTTTGACCGCAACTCTGCAGAAGTTTTTATTGAATTTCCGGTCTCTAATGCTTAAAAATGCCATTGTAGTGGTATTTATAATTAATAAAGACAACAAACACATTCAAGTTAAACTGTTTAAGGAAAAATGTCGACGACAAACCAAAGATTCCCAATACATGACTAAAATATGGTAATATGAGACTTACAAAGCCTCTCTTTAAAAATAAACAAAGGTTCCACTGATCTGCTACAGCTCTTCTTCAAGTTACCATAACAACATGTTATGGGAACTTATGAAAAACAATGTTTGAGTCGAACAGATAAAATGAGCAATGATAGCATTTTAAAATATAGAATTCAAAACCAGACTTATTTACTCATGATACAAGAAGAGTAAATAAAATGTAGCATTAATTTGAAATATGTTTATATACAAAATATAAGACATTAAATGTAATAAAAATATATAAATGCAGTATTTTATATCACATCAAGGCTTATGTCTTCTATAGTGCACAGCGGTGCGAAGATTAGCTGTTTACCTGATAAAACATGGCTGATAAAAAATGCCAGCAAAGGCAACAACTCATCCGTATCACTGTCAGCTCTGCAGCCTGGACTCTCAACCAATTGAGCCCTACACTCTGTAAACCAGCGGTTGATGTTAAAGTACCCCTCATTATCAAAGGCTGTCAGACTGCTGCAGATAGTTAGAGAATAATGCAATTTAACACAATCAAAACAAAGATTAAAAAAAGCGATTTGCTTCTAAACAGCAAATCTAAAGCTTGATAAACATGTGCTCATGACTGCACATTATCTGAAATTTTGAGCATAAAGACAATGGGTCATGGAGCTTCTATTCACTCAGTAAGTGCTCATTTATATAAATGAGCCTGGGCTGCCAGAGCATTACATCATCCCAATGCAATGACTCTACACTGAGGCCCTCTGCTGGTGAAACATTATGAAATGCTTTAGTGTGAGAAACTTGTGGGTGACGCAGTACATGCTACATCACTGCTGTAAAACATGGCCTCGTCATATCTGGCCAGTAGCCCCCACTACAGACAGAGGGAGCTAGCTGTTCAGCAATAGTACCCTTGTGATTAGGGTAGCTGTCTACCTCTATGAGTGGAGTGTGCATCAACCATTAAAACAGGCTTAAAGAGTGCCGACAATCATCTTTTGTTGAAAAAGAAAAAAAAGATCTACATGATCAAAGCGGTGCAAACACCTGATTTAGAGGGAATATTGATTGGGGACAATCAGCCCTGCTAGAAGATGAGCAGAGAAGATAAGCTTATATTGGTCCTTTGAAAGCAGCAATCAAAATTAATTTCTGAATATGGTGACATCATAAAAAAGGATAAATCTGAGTTTTACCAAAAGGTGCATTCATTCAACCACAAACACAAAGGGGATATTGTGGGATCACAGATTCCAACTGACATATCTGACATTGATTTAGAATGATAAAAAGTGTATATATTTACATATACATATGTACATATGTATGTACATATGTCCACAACTGTAGATATATTCATACGTATATGAACAAAATAGGCCATTGTTTTGAACACTGATTAAAAATCATGTAGATGTTCAGTTTCTGATTATTTCTAACATTCTTAAGTACAGAATAGTTTGTAGGTGCTTGTAGAAAGAGATTTTGTATCAAAACAATGAAAGCTGGAAAATGGATATAAAGCTACTTACTAATAATAAGCATTTTAAAAAATGTCAGATATTTTCATACTTTCATACACTATTACATCAAAAGGCCTCATTATGAGCACAGGTTTCCCTCATGCTCATTCGTAATTGACTTCAAGTGTACACAAAAGCCACTGCTTTGTCGACCTGATGAAAATCATCTTTGCTCTGCAGGTGTTTGCCATTACTCTGATAAGAGCAGATAGCTTGGACAAAATGCTATCCAAATAACTTCGAACCCAGCTCTGTTACACCATGAAATTCATGTGTCCTTCAGCACCGGTTACAATAACATCCATCCAGATGCGCATGGCTTCGGGAGACGGGGCCACCATGTAGTACACCCGGTCATGGGTCTTCACACTGAAGGTCAGCGAGGGATTGGGGCTCTTGTTCGTGGGAGAGAGTGTAATTTAGGAAAAAATGTGAAATTATGGAGGGTAATTGGGTTGGGCATTGTGTGGGAGAGAGGAAAAGAAGACAAACAGATGTTAAACAAAAATGAGGCCTGTGTTAACAATGTGACATGGTCAAAATCATACACACACACACCACTTACTTTGTGTGCATTCTTTAAATGATCATAGTACACCTCCTCTATGGCTTGGAAGTAAATGACTCCTTTCATCTTGGTCTCATGTTTGTCTGCACAAGAGAACATAAACAGGCCTGTGATCAAAGCTCATTCCCATCACTTCAACTATCTGGTCCTCGCGTCAAAGTCCCATCAGCGACATGAGACCGGAGCGGCAGGGCACCCACCCGCGTAGTACGTGAGGGTCCTGCGATTCTGGTCAAAGACAAACCAGCGTTTCTTCCATGTCTTGATCTTTCCTCCCATTTTGACCAGAAATCCTCGACAGGTTTTGTCGGTGATGGCCAGGTGGAAGCAGGCGTCTGGGTTGTGTCCGGCCGACTCAATGTGGCCGTGGAGGTCAAAGTCATCTTTCCTAACTGGGAGGTAGCGAGTCAACAGGCGGGACTGTGGAAAAAGCAGTAAAACCATTATAAAATGGAAGAAGATGAATAATAGCAATTGAACACAGTGGAAAATGTTATCCTTATCTCAAATTTCTTTTAAATACCTGTGATCTTTGTTTTTCCCTGAGCTTCACCTCTCTTTCTACAAGTTTCTGTCTCCTGCATGTCTCCTCTTGCAAGCGCTTCTCCAGGTCCTCTCTCCTTCTTCGCTCCTCCTCCAAAGCCTGCCGGCGTATCTCCATCTCCCGCTCCTGCACATGCGGCATGTGAATCACTGACCACCGTCACTGAACACATACACACAGCTTTGTTTAGGTTAGCTTCAATACCCGATATTCAAGGAGTCTCTGCTTCTCAGCCTGGGCCTCTCGGAGTAAACGCTCCATCTCCTCAATCTTCGCCATATTGGAGGTGCTGGCACTGATAGAAAAAAGGAAAACATATGTTGTCAAGCACAAGAAAAACTTGATAACGCTGACACTGGAAGATAAAACACTACTACAATAATAAACTCTAATTAATTTAGAGACAGCAGACAATTTAAAGGAGAAACAAAGAAAAAAGTGTAGACTTTCCTCCACCATTTTCAAAGTAAGCAAAACACTTGATTCGGCAACATTGTTTTGGCATTGCGCTCTGCTTCCTGTGCACACTGCCAGGCTAACACTAGGACTATTAGCACAACACAAATCTTCCTCTGTGATGTCAACAAACATCTGCAGATGAAACCCTGAGTCTGCAGACAATCTTCCTGCCTTGTCCATGTGTCAAATGATCATTGTAAAAGCATTGTGAGCCTTTCAAAACGATCAAGTAGTCTTGCAATCCAAATGATTTGTCTCTTAAAATCATCAAACAGTCAGATATTTCTGTAAAATAACTAATAAAACTGATTCTGCAAAAGTTTGGGTTCAGGTTTTCTTCTTCAGGCAACATAAAGGACGGTGTGAAAAGGTTTGTGTCAGCACTACGTGTGTGAGTGCAAAAGAGCATCTGTATGCGTCTCTAACCTGGAGATGTTGTCTGGGGAGCAGGCAGAGAAGCTGGTCTCTAAGCTGTCAGAACTGTCCACGCTGACGGTGTCCGAGGCCAGGCTGTTCGGGTCCGGGTAAGAAAAGGAGTCCAGGAACACGTTGGGCTCTGAAACCATGCGGCTGCAAAACTCACTTTGCCTCTGTCTGTCTTCATTGATGTGTGCGTGGCTGTTGCCTGCTGTCAGAGAAGAAAACTGCAATAAAGACACTATATACCCACAGCAAGCACGCTCTAATGCTAAAGCACCTCATTAGGGTGGATAAGATGAAGTTGAGTTAAACTAACTTTAGCTGCTTGATATCAGGTTTGGACTGAATGTTACTTCCTTTCTACAGTCCCACTGATTATAACATTACCACAGAAAGCACAGCCCGGATGCAGTTCCCACAGCTTGAGGTTCAGAGTTAGACAAACTATCCCTAAAACGAACAGATTTCCTCCAAACAAAGTGCACCATGTGTCATTCTGACTCACTTTTGGGCAGCCGCCGGGTGTTCACTTCACGAGGGGAGAAGCTGAAGCCTTGTGGGATGACACTGCCACAGCTGGAGCTTTGGGATAAAGGTAGGTGAGCCTAAGAAAAAAAAAAAACACAAGCAGGCGCACTTTATCACTTTAAAGTTTACACAACTTTAAATCTGTGTATAAAGAACTTTAAAGTTCCTTCACTGGCATGAGTACTTTTCCCAGAGCCGGACAGAAAGTTAGAATTCCAGTTTGGGTGGATCATTCTCAAGGGGGGGAAGTTTTCAAGACAGAAATGACTAAGGCAATAAATCCCCTCTCCTGCAAGCCAGAATCCAAAATGAGGGAAGTTAGTTTGAAGTTCTTATCTTTGCATCAAAGGGTTGTGTAACAGTGTGGTGTAAATGAGAGGAAACTAAATCCTTACATCTCCATTTGATCAAGCATTCATTTTCTAATTGTTGCTCTGATTCATTCAGAAAAAGTCAGACCTTGGGAGGAAGTGTGCGTCCCAGAGATCTGCCGTAGGAACTGAGGAGCTGCTGGCTCCTCTTTTGAGGTAGGCTTTCACTGGTGTGGGCAGAATTTTCTTTGTTGCTTCTCCTCCTTTCCTTCAGAGTTTGCAAGTGCTGCATCAATCACACAAATCAGACGAACCATAAAGCATAAACATGACATCCAAACAAAACTCTCAGCTGATATTTGAACAGATGCAGGTCGAAATATAGTGTACCTCTTTGATAGCTGCAGGGTTGCTGGTGAGAGTCTGCCGCTCAGACAGCTCTGCGTACTTTCCCTCCAACAACACCAGTTTTTCTCTTTCCTGCAGACAATCAACACGCAATCAACGCATTCTTAAACATACCCATTTATGGTTCGAGCTTGCAGAAAAGGGTCTTACCTTCTGAAGCATGACAAGCAAATTGTTTTTCTCTCGCTGAAAATTCTCTCTTTCTTGCTGAGCCTGCAGCGTGATCTGCGAGGACTGTTTCTTCAGAGTCATGATTCGCTCCTGTGAGGAGCAATCAGCTCAGCGTCAGAGCACAGCACCTGTCCGATTCATCAGTAAAGCTGTGGCAGCAAACTTTTGCCATATTGTGAAGCCGCGAAAGCAGGGAAATTGTGAGATTTGATTTTTGAGATTTTTGTGTGATTACGTTCTCCTCAGAGATCCTCAGTATTTTCCACTGGACAGACATTTGTTAGGGTTTCAGTGTCGCATGCTTACCATTGCTGGTTTCTTGTAATTAGTTCATGCTTTGTTCAGCAATTGTGCTCACTATTTTGGCAGCTTTATTTTCATGCACAACCTGCAGTAAAATTGATGACAACAAAACACAATGTAGTAAAATACAGGAAAAAAGAAGAGTGAGTTTGTGGCAGGTTATTAACTTTGGTCTAACCTGCACAAGCCCTTAAAAGTCCTTTACTCAGTTTTGTTTGTTATATTAACAAAACTTAATACCATTGCTGCTAAGATCTATAAGTTCAAATCTTAAAGGTGCCCTGTCTACATATTTTCAGTACACACAGACACATACAGACAGAATACAGACAAAAAGTGGACAGTTCTCTGTCCTTCCTGGCCCCGTGTTAAGGTCTGTTCTGTCACAGCACTCCAGAGAATTAATCGTATGTTATGGTGATGCAACGGAAGCCTAAAGGGGGTGTGATACATGCAACGTGCCGCATGCATACCCATAAAACCTTACTTTCTGTACCTTGCGTGTGAAAGTAAGACGCTGACACTCTGCGATCTCTTTCAGCAGCTCTTGGCTCTGACTCTGTTTTTCCTCATCCTGCTTGATTTCTCTTTCCAGCTTCTGAAACTCCAAATCTTCCAAACTTTTTGAAATCTCGTCAGTTTCCTAAAAGACAAATAACAAAAACGAAAAACTTTAGAAGATTCATATGTGAGAGTGGCTTTTGGGAAGAAGGAAGAAGCAGCTCTTGTTTGGTATGACTCTCCAGCTGCTTTTAAAATCCCCTGTGTGATGATCCTTTCTTTGTTTTGGTGCTAGAAGGACTTCCTATTGAAAACCAAATATTTGTTTGGTTTTGAAAATTAAACGAAACCAGATCCGTTCTTGGGAAGTTGTGGGTGAACTGAACTGATCCCCGACAGTTAGTTTAAGCTGTGGGTTTGATCTCCACAGACCCGTGTCCACAACATAAGTCCTGATTCCTGCATTCTGTTTCCACAGGCATGACAGCTGTTCATGAAATATCTCAGAGAAAGATGTAACTGATGAGATCATCTGGGTTGTCTTTGTCAACCTGAAATCTGACCTGTGGAAAGCCTTGTTATTTTAACTGTTGTGCACATTTGTTTTACCTGAGATTTCTCTGCGTCCGTTGTTTTCTCAGTGCTGTGTATCTTCCCCTTGAGTTCATCCAGCAGCTCCTTTTCCCTCTGTAACTGGGCCATCTCAGATTCCTGCTCTCCATCCAACAGAGCACACTCCACCTCCATCTGTGGGTAAGGGGATCAAAAGGTAGAAAACCTTAACATTTTCAGATAATCCAGTGAACCTCTAAATGTGTTTTCTTCCTGAACATAAGCAGCTGGTTCCAATTTGTTGAGAGCAAGTAACATAGAAAGAATGACTGAATGAAGTATTGAAATAATAATAAAAACTGAATCTTATAGGAACCTTAATTCATGACTTTTATATGTGATATCCATCTGCTGAGTGCTCTGACATTACGATCAAGATGTATAGTTTATCCGAAGCCAGATGAAAATAACACGGGAGGCTGCAGAGTAAGTTGTGTTAACATAAATCAGTGTGCTCACTACCTCTCGGAGAGACTCCTCCATCTGGTTGTCCAGGTCTTTGATCTTTTGCTCAAGCTCCTCTATGTTGTTCAGAACTTGAATTCTTTCTTCTTCTATATGAGTGACTTCCTGCTTCAGCTGCACACTTTCCAAAACCTGTAATGTAGTAAGGAATGTAAATTACACTATGGATTAACAAGGGGCTAGAGATTTGTGAATGTACTCTATACCGCTAAACGGTCTATTCTATCAACACCTCAATAAGATAAAAGGCATTTCCGTTTCATTATGCCGTTGAAAAAAATATCTTGTCCATAGCACAATTTTTAAATTGAATTAGACGATAGCAGCTGCTCTTTTAACTCATCCAAAGCTGGATTTCTGCCAGGATTCTTTTCCACTGGATGTAATGGAAGTATATTTCAGTGAACTGCACTACCAAAGCAGTTCAACATATTGTACCATCAGGGAAAATTCAACAAACACTCATTCATACCCGTTTGAATATAGACATATTGTAATAACATTTCTTCGGGGAACAAAGGATTATTTTTTGGCCCAGATGTTTAAGTGCCTGGCAGTTCTGCAATTTATAGTTTCTAGGATGGGCCGCGAGGAGAAGGTATTTGGAGCTTGTAAACCTGTGTCACAGTTGACACACAGCAGAGATGTTGTATGCAACTTAGAAATTGGATTTTCAAACACAACATTCCAATAGAAGCTGTTTCTATTAGGTAAACCTGATAACCTGAGTTCACCACATTTTCATGGTTTTTCCCTCTGCCTCACCTGAGACTAATGTTCAATACTTCTGGAGAAAAAAGCATGCCGTTGCCATGCAAACACACTGGCACGGACAGTTGTGCACGTACACAGACACATGCATAGAGTAATTCTCTGTGGGATAAAGTCATTTCCTGTTTCCCCCCTCCTTCAGGAGTGTGAATGGCTAAGTGCTGAAACAAAACTGCGACCTCTTCATTAAAACCAGACACAATGTTAGAATAGGAAAAAAAAAAAAACTGCTGGACTGGATGAGGTGGACTGTTTAGGAGCAACAAAATATAAATGCATGTGAAAAATTTGTATTTTCATTTGAGTGAATCTGTCTGTCAGGTTTCCAGCAATGCGTTTTGCAAAAAAACGTTAACAAAGGTACAGATCTGGTAAAACCAAAGATCCATCAAAACTGTTAGAAGTTCTTGTGCAAGTTTGAAAGCGTGTCTGCATAACCCACATAAACAGGAAATACACTAACCGTTAACTGCACAATGTTAGAATACTTCTGAAAAAAAGCTGTAAACGTTTATGGAAAAAAACAAAATTGTGAGAGAAACCACAAAATATAGCTTTGATTGTTCAACACACTTCTAACCTACTTAAATTTCCAGTTCTAATCTATACATTCCCAGGCAAAATCAAATATTACACCAAAATACTAAATGGAATGTGGTTCACCCACTTCGAACACTATCAATCAATGAAACTTTGCTACACGTTAGCGGGGTGTTTGCACCAACATATAACATGTAAAAAGTTTCCCACATGTGGGAAAACAATGATATTTAGTTTGGGTTAATTTCAAACCTTTAGGTTTTATATACAATTCTGGAGAAATATGTTATCATCAAATCATTATTATGACAATATTTTCAGGGAAATATTGTTTAACTTGAAATGGGGGAAATGAATTACACTGACATTTCAACAGGTAAACAAACAGGGGTAAACAAGATACTGTATCTGCAGGCACCATTCCACAATATGGGAGTGCCTCATTAGTCCTCACCACAGCTTGGGCCTCTCTAAAGTTAAAATTCATTCTGCAAAAACAGTGCATACAGGTGAAAAGTTTAAGAGCCTGTGTATTCGACATCTCAGCTCTGTGTCACCCTGTCCAAAGTTTCTCCAAATCAATTCCCCTTGGGAATTATCTTAAATCCCCAATGTAAGCCACACAATTGAGTAGTACCCAGGAAGCGGGATTCAAACCAGGAACCATCATGCTTTGAGGTCCTATCCACCACACCACTGTGCAGTTCCGTTTTCTAAAATATGGATGAAAAAGTAAAAAAAACGACTTTAAACCTGTTTCACATACAACTAAAATCCTTTTTTTTTTTAAACACGCGGATACACTGCATAACCTCACCCGATGTAGAGGTTGGCTACATATAAAAAACCAGACCAGACGTTAATGCCAGTGTGCAGTGCTCCCCATCCCATGTGTAGCAGGGGCTACAAGATTAAATGCTTTTCCTTACAGGGGGCATGTCTGTATTTTCTCCAGCTTTCTATCACCATAGCAAAACTACAAACAACTTAACTCTTGAGCCATTGGATACCTGACAATATTGCTCTCTCCAAGAGCAGTAAGAACTTTAATATCACAATGGATGGAAATGCATTGTGGGCTATCTTTCGCATTGGTCATTTTTCAAATAATTCCAACAAAAAAGTGTTTGATAAAAAAAAACATCTAATTGTTGTTGACTATGTGAGCGTTTGTGAGACGTGCACTTGCTTGAGCTTACTTTGGCTCTGTGAGTCGAGGGAGAGGGAGCGCTGCTGTTCAGGCTAACAGCAGGCGAGAGAGACCTGGCGTCTCTGCAGCTGCCCTGCTGACGCTCCGGAGCAGTGCTGCTGGGAGAGTCAGAAAACACAGACTCATCGTCTGACACCTGCAGCTTCTCCAACTCCTTATTGATCTTTTGCAGGTCAGTAACGGCTGAGCCCGCAGGCTCCCTTGCCACCTGTCCCAACTCAGTGCACAGGTTTAAGATGGTCTCTAGACGCTGGCATTCCTGCACACAAGGCATGCATACCTGATCAGACAACAGAAAGGAATTTGTGTTCTTGCTCAAAGAGTGTGCTGAAGAACTTTCCAAGTTCTAATAAAACTGGCAGGTTTTAGACAGTAAAACTCACCAGTCTCTGCACTTTCTGTTCCCTGAGTCGCTCATCTCTCTGGTGTTGATGGTAGTCTCTCAGTTCTTCTTTGCCATTCAAAGAAGTGATGCTGCCCACTCTCTGTCCGGGACCCAAGCCACCCTTGCCAAAGGACAATCTTCTCTCTCCAAAGCTCAGATCTAAGCCAGTCCCGTCGATATCGACACCCAGAGAGCTCAGAGAAGCCAAACTGGATCTCCTAGGAGTGCTGGGCATGCTAGCTGGTACAGTCACATCTGGAGGCTGCTCCAGGGAGGACAGACTGCGCCGTTGTCCGGCTGAGGCCACCCCTCTGTGGGATCCTACTAAGTGACGGGATGGCAAGGAAAGAGCCGGGGGGTCTGCTGCGTTATGTAGCCGGGGCAAAGAGCGGCTGTGCATTCCCAAGTTGTTCAGGGAGCCGGTGGAGTATTTCCTCTGCCTGGAGTCTCCCACAGCTCTGCCTTGGGAGTAGAGCCTGCGGCCCATACGAGGACTAGAGGGTACGCTGGCCGCTCCACTTTTAACCCTAGGAGAACGAGGCACCGGCTCACCATAGGAGGAGAGCAGAGAGCCTCCATCTGCTGTGTTGGAGAGCAGAAGACTGTCTTGTGACTGGTGTCGAGAGTGAGAATGACGAAGGAAGCCATTAGAGCTAAACAGGCGCTCACCCGGACGCGGTGACGGAGGCACACTGCTGCTGTTAATGTAGGAAAAGTTTCTAGTGGCCGATGGGGGTCGCTCTGTATTGCTGAGGATTGACAATGGCCTTGACGGCTGTGTTCCAGCAGCTGAAGGCACACTGAGGTACTTACGGCTACACTCTGCTGCCCTCAGGCTGGCTTCAAGAGCACTCTTTCTCCTCTGTAGCGTCTCCATGAGTTCCTGAAGCTCTGCCTTGGACCGGGAGCCCCTAAGCAGAGTCCCCCCGACTGAGTCACCGCTGCTGTGCTCAATTTTCACACAGTCTGTAGAATACAAACAGAGGACCGAGAATAAAAATCTAAATTATTCTAACAAAGAGGTTTAATGCCTTTGCCAAATAAACAGTAAAGACATCTTAACTCTGATGGCAGCAATACATTTAAAAATGCTAAAGTTAAACAGCTGTAAAAAACAGTGTTGTTACTAATTAGATTAAATGGCAATGAACTCAGTAACAAAAAGGTTGTGGGGAGATTTCAGAAGAACCTTCCCCAACATAAACACCTAATATTATGTTAAATGAAACGATCAAGTGATTGACAAGATTTTGGGACATCATGACCACAAGACGAATAGTTGAAAATCAATACTGGGTGCTTATCATTTTTGTATGTTTTGGTGCCGATTGCAAACTCAACATGTTTAGGACTTTATGGAATGCAAAACACAGTATAGAATGACCAAGTCTGTTGAGTGTGTGTGTATGTGTGTGTGTGTGTGTGTGTGTGTGTGTGTGTGTGTGTGTGTGTCACTTCTTTGATGTTCACAGATGGTTGCAAAGAAAAGCAAATGCCATGCAATGGATTTAATTGGCTCTGTCCAGAGTTTTTGGCCAAAGAGACATGTTTCTGCCATCAAACTGAAGATACGTGAATACTTTTAATGAAATAGTACAATGTCTCACTTCACAGCATGTGAAATGTTGTCATATGTTGCGTTATAAGTAAAACATTGTTTATGTATTAGCTCACAGTATTCTGTATTCACTTAGGGTTTACCAAGAATCTCAACTTTTTTGGACTGACTTTAATGGAAGGAGCAGGAGCTGAGCAAAAAAGATGTGTTATCACAGAAGTGCTGAGTGCAATGGGGGGAAAACCAATGAAGAATGTCTGCTCATACAATTCTCAGCCCAATACAAACACTGGTTCCATCAGTGGTTAGGTCTCAGGCTAAAAATGGAAGAATGTTGGTGGACCAAGTTGAAGCAGAATACATCAAAGTCGTAAGTGAAACATAAACCCTGAAGACAACCACATACCTAAGCATGCAGTAGAGTTACACCGAATCTAAATAATTACAAATCATTTGACACTTAGGGTGTCTACAATTCCTTCAAAAATACATTTGAAAATAAATGATAATGAGCTTTAAAAGTATACTCATTAGTGATAAAGGTTCCTGCAATATTTAAATAGGACTATTTCTTAAAAGACTGGAATAATTAGGAAAGCTAATCAATGCCTCTCATTGAAAAAAGCATTTGCGTGTCTATGCTTCTCTGAATGAGCTGAAATCTTTTCTTCTCAGCTTTGATAACTAAAAACCCAGACGCTCATTAAGTATTTAACTTGTAACCATGAGATGAAGAGATGTTCCAGTTCAGGCAGACACAGAGAGAGAGATTTAGACTACTCAATAAGATCTCTTTGAGAGGCTCTTTATCAATGTCATCCTGCAGCAAATTAGTCATGTTAAAAGTCATTCACCTCTTTAATCCAGAGGGAAAACAGATTTAATTATAAGAAAAAACAATCATGTCTTACATGTAAATCGGAACACACATATTTGTAAATTGCCGTCCGTTTTTATCAGTTTCCGAGTTAAATTGTACCTGAACTGTAGCCCAGAGTGGTTACAGCGGTCCTCTGGGGAAGCATGCTGTTCATCGCAGTGAACCCCCCTACCCTGATGGATCTGAGCCAAAATGCAGGATTCAGCTGGGACCTCTGTCTGAGAAGAGAAGAAATCAATACAAAACTCAACTGAGCAATAAACAGGAGTTCATTTCAGCATTGTGTGTGGGCTTGAGCTAATATGTGGACCATGATTTTTTAAACCAATTTTACACCATGTTTTAAAAATCATTTAAAGTTTTTGTATGATACATTAAAAAATCTAGTAAATGATCCACAGAATCTATTTATTAATCTTCATATGGTTTAGAAATATCTTGACTGTCTTTAGCTCAGTTACCTCAATGTTATTGACATTTTAAGCTTCAGTAAAGAAAGGATGTATACTATCCACTAGACCTTCGTTTCCCTTAGTCAGCAGGCAACTTAAATCTTTAGAACTACATTTTCAAGAAAACTTTGAAGGCAAACAAAAGACATCAAAATACTTGATTAAACTAATCCATTCCATACAACAAGGCATTTATTTAAGTATATATTCCAGATGTGCCCATTCTGAGTGAAGGAGTAAAAAAAAAACTTTCCAAAAGACTAAGTATTAAAACAGATCCAGAGGAAAGTTTTTATGTCTGGCCCAGTGTTTCCAATAAAGTTTGAAAAGCAGCACTCTGCACCTTAATGATGTTTGAGCCCCAGTCATGACCATTCGTTGAAAGCATTCCTTTGGATTTCCACATTCACTAAGGCAGCAGCAAGAGTCAACAGCTGGGAAATCCTGGACCAGTGAGTGCTGCAGCTCATGCTAAAACCTTTAAACCATTGACAGTTACCTACTTGCAATTCTTGTGTTTTTCTGTGTTTCTTTTCTTTCTTAAGTATCACCGGTATTAAATCTTTGTTAATATTTAGTTTTGTATTTAATGTATAGATTGGATAATAATCAAAACAATGCAGCCAGGCAATCAAACGCTCTTCAAGTGAAAACTCTATCTAGTCCCCAATATAAAAAAAAGAAAAAAGCTGAAGTAAAGAAACGAGTCAAGTAAATCTATCAAACTAATATAAAAAATCCCGAACCATAACTTACTACAGTCAATTTAATTTAGCAGAAACACAGCAGATTGAGTTTAAAATTGTCAGATGGAAACGTATCCTGAATCCACAGATCACACACACACACACACATCTGAGAGAAAGATGGCTGATCTAAGATTTTCTGGTCCTGCTGTCTGGAGAGAGGGCCTACAGGAAGTAAGGTATCCTCTTACACAGTCAGACACCCAGTCAGCATGAGTTCACTCTCCAGACCTCTTGAAAAAAAAAAACAGAGAGAAAATCCCCAGCCTTAAGTGACGAGCAGGAGGGGTTACTGCATCACTGGGGTAAGCAGGTTGGTGGACAACATAAACACACAAGTAGATGTAAACAGTTTGAGGAATGAGCACTGATAAGGTGGCTTTCATCAAATGTGTGGTAACACTCTGAGGAGAAATACTTCCACAATACAAAAGACCCTGACTGTTGCTGCCTCACACATCATCAGTCACTGCTCAGACAAGCATGGTTTCATTGCTTAGAAAAAATTTAGGCTTTGTGGGTTTTGTGTAAAATGAAAACAGTTACAGATTAAAGTAACAGCTAATTATCGGGAACTATTGAATACCGTAATCATTATTTTTCAGTTTACATTGACACGGATAACCCAGGTGGACTAAAGCAACGCCTACCTAGACTGGAGAAGCTGTGCTAATGAAAACTATAACTTAGGCAGTAGTTTGAAAACTGAACAGCAGACTGAATGTAACTGAGACACCATGTAATGTGAGATTTTTGTTTCAACTGAAACTGGTTCGATGATGATGATGATGATGATCATGATGATGATGATTTCATTTATGCTGCAATGTTTACAGTATTTTCCTCATTTTGCAAATGAGCTTAAAGTTTTGAAAACAAATCATAATAGAGAGCACATTAAGAATGTAGATTTTATTTTTCACAATAAAAAGTTGACACATTTTATGGTATCTCATCCAACCCGTTTTTTTTGTCACTACCTTTTAAATGACACCATTATTGTAAAGCATTTCTACACAATATATTTGAAAACAAGCCTCTCCGCAGCTTAACACAAGATCGGATCAGAAATTATGTTTGTGACCTTTTACACATTTAAACAAAAATCTGTCTTTTTCAGACCACACGCACTTTGAACGCACCACACAGCATTCAAACAACACTGCGGAGGAATGTCTGTCACTGACGCCTGGCTTCCCCGGAGCATCCCTGTTTCAGTCCAAAACGCACTTTAAAAAGTGATGAGATAACTTTCATAGATGGAAAAAGCGACTGACCTTTGCTGTCTGTCCCGGTTACATAGTTCATGCAAATCTCAAACGAGCGTCTGTTGCTGCTGGAGTTGAAGCCCTCGGTTGCTCTGAAACGGCGGAGTAAAGTCTTCCCATGACAAAGGAGCAGACAGGAGACCCTCTCCCCTCCCAACTCCAACTCACTGAGATTTTTTTCTCTCCAGGGGGGGAGTGTGTTAGCGGGTGTGTTTACTTTTCTGCTCTGAACACACTTGCTGCCCCTCGCTGGTTGCGGAGAAAACTGCGAGCGTACAGAGATGAAGAGGGTTGAAAAAAAAATTGAGGAGGACTGAAAGCGGCATTATCATGATATCCTGCGACTCGGAAAAGGAATTCAATATCTAATCTCTCCAACAAGAGTTTTGTTTGTTTCAAAAGCTCCCTCTGACCTCCAACTTAACACTGATCAATATCATGTGATTCCATATTGAAGGGAATTACTGCAAGTCTGCACATGTCATGTGACCATGTCCACTCTGCATTTTAAACTCAATCCCAACCACATCTGCTGCCAAGTGTCTCTGGCTGTTGGTTCAATTTGTTCACAGGAAAAGGGAGACTTTGCCAGGTTTTCACCACATAGAGAAGCCCTCCCACATTGTGTGTTTTCGACTGAAGGAAAACTAAGGGTAGGCTCGACGTTGTAAAAAAATGTTGACTTTTAGATTGTTGTTTCAGCAGTATATGGGGAGGCCGGCGGAGGCCCCGCTGCCTGTGTTTGAAACAGGGCCAACTTCACTCCCCTCAACAAAAGAAAGAAGCTGCTCTGGTGGCATCAAACCCGCTGGTCTGATCCTTCTGAGACGTAAAACACAAAAAACAAACATGTCACTGAATGAATGAAAAGCTAACTATGCTTAAAAAAAAAAGTAAAAATCCCCTCTTAATCATACTACATACCATCCACAAACGTTCCGACGCACACACAAAAAAAAAAATCCAATTACATCATAGGGAGGGGGCTATGGAGCCCGGCCTGGACTTGATGATTACTTCCAGACACAGAGCTGGGGTCGTTGTCGTTAAAACTCATGCTCACTCTACATCTGCCCACCCTTTTTCCCTCTGAGGCTCCTTACCGCTCGAGGACAGTAAAAGGACACACACAAAATTGAGTGGAGTCTCATTTGAGAACTGGGACGCTTTGAATTTATTGCCAAAACAAAACGTCAATCCTAAGAGAGCTGTGGAATGTCAAAGCACTTCCTGTCCAGAAGAAAAAAGGTATGATTGGAGCCTAACCACACATCTCCTGCAAACTGTTGCATGTGCAAGCATTTTTCAAACTGTAGACTGGAAACATGTGTAGGGGGATTCTGAGCAGAGGCAGTGGAAAAAGTTGGGAAGAGGTAAAAAAGGATGGAGGAGAAATTGCTGTGATTGAGGGAGGGGGAGTATGATCATCTCTGGTAAACGTAGGGAAGAATGAGTCATAGGGTGAAAAGTCTCAAGAGCCCCACTCAATAACAAAGGACTAAAGTCAATACTGACTCTTTGGTGTTGAATATGTTTCTCTGCTTATCTTCTTCAAAGTGAAGTATTGTCAAGTCTGTCTCAGTCTTGTCTATTTTAATAAAGTTTGTAGAGCTCATAGTGTTTCTGTCCCATCCAGGCTTTCGGATATAAGCTTCCCTCACAATTCAGTTACTTTGGATCTCTTTCTTCTGACTCATCCCAATGCTCACACACACACAGATGCTGTATATCTATTTTTCCTGCAAGTCTTGTGACCTAAAATGACCAAATTAACTATCCCCAAGGCTATTTTGTGAAAGCCTAATTTGCAGGAAGTGGATCATGGATGACCCACATTACGTCTGTTAGCTCAGTTTATCTACAGGAGCAAGCCAAAGCCTTAGGGGAAAAACTGACTTAAGGTCAGCTTTAAACCGCAATATAGACTCTATGAGTATTTGTTAAGCTTACAAAAAATTAATGACATGGCTGTGGTGTCATATTTCACCATATCAGACCTCTAGGGGTTTTTCTTGTAGACTGCTTGAATGCCAATGCAAAAAGTAGAAGCATGACTTGTATCAATGGGATGCATTCCCAAGCTTCCATCATCAGAGGTTATCAGACATCAAGTTATCAAATAAGACCACAGGACAACACATCCATGACTACATTTAATTTGAAGGCAGTGGTAGATGACAAACCCTTAATTTGATCTTTTTTATAATAAGACGGGTGTACTACTCACACATATTGACATGATTCACTCATTTAATTTTACCCTGTATCATTTGTTTGATCCAGAAGGGTTTCTGTAGATTGGTAGATTGTGACTCACTACTTGTGGTGTGCACATGTAAATTCTTATTCACTGTGTGTGTTCATGACAAAAACAAATCAGCTTCAGTGTTTTCAAATTCATTTGTCTTCAGGATAGTGGAGTTTGGCCCATCATTTCCCTCTGTGGGGGGTTCGGCTGGTTTTTCCTCTTGTTCTATTTCAGTGTCTGGTGGTAAAGTCCCACCACAGTCTTCTGCTGTTCTTGGCTTTGTGCCCGGCTGTTCCCCCTCTGCTTCAGACTGCGACGACTGTTTGCTGCTTTCATCGCCATGCTGACCTATCTCGTATGAAGCAGCTCCATTGACATCTTTTTGAAGCCAAAGTTCCCCCTCAACAATTACTCTTCCATTGTGGCTGTGTGAGGCTGTTCTGGTCTCCACTGCTGAACCTAAAACAAAAATAATAAATAGATAAATAAACAAGAGAGATAAGATTTGAGACAGCTGTGATGTCATATTGATGTCTTCATGATTTTTATTACTCTATTATTCACTGAGTTTGTGTTTGTAATTTTGCTCGTCTAAATGAATTATTTTCCCCGGTTTGTCATTTTTACATATTTTCTCATTCAGGAAAACATGGAGATTTTGGTGCTGACACTGCCACCATGTGGAGAAATAATAATTTCCAAGCTGATTCTCTCAAGAGATTCAAGCACTCTTCTGACATGCTGGTGAACTGTACCGTAAATCCTGAAAGGCTGACATTACCAAAACTTAAGAATTATGGCTTCATTTGTGCGGAAATGTTACTTAAGCATTGTATAGCTCACAGACACATACCTCTTTGTCTCACACACTGAGGAAGCGCTACAGTAATGGTGAATAAGACAAAAGCTACAGAAGCTGTGGTGCTCCACCATGATCTCTTCACACTCCGTTCATCCATGCCTGCAGGGCACATTTATTTTCCTTAGTGCATCTGGTTTTGCATAGTAACAGATAACGTATCTAACCAAAGAGAGAACAGCCCAACACTCACTTATGGTTGCGACGGTGATGTTGACTGTGGTTTGAACAACATGTTTGCCCTGTGAGCCTGAGAAGGTGCAGGTGTACGTTCCAGAGTGCTCTTCACTGTCCGGCTTGTTAAGCAGAAGGGACCCATCCCCCAGCAGAAGCAGGTCCTGGTCCACTTTGGCTTGGCCTTCCCACTGGTTGACCATGTGTCTGGTCCTGTTGTCATATCTAAAGATCACCGTGGGCTCACTGGACAAAGTGAAGGTCCAGGTGAGGGAGAAATTCTGGAGGCTGTGGGGAGTGATGCACGGGATGGACAGTGCGTATCCCTCTTGCTGTGTTATATCCTCTGAAATAAAACATGAAAAAACATAAAATGGTCTTTATTAAATGACCAACCTTTGTTATAATGGCTTAAAATCTGAAACTGTAGAAATATACCTTGGTTCTTCCGTGAGGCAGTCCAAACCTGAGTTTTGTCAGCTGATGTGAAAGAGCAGAAATATGTATGATTGGAGGGATTACCCACAATCCTCAGCACGCTTTTCATGCTGAAAAGACCCTTGTGGTCCGTAGTTTTGATAGTGGAATTTTCCAGTAGGTCTTGAGCTAAGGGGGGGTCTGTGGCCCATGTTATCTGTGGGATGGGGTAAATGTTGTGAGAGGAGCAGGTGACCATCTCATCGGTCATCTCCAAGATAACTGACTGGATGAGAGCTAGATAAGAAGCAGAAAAACACCAGTATGAGCACCTCATGTTGGCTGCTACGCGGCCTGTAGCAGCAGCAGCCAATAAAACATAATACTGACTGTAAGCCATTGCAAATCTCAGTGTGTTAATATAAGCAAAACAAGTGTCAAATGAATCAAGATTCCAGTAGTTAGTTCTCTCATTTGCACATTTATAAGTAATCTGTGTACTTCATCTGCAGCAGTACTGGCTTTTAGCAGAAATACTGAGACTAATCTCCTGCAGATGGTGCTTTCCTGCTGCACATCAGTGCCCTGGTTCTGCTGTTACAGTTGGTTAATGGAGCAGACAGCTGACACACAATGCTGGTTTCCAACCAAAGAAATGATTCATCCATTACACATGAATGCACATTTAGTAAAGATACCACTCAAAAGATTTGAAATGCAGTTCACCAACATGTATAGGTGACATCCATTATACATGCAGAAAATTAAACAAGCAAAATGAAAAATAAGTATCATGAGATGTAAACATATTATTTACATTATAGAATTGTATGGGTTGCCAAATCATCAGACTGGGATAACATAAAAACGTAGTCTTCACATTCTTCAAAAAATCAGACTTGGATAATATTGAGACTCAAGACTCAGTATCAGTGAAAGAAAGTAAAGAAAAGAAGCAGAAAACTTTAAAAGTCTGCAATACTAGAACAACACATTCTTCAACAGATGAAAAAAACAATCATAATAATCCAACATCAGAATGTTGGATTATTAAAAGATTATGATGAGAAGACTAGGAATGAACAGCCAGAGGCTGAGTGATGAAACGGGCATGCGTGTTTTTCGGTGACACTGACAAAGTTGATGGGATTGAAGATAGAAACAGCTGAATTCATATTAAAATGTATCAGGACACCCTGTCAGATCAGGACTCTTCAAAATGTAGCTACACTGGGGCTTGAAATTACAGCTGGAAAATGAACACAATCCCTTCATGTTTTTAAGGTGAAGAAGAGGAAAATACTGCTGTGTCCAAAAGACAGGTGAATATAAAAAGATCCACAAGCATATTCCTTAGTAAATAAGTAAAGTAGTGCCAACATACTTCAAGACCATATAACATTAAACAAATAGCCACGAAGGCCTTTCTTTAGATTCCTTCGATTGGGTGATAATTAACTATTAATAGCTCGAGTGCTTCACAAATGCTTTGCCATTAAGGCACGTGCAAAAGCCAGTTTGCCGGGTGCTAGTGGAAAAAGTTCAAATGTTCCACCAGGCTGTCACGACTTTAAGGGTCATTTAGGGACAGATGCTGACCGTATTGTTTTAGCCCTGAAGCTTTAACAACTACTGCACGACAAAGCGAAGGTTTTGTGGTTGAATTGTACCAACCTTTTACTTCCAGGTTGACAAACATCTCCTGGTTGCCTTTTCGCGTGCTTGTGTAACACTTGTACCTGCCCTTGTCCTGAACTTTAACCCTCCTGAGGAGCAGGGAGGCATTGCCATTGGGGATGTGGGAGTTGAACAAACACGTCCTTCCACTGAAGTGCTTGTTCTGGAGTCCAAACTGATCCTTGTTGTAGTAGTAGCTGTGAACGGGGATTTGCTGCTTGTACCAGTGGATTACCACTGTGCCGGTGGGTCTGAAGCTGCAGGGCAGGATGCAGTCATCTTGGATGATGCAGGTGACGTTCGCGTCTGGTAATAACACTGGCAGGATACAAGCAATCCAAATCATGTATTCGTTTGACTCGACTAAAACACAGATAAAGCTTGTTCTAATTCATCACCCCGCTCAAAATATCTGTTCATGTTTTCCCCGCCGAATTTGCAGCTGACAAAGCTGGGAACTCTGAACGGGGACTGAGGGAAAAGTACAGCTGTTTACAGCTGTTGATGCTTTTGTGCCAAACGTGCTTTATTCACAGTGTAGATTTTTATAGTCAGTAAGTTAGAATTTCATTCAATGAGCTGTGAGTTCTGATACATGAGCAAGTAAGAGAGACATATCCATGTTTTTGTTTTAGATTTTAGATCAAAGTTTATAGATAACACAGAACAGAATTATTTGTAATTGATTTTGACATTTTATTGTTCGGCTGACTGGCCATCCCTCGTCCCACATCGCTGACTTTCCCACCCCCTTTTACCCCTGCTCATAATATAAGACCAGCAGACCAGTTGCTGTTCACTATTCCCAGGCAAAAGCTTGGAAATGTGAAGCCACCACTGTGGTATGATGTTCCTCCAAGAATTAGACTCGCCATGCCTCTTTTGTAACTCTTTACAAATTGATTTTTTAAAGGATCGCTTTTTTATTGGACCTGATTTCTGTATTTTTCCATTATTCATTGTGAAAAATTGTTGAATGACTATGCATAAGATTTTCTCTAAACCACAGAACACCAGTTTCAGGAATTAGTCAAGGAGTCTACAAACCTGACTATCCTCAATCATAGTTCAGACTCCTGATTTGGAGTCCTGTTGATTTACTTTAGGCTATGTTTTCCCCTGAACCTGTCTTTTGTTTTTTGCTTTGTGCAGATTTATATCTTGGTTTAGCTTGAATGGATTTGTTCGCTTGATTCCCTCACTTGTCCGTGTATTTGTGTTCATTTGGGCCACTTTGACGGAAACTACACAATAAACACATAATTTGACATCGGATTCTTTGGAATTTATTTCGTTTGTATTTTTGTCACTGCCCAGGATTGGGAGATTTAAATAACAGTTCAACATTTACCTAAAAGACACATAGAATTATCTTGTTGTCCATACAATCATGAGCAACATTAACTTATTTATGATTATCAATAAATCAATCATATATATGTATCTGTACATAACATAATTATTAATTATTAATCTACGCCACTCCATTATCTGAGAAAAAATAACACTATCATGAGCTGTAAAAGTAAATGTCGAGAACTACAATACCTTTTGAGTTTGCCCAAGACAATTTATCCAAGAAAATGAGCAGGATAAAAACAATTCCATGAGTCTCTGCCATGTCAGACAACCTCTGTTTAACACGCGTATGTGTTATAAGCACAGGGGTGAGCAGTGAGCTGTTCCTGTGTGATTCCACTTTACATCCCTCCTAACACTAATGAAACACTGACTAATTAACCAGGAAAGTGAAAGGTTAACCAACTCTCTTGGGAATGCTGCAAACCCCAACACCTCTGCTAAAATTGTAAGGAAAAAAAAGAAAGAAAGTGTGTGCTTTTCTTTCCTTTTTATTGTCCTTTTATTAGCATAAGTGACATTTACAGATGTAGATGTGTTTGGTGATACCATCATGAAAGGAAAGATTTGCTGATCCTGATCAGTATCTGATCCTGTAAGAAAAACTAATATTTATTACACTGGCTTTGGCTAAATTATGCCAAACCATGTACAGATTTCTATTTGAATGATGTATTAAAAAAATGAGAGCGCATCACTCATTTTATTCTGCACATCTGGTTCCCGTCTCATGACAGCTGGGATAAGATCCTTTGAATCTGAGCATGAAAAAGTGTGTATTGAAAATGGATGAATGGTTGTATATCTGGAGCAATATTTTATTGCCAACATGAAACTCTCTTTCAAACAGGATTTAATCATGAGATTCACAAGTCATTACAGAGTTCAAGGAGATTTGAATATATTTTGATTAGAATAGATTGAAATCTGTCAGCAGTGATGTTCTTGATATGATTTTAATGACCTGTGGAGGGTACAGGTGAAATCTCACTTCCTCATGTGAATGGCAGCCATGCAGTTATGGGTTCACATGTACGAGTTCAACAAAGTCCATGTGCATGATTCTTTAAGATGGCATTGCTCTGCCCTCAATCAACTTTAATCCCAGATTAAAGGGAGCATGCCACTAGTGTCGTGCTGTTATATCATTGAATCTGCAGTTCCATCTTTTCTGTTTCAGGTTTACTATTTTTGTTGTAGCACAAACCATATATTTTGTAATAAATCAAAATTATTTAATAAAAGTTATTTCTTACATTTTATTGATTGATTGGTCAAATGCTTCAATAGTTACAGTCACTACTTTCACACTACAATCACTACTATACTCAAATACTTTTTTTGGGTGAAAATTTACAATAAAAATGTTTAATTGTTCTGAGCTGAAGACATTAGGTGTACGTTTTGGCATCCCATGTGCATAGTAGAGTTCTAGTGTTTGCATAATTGACATAAGATAAAAGAGTAAATATAATTATCATGAAATAAAATAACAAACAACAGTCTCTCTTTTAATTCATCCCTCTCATAGCTGTTCACCAGCAGTAAGGAATCTGAATGCAGGATGATGTCAACATGGTGGCTGGCATTATGTTGCATCTCTAAAACAGGAGTCAAACCTGTTGTATTTAAGCAAAGCTACACCACATTACATACATCCAAAGGGAGAGGTCTGGCATTTTTAAAAACTAAAAATATTCGCAAACGTTAAGTGAAATGACTTTGTTGGTAGAATCATGTGATCTCGCTCAAATGCTAAACACCTAAAGGCCAAGAGTTCAAAATGTACAGATGTCACCTCAAACATATGCCTGCATCTGTCCCCCTACAGATGGGATCATTTGCATCCTCTTACCGTCATAGAATGCTACACAGCCGCAACGTATAAAAGCAGGCTCAGGGTTTTTTATTCTCATCTGGTCAGTGCGATGATGAAACTGTTGTATGTGTTATCCTCTTTCCCCGCCCAGCGCTGCCTCCAGTTTGTAGGTTACTGAAAGATTTCACCACCCACAGAAAAGAAGATTAGAGAGGAATTAATGATATTCCTTTGTCATTATAAGGACAAATTGATATTTGGTTTTAGTTCAGAGGGTGGAGACAGCGGGGAGTCAGAGCAACACGTTATGTCAGGACACATAAGCAGAAGGATGGCACAGTGACAAGCAAATGTAGCCGGGAGGATGCTCGAGCACTGGAGCTAAGCGTCGGATATCAGCACTGAGGCTCGCCATGTTAGGAGAGATGAGAGCAGAGGATCATGCAGAGATAGCTTGGTGTTTGTGTGGCATTACAGAATGAGAGCTCTTGCAACATGGCTGTGTCAGTAGAGGACCGGTGTAACGGCAGCATTCTTTGGGTAAGACACTGACGAACCGGGAGGGACGCCTGTGTTCCTCTTGCATTTCCAGCTCCTGTTCAACCATGAGATTGGCCCTCCTGGCCTTAAGACTGATGTGTTTGGCCTGGTTGTGGCCTGTCACTCAGCTCAACAGCAGCACTTTTCCAAACAAGAGGAGGCACAAGGAGCTGTACACTGGAGAAAACACTAAACTAAAGCATGGAGGGTGAGTCAAATGCAAATTTCTTATATGACTGATCCCTTGAATTTCCTACGTTACCTACGTTTTATTACATTAGACATGTGTGTCACCCTGCAATGCCGTCACAAATGTGCTATATGTGCGATATATTTAATCTAAATAATCTCCTCCTTTAGAGGATAAAGGTCACAGTGGACCGTAAATCATCTGAAATATGTATATGTGTGTGTGTGTGTATTTGTGTGTGTACCACTAAGAAATCTGTTGCTTATTGTTTCTAGATACGTTTATTTCTAGGAAAACAGTCATCAGCTGTAGACTAAAAGAAAAGCTTGAAGATAACTTTGGCCCAGAAGCAGTGCCAGTACACTGAAAGTGACAGAATGAATTTAATTTGGGCCAAGGCTTTTAGTTTTAATCACTGCCAAAGTTCAATTAGCCATCACTCACTCCGTGAGTGAGTCAGACCATGTGTCAGCTCTGTAAAGTGTGTCTCAGTCTTATGGAGAGAAAAAAAGACAGACAAAGGGATTTTATTAAGGCTGTTATTTTATTTATTTTTTTCAAGACGAGTGGATCTTAAGATGAAAAAACTGGACAGCACCAAGTCTCTACTAATTAAATCAGAGCAGCTACTTCGAATTGAAGATCATGACTTTGCAATGCGTCCAGGATTTGGAGGTAAGACACTTCAATTTCGGTTCAATTCAGTCTTCATGTGTCCAACAAAAAGCCAAGCCAAAGCATTTCACTTAAAGACTTTCCCACTCTGCTGAACTCATTCAGCATTCAGCATTCAGCTTAACATCAGCTTCTACTTATTTTTTCCTCTTATTTCTGATAAACATGTGTTCTGACAACTCAGTCGGGTTATGTAGGTTATTGTGCTTATCTTTGGTGCTACGCCTCCCCCAAATAACAAAACAAAAAAAAAAAGCCTTGATGACCTACATTGTTGCATGAGACAATGACTGTTCAGTGCAGGGAAAATAATCTCAACTCTGTCCCTAAATCTGTGTCTGAGTGCACTTTTGCAGCACAGGTCACAGCAGTGTTCCAAGCTTCTCTTCCTGATGGTTCTTTTCACTCTATTTCGAGCAGGAAAAATACATTTCTTTTTACGTGACCTCGGCACTCCCCCGTAACCCTACCTTGAAACAAACTGGGGGGTTGCCCCTCTGACGTTTGAATTGTTGTAGATGCAGACTGGTTGGAGGATATTTATTTGAGCAATGTTGCATAAAATGTTTTACTGGTATTATCAGCAAACTGGTATTTATTAAGGCTGCTACATAAATCCCTCATGGGTATACACGATGAATAACTGAATTATTGATATTCTCTAAAATGCAGAGGGGATGCTTCATTTCCATTCTGTTATGTTTGTGTAGTTTGTGTTAACTACATGAAACGCTTTAATGTTAGTAGAATTTATGCACTTGTGCACTAACTTCCATAATTATATGATTAATTATCTACTGGTTTTCTGGTCTCTCATACATTTCACAAATAGTTTAAAATAAGTTGATTTAAAAAAGCAGAATTTGAAATAACATCATAGGGTTCACAATTTACCAAAGAACATGTTGTAAAAAGTGGTGTAATTTACACATTTTAGAATCAATGTCCCTTTTAATGCTACTGAATGACTCGTTTGTCTCGTTGTCACTCCGTGCCTGGATTACTTTGAATGTCAGGTTTTCGCAGCAGGTGATTTTAGCTCTCTAATCTGAGAGTTTTTAGGAAACTGGTCACTTATTTACATTTTTACAATCACCCAGTAGATTTAGCATTTTCGTCCAGTGCTAGATTTACTTAGCTCATGTGAGATCAAGCTTTCACTGTCAGGAGTTACATAACTGGTTATGTTGTGGGTGCAATCAGTGATAAGTTTCACTCTTTTTTAAATTTAAACTGACTATAGATGAATAGATTTGACACCTCTTTAGGGAGAAAGTTTAATTGATTTGCCAGGCTTTACCAGCTTGACATATTACACAAGAGTTATAAAGGCTTTTCCAAAAAACTTGGAATCCATGTAACAAAGTGAATAAGAATTTATTAACATATTTAAGAAAAAAATTTAAAAGTTACTCTGCCTGGGACTGAAACATACTGGCAAGTTAAGTCTAAGCTCAGAAACCGCAATCTTCTCGGAAGAAAGTAGCTGCAAATGGACTGAAAAATTGAACATTGCATGCTCTTTGGCTAGATAACAGTGGCAGTGGAGATTTTTAGACACAGTGCACAGCTCTTTGTAAGGCAATGATCAAACCTCAGCAGGGAAGGACCTGCATACATTTCAATCATTAAGACAACCATAACCTTCTATGATTTCCAAAGCATCCTTAAATGTGAGGCCTGTCTGTCGGCTAGAGTTTGGCCATCATGGGTAATGCAACAGGATAATGTTCCTGTACGTATAGCAGCAAATCTACAACAGAATGGTTCTTGGCATTCTAATGACTCCATGTCACTGCTGTTAAAGGATTAAAGGATAGTTCACAAACCCATGAATCATAATGCAGGCTAAACATGCAGTGTTTATTTAGCCTTTGATTGTGTAAAATGAAAATCAACACAGGTTTTATGCCATTTGTCATTATACATATGTTCTCTTAACATCATGTTAAGACATGATGAGGACCAGATTTTTCTGATAAATATTACATTCGGCTTTACATATATCCAGGAAGATTAGATCTAAAGTAAGCAAAACAATTACATTATTCTATGGGATCACAGTTGTGCTCCCTGGGTGAGTGGTAGGCTTTTCTTGTGAGTAAGTCTCGCAGATGTACAGACAGATACTCCATGGAAGTAGCGATCCAACCCTTACTGAGAGCTTATCAGTTTTTTCGGGCCTTTTGCAGGTTCAGCGCTTCCTGTTGGAATAGACGTTCAGGTGGAGAGCATTGACAGCATATCTGAAGTGAACATGGTATGTAAATTTTAAATTCCTTCAGATTAATCCAGCATGATTGTGTACTACTCATCAGACATTTATTTTATTTTTGTCTTTTGTCCAGGACTTCACAATGACTCTCTACCTGAGACATTACTGGCAGGACAACCGACTGGCATTTCCCTCCACCAACAACAAGAGCAGGACCTTTGATTCACGCCTAGTGAAGAAAATCTGGGTTCCAGATGTGTTCTTTGTCCATTCTAAACGTTCCTTTATCCATGATACCACCATGGAAAATATCATGCTAAGGATTTATCCCGATGGCAACATTCTCTACAGTGTCAGGTACACTGTGGCTGATTTCGTAGCCAATATATGATCTGATTACTTAAATTTTACCGTTTTTCATACAAAGGATCTTCACAGGCATTAAGTATCCATCTCCTTTCAATTCTCGGCTGTTGCTCGTCTATGCTATTTTGCATTGACCACAGAGATGTTAGAACTGTTTCAGTAAATCTACTCAAATATCAACCTAGAATCAGAGAAAACTACAGCTGATGCTATCTCAAAGGCGTATATATTAGTGTGTCTCTGCTTACCAATTTGTACTGCTAAAAGATTGTGGCAAGTTAAGTTTGAATTGCCACTGATAAAAACACTCTGTATGCTCTCAGACTGGATTTGTTATATCCATTACAGCTATGAAATGGCATCCTCCCAGATCATTTACACAAACTGTCTCGACATCCAGTAATACATACAGTACATGATTGCCTTCTTTAAACAGTTGCTGATGGAGAATGATTTCTTAAATGATGTCGATGTCTATTTAACTGTAAGCTGTTTTTTAGGATTACTGTGACCGCTCTTTGCTCAATGGACTTCAGTAGTTTCCCCCTGGACACACAGAACTGCTCTCTGGAGCTGGAGAGCTGTGAGTATCAAGCCCAAGTTGGGATGTAGTTTTTTCGCAAACACCAAATGAGACTTTCAATGTGGCCAGGGAAAGACTGTTTATTCCAACATTAAATGCTTGAGTTGTTTTGCTGGTAAACATGTTACACAATCTTTAGTAATCTATAGAGATTTGTACCTTCAAATACGCTGGATAGAAAATGCTAAAGCTATAATCGTCTCAGGGTATATCACATCAGGGATGGAGACACAAATTGCATATATGTACTTGATTCAAACACAATCAACATTAATATATCATTTTAGGAAATTAGTCTTAAATTGGTTGGTCAGTCTGGTTGCATTCCTGTCCTTTTAGAATTTTTGGTATATTTTTTATTATTTTTTCCCTTGAAAAATGGCTTAGTCTGTATTAAAGTATTACTTGGATCGTGGTCATGGTTCATGGTTCCTGATCTCAGAGGAAAGCAGCAAGCCCCTTTTTATGAGCTCTCTTCTCTCCTCTGAGAAACACACCCATGATTCTTCTAAGAGAGGCAATATGTGAACGTGACCACCACCACCCGCTTCTCTCCTCTCTTGAAGATGCTTACAATGAGAACGACCTAATGCTCTACTGGAAGAATGGGAACAATTCATTAAGGACTGACGAGATCGTGCTCTCTCAGTTTTTTATTGAAGACTTCCAGCCTTCCTTTGGGCTTGCCTTCTACAGCAGCACTGGTATGTGAGGCCAGAGTGTTGGGGCCCTCTGAGCTGTATCCAAATTGGAAACAGCCAAAGAGCCCCTGACTCTCGATTTATCTGTGAACTCAGAAAGCTGCAGATGTTTTTTATGTCTTATGGTGGATTGAAATAAATTAATACTAAAATTTTAGGACAACAAACTAACTAACTGAAATCAGGAAAGTAACAATATGTACAAATGCAAAAAAAAAGTTCATTTTGGTTTAATATATTAAAAAATGCATGGTTAACTGTTTCCTGTGATGGAGCTCCAGAGCAGATAGCAAAACTTAATGAGCATTGATAGTGGAATGGCTAGCGTAACTCTGCCAGAGGGTAGTTAAAGGGTATTGATTGTCTCAGCTCTAAGCAAGGGTATAAAACAGTTCTCACCATAATGACTCAAAAAATCAATGTTGCTCTTAATCTGAGAATGGTATTGATTCGCTGAGATAATGAGATACTTTGTCCTTTACATTAAACATAAATACTGGAATGCCATCTCAGAAAAATATTATTCAACTAAACAGGTCCACTAAATAAAGTCTCCTAAGATCCATTAAACGGTTACATAAAGAGTCATCAAGATTTAAAGTTATATTTGTTCAACATTAAACAGTCTCTTTCTCTGTGTCCTTTTTAGAAATAATTTGTTTCCCAACTCAGTTCTACAATTATCTAATATTTTCTTATTTTACCTCCTACACTGTTCACTGCTGGTCTTGTTTTGGATGATTAAGGTTAATGCTGTGGTTTCCAACCCACCTGAGTCTTCTGTATATTTTGGCTCTGTTCTAGGTTGGTACAATCGGCTCTACATTAACTTCATCCTACGTAGACATATCTTCTTCTTCATGCTTCAGACATACTTTCCCACCATGCTGATGGTGATGCTGTCTTGGGTGTCATTCTGGATTGACAGAAGAGCCGTGCCTGCCCGTGTCTCTCTGGGTACCAACAAAGTTCATTTATATGTCTGCTCGATAATGTTGTGGTTTGATTCCAGCAACCATGCGATCATATACCAAGTCTAAAGCACATGACTTCAATTCAACTCCCAAAGACAACAGATCCTTTTCTGTATCAGTGGGCAACACATCAACCATATCAATAATTAATACATCAATTCTAGCTTCACGTTGTTTTTATATGTTCTCTCCTACAGTCCTGAGCTGTGAAATGAAAAGTTGTGCTGTGTGTCAACGAGTAGTCACAGTCACATAATTGTTACAGTTTTTTGTTGAATCCAGGTCACATCATAAAGTATGCAGAATCTGTTATTCTCTGAGCCATGCCAGGGACCCAAAGCACTTTGTTATAAGGGAAAAAGTCTATACCATCTCATTAATGAGGCACAGGCAAACATTGTCCACTAAATAACTAAAAACTTGTAATCAAAGCATATCTCTTGATAATTAAAACTTTAAAATTCAGCACCTACTCCTTTATATATTTTGGGGGTTTTATATAAAATTGATTTTTGAAATGATTGATTTTAGTAATTGTCACAGGGAGCATTAGTTTATATTCTTTGAGGTAAAAATACAAAGTCAGCTCTTTACTGTTCGGCTTGCTTTAGCAGGCACTGACTGATGATGTCTATACTGTGCAGCTTGATTGAAATACGATGTGATATGTTGTTTGATGTTGATTTTGATAAGACCTACTGACCTACTTTGACATGTGTAGCACTCATCATAATCCGCTCTAACTTTGTGAAACAACATTTTTAACGGTTTTTTTCCCTGGTGCTTTGTGTTTCTAGGCATCACCACAGTTCTGACAATGTCCACAATCATCACTGGTGTCTCAGCCTCTATGCCGCAGGTGTCTTACGTCAAAGCTGTAGACATCTACCTGTGGGCAAGCTTCCTGTTTGTCTTTCTCTCTGTCATTGAGTATGCAGCGGTCAACTATTTCACCACGGTGGAGGAGATGAAGAAACTCAAGAATGCAAAGGTTTTTCCTATCCATTCTACAGTATACCTTCTTAAAATGATATTATTGAAAGTAATAACACCCCCCTTTCTCTTGATGCAGATCCCCAGCACCTTCAATAACACCCAGGCTATGGCCTTTGACGGTTGTTTCCATGACAATGACATCGACTTGGCCTCTTTCCCTGAGGTTGCCAGCAGCACAAACACAGAAAGAAACACCCAGTCTCGAAACTCTACTGTGTCTGCACCCACAGAGGGAACCAGGTTGCGCCGCAGGAATACTTTAAAATACAACCTGAGCTTCATCATGAGCAACAGCTACATGATCGACTCCTACTCAAGAGTTATTTTTCCTCTGGCTTATCTCCTCTTCAACATCATCTACTGGAGTATGTACGCGTAGGACTCTGACTGGCACAGAAAAGACTTTCTTTCCACTGTTTCAGATATTTTAAAAACTGTTATAATCTTATAAGAAAATGATGATATTTGCTCAGCCTCTGTGAATGACCTCAAGTTTGTTCAGTGGCTGCTGCTGAGCAAAAAGGTTTCTTTCGTGATGTTTTATATTCAAAAAGCTGAGATCGGCTGCTGTGAATGGCTGTTTTTCCTCTCTATCTTTTTTTGTAAATGTTTATGAGTGTCAATTGTGAACTTTTTTAGCTTTGATTTGTTGATGAATTTAACAGAAAACATTGAATTCTTTAAATATTTTAAATCCCACCTGCAGCCCTACTAGGATTAAGCAGAATTTACAATGGATGGTTTGAATTAAAAGTTGGTTGCCAGCATACAAGGTGTGTATTCTTGAGGTCTATTAAGTGCATTGAATTCCCATTCAAAGAGCATTTACAAAACCCCCACAAAGTTTAATTGCATGTTTTTTAAAAGTTTTTTTAAGTTAGTCATCTTCATCTTCATTCCATTTGAAAACAGATTGTGGTAGGTCACCATCCCCCTTTTTCTAAGGATAACAGAGCTAGAAGTAGCAAGAGCATGTTTCTGACACAGATCAATGAAGAAATAGACTAAAGGTATTGACTTGGTATATAACTTGACATGAACCAAAGGTTCAAATTTAACTAAAAACTCAACGATAAACAACATTTGATTTATGCAGAATTTGAAGTTTGGTTTCAGCTTTGAAAACATGTTTAAGTCTGTCTTAATTGGTCTCTGTCTTAGGGAAATGGCTCTCAAGATGTTCTGTGAACCACCTTTATTCAACACCTGCATGCTAAATTGGTCCTGGCAGGCTACAAAAGCAAATAATTTAATGCCTGAGCTTGAATGGAGAATTCCCAAACACACTTGATGGACAATAAGACCACTGAGGCCCTGCAACAAACTGCTAAAAAACTAGACGAGATGTAATGACTGAGTTATACACTAACAAAAGTTTATGCAGGGCTTTCAAATAACAAACAGAACAAAGGACATTTCCATTTTTCTGTAAATGTCACATATGAGAAAATGCTCTGATAAGAAAATTGAAAATCTGTACTTGTAGCAATGCATGTGGCTATTAAATAATTAATCCAGTACTGAATCGATTTAGATAAGCCCCATCTCATTACATAACAGCCACACCTCATATACTCTGATAAATTTTTTAATCGATTTATGTAAAACAGAAGGGGAAAGAAGAGATTAGCCTATATGCCATGAAGTCAGTTAGACATGGTTGCATAATAACTAGTAACAGAGACAATTACTTGCCTCTGCGAAGGAGAGGATGTAACCGGTAGAGCAAGGTTAGAGATAAAGCAAAGGAATACACTGAGTGGTGTTTGCAAGCACAATTATATAAAAAACATCAATATAAATTTCTGGATCACAGAAATCTAATAAAGAGATTTGCAATTAATTTAACCAGATTGGGCCAAATTTAGAAGCAATTATCTTTGGATATCAGCTTCTGCTGAGAGCAAAGCACCACCCTTTCTAACAGACAGGAAAGTATGAGTAAGTTTACTCGCAGTGGATTGCCTGCTGTGTAATTTCTGATATGTTTATTCACAGCATGATGGGACTGAGTTGGAGGAAAGCAGCCCTGGGGTTCCAATTACATAAAATATGAAACCAAGAAGACAAAAAAGACCATTATAGATAAAACAGGCAGGAACAAATTTAACTGGATAAACTGATAAACTAACCTCTCAAAAACATAAACTGAAAAGTCTCAAACGGGTGCTTGGAAAAGTTAACAGGTAAGCTGGTGGAGTGATCAGACCAAAAGACAAGCGACATCTGGTGGATAGAAAGGTGTAACGCATAAATAGACAGCATGGAACACCTGAATAGGACAGTGACACTCAGAGGAATCTAGCATGTCCCCACACACATTATGTTAAATGTTACCAGCATGCAAACCCACGGCAGCATTTGTATTACAGAACACATGTTGCAGTGTATCCCGCAATCATTGAAACGTTTTAGGAGCGAAGATCCCTTTTTCCTTAAATTTGATGTTTACAGTTCATTAGGTAATTGAGCGAGGTTATCATAGTTCAGCATTCAGTGCCGTGACAGTTTACAGTTTTTGTTAGCTTAATGTTTATAAACTGTGGCACACATATCTCTCTGTCAGTCGGCTGCATGCAAATTATGGGTTTTATAATTCAGGGTGCTTTTGTTAACATTCAAATCATTTGAGACGTTGTACTGTATGATATACTGTACACTATGTTTTACATTTGGATTCATGTTTACTTCCTTTTTCCATTCGAGCCCAGGCCCTGGCTCCTAAAAGGAAGCTACAGTCTTTTGGGTTTTCTATTCATAACATTTACAACAACCTTTTTAACGTGGATATTGAATGCATTTTTAACTTGTTAACTTGTCAGCATTCAGTCCCAACTCAAATTCTGTGCCACTCCTCCAGACTGTGACTGTGCACAATACAATGTTTGCCTTTTCAAATACAGGTTAAAAGGCACAGCGGCGAATGGAAGTGGAATGTGTTTGTTATCTCTGCAGTGGGGACATTGTCGATCCTCTCATTAACACTCCTGAAAAACTGGTGTAAAAGATGAGGGTAAATGTATCAATGCTTAAAGCAGTTTGAGCTCTGCAACGTTTCCCTGGAAACAACGTTTCTGGCGCACCGACAGGGTTCGGACACACCCTGAGGCGCACCTTGACAGCTGAACAAAAATAGAAATGCAATTCAGTTCCCTTCCAAAGCAACAAGGAACCTGTTTTTTGAAGAAACCATTTTATACTGGAAGAGAACAATGGCTTTCTGTGACCTTTTGTTCAAAGAAATTCCTCTTCAGCTGGTGGATTTTTGGGCACCAATTGTTGAGCAAGACATGCTTGAGCTGAAATGAATGTATGTGACGTCCACCTGTACAGTGTGACGTTTTCGGGGCGTGCCACATGTCACAGGTATTCTGCCTGCACAAGTCCCAGCGGAATTACACGGCTAAACAGAACAAGCCACTTCTAAGTTAGCATGAAAAATGTAAGTGCAGTTTAGCGTTGTTTTGATTATTGTGGTGGTAAACTATGTTCCCAGGAAATGAAGAAGTAATGGGAGCTCCTGGGATTTGTTCCTGTAGATTTTCCAGCCGTCCCACGTTGCCGCCCCCATTCAGGTAAAAGATTATATCTCATTAAACTTTAATTACATCTAGACAAAGCTGGATCTAGATCAGCTCTAGATTAGTTTTAATTATTAGACACATCGAGTTGCCTGAGACTCTCACTGTTGTAATGGATCAGTTTTTAAAACAAGTTTTGTTTTATATATTTTTTAACACAGTTAGTCTCCCATTTGTAGTAGTAACTTGTTTTGTAAGAACTTGGCACTTTGTTGCTCAAATCATATTTACAATGTTGGACATAAAGTGCCTTTCAAAAAGGAGTCTAGTGTTAGAAAACAACTGCTAAAACGCCATTGATTGCAAATTGATAAAGAAGACTAAGCTTGAACAATTATACAAGTCTTTAAGTTGTTTTAATTGTGACAACAGAAATGTTTTAAATCTTCTGTGAGCAGCACTTACATAAATAACAATGTGCCGTTTATAAGAAGCAGTGCATCCCTGTAGAGTAAAAAATGGTTGGAAAATTGTTGGCAAAATTTATTTCCAGCAGTTTATGATTTAAACTTTTATTTCTTGAGGACAGAGGAGATCAAACAATCAGTAATTGATAAACCTGTTGGAAGGTTTTCATATTGAGCAAAATACAGGTTTTCATATTAGGCAAATATGGGTGTGGTGGGAAAAAGAGTATGTAACAGGTTAAGACGCCCTTTTGAAATCTTTTTGAATGACAACTTTTTCTAACACATGTATAGCAACTTATTGTGAAAACTGACATTATATGTATTTCAGAGTGAAGAGGCCTGGTTCTCACAGTAGATGTACTCTGTGGATGATGACACTGCTGACAGTTATCCTTCTAGCAGGTAACATCTGACATGAAGGACGACTGATAAGACTTAAAGGACACAAAGGAGCAGAGGCATCTTTTGTCACCTTTATCAAAACTCTGCGCCTCTACTTATGAACTACAATGTCTGGCTTGCTAACACACACACAGATCAGTTAAATTCCTTTATAATAACCTGCTCGTCTAGTTTGATTCGTATCCGTTTACTCATCACAGATTTCACAAGGCTTTGGTTTCTTTGTAGAAAGCAAAAGAAAATATGACTAAGGTTTGATGAAGCTCGATCTTCTCTCTTCTCTCCACAAGCAGATGCATAAAATCCTCAACAATAACATGCCCTAACTAACATTTCCTTAATTTTTCCAAATTAGGCCAAGCTTTTGGTCAGCCACCCATAGTTTCTCCTTCCACTACTCTCACTCCAAGAACGGCTGCTCAAACCTCAGGTAAATTCAGTTCCATGGAATAACACGTTGATATGATATCTGTCGTTTTATCTATGCTATCTGTTCATGGCACAAGGAAGCAAATGCATTTGAAATAATTGAAATTGATTGAAATGGAGATAATTGAATTGTGTGGTCTAACTGTGCTGTAATGCTGCATTTTCCTGATATCTGAGATTCTTTCTGTACTAAAGAGCTTCTTTGTGTAACTCTCAACTGACACCTCCTGGTGACTGGCAGGTCGAAATTTTCATTGAGAAAATGTTGACAGAACCTTTTTTATTTTTCCGATCAGATCAAGTTCCCAGAACTCAGACCTTTGCTGCTCCTTCCACCTCTCTCACTCCTCCAACAGCTGCTAACACTTCAGGTAAATGAGAGACAATAAAAACCCAACCCACTGTCATGGCATGTAGGTCCTCCATGCCAGCAGTGCTAAGGATAAAACATATTTCCTTTGGGATATACATAAATATTCTAAATCTGTCCTTCTTATGGCAGCATATTACTCTCTTGATGTCACTGTGAATTGCACTGTTTGGAAGACAGAACCTGAAATTTTTGTATGGGTAAGTAAAAAAAACACAGTTAAGTACTGGCTTTTAGAATATTTGTTGTAAATGGAAGTGAAATTGATGATTCTCATGTTCATTTTCACAGCTTGCCCAGGTTTTCCAGCAGGGCCTAAAGGACTGTCTATTTTCAAACCCTGAACCAACAACTGCTGCTTTCACTTCTCCACACGCCACGACTGGAATCAAATTAACTCAGACCGCACTAGTGAAAACAACACAGGAAACGTACAACTCGACAGCAGCTGCAGCGGCCACTAATGGAACTACAGCTGCGACGTCAGGAGGGCCAGAGGGAAATGGCACAACCACAGAAACGACAAATATTGGCACTATATCTACAACTACAGCTCAAAATGTCAGACTGATCCAACATACATCTGCTGATGTCAACCTCAGTGTATCATATCAGAGCAGGTATCGTTGAGATTTCTGTCAAAAGCATGAATTAGATAATCAATTGAAATTTGCAAGATGTCCTTAAAGAAGTATGGGATCACACTTTTGCAATTGTTTCATTTATTCATATTGAATCTACATGTAAACATTCAATGCGAGAGATCTTCAGGTCCGTACTGATGCAGTTAGTTTCCTCTACAGTAATGGTAGATTCGAGACCTTACATGCCTCTTTTGCTGGTCAACAGCCACATCATTTTTAAGATATGAGCACGATGAATTTCAGGATTCTTCTTGGATAAAATCATCCTGTGTTGATTTGCAGTTGTCCTATGAGAGTAGGTCAACTAAGCATGGATTATGAAGTAAACTGACATCCTATACATTAATGTTATGGTTACTTTTCAGTTTGATCAGAAATTATACAACTTCACTCTTTCAAGTAAGTTATCAATTACATGAATCTTTGTTTTTAAAAGTAGCCTATGTAAATCGATGTGGTGTCTGAAATGGACTTGTTTGTTTTTGATAGGCAATGGAGGTGTCGTGTGATAAAAAAACGGATATAAGGTTGGTGAAATGACAAACATTTGCATATGACTGGCCAGTGTGTATCTCATAGGTCGTTTGTCGTTAAAACTGGTGTTATACTCCAGGAATACAAAATGCTTTGTGGTGCTACACCTGAGTCAGAGAGTGCGTCCATGCTGCATCCTCCAAAAACTCTGCGCCGCCAGTAAAGATTCCACAGATATTTATGTGGTGGGAAAAAAAGCTGATAGAATGCGTGAGTACCATATTCTATCACTAGAAAAAATATATTATTCCCAATCTGATAAGATGCTATTCTGCAATAAAACCTTTGTTTCCATTTACAGAGTTGCACCAAAATGACTGCAATAGTAAACCACAAGAAGATCAAGAGGAAAACACTTGCATTTATCCTGGTCCACTGGATGCATCGTGGTAAGGCACTTGGTACTCATTCAGTATATTCCAAATGTAGAAAAACAACATAACTCTGTGAAGACAGAATAGAAAATCCTGGGTGGTTGAGATCAGTCGAAAAATAATTACTTATAATGTGGTCCATTTAGCTCCTGACACTAAAAAGAAGCTTTAAGCAAATCCTTAAAAACCAAAAGAAAGAGAACTTTTGTTATTATGACCACTCTGCCCTGCAATGGATTGGCGGATCACCCAGGGTGTGCCCTGCCTCTCCCCAATCTTCGTTCTTTGGTCTTTAAACTTTGAATCATGCAGCCCACTCTTGTGAAAGGTTGGGACAAAAATGTTAAATTGTAGTCAACATTAGTGATCCACTCACGCCTTTTTTAATGCTGTGTTCTTAACAGTGAGAAGTCTGGGCCTTCATACGTGGTTACAGAAAGCAATTCAACTCAGTGTGACGCAGGTGAGCCTTGCACCTGCATTCTACCCTTCATTCTAATATACTGAAATAATGACGAAGATTTACTCATTTAATATTTCACCTTTTTTTTTCTTATTTTAAATTCAAGTTGAATTGATTTATCGTAGAATGTCAAAATGCATTTGCTTGCAAGCAGTACAGACTGAACATCTGATGATATTGCATTATATTGTCATAGGAATATGATACGCTATGTATTAATTAATGAACATAGTTTAAAAAAAAGAGTTTATTAAGGGATGAATAAATCATGCTGACTTTGTTTCAGATAACTGCAGCTGCTCTGCTCACTGCAATAAATCTGGTCAGTGTTTCATCTTCTGAAAAATAGAAAATAATGAACAAATAAAGCAAATGAATTAATGTAACCAAATTGTTCATATATCTATATAATACATTTTGATTTTATTTTTAGAGGCATTCTACACTTTTTCTGTTTCACTGCGTGACCCAAGGACAAACTCCTCAAACGTCCCCCTTCTGGTAACCCCTTATTCATTCTCACATGTCTAACACAGGACATGTCAATACTGTTGACAATCTTATTGCCTCAGATGTTAATATTTTTAAGTGATTTTTGTAGATGCCACTGCTGGAAAAAACACAAATTTGCAATATCACATCGGAGTAAGTTTTGCCTTTTGTCAATTGTGTTACAATTTCATTTGGAATTAATACCAGAGTAATAAGGTATATATTAATTAAGGTTTTTGTAATTTTCCTTTGCAGGGATAAATGTCAAATGCGCATCACTGCCTGTGAATACCAGGTAATTAGATACAAACATATCATAATATTGCCAAATATTCAGGTTCTGTGAAATCATTTTGTCCATTTCTGAGGGCAAAATGGATCAAAGTGCCATTTGTCTTCTATTTCCTTCTTCTCATATTTTGTTTGTTTGTTTAATTTACAATTGAAAAGAAAACATCGAAAATACCCTCAAGCAGTTAACTGTTGACATGAACTTATGCAAACTAGTCTGTAACCAGATGACACAATAACCCATTCAACTGGTGCCATGGTGGAGAATATAATTTTGTTTGTAAGAATTTCTTGTGGGATTGCTGCACTCAGTAAAAAGCATTTTTAATCTAGAATCCATATATCTCCTTAGGATGCTGATGGGGAAGGGAACGACACAGCAACAAAGTGAGTGTGCTCACGTTTTTATTTTCATACAGCTGTAGCGTGCAGCTTTTTATGGATAAATACATCTGCCATTACTCCACATTTAGCCTAATCTGTTTTCTAATATATATTTTTTATATTGAAGCCTTCAAAACTGCCAAGTGGTTTTAAGCTTTGCTCGCGAGGTCCCGATCTGCTCTGTGGCAGAAGCTGTGAAGGATGCGTTTCGGTCGGAAAAATACATCAGTTACGATGGGAAAGTCCAACGAGCAGGTGGAGATTTTATCTGATAAAGGGATGAAATATCATATCCTACAGGCTGGATGGAATAACTGCAGTTATATAATAAGTACTTCTATTTGTGCTTCAACTTTTATGTCACACAGCAATTTGTGGAAATGTGGAAGTCGACGACAATCCTCCACAGGCCCAGTTCAAATGGCTTGACAGCTCCCTAAAGCATTCTGAATTCTGTTCAGAAACAAACAAATCTGACATCAAATTATGGTTTGTATCTCTCCCATATAGTATCTTCTACATTACCTCTACAAAGCTTCCCAGGCTCATTGAATGATTTTGGCTTGTTCATACGCTGTCAAAACATTTTATAAACAGAATTTCTCCCCCAGTCTCAGTTAGTCCTGTTTTTCTTTTTATATTTCAGCCAAAATGGAACAGTTGTGGTGGTGAGGCTGAATGAGCAGTGTGTTGTTGCTATGCCTACTGGCAACCCAAATGCTACAACAGTACAACCCAGCACGACCCCCATGTCTGTAAATGGGACTTCATCCATCCCAAACACAACAGCAGAAACAACACAACAGAACACAACAATCGTCCTCAATGTAACCACAGCGACACTTAACACAACTGTTAATGCTACGACCACAACGACACTTAACACAACTGTTAACGCCACCACCACAATGACACTCAACACAACTGTAAACGCCACCACCACACCAACACTCAACATAACTGTTAACGCCACCACAACGACACTCAACACAACTGTTAACGCCACCACAACGACACTCAACACAACTGTTATTGCCACCACCACAGCAACACTTAACACAACTGTTATTGCCACCACCACAGCAACACTTAACACAACTCTTAGCATCATGACCACAACACCAAACAGAACAACAATCACTACAACAACATCATTTTCTGAGACCACTTCGGGGATCACAACAGCAAATGCAACTGGTGAGTGACCTCCTCTGCACTGTTTACAACTAATGCTGCAACTTTTGCAAAGCCATAGAAACTGAAAAGCAACAACAAGCTGGCGAAAACGAAAAAATCCTTCTAAATCTGGTTGATTTCAGCTGAAGGAGAAGCCAACGCACTGCTTGACCTGACCAAAGACATCTCCAGCCTGTCCTCAGAGCAGATAGACCAGCTGGTGTCTCAACTGGAGGGTCTTTTGTCGGGCCCAACTGTCAGCTTGGCGCTGGGAAACCTCTCCATCAACATCATCAGCAATCTGCTGGACGCCTCACCCGAGACGCTGTTGAGCTCCTCTGAGAGGTAGCACGTCAATTCGTACGCAAGACAATCCAGAGAAAAGTCAAAGAGAGAGAGCTGAAGACTTATTGCAGGATTATTTGTCTCCATCAGGATGATAGGCATCACTGACACGGTGGGGTTGAAGCTGGTCATCGGAGAAAATCCCCAAACTCTGTTGTCCCCAGCTGTGGCTTTGTCTGTGAAACCAGCAGATGGAACCAATTTCCAGGAGGCTGTCTTTACAATCTCAAACCCCGATAACGTACAGGTAAGACTTGAGTGCTGAGCAGCATATTTTGCATTGTGCCTCGTTGTGTACCTGAACCAGGCAAAGTTCTGGACATAGCTAGGTTTAGGTAGTGTCATGTGTATAGGGGTTTGTAAGTTTCAGAAGCCAAGTAAGCAAAATTAAGGAAGTGTCGCTGAGTATTTTGACTTCATTCGTTTTTATCAAAGGGAAAATACATGAAAAGGTTAAACCATATTTGAATTACGATCCACATGAAAATGTATTTTGAGGTAAACTAGGTCAAAATATTCTTACTGTGAACCAACTCACCTTCCTCCAAACAACACGACTGCAGGGAGATTTGAGTACATCCCTGGATTATACTTGCTGCTGTGCATGTAATGAGGTTTTGAAGAAAAATTAGACCAGCCGAGAGATGTCAGTGGGCCCAAACAACAATCTGTTTGTAAAGCCTTTGTCTCTCCGCCCGTGTGCCATGTGTGCTGCAGGTCCGTGGGGATCAGAGGATGAAGAGAAATGTAATGAGAGACTCCTCCGCCCCTCAAGGCTCCATCAGGCTGCCCCCCTCGCTCACCGAGGGCCTAACCCCAGAGGAACAGCAGCTGGTCTCCAGAGTTCAGTTTAATTTCTACCAGAAAAGCACACTGTTCCAGGTCTAAACTTTCAACCATTCTCATTAATATTCAAAGACAAACAGAGCTATTGTGCTATTGTTTGAATTACAGAGTTGAAAAAAAAATGTTTCCTGGAAAAAAAAACCCTGTAGGTCACAGTGAAGCTTTCTCTTTCCAACCTAACTGTTTTCATTTCTTTCCCCTGTGGATGACCACACAGGACAAGTCACTGGGAGAAAGGAAACTGAATAGTGGGATCTTGGGAGCAAGTGTGGCCAATCTGTCAATCACAGGACTTAAAGACAGTGTTGTAATAAAACTGAGAAATATTGAACCAGTGCCAGTAAGTTGAAGCGACTCTTCTGTCTTTCTTTTGAAAGTGCTTTTGTCAGACTTTTCAGGAGCAACAGGTGTGGACTTTGGGGTGAGGTTATGGTCTGTTCAATAAGGGCAGTTGAACATACAAAAAAAACTGATACAAACTTTTGCCTTTTCCCCCAAAACAACAGGGTAATTATGTGGCTACATGTGTTTACTGGGACTTCGAACTTAACAGTAAGTTTCCGAATTATGTTTCCCAGGACTCAGGTAAATGTAAACAAACAATTTTAAAAACAAATCTGTGCCCATAGGCGGTTCGGGGGGTTGGAATTCAGATGGATGCTCTGTTCAGAACAGCACAGACGATGAAACAATTTGTGGCTGCAACCACTTAACTAGTTTTGCCATCCTGCTGGTAAGAATGAGATCATACTTTCACACAGAAATTCATGTTAGATGATAGTTGAAAAGGCTGATCATTTAAGTTTGTTTTCTGTTTTTGCCCTTCCTCTTAAAGGCCCTCGACAGAGAGCCCTCAATCTCTCGTGAACAGGCCACCATTCTCACCTTTATCACGTACATTGGATGTGGAGTTTCTGCCATCTTCCTGTCTATCACCCTCCTCACATACTTGACCTTTGGGTGAGTTGATGAACTTTTAGTTTTTTTCCCCATTGCACTAAGAGTGTCTATGCTTTTTGTATGATCTACTTTGACTGTACATATGAAAAAGCAGGAGCTGATCTTTTTACTGCCATAATTTGCCCATAAATTAGCTTTTCATCTTTTTTGTAAAACATTTATAAATATTGATACATGTCATGTAAAGCTTTATAGGATGTTGTTTACAGACTGTACACATTCTTTAGAATGATTCTTTAATGTTTTAATAATTTAATCTGTGCAGGAAGTTGCGTAAAGACATCCCATCCAATATCCTGATCCATCTGTGCACCGCCCTGCTGTTCCTAAACCTCGTCTTCCTGGTGGATGCATGGCTGGCGCTCTATCCAGACGCGGAGGGACTCTGTATTTCCACTGCCTGGTTCCTCCACTACTTCCTGCTGGCCTCCTTCACTTGGATGGGACTGGAGGGTGTCCACATGTACTTGACTATTGTGAAAGTTTTCAACAGCCACATTTCCCGCTACATGCTGAAGTTCTCGCTGTTGGGCTGGGGTGTACCAATGATAGTGGTCATAATTGTCATTGCAATTGACAAAAATAACTATGGCCTTGTGTCCTACGGGAGGTTTACGGATGGCACGAGTGATGAATTGTGAGTCCTGTGAAAGTTGATTCATTTAAAATGATATGAAAACGATTCCACTGGACTAACGCTTTGATTCCTTTTTTTTTTTTTCAGCTGCTGGCTGACAAATGATGTTGCCTTCTATGTGGCTGTGGTGGCATATTACTGTGTCATTTTCGTCTTCAACGTCATCATGTTCATTTTAGTGTTGGTCCAGATCCGCCGGATAAAGAGGCAGAACCCTCACAACGCTCAACACCGCACCACGTTGCAGGATATCCGCAGCGTGGCAGGAATTACTATCCTCTTGGGCCTCACCTGGGGTTTTGCCTTTTTCTCCTGGGGGCCTGTTAACCTAGCATTCATGTACCTCTTTGCCATCTTTAACTCTCTGCAAGGTGGGTTGGTAGTGACAGCGCACATCATGACATAGGCACCATTCCGGCTACTTGGAGTACACGAATTAAAGTGATCAGAGATTTTCATAAGTCTCCTTTAAATATAACATGCATATGAGACATCATGACTGTTCTCTTAATTATGAGCTTTATATTAATCCTTATGTAATTTAATCCTAATCCAGATTTTTTTTTAAACTTTTTTCAGCACAGTGACCTATGTTGAAGTAGTATGTTTCAAATTGCCCAAATTGTCTTAATCTCCATGCCTCAAATGTCAGTGATAACACTCCACCATAGATCCAAATCTGCATTTGTACATCATGGGGATAGTCAACTTTAAACAAAGTTATGCTTACATTTGACTGGTAAGATATTGATATAGATTTTTGCTGCCCATGTAGGTCTCTTCATATTTCTTTTCCACTGTGCGGTGAAGGAAAATGTGAGGAAGCAGTGGAGGACCTACCTGTGCTGTGGCAGGATGAGACTTCCAGAGAACTCAGGTTCTTTTTTTTTTAAACACACACCATTTCATACATATAAAAATTGTAATACTTGTTATTTTGTTGATATAAGTAAACATTTTCTTTCTTCTTGATTTTATTTTAAAGAATGGAGTCGTACAGCAACACAAAAGACTGTGAATAGATTTTCACTGAGCAATGTGACATCTGTTAACTCTTCAAACTCCTCGCGTGGTAACAACATATCCAGCTCCTCTTTCATAGTCAGTGAATCTTCAGAACAGATGACCGGCATCAGTAAGGAAGGACATTTTTTTTTGTTTCTGGAAGGGAGGGGGTCAAGAGCAAAAAACAACAAAAAGGAAGGGCATGGAGGCGTAAGGCCCCGTTTATCCACTGTTTGTTTGAATGATTTGAAATAATGACAGTTATTTTGCATTACAGGTAGCCCATTTGAAGACAGAGCAATCACGGCTGATGAACTAAACATGGATGTGGTCCTCAACGAGATCAACAATCAGTACAGAAATCAGCATGGATCCTGAATCAAAAAGAGCGATTCAATCTGTGTACTGACTTGAGATACTTGTATATTCTGTAAATTCAGATTAATTTATTTAACTTTTTGATGACTACCCGTATATTGACAATGGTCCCCATTACAAAGGAAGTTATGTTTTCAGACATACAAAGTAAAGATGTTCATAAATCTTTACTCTCTGTTGGCATTGTTACAGTTTATATCAGCTCAATAGTATATTTTACACCCTGCTGTTCATCAAAAATCATTATGTTATTTGAGTCTAATCATATTCTACATGGAATATTGTGAAGTTACAAAAGCACTATGAATGCTTTCTAAGGGGAGGAAAGCCTATTGTTTAATACATAAATGCACATTTTATTAAAAAACTAGCGCACCTTTGAAACATTTTGTTTGGTTGTTTATGTAATGGTCACCAGTTACATCTTTGCAGCAGGTACAATCATAAGTTATAAAGAAGAGCCCCCAAATGGACTTTCAAATAGAGATATATATATCTAAACAAACAGACACTTTATTCATCCCAAAGGAATGTAGTGGGAAAGAATGCCTTGCTGTCAGGGAACCAAACCAGTCTGCTCCCATGTGACAGGCGGAGACATTCACCACTTTGCTAAACATGGATTTGTGTTGAACCAACACAAGCACTGTCCATTTTTCTCTGGAGTTCTCCTGAAAAGGTTCATTGAGCTCTGAATGCATTAGAATTTATTTTGTTCCATGCCTTCCCTGTGCAAGCTAACCCAATCTGAAATTATTCCAAATCGATAAAACTACTAAAATATTAGTTGTTTAATGCAAACATTTGTTTTAACGGCACATAAAAAAAAGATTGGTAATTGTTTTGTTACCGCTGAACCAGATTTTGAGAAAAAATTACATTTTTCCAAGCGGCACATGAATCTCCCTACATCAACCCAGAGTGGACAAACTATTTCCCAAGTCAGCTGTTGCAATGACAAACTCACGCCACAAGGTGGAGTTGTAACTAATGATAACATTTTTGTTTTAAATACAAGAAAGAAAATTATCTAAGAACAATTCAACTATCACATAAACAAATAAGCTGCAGGTCTTCACATCAAAAGATCAAGTAATTACCAATATTAGAGAAGTCACGTCACACACTTCATCAAGTTTCCTCCCAAAGCTTTTTAATGGGCATGGTCACAAAATTATCAAGAGGGACAGACAGCATTGGCTGAATCTACTATGAATAAATAAATGCCACACAGGCTCCATCAAATGTGCTGTGTACTGTAAGTATGCAAGCTACATTCACCGTCCTTTATATGCACCTAAAATAATACACATTTCAAATATATATATATATATATGAGAGAACTTAAAAGGTGCTAATAAAACAGAACATAAAAACAGCACGGGTGCAGGGTGGCAATAATGTGGAGGAATTGTTTCCCTTTTAAAAACACACTTGGACTTTTCAGTCTCATTTGGCATGTTAGCATGCTTCAATCATGCCTCAATCTCAATCTTAAATTATCAGATAACCTTTGATAGCAGTAACAAAAGCTTAAAAGCATTTCTTGTAACGTAAGACCTCAAGGTAAAAAAAAAAAGAAAAAGAAACAACACATTTATTGTAAGATGAGTCACACCACATTATCAGTGTATCAAATCAGTGTTTCAACATCTAACAGTTCCTTCAGAGCACATGCACAATAGGTCAAATCTAGTGACACAACCAAACACAACAGGTACGTTGTAGGAAAACATGGTAAAACACAAGTAAAACATAGGGATGAGAAAACTCAAGAGCTGGTTTTACAGCAAGAGGGAAGTAGAAACATCCATCACCTTAAGATGAAATCAGACTGAACACAAGGTGAGTTTTTGTTTAGATTTCCCCCACACCAACATGGCTGTAATAAGGTGGAGTGTTCTGCAGCCTGATTCTTGTTAACTAAAAACTGCTGTGTGCAGGGAAGCTGTGAGCCCTGTAAACAATAATGGGGACAAAACTGCAATGTGCCAAGTGGAGTGTCTGTCCAAACCTGACATTAACGGGTCCTGGATTATCTGGTGTGCTGTGGCACCACTACTCAGACGGCATTTACACCAGATCTGAACCACAAACAGCCACATCCTTTCTACCGAGGACTGTCTACTCAGCCAGCTCTGCGTAAACAGATCATTTCAGGTATATTGCTGCCTCCCACCTGCTGAAAACAATGATTATTTGGCATTTGCAAACAGAAATGATGAAACATGTATTGCTCATAAAGTCTGGAAGGACAGTTCCATCACAAGTGGTCACTTGAGATGTGGTCAACAACCAGGGGGAAAGAGAGAAACTTAAAGCCAACTAAAGATGCTCGGTAATGTCAGGTCTGGACAGGGAGCGTATGCCAATCAGTCAGTGGCTACCTTATTTCACTCGTTCTCATCCCAAATGAGAATGTGTTAATCAAATGATTGCAAACCTATCTCTGGTGTTCAGGTCACCTTCAGTCTGAGGACACCTTTGGGGCGACAGCAGATGTTAGAGGAGCATTCCCACATTCACATTCCAGATGCTGGGAATTCAGGGGGAGCATACTGGAGGTCTTTACTTCTTCCATGCAGTGTAGAAAACCCATCTGATCAGTATCATTAAGGATTCAACCAAAACATTTTTATAGGGATCATTAATGACAATCAGGCTTTCAGGTCGTTGACATGCATTTCATCTTTTGAAGCTAACCTTGGTTTAAAAAAAAAAAAAAGGATACTGCTCCAAGTAGGAGGGCACACACACCACCTCTTTGCGGAAGTCCACTGGACAGGAGAGCTTAGCCAGCTGCTCCTCGTACAGCCTCAGTGCCTCTGTCAGATTCACACTGTTGCCCTGGTGACAAGTGAGAGAAACAGAGGTTGATAGCACCTCACAATCCAACACTTAGAAAAACTTTTATTAACGAAGCCGCTGTGATCCTGGGGGGAGCTGTGTCTTAATCAGACAGCTTCTTCTTTTTCTCCCCTAAATATAGTCGAGTTATAAAATAGTACAGCTCTAGTAGCTCACACCGACACTGATAAAAAGTAACTCCTCAAATAAGAGCCCAAGTCTAGTTGAGCTGGAAATGTGGATGTGCAGCTGTGTGAAAAAGATGCAACTTTCACAAAGACTTAGAATATATTCTGTACTCTAATGCCTATTTATGCATCGATCAAACTACACAGGAAGTTACATGTAAAAGAGGATGGAAATAAGAGCGTGTTAGAGTTTCTCGGCACCTCGCATATTAAACTATCCACTTTCTTTTTTCCCCCATAATTCATACAGCAAAAAGGTGTAATGTAACCAGTTTTACTTTACAAAACCACCCACCTGTGTGAAATATTTCCCTTTAGGGTGCAGGACACGTATAGACAAATCCAAGATAAGACGCAGGAATTCCCACGTAGAGTCTGCAAAACAAAAAAGAAAAACAGAAGTTAAACACTGGCTCCTCCATAAAGTGAAGCCAGTGTTTACCTTCTGTTAAAACACTACTGGACAGAGTGGACAGTAGGTGCAAACCTTCTTCTGGTGCAGTGGATATTGGGATTGCTGTGAGGTCGTTAATAACATAATCAAAAGTCCTTCCTTCCTGGACATACTTCTTGAGCAGAGGGACACAGTCTTGTATGAGTATCTGTGAACCATGAAAAAAAGAAAGAAAGAAAAAAGAGGATTTTACTAGATGGGGACAATTCGTTTTTGCTTTTTTGCTTTATCCGAAAAGTAAAGAAACGTATTTTCTGTGTGTTGGAATAACACTCGGCTTTTCAGGCACATTGCAGGTGTCACTAATGCAGAGACGTGGATATTCATCCAGTACTCACTTGGTAACAGTCTCCTCTCAGGTTGTCAAGGATATTGCCGCAAGTTTTTCTCATGTGCATCTTGCACCCGTCTATCACCTTCTGATCAATGTGGAGACTTTGTTAAGAAAAAGTGTTACATTTCGTGAGTCTGTGACCGAAGACTACACGGTCGGGGGGAGGTGGTATCAGAACAGAGTCTATAAAGGATATCTCCACCATGGTGATCATCTTTGGCTTTTGTTTGACCAACTCTGCAAGGATGCCCCCATCTCCTCCTCCTAATATCAGCACCTCTTTTCCAGCGTAATTCTCCTTCCCACTGCCTGTGATTGCCTGAGTGTAGGCAAGATCGCTTTCTGCCAAGTCTGAAAGACAAATGTGATAGTTTTGTCGGCAAATGATTTCATGTATTCGCCTCACTTTTATGTCTGCTTTTAATATTACTGCCAAATTCATGTGTTCTGCAGTGTTGTCCGAACTTACTGACATCTCCATCGAGCACCAGGATATTTCCATACTGCTGCGAGTGCAATATCTTTATGTTTTGGTATTCTGAATCTTCTTCGTACACCACCTGGTCAATATCATACTCCATCAACCTGCCGTCTGCTGTGGGCCAGTATCGGTCCACCTTTGCTCCTCGCGTGAGGGCTGGGAGCCTTTCAAAGGGAAAAAGGAGAATAGCGGCTAAATATTAACAGCAATGCTCAGGTGTTTGCAAACTAACAAAACAACATGAAGTCTCAGGTCCTTACTTTTTAATCCTTGCAATATTGCCATTTAAGAGAACTTTCAACTTCTTTTCCAGTGCATTTAAAAGCTGTGGAGAAAGAACACATTTGTGCACATCTGTAAACAATTATTTCCCCATTTCTCTTGACAATCTTGAATCTGCTCCTCCTGAAAAGCGTTCTACAAGTGTACTTACATTGTCTAGTTGTGCGGCGTTATCCTCTTCATAACACTGCAGGTCAATGGTGACCAGCCCATGGGAGTGCACACGCAGAATGACAAACCTGACAAATTGTACAGATGGATTGACACAAAAAACATAATCAGCGCATAAAGAAGTTTGGCTTATAAAACACCTAACGTGAAAACTTTTGAATCCATCTTCAGCTGTAATGAAGCAAACTGGAAATATAAGGTGTTATATAATATATTTGGAACTCCATCGAACACAAAGTGACTTATGCGTTTTGGAGATGCTTCAGATTTCTAGATAAAAGCTTTGGTAAAAACTCAATGACCCAGCAAGATAAGAGAATAATCACAAATAAATAATCAGCATGACATCACTGAGGGCCAGTCTGATGTGTCAACTTAAAAGGAGTTTGACGGGTTGAACAAGTTGACTAAAGCTCCTCAATGCAGACCGCTTTCTATCTCTCACTTGGTCCTCATTTCCCATCAAGTAACTTTTTCAGTTTTATGCTGAACCCAGGACGTCTGACAGGAACGAGTCCTCACAGGTCGTCAGTGACCCTCACAGCGTGGGGTGGGGGTGGGGCATACGGGTATTTTTCTATTAATAAAAGTGTTTGTGTTGTAAAAACATACTCCTTGCAACTTGGGATGTCCGTGCCACACCTGCTTGCGAGAATGAATAATTGGCACACAGATTTGGTTGATGTGACAGATATGAAGACTACAAGTCCACATTACAAGAAGGCCAGATACGGGGAGGGAAGTCCATGAGCAATTCAGCGTCAGTAGTTCTCCAGGAAACCATGTGCAACTCATTTACTCCTAAATATTTTTCTGTTGGTCTGGGAGCTTTGTTCCACTTTTTTTTAGGATTACAAATAAAGTGACGTGTTGTGATTACAGTGTTTTAAAAATGACTGTGTTTGAATTACTGCCACTTCCCCTTTAGTCAAGCTTGAAGTCAAACTGAAGAGCACTAACCCGCAGTCTTCAAAATGGGACACATAGGACACTCTTTTTGCCCTCTTATTATTAAACTGTGACCGATCTAAAAATTTTCAGACTTTGTGTTGAAATTTACAGGAAACGATTTCTCAAGACTGACAAATCTTTAAAGAGATACACCCTCACACAGGCAGCGTTATGTCATGAAAAAAGGAGACACATGCACGCACACACAAACACAACTTTACTGATGAAATAAGGAAAATGCAGTTTTTAAGGACACGCTCAGTAGGTGTCCTCCTGCACGTACATCCAAGGGTCATAAAAAAAAAAGAGAACAGTAAGGAGAAAAAAATTAAGAAATCTAGATTATCTTTTAAAATAAACCATTACAACATTATAAAGGTATAAATGGGTTAATAATTCTTTAAGCTCTAAAAATGGGATGGTCGAGATCTGTGACAGATACGGCAGAGGCACCGTGCACTTACCGTCCATTTTTTCCAACAAATGTAGCAAGGTAACCCTGCCCATTTGTGTCATGAATTGTCTCTGTCAGTTCCTGCTCATGAAATATGGACAGCAAGCCAGGAACTATCGAGGCAGATTCCACTGAAAATACACAGATAAATAAAATTGTAAACACCATGCACATCCAGTGTCTGGAAATACTTCCTTTAACACTGTACTTCCTTTTCTGCAGCACACCTAAAACATTTGTTCCACGTGATCATCCTTTGATTGAGATGTTATTAATAAATCCTGATTATTCTGTGAAATGAGGTGGGCTGTTGGACTTGTCCCAAACTAAACCTACTTAAGGGGAAGGTTTGTTTTCATGTCTACCTTGACAGGATTATCTGCACAAGAACACTGTTAAAGTGAGTTAAGGTTAAGTGTGGGTCACACTCATAATCACCGTTTCGTGGAACGTGTACACCCACCCACTCCTCACACCCCCCACCCCAAAAAAAACTACAAAAATGGCCTAAAACCGCGCCACTTCCTATGCGACACCGCTGAGTTCAACATGTTTAATTCACATTGTTAGCCAGACAGGCACGGAGCCGCTTTCAAGCTCTTGGGGACAGGACGAATTCAATTTAATGTTAAGGTCCATGCTCACGAACGAGCCGAGTGCAATAAAACAATTTTGTCTTTGTAAATGCTCACTTTTAACCCTAAGTTGACGCACATGTCCGGGCCACTTTCCGCATACATCAGTCTAACGCCACCGCTCTGAAGGGCAACTGAAGACTAGCGGGTTAACGTTAGCTAGCTAGCCAGCCCGCTAGCTAGCTGGAATAAAGCTCGCGTGCAGTGACCGTAAACTGAGCGTACAGTCCGCGGTCATGTGCACGTTGCCCTCTCCCTACCTGCAGTAGAAAGGCTAACGTCGAGGGTGTAATGTCGCACTGCCATGTCTCACTGCAACCGACATCCATGCCTGGAAAAGCAGGCTGCGAATATTTATGTGCCAAGACAGAGGGAGGGCCCTGCGGCTACCACTACACACTACACCAGCCAGTAGAGGCGGGGCCACGGCGCTGCGGAAGCCATTAGGACTGGCTGCGGCCCGCTGGGAGGCGGGGATGGAGCGGGTCACCAGGCTTCCATCCAGGCAAGTGGGCATTTCAGAACCCCAAGAGCTGCGCCAGAAATGAAAGCTGAACCTCCGGAGGGCGAAGTGAGCAAGACCGCTGCAAAGCTGCAATGCACAGTTAGAGTTTTTTTTAAAAGCAATGCCCAGCGAAATGGCCCCAAGCCTAAAAAAATAAATAATAACAGATGTATAGAACATTTTGCCACTTCGAGAAAATGGATTGGCTATGGATTTAGGCTTTGCATCTACCTGACAAACCACAAAAATAAAAAGCTAAACTTTTTGAATACTTTTAATAAATTATACAGGTTAATACACCGGATACATCGGATGCTGCATGTATTGTGCAGTGGTGGGTCGTCAGGGCCTGCAAAGCCTTCCCTGCTGGCCTAAGAAAATATCTGAATCACAAACTGATCTTAATGATTTTTTGTCGATGAATACCTAATGGTCTGTCCGCTTCCTTTCACAGCTTTGCCCCTGGTTGTGCTGCTTCCAGACATGCATTTTTATAAAAAAGCATTTAACCAATCACATTTCAGCCATTACTTGTTGCTAGGCAGGGTCAAAGTCAAAGCTGTCTGCCTGGAGGCAGATTAAACTGTCGATTAAACTGTTGCTTTAACCGATCAGATTTTAAGTGGGTGACACCAGGGCCCTCTAGCAGGCGTAAGGCAATGTCTTCACACCCGCTGATTGGATAGTCAGATAGCGTACCAGCCAAAGCTAGTAAACTAACCAAAATATAGTTGTGTTCGTGTAATAGCTATTTTATCACCCCACAATGGCTGAAGGAGGAGAAGAAATTGATTTGGTGGCAGATTTACTGTCAAGGCCATTTTCAAGACGGACTTTTCAAGAAAAGTAAGTGAGTAAAATGTTGCTTTTTTCCTAAACTATATTGGGAGTTTATGAGGATATTATTGATGCTTTTTTTTGTATTTGTTTTTTTTTAAGGGGGGGGGGGTTGCAGTCATAGAAGACTTGTGCACCCCTGATCTTTATACTGTATTTCTACATAATAAGATGATTTCTATAACCATAAAGTAGTTATTGAGGGGTGAATTGATTCAGACGGAGCAGTACTGAAGGCCTAGGTGTGAAATGCACGGTCCGCCACTGGTATTGTGCCATATGTGTGTGTCTAGGCCAGTGCTTGGGTTTATGTAATAGCACCATAAATAAAAGGCTGGTGCAGCATATTCATCAGCAGCGCTGGCTTTTTGTTCCTCATGGGACAAAATGGGTTTACATACTATATGCCTTTTCACAGCGGTTGTGGATTTCCACAGAAATCTCTTCTGATTGATATTACAGAAACTGAGGATGAACGCTCAAGTAATCTGTCCTCCATCCTCACTGTATTTATTTGTCGATACCACTGGTACAGATCTTGAACTTTATAAAACAATCAACTCAGCAGGAAGTAATTTACAATACACAAGACTGCTTATCAGATTAGGATTTACACAAAAAATTACACTGTAAAAATGCATCTCGTGTGTATTGATACAGGACTACAGTTCTTTGTAGAACATCCAATGATACTTAGAACATAGCAGAGAGAAAATGAGGGGTTTTAAGTATTACTTATTTTCCGCGTTACTCTCATTTCTCAAAAGGACAAAAGCTGGATTGTTTGATGCTGTAATTTAAAATCTATTATTTAAAATACAAAACAGACTACATTTAACATGTAGTCATTTAAAATAATTTCAAGTTAACATAAAATTGTTTCAAATTTATTAAAGCAACAATACTTTTGATAAAGTATTGATACTACATGGCACTTTAATATAATATCAATATAAATAGAAATATCCCACCCTTTTCTGTTCTATGAGTCCTTTTTTTTACAAATCCACTAGCTTTTATCTTTCTTAATACATTTCAGGAACAGTGTCCCTCTGCATACCTTCATGGATTAAATACATTTCAACATTCCTCATAAATTTGTTTTGTTTTCTAAATATTCAAACCATCTAAAAAAAAACTTCACATCAAAGGCATTTTGAAAGAAGGGTAAATTTTCTCAAGCATTTATATCCACAATACATCCAAAATAAAATTGTGGAACACAGAAACCATCAAAAGCAACATTCATATAGAAATATTATATTTGACTAAAGATTAGTACAGGTGGCTGAAGCATTCGTTCAGTTATGCATTAAATTTGCTCGAATCAAACAAAACAAGATGTAATTAATCTCTCAAAATAAATTAATCTTGCAGTCTGAATATACAAAATAATTGCATCAAAACTATTTTTGTGTTGGACCTTTGCTGTTGGCGGGACTGATGTCCCATTGGTCAAAACAAAATAAATGAAGCCATTTGATATTGAGCATGTATTACACAAAGCCTAATTTTTCCTGTTTATTTAATCTTGCAGATATTCCATCATACACAACAGGTTAAGACATGCAGATGTCATTCAGTACCAGTCTCAGTCCAGGAACTACTTTTTAATAAAAGCTTTTTCATAGGCAGAATTATTTTTTAATAATTTTGAATTCACAGACATCAGTTAGATTTATATAAGTAAAATAGGGTAAAGGAGACATAAATATGTTTGTAATATAACACACTTAAAAGAATCACATCTATGTGCACAGGTAAAGAAACTCTAAAACAGCTCTGTAGGTCTTTTATTTGGAGTCAAAGGTCACCTAATCTAATAATCTTGCAGATTTACTTCAATCTAAGCAGGGTTATACAATAGGTATTATTCTAAAAAGTTGCATAATATGCCAAATCATAACGTGTGCTTCATGGTGTATTCCCTGTGTCTCAAATAATGAGAAACCCACAAGTTTGCACATGTCTTTACACCTTCTGATAACCTGTCACCCAAGAAAGATGCACAAAGGTCTGATGACTCCGGTCGAAGAATGTCTTTAGAAAGTAAATCCACCACAATCAAAAGCATCAAAATCAGAGTCTGCCACTTCGAAGTCAAAGCTGTTGAAGTGTGGATTGCCAAGAGCAGAGCTTCCGAGGTGGTAGGCTTCCGCCGCATTTGTCCCAGGGAAATCCACGTTGAGTGGCAGGTCAGCTTTGACTTCCAGATTAGAGGATGAGCATGCTCCCAGGTAACCCATGGCAGAGGAAGCAGCTGCCCCTCCCATCAGCAGATAAACTGCCTTCATTGCTTGGGCATTACCGATATTACCGTGACGCAGGCAGCCTACTGACTGTGCTCCTCCTCTGCTATTTTTTATACGTGGAGAATTCCGGCCTTGAAGATTAAGAGATTTAGAAGACACAAAAGCACGTCAAACACATCTATGTGTTTGCAATACAGCTGTTACACATGATTAAAAAAAGGACACCTAGTCTCACCTTTCTCCCTCTGGTAAGCAGGAGTTGTGGGTATCAGGGAGGACGACGACTCTGTGTCACTAACAGGTGGAGTAAAGGAATCTTTTCCCAGAATTTGCTCAGGCTCCAGGTCTTGAAGAGTAATATGTGGGACTGGCACATGATGTCGCTTACACTGGTTGAGCGGTGATGAGAGACTCTATGGATGGCCAATTTAGAATAAAAGGAAGAGTCAGAAATCAATTAGATAAATAACTGAATAACATTTCTTACAATCTAATGTTGACAGTCTGTCGCACATTCTGTGTAGTTTTCCTGATGAAAGTTTATGGTATGATCCAGTACAAAAATCACTTGTGTGTTAATTGTTGGCTGCCGACTAAACTTTTGTCTCAGTTATTCATTATTACACCTTACTTGCTGTAGTTCTCCAACCTGAGCAGCTAAGTAGGAGCTCCATAACAAACAAAACCTCTCAGTCTCTCATCAATTTACAGTTTCACCAAGAAAATGCATAAGATGTTGTCAGAAACATTCATCACTGACAACAGCATCAATAGTTATAAGAGCTAAATATCATCAAAATTAGCAACATCATATGTTTTTGTGCTACCATGGCAATATATATTTAAATGTACAACACATAAGCACATAATGGTGCTTAAAAGTGATGAGAACAGGGAAACACATTATCATGTGAGTTTCCAGCATGCTGACATTAGCTTTCTAACTATTAACAGCCTCACATGGCCAAAGGGCTTATTGTTTGAGTTAAAATGAAACCCCTTACCTTTTTGACCTTTTTCAGCATATTGACCCACTGGCTGAAAGGGGAAAGAAGATTGAGTTATACCTTCTTGCCAACCACACAGCCTTTTTACTAAGTATACATAAAAGATGAGGAAAGCTTTCATGAATGGATTATGCAGTAGGACTACTTCGTGCTTCACTGGCGCCAGTGTGACCCCACAGCACCAATAATTTGTATGAGATGTCCTACTGAGACAAGAGACGAGGAAGAACGGAAAGTATGTGGCTACACCAGTGTTGCTTACAATCTGTCAACTCCACCTGACCTGCAGTCTGCTGAGGTTTCAGCCAGGAGCAATAAGAATTTATTCTGGGTGAGGATCAGAGCAAAGCAGCTATCTCTGCATGCACCAGACGGTAACTTTGGCAGGTCCAGGATCTCCTTGCCTTCCACAATTCTCTCACAACTGCTTTGCAACAGCACCATCTGATCCGGGGGAGATAACGCATCATGGTACACAAAGAGGCTGCCTTCAGCCGTCAGCCGCAGGAACCGCCTTTTCCACTGTTTGAAGATAAACCCACCTGGATGGAAGATACAATGTGGAACAACAGTAAATGGTGCTGGTTGGGAGAAACAATCCTCACAGCTTGTTGACGTTATTAGGCATGTTCACAGTAATCAGCGTAGGAGCACGAGAAAGTTACATGTGGATTAAGAAAGAAAACATTGAGTCGTCCCATCATCCCAACAGATTAGACGGGATGTAGTCAGATGGTGGAAGGATCAAGAGGCTGTGGATGTTGGGCTCGATGAATTAGACAGGTTTAACCAGAGCGCGACAAGAGTTACAAAATCTAATGAAAAAAAGACTAACCCTTGAACTAAATTTTCAAATAAAAGGGATCTTACAAGGCATCTTTGAAAATGCTCACAACCCAGCTCATAGAAGATTTTATGAAAAAATAATTTCTAGAGAACCTGTTAAAGATCCAGCCTTATTCAGCATTATCGCAACTCCACCATACATTTTAGTTAATGAACATTCAGACAAAAGTAGCATTTATTGAGTTTAAGCAAAATTACCAAATTCCACCAAATTCATCTTGCATGGCTAGATAAGCAACCTAATATCATTTTTGCTTGCAAAATGTTGCCATATCTGTAGCCATAGTCCTACTCACCATACATCCTGAGCGCCCCACGGTGAATTTCGGAGATATTCATGTTCGCTGTCTGTGTTTCGCAGTCTAATGGGCTCAGAGTAAAATGTTTGAGAGTAGGATGTTTGTAGAGCACATGATGTTCAATGTGAGTTTTAATGCTCATCCTTAATCCGCAGTCAGCTGGGATGCTCCAGAACCATAGCTCAGCGGCTTGGTATAATGGACTGTGATGAAATGCTGCCTGCAAAGAGCTGCAGCTCATGCAGGGATACTGGGTAAAATGAGTTACCACAAATTCATTTTTTAAAATCTTTTTTTAATATCAAATCAGTTTCCATACACAGAATCAAAAATAACCCTTTACCTGTTTCACTCAACATTCTTTGGCAGGTTGTAAATGTATAGTGTGAGTAATAAAGCAAGAGTAATGAAATCTGATATCTTTTCACAACAAATATGAAGACAAAAAAGTCAACTTTATATTGTAAATACATTAGATTTTCGTATAAATATATTTCATTGATTGATTTCATATTGTAAAGGCTGCAAAATAGGACATGCATCATAAAATATTATGCTGTGAGGAAGGTCGCTGCTAAATGAAAACTGTTCAGTTTAAATGAAAACATGATATCATAGAGCAAGCATTAATCTATATCAACTTAATATAAACTGACTTACAGTCATCTTCATAGAGTTTTATACTAGCTTCTGTGTGTGTTTGGTGTTCAATAAAGCAAACTTCAACCACGAGTTTCACACAGTCTAATAAAGTACAGCTTCAACTCATTGTCGCATTTAAACAATGTCCCTTTTTCTTGAGCAATGAAAAGAAAATTCTATCATTTAAAGACGAAGGAGTATCTGAAGAGGGCCAGACCAAAAAGACAAAAAGCTTCTATAGGAGAAATGTAAAATGGATTTAAACCAAAACCAAAGTTACTTTCTGAGTAGCTTCATTCCTTTTTCATTCTGTGTGTGATAGGTGATGCACCTTATGTTATCACATAAACACTTTGTAGAGTGGAACTCTCTCACTTATTTCCTTTGAAAACATAATTAAACCTTAAAGGTGCAGAAACCCTCATAACATTCCACAGCTGATGACGGAGTCAATATCTTTGTCCTCTAAAAACTTATGAATTCTATTTTTACCTTTACCTGTTTCTTAATAGAAAAAATAAAGAAGAGTGCAAATGTTCATGTCTGAAATGGTCAAAGTCTAGATCTTTTATTTTTTAATCACATAATCACTTTGTCGGGAAATTCGATCAAGCAGCTGCTCAGTATTAGTCATTTCTGTTCTAAGAAAGCTGATCTTCATACTGTTTTCTGAAACAGTCTCCAGCAGGGAAGAAGTCCCAGGAACGCTCCTGATACATCTTCCACACATATGACTCCTAAAACCAACAGATGTAAGAACACAAACTCAGAATCACAGACCCACAAAAGGAGATTAAAAACTATAATATAACCTGGTACTGACCTGCCCAGTGTGCTCCGTCTCATCTTTGTTGATGAGGTACATTAAGAAGAACCTGAAAAAATGAAGGGTACTGGTGGATTAAATCTAATCACATATATTTCCATCTGATAAGATTACATTTGTTAAGACAAATGAAATAAATGAGTCCATCTTTTCTTATTAGTCAAATGACGTAAACTGTAAGACAGAATAGGAACACTCACAGGTAATTGGCCAGGTTGTGTTCATCAAAAGTGTGAGTCTCAAAGCCATGAGGTGTTGTATCAAAGTAGTCACTTCCAATGCCACATATGAAGCATTTTGTCTGCAGAAAGATGAATAAAGAGGATTAACATCACTTCTCCATACATTAAGAGAAAGCATTGAATTAAAGCACTTTATAATACCTCCATGTCTTCCTTGACCTGCTCTTGTTGGTCTCTGAGTTCTCCAAAGGCATCAATAATTAGACCTGGTGACGTAATTATTGAATGTGTTCATAAAAACAGGTCAAGTTTAAAATATACTGCCAGGAAAGTCTTCAAAAGCTCATCATGTTGCACATTTTCATTTAATTTTCTTTGAATGAAATTACAACAGGATTTTTAAAAAGGAAAGAAAGACATCTTTACCCTGAATAATGGCCAACAGAATCACAATGACGAAAAAGAAGAAAGTAATGTCAAAGACCACTCGATAAAGCTCGTATTCATCTCCAGCAGGATCCTCTATCTCATCCCCAATGCCTCCACCAGCACGCACACCAACATACATGTGGAAGAGGTAACACTACAAAGAATTCAAAAGAGAAAAAAAGCATGAACTGGGAAGGGGCGTAGACACGACTGAGTCATATTTTACATTTCTGATCAGCAGGAACTTACAGTCATCATGTCATCACATTTCATGTCAGGTTCGTCTTCATCCTCGCTTTTGTTGTAAAACTTGCGGAAGAAATTGAACGCGACCACAGTGTAAAGGTACACCACCACGGCCAGTAAGCCCACTGTCATCATTAGCTGGCAGAGACAAGAAAGACAACGAGCTAGGACCCTCAAAATCAGGTTAAAGCGACCTCATGAAGTATGTTTGTTCCTTTACCTGTTTGCCATTGTGTGTGACTGAGGACAGGATAGTGCGGAGTGTCTTCACACCCATGGCGATGTCCAGCAAGTGGCAGGCAAAGAAGAAATTGTTGTAATGTCCCAGCAAAGACATTATCAGGTACCAACAGAGGTAAAGGAAAGTCTATGGAAAGATATAGAGTATATATAAATGATGGTATAACATGCTGTAGCATAAGATGAAGTATACGTGTATTCAGGACTTCTTACACCATCTGTGAACACAACCCCAAACTTCCAGACCTGGTACTTGATGTCAATGGAGGTAACCCTAAAAATACAGGCAGGTATTTTAGATGACTTCATGTTTAAGAATGACTGCAATATGTTTCTACAGCTTAAACTGTACTGTACCAGGCAAACACAGAGTTATCTGGTTCCTCCTGTTTCTTCTCATGTTGTTGACTGACATCCAGTGAGGCTAAATCAACACCCAGGAGCTCAGCTATCCTCTCTCTTCCATAAATGTCCCCATATTTATCCAGCACCTGGACACGGATGTTACAAGATACAATGTTCACTGTTATGTTCTCTACTGAGAGTGTTTTAACACCACCAAAAGCACATTCAACTCACCTTACGTTTCACAAATTTATCCCAATAATTATTTGGGAAAGAGCTGAAAGGAAAAAATAGGATAGCATTAATTATTCTGTAACATAAAACAGAACCAACCCACAATTTGAAATGCTCATTGAAAGGAGTTGATTCGTGTGATCCGCGCACGGTGTATTCAGGACGAGTCGGTCCCACTGGCCCTTGATGTCGTCATCCTCAGGCTGCTCAGTGATGTAAAGACCATCAAACTCCAGTTTTCTTGCAAGCTCTTTCTCTCTTTTAAAGATCACAAGTGGAATCTGAGAGAACCAAATGTAAATCCGTTCAGTGCAAACAAAAAGAGCGATTTACATAGCAATCAAATTATTCAATAACTTTGGGGTTATTATACCTTCAAACAGTTGTAGCCTATGATACAGATAAATGAAATGACCGTGTGCAGGATGGCAAGGAGGGACAGAGTGGGCTGCATATATCCAGTGCTCTCCTCTAAATAAAAATAAATTGGGACGTCTTCTTCATCCTCATCTCCGTCACTCATTCCAGATCCCTCAGCCTCTTCCCCTGAGCCTTCGAACAAGCCGGAGCCCTCGAACAGCCCGCTCCCCTCTGACAGTCCAGATCCTTCCATCTCCTCGCCATTAGGTGGTATTTCAGACACCTGAGCAGAAATTAAACTTATATCAGAGCTGTCAGCTTGACAAAACGCAATGCCCAAAACACAGTGCAATGTTAGCCTTTGTACCTTGTAGAAAAGTAGAATGAAATTCAGTGCGAAAGCGAGGAACAGAGCCAAAAACCGCAGGTTGTAGAAGTTTCTCGAGAGGTAGTTCTAACAGAGAAAGATGTTCATGTTTAAGTGGATTGATTTAAAAAAAACAGTTCATTCATTTTTCGGGCACAAATGTGCAGAAAATAGGTCACCATGAATTTATTTCTTTGAGTCTCCAGCTCAGTCCAGATTTGAAAACCTCCATCTCTTTTCACTTTCTTCTCTTTCTTTGCAGAGGACTTCTTAGGTTTTTCTGGTTCTTCCTCTTCTTCAATTGGGGGGTCTTTTTCATTTTTTTCTCCATTTTCAACACTAAGACACAAAACACACAAATCTAACGGTACAATGTCTGTTTTCCGTCAACATCAGACAGTTACTACTCCAAATGCACAACCATTTGACCCTTTTGGCCTGTGTGCTGCTAAAGCTATACGTCTCCTCTCAATAACTTTACAGAATAGCCAGGGTCTGAGAAAAGCGTAATATTACAGCAATGTAATTAGTAAGGTGCCGTGAATAAACAAAATATTATTTTTTTAAAATTCAAGCCTTACTCAGCCTTTTCAGGCTCTGGAGGCGTCTCTTCTACAGGAGCAGGCTCGGGTGGTTTTTGGCTGGCGTCAGACTCCTCTGGTGCCTTTAACAAAAAAACATATAGAGTAAAATTGTACTTCCAAATGTTTTATTTGTTAAGTCATCCAAAGTTATTATCATTGACACAAAGTCAATAAGCACCATTTTTCTCTTTGTTATGGGAGTTCCCTCAGGAGTTGGAGGTTCAGCAGCTTCCTCTATACCCATGTCTCCAAGTCCACCTGGAGCATCTATTCCTGGTATCCTCCCGCCCTCCTTCTCCTGAGTGTCCTCTTCTTCCTCTTCACCACTCCCAGTCTCACCAGTGTCTGTTACCCCTCCAGTGTCTTGTTCTTCACCGGTCCCTTGCTCTCCTGGTCCATCTCCATGCACATCATCCTGCGTGGGATCTGGCATGCTTGCTAGAATCTCTGTCACTGTGATATTTTTAGCTCCCTCGACCAAGCCACCTCCAAAGAGAGCTTGCCAGATGATCAAAAAGAAGCCTTTGCACACATTGTAAATGAAGTGCAGTATATTCATTAGGATGGTCCAGAAAAACTTGGACAAAGCCACAACGATCTCCTTGAAGGTCATCTTTCTCACTCTGCGATACTGTCTGCGAAGGTTGCGGAACGTAAAAATGCTGAAGAAGCTCAACATGCTGTTTATGAAGTCTACAAAGGCAGAGGTGGATTCTGGCTGCCCTTCCTCCCCATTGCTGTCATCATCCCCTCCTCCTCCACCTGCTCCCCCACCTGTTCCACCCTCGCCTCCACCGTCCTCTACTTCATCATCTTCTTCCCCTTTTTCCTCTTCCTCCTGCTCGGAAATTTGGGAGGCTATGTTCATCTCAAAGATAGTGTCTTCACAGAAGTTGACAAACATCTCCATCTTCTCTGATTCACCACCCTCATTGACCACATCAAATATGAACTGCCGTTTGGATTCTCTGACTTGTGGCATCTCCCACTGTCTACGGTTTACTTCACTGATTTCAAAGTAGATCCTCTCAATCTTCCTGCTGGCCCCCATTATTTCAATGCGACCAAGGAATGGGCGGAAGTAGTTGAGCACACTCTCTGCTTGTTCCAGGAAGTTCTTCAGCCGGGTGTCATGGGGGACGTGCTCAGACAGGTTAGTGAGCAGCACTGCGATGTTGAACCCAATGTCCTTGGCGGGTTCTTGGAAGCGACTGGCAAACTCCTCATAATTGATCATGTCGTTCTCATCTGCCTCTGAGCAACACAGCAGAAACTGGATCTCAGAAGGCGAGTACTGCTTCTGACTGTCCATGGCCTTCTGGAAGTCCTTTTTGGAGATGAGGCCTCGAGGGTCTGTCACATAATCGCGGAAAGCATCTGAGGCCACAATGTCTTTCAGTTTAAGAAACATGTCAAAGAACTTGAGGATCATTTCGACATTGCTGGAGGATTCTACCAACATGTCCACCATCTGGCGTGCAATTGTTCCATTTACAATATTCCCTGAAACAAAACAATAAAACTATTAGCTCTAAAAAACAGTTTGAAATGTAAAAAAAAGGTTAGTTATGTCAGACGGTTTTACCCTCCAATAATGAGAGCAACATGACAACCATGTCTTTCTGGAGGTCAAGAAGCTCCTTCAGCAAACCAATCTGGCTCGAGTCCTGTGACCATAAAGAAGATGCACAAGATCTTACAGTAATGACACCAGATGTTACACTGTTTGAAACATCCGGGGTCCATAAGGAGATGCAGTCACCAACGGTGAAATCAAGAACACAAGTGAACACTCTCAAGACGTATCACACAGAATTATTCTTTCAAGTATTGCCCCAGATACTTGTTGTGATATACAAGCCTGGATCCCAGGCACAACAAAGAGGGTGCTTCAAAAAGACGTAGTTAATCAGGTCACACCCTCATGCTCAAAGAATTCCATCTTTCACAATGTTTAAATTACATTTAGTAAAAACTAAACCTACCTCTTCCTGATTTACACTGGATCAAAACAATGGTTTGAAAGCATCTGTTTTTCATTCAAATATATGACACTTTGTGTGAAATTTAGCCAGATGATTCGACACATGTATGTTACAACAGATGTATTAATTCAAAACAACACAGTACCACAAATCAGCACACAACAAGGGAAAGATGGCAACAAAATCATCACCTCTGTTAAGTGTGTGCACACAGGACTGATGTCACATTAAAATATGTATTCCATCACCAAATTCTTTTCAATTTAGGGGTGTACGCCCACAGTGGAGGTTACAAGTCAGTCCCTCTCTCAGGATGTTTTGTATTCACCTGCATCTCAAAATGAAATGATTCAGCACAGTGTATTTCTGTGCTTCATCACAATATTGTCGGATTAAAACTGCACGCATTACTAGCAGTTACATAACAAGGGAGGGGCAGAAAATACAAAAGCTTGTATGGGCAAAGGTTAATTTCTCAATGATTCATTGGTGAGGGAATCTAAAAAGCAGCATACAGTATATGTGAATTAATCCTCTGCAAAGCACAACAGAGTTTAAGCTTGGATCAGAGGTTATGAAATGCATTGCGTGTATAACAAGCTGAAAATCGGGTGCAGCACGCAGCAAGATGGACAATTGTTTGTAATTTACACACTCTGGTCAATCTTCTGGTCAATGATCCAATAGTAAGCACAGACAGAAGATTTAATTGAAGATATATAATGTTTGAATGTATAAACTAGCCCAATTTGGACATATTTAATTGGGTTTTCTAATTTGAACTTTAAAGGCAGGTGGTTATAAAACAGCCTGAAAAGACAAACCAACGCAAGATAAAATGAAAATAAAAAGTTAAGACAATATCACATCAATAGAAAAATTAAAGAATACATACTTTACCCTGTATTGACCATGTGGGAGACAGTTTAAATGATAAATTATTCATGAGTTAAATAATGGCAACATTTTCACATTCTGATTTCCATTCAGTGGGCTGTTATATAAACTATTGGCTAACTGCATACCCTAAAAGTCATGTAGTTTAGATAATGTATAATCAGAGATTTTTCTTAAATACACTGTATATCGCAGATTCATAGTGATTCATATCAAATAAATACAAGTGAGGATAACCATGCAAGAGGAGCAGTCAGATGAAGTTATTTTGAGTTGTTAAAACGTCTGTCTTTGTTCAACTTTTACAGGAAGTCATGCTCATATGTTTACTTGGAGATATGATGAAAGGGGTAAAGGACGTCATCATTGTACGTTAAATACATCTTATAAGCCTAAAATATCGACTGGGCAAAATCACATTATACAGAGAAACAGAGTAATGTGATTTCCTTGAAAGTACTTTGATTTTCTCTTTTTTAATTGGCAAAACACTGCATTACACAGCACCCTTTAACGGTTGGTCCAATTGAATGTACAAATGGGAGGCAAAATGAGAGATATGCAAAAAGAAATTATATTCACAGAACCTTTTGGATCCTTAATGTTCCTTTGATATCTCGTAGTGGTTTAACCTCCTAAACTATATTCTCCTAAAACTCTCAGGTGCATATGTGTGAAAACGGAACAAGGAGACACTTTAAATCAACTCAGTCAGATTGTTTCAAGGTCAGCTGCTTTTAATGTCATTTTCATTTACTCACCTAATGAGGGTTTAATAACAACTGAATAGATAACTTTGGAATAAGTTTCAAGCTAATGAGTTGATCACCTAATACATAATAGGGTAATTCTTACCTTAAGAATAATCCTACTTTAAATTGACAATTTGACTGATAACATGAGTGTGTATCAATATGTGATAGTGAATGTGTATTAACCATACTAAAACTCTGCAAGTAAACCAGCTAAATTACATTTAAACCCAACTAGGTGAATACAAAGTTAAAAAAATTAAAAAAACATTTGAGACCATTAGATACTTGTGTTAGAATTTCAGGGGAAGATTAAAAATAAGCTTGTTTGCAATAATATATACAAGAAAACTGTGTTTCAATGTACTTGTACTGAGCTGGGGCACATTGCACAGGTACATTGCCTACCATGTCTCCTCTTATTCTTAACCGTTATAACCATTTCCAACCAAAAACCAAAACAAAATGCTGTGTAAAAACAGGGGGGGGGGGTCAACTCTAAAGGGTGCTTAGGCATGCATGGTTACTTCAAACTCCTATCTGGATCACTGAAAATAAAACGTGTCATAGGACGCAAGCAAAGTTTTTAAATCAATCAGCTTTTCTGTTTACATGCTGTCTTATTTCCTATTTTGAGTTGACGAACTAACAGGATCACATGTGTGTACCTGTGCCAGCTTCATCATCATGTGTGCAAAGACATGAAGGAACCCCACAATAGCGTCCCACAGCCTGCTGTGAGCAAGGGACTGCTGGTTGCCAGTGCATGGACCCTGAGAAGAGAGACTGTACTTCACAAACAAAATGACCACCATTGACCAGCAGAAATGTATTATTTGCTCACAGTTTACCTGGATATATTCAGTTAGACTGTTGAAAATCTGTTTCGCCACTGTCATAGCTTTGGAGAAGTTCTTTTTGCCTGGATCATCAATAACATCTTTGCCAGAGTAATACCAGTAGAAATCACTGATAGATTCCTTGATTAATAAGATGAGAAGTAAAAATGATATAACACAATTTAGAAAATATGTTAATACTGAAGAGAAAATACATTCAGATTAAAAAATTCAGGTATCTGAAAAGATGAGTTTACCTGTAAATTATAAAAAATATTGTACAATATGGCCTTCAAAATTCATCACTTGACATAGGGATTCAAAGTACCTGAAGCCGAAGGAGGTAATCTACAGTGCATATGATCACATTGATGGTAGTTGTACTGCCTGTTTGTGTCCGAAGGTAGTTCTGAAAATCTATTTGAAAAATCAATAGTTACTCAGCTTACTGTCTTTGTTTATAAGGAAAATATCACTGATTTGAATTGACGTAACTTTGAACATTTTAATTTAAAACGGTGGTAATTCTCACCACTATTGTGGCCTTCACAGAGCAGTTGCAAGAATCGGAAGAGGTCACAGGTAAACTCATCATCAGCCATCACCTTCTCATCTAAAAGAAAAAAAGCAGTAAACTGAATCAAAGTGGTTCATTTAAAGCTGATCACACCACTTAACGAGGCGTAGATGTATTTACTAAAGCACTTTTTCTGAGTACAAGCTGCACAAGAATAAAAGATCAAATGAATTTCTGAACTTACCATAATCTCTAAATGGATTTTAGTATCCAACACTGCAACAATCACCTCTGACAGAATGTTGCGTGTTACAGTGAATTAAAGAAGGAGTCACACTTAATTTCAGAAATAATATTAATTGAAAAATAAAAATTAACTGACAAACATTCATATGTCATAAAATTTACAACACAGCCAGCGTCACATGCCTGTGAGGTTACAGTGAAAAACTGACACGATAACAGACATACGCTACAGCAAGGACAAACAGGAAGAATTCACTGCTGCACAGATAGAAAGACATTTATAAAGCATTACAGTATTCAGAGATGAACTGATTATCGTCAGATTTATTATGCATTTTATATATGGATATAGATGATAGATGTATACATATATGAATGGTATATGGTAAAAATTTTTTTACAGCTATACATCATATATGGACTGCAATATTACTGAGAAGTGAAGCCAATCTCACTGAGTCAATGACATTTAGCAAGTAATTGTGATGTCATAAGCTCAATTAAATCCTTATTGTCAATTTGTTGATGGTCTTTTAGACAGCAAGCATTAGTAGACAATGTATTTATGATACATATGGTGTATCCTTTGGTTTACCAGACAAACAGACCCTCTTCGGATTCTGATTGGGATTGTGATAATATGTTCTTGTTTTTATATTAAAATATATTTCAATGTTATCAATAATTCCAATTGTATTTTGTTTGCAATAAGTAAAAGAAAAAGCTCGAAAACCAAACAGAGATCTGATTTGATCCTTTTGATTATTCACTAAATGATTATTCAACCAATTATTTATCCCAACAAATCGCATTAAAAACAATAATTCCACCCCCTCATGAAAACAAATGTGTTGGTGCTTCAAAGAACCAAATTACTACATATATTTCTGCGTACTTAGCATCCTATATAACAGTTTAATTAGCTTCTCGAGCCTTTATGAACAACATACTGTATTCAACTCTTCAAATGTTGAAGAGGATACATCAAGCTTTTCCTGTTTCCTCATCTACCACATTAAACCTAAACAGATATCTTTTATCTTTTTCTTCAGGAATCTTTTCCAGATCTGCATACCCTTTATAAAATCACTGGCCCCTCTTGCAGGCTACAAATTATGCAGATTGTTTAGTTTTTACATGTTGGGAAAGAAAATGGGTTGAATAATTTAACTGATTTCTATAGATTTTTTTGAGTCAGTCCAGCCATGAACACATGCTTAGACACATTAATACGGCACAAAACACGTTAAATGTCAGAGAGGTTGGGACATTGTCCATCAAAATGCTGAAGAGAATCCAGTGAATGACAAAGAACATCACAGAAAGGGATAACACATTCTCTAGTTGTACGGTTTGAATGTACAGTTTAAAAGCTGATGCACTCAAGCTTGAATCATATGTTGTTTAATGAGCATTTTCATACTTGATCCCACTGCGAGAATTTTCTCTAAATATCATGGCTAAAAATGTGCATGATATGATAAGATCTAGGATATGAGAAACTGCATACATTTTCTTTTGGAACAGAAAAGATTTGATTCGCTTCATTGCATTTTGAAAATGAAAACGACATGTGAGAAGGGCACACAAGCTAAGAAAAGGAAATATGGACAGACGCATCCAATCCTCTCTTGATAGAAGTGTTTTATTAGAAAAAGAACTGATGGAGCAAGAAGGACAGGGGAGAGAAAAGGGAATGAGAGAGCAGAGAGGCTAATGGAGAGAGAAACATGATTTACCCCGATCTAGGTTCAAGTCTGAGGACCATGAAAGAAGGGACAAGGGAGAGGTGGCAGTGATCGTGGGGAAGGGAGAGAGGATCAGTGTGTTGACAACAGAAGAGGACTAAGAGATGAGGAGGGGGAGATTAACAACATTCCATGGCAAATTCATTCAGGTAGAATTTCTAATTAACCTCCAGAATTAGATGACAAAGTAGATGAAATCCAATCGGCATCTCAAACTACTAGACATACGGTGGGAAAAAAACCTGAATGGAATTAAGTTAAATTTAAAGTACATAAATGGAATTCTTTCACAGTGTTAATAATACTTCATGCTAGATATATTTACAGTAATGCCAAAGATGGAAGGAATGTAGAGGAAGATGAATTAATAGATGCTCAAAATGTGTCAAATTCATGTATTAATGTATATGACCCAATGAATAATGGTTTCATTTCGTTCTTGCTTATTCTTTACAGCAAACCACTCATAATTATACATATTTATCCCATTGCAGCTATTTGAAAACATTTATGTGTGATGAAATGGGTGAGGTAAGTGTATGCAACATAATGTAATTCCTCCAATTACTAAGTTAAGCCACAGGAGGGTTGTTGCCTGTTGTATCGGTAGAGAATGCTTAAGAGGGGAGTGCACAGACTTACTCGTGCCTTCCTCTGAAACCATGCCGAGCCCTTCTGCCTTGTTCTGCCTCTCAAAGGCATTCAGATCCAGGACACTGTGTAGAACATAAACCCATGCTTACTAATGCATTCTTATTTGTTTCACGAACACACAACTAGACTACTGTTTTATCATTTCAAGATAGTTGTGATTAGAGGAAAAGAACTGACCTGCAAGTCTGCATCAAGGCCTGGACACTCAAAAAGAAGCCTACATCCTTCTTATCCTTTAAGTACTCCAACATTTTCTGACAGGATAAAAAACAAAGAGAAGATCCATCCAGAAGAAGTGTTCATTTAAAGGTGACTTCAAGTTGTGAGAGAATTTTCTTGAACAATACATACCCTCTGAACCTCACTGTTTCCACCATTTAAGATAGAAATACCGAGCTTGAGGGTTGTGGATACCATGGGACCAGTTTCACCTGCAGACATCAGGCCACCACGTACAAATATCAGGAAGGTTTGGATGGAGAAAGTGTTGACCAAGCATAAGGAACAACTTTACCTTTGCAGGCACTAATCATTTGCAGGACCATCTCTGCAGCACCACGATTATGAAGTCTGGACTGCTGGTATAGGAGCCTTTGTTTCTCCATTTCTTTTTCCTGCGGTTGATGAAAACATAAGCATTTGATTCCAAGGTATTTAACACAGAGAACCTAAACAGACAGAATGGGCTCTATCAAGCCTATTTTTGACAAAAATATCCACCAGGGTAAACTTTACACCGAGGATATTTGTTCAAAAACTCCATTCTATGACTTTAAATATTCAATTTCAGTTCCATTCAAACACCTTTCACACGTCCCTAATTTTTTATCTTGCAACTTTAAAACTGTGAGCTTTTATGTGTCCTTTGACTACTCATATTTGACTTTACTACTACTGATAGCTCTGTCTATATTACATGCATTTGCTTTCTTGGGTCAAACTGTCATTTCAATATCTGTCTTGCTCTTGCACTCATTCTCTCATTTCATTTCATTAGTTGTGGAGTCACACTACTTGTTCACGTTTGCTGACTGGAGCAAGCGTTAAGACTACAGGAAACAGCCACATAGACTGAGTATTTCAGCCATGTAGCTTTTCAAAGTGTCTTAATTGCAGGAGACCTGCAAAAAAGATACTTTTAAACAAAAGCCATTAACCAACAAAAACTGCTTGTTTGACATCTAAAAGTAGTCTGAATTTAAAAAAACAGTTTAGAATATTGGTTTTGTTTGGAAAGTTCTTGTACAAGGTTGTTTTCTTTTTTGCATAAGGAGCCAGTTTGGAGTCAAAAATATTTTTACAGAAAGACAATGGATGATAAATGATAATCTGCAAATTCAGAGAACATTATTCTGTTCAGCCACATAACATGGTAACTTTTGGCACCCTGCATAAAAAACGTAAGACAAAAGCATCCCACCTCCCCTGCCTCCCTCCCCTCCCTCTGCCACCCCCCTCCCTCCCACCCACGTATGCCTGGCCGTGGTATACCCACTATGTGTCGTGCAAGCGGACCTCAGACTTGAGCTGCTGTCTTTGGCTTTGGCTTTCTAGTGAACTCTGAATAGAAATTATCCAATACCATTGATCTGAACTGGTTTTTAAAAGTCAAACTATGTGCATTAATGCATTGTTTAAGTGTTGCATGTTCTACACTGGCTTTCACTGTAGTCTGTGAGTATGCTAAGTGAGTGGGGGAAGGGGACACTGATCAGTAACATTCAATTAATAAAGACTGGTGTTATGAAGGTATGAAGAATTACATGGAGCAATGGGAAAAGAGACAGCGAGAAAGACATGAAGCGCAACAATACAAACTGGGAAGAATGACATCACTAGTAAAAGACTATGGTTCAAAGAAGGACAATATCCTCCAGTGAGAACTGGAACTTGAAAAAAAGACAGAAAACATAATTCAAATAGTTCTAATATGCCTAACTCCCCAGTTTGATGTAAGCCCTAACAAACATTTAATACCATTTTGAATACATACATATTTTTAGTTACTAAAAGTATAAACATGTTGCAAAAGTTATTGTACGACAGTAAGCACAAGGCGTATAAATGAGCACAGCGTCTGTGACTGAAACTTGATACATGAAAGATAGTAAGTGCCAGCACAGAGGCAGATGGTGTTGCCCGTCAAAGTAAACCATAAAGTATGAAAGATCCTGCCAGCCCACTCTAACTATTTGGCTGAGGTACATTTATTCAGAGGGACTGACCAGTTTACAAAAAGGTTTTAAAGGTGAATCCTTATTAGTGTACTGTAGTTATATTATTGTTATTAGTGATGTTTTAGTTTTACATTAATCCAAACCCAATCCAGCTCAAAAAAGGGAGAGTAAAATAGGTTGTTTGAAATAGTATTGAAACATTGCTGCACATAAATGATAACAGTGCTGTTTGAAACCTAAAACACAAGCAATTAATCTCTTTGGAAATGGTACACAATAACTGAAGCAACGGATTAAAGATCTGGATTGGAGTTTGGAGTTTCTAAATGAAGAAACTCATACTGAATAAAGCACAACAGACAAACACAGAGGATAGACCGAAGACAGACAAAGATCTGATGAGATCAAACAAAGACAAAGAAGGATGTGGTTGTGATGTAATGCTCCAATGATGAGGTCATTCAATTCGCCGAGAGCTACCGCTCCATTGTGTTCCTGGTTCCCAGCCCCTGGTCGCCCATTACCAGTTCTGACTGTCGCACCTCAAAGGACATCTCATCTTCAGCATTCTCATCCATATCCTCTCCACCTTCTTCATCCTCACCAATATGACAACTCTAGACAAGTGGAAAGCAGGAGTAAATTAACATGATTGTTTCAGCTATTTTAATCATCCAAAATACAAATCCTCGGCGATAACTCACTTTTGCCATAATATCTGCATATGCCATATAAAGATGATCTGTATCCAGTTTACTGAAATGGATAGAGAAAAGAAGACATCCTGATGAATTATAAATAACACAAGTTTCTTAGGATTCCATGCCCATCCAGGGGTGGACCTGACCTCTTCTCTGTTAGGGCAGTTCGACTAAAATGAAGAATAAGCTGGTGAAGGGGATCTGGTTTTGTTTCCTTCTCCTCCTCTTCATCTCCTTCTTCTTGCTCCATTGCTTTCTGGGATGCGTAGCAAGATGAGAGGTCAGTGAAAGCACAGTGAAATTATAAATCCAAAGAAAAAACACTTTTGAGATGCCCCTCACAGATAAGTCGTCAATCATCCTGTCTTCAAAAGAGAAACCCTCAGTATAGAGCCAGTTGCGTTTGTAACCCTCGAGGAACATGTTTGAAGCTCTGTGTCTGCAAAGATCCAAACACACACCAGAAAAACACCTTGTGTTAGTGTTTGTCGGAGCAGCAACCCCCTCCTGACATAAACGCAGTATTTCATACCTCGGAATGTTGTAGAGCGGTGTCATCCTAAAGCAAGCTACCACAGCCCTGCGTCTCTGCTTGGACAACAGTTTGTGCCACACCATCTTCTTGGATTTAAAAGGATGCTCCGTCTGTCAGAGAAGGAAGATACCGTTATTTTACCACGTGCAATGTAGGCTTCTTTTTCTGCAACAATGTTAACCAAGTTAAACAGAAGTATTTTAAGTAAAGAAGCTTTTGGGGGCAGACACAGTGGAAAAAATCAAATAGAAATGAAAGCAGTAGAGCTGCACCAGTGCTCACCACTTCAAGGTGGTAGAGAACAGCAGAAACCTCCTGTACTCTCTTAACAACTTTCATAGGAGCATCAGCATCTTCAGCCTTCCCAGCCATCTCTTTGTACAGGGCCATCTGCCAGCGCATGGATGGGTTATCCACCTTTCAACGACAAAAGGATGGACATTTCTGAACCAAGCTGTGACTATCTTTAATCACCAACCTGATATTTACCAGTAAATATTACGATAATGTACAAACGGTGGAGATATAATACCTTTCCCTGTAGATGGAGGTTGTTCTGCAGGAATTCTCTCACTTCCTCATCTGTGTCTCTCTGCAAAGCAATGTTTCAACAAACCTTGACCTCTTCCACTTTTCACTGAGTAATATATTTAAAATATTAATAGCTATATTTTTTTGCAGGCAAAAACTACCAAGGAGTATCGAATCTTGGCCAAGTTGATGAGCTCCTGGTCCGCAGGAGAGCACATGTTGAGGCCTATGGGCAGCATCTTTTTCAAAGCAGCAACAATGAGCGATGTCTGAACAGAGTAACGATCTCCCCGTTTCTTCTTCTTGGTGCGTTCAGTGTCTGAGCCGCCTCCCTGTCAGCCGACACAACAACAAACCAAAAGCATTCACAGTACCCCATGAGAGTTGAGATATGCAACACCTTCAATGCACGCACGTCTTAATAATAGTTGTTATTGTTGCTATCATGTTGGCAACCATAGAAAAATGTTTGTCTTCCATATACTTCATAAAAAATGACAGTACACTATAAAACTGTCAAGATAGTTAATGTTTGTTCAAATTCAAGACCTTCAGTAACTCTTGAGCTTTACCCTCCATTTGTAAAAGTTGAACGGTAAAAAAGTGCTACAAGCTGTTGAAATAAATGTACAAATCCCCATCAACAATCACTCTAATTAAGAGTGTTACTGTAAGGAAGAAATATCTTTGTTTGAACATACATTTCTGACAACTACCACGGCATCAAATAAGGATTTCTCTGAGCTCAGAGTGGTAAGTATAGGGCATGGTGAAAATGTAAGGGGAAAGAGGGGATATAGCTGCTTTTGGGAAAGGAAGGCTGAAACAAAAAGGGTTTTTTAAAATATATTAAATCAATAAATGACATGTACAATATGCAGCAGAAAAATCATTCCAGTTAGTATCAATTCAGCATTCAATTAACAGGATAGCTAGCTACAAAACACTCATTTCCTTTAGCAAAAGTTAGATAAAGTTAGAGTGCACAACTCTTATATTAAGACCTATTAGTTTCAAACCGTTGCAGTCACACACTAATGGTTTATGTCTCTGTACTTGCCTCCAGGACCTCTGTCTTGTAACTGTTTTGTTACTGTGAGAGTTTAGTCCTTCTGTTGTCTGCTCTTTCTAGAATCCCCCAAAATAAGTTAATCCTGTGTGCGCTTACTAAAGCAAGTTAGGATATCAGGAAACTGAATAAAGAACTGCTTGTTCAAGAGCAATCTTCTGAAATTTACAGTTAATATAAGTTAATAACTATGCAGCTAAAGTATGTAAATTCTTGTCGCTCCTTGAGAAACTTGAATCTTTTGGTCTGATCATTGCGGCTAAAATGAAAAACTAAATATAACGCTAAAATATTGTAGCAGTAAACGTTTTTGTAATTAAAAAAAAAAGTGAATACGAGATGTATGCAGTTGAGTGAATTCCAGCTACAGCTTGTGTCCTGTCATTATTAATGCTACAAGTGCCAGATGTGTGTATGTTACAGGAGAGTAGTTTAGAAGGTGAAAAGCAATTTGGGGAGTGTGAATTAATCTTTTGGTTAGGTTCAAGGTAAATTTAATCGCCTCTTTAGAGAGAACCAAACAAAGTCTGCTTCAGTGACATTAAAAATCAAGCCACGTGTTAGTGTGGAGAGTAAGGAGCTTTGAGGAAATTAAGCCATGGCATACCATGGTATTTTTAAGGGAGGAGAGAAGAAAGAGCACAGAGAAGGCTGAACATCATCATAAACCTACAGGGCCAACCATCCTTCTAAGAGAAGAAAAAGAAAGCATACTAGACGACTCCAACTCATCTATGATCAAAAAAGAGCAAACTCATTGACAGATGATGGCACTGTGCTCCCACTGCCACTCCGGGCTTCGTGTAAAGCCCAGTGCCATGAGCCCAACTCTACAGCTGTATACTTTCATCAAGCGCCTCCAGACTCCCCCCCAATCACACACTGGCAGGACTAGGAATTGCCCCCAGATGGGGATTGCGCATTTGTCCAGTGATCCTTTGTGTGAACAATGGAAGTATTTTTATATGTGATTATACATTAAATACACATTTTCAGTTAAGAAATGGGTCTATGTCTGAAGTAAACTGTTGTTTGTGAGTGTTACTGTGCACAACTGAGGGAGTGTATTTTTGTTTGTGTTTGTGTGGGGGTGTTGAGAATATGAATGTAGATCAGATTTGCCAGTGTGCTGGAGAGGTTGATGAAAAGCTCCCCCAAAGTGAGGTGCCATGCGGTCAGCACAGCGATCGTGCAGAAATAAAGTCTAACCTCTGTGTCCCCGCCCTGGAAACCCAGCCGCAACCCATAAGAGGAAGACAATGGACAACCAGAGAGAAAATGTTGTTAAAACGACTGCTAATCTTCTGTTAACTCGGACGAAAATACACCTTAAAAACGTTTAAAGAGGGCTATACCATGTTTAAGCAAGGCCTGTTAACAAGAATACTGAAAAATAAGACACAAAATCAGAAAAAAACAATATACTATAGATACAAAGAAAGTTTATGTTTTGATAATAATCTACATAATATTGAAAAATGTCAATTTCTATCAATTATTTGTAATGCCATTATTACAGAATAGTTTATAGTTCTTAAAGGGGACATATGATGACATTAATTGCACTCTGTGCCTGAGACCAAATTTATGGCCAAAAATAAATTGCTATAATAAATCACTTTTTTTGGTGCTGCTTGGATCTGAAATAGTAGTGAGACATACACAACAACCCAGTTCTGTTTATTATAGCCTAAATTGATTTTACTTTGCTAATATTATTTTAAATTTAACTTAACTTAAGAGAGAAAAAAGCTAAGAAAACCTGCAAGTAGGTAGACCAATGTTTATGAGATAGTTATGAGATTATTTAAAACAGGTAGGGTAGCGCTCATCAGATTTATAAGGTTCCTGAATCGGCCATAACACTTACACTAATACATTATTGGCTTATTTTTTATTTGTCTGTGTAAGAAAATGGAAATTAGGAGTTGCCATTTCTTATAATTGTTAAGCTCGCTTACCCAGCAGCCTTAAAGCAGCTGCTATAACAGAGTTTCACATATGTGGTTGAAAAGGGAACATTTGTATTGTGTTCCTGTTACAAATTTGATTAACTTTGGAATAAGGTCACAATGTGTCTCCTTTAAAAACTATGTCTTCTCCAAAGCATCGAATTTGAGATCAGACACAACAATGGTAAAACTTCAGGGCTCCCTTCAACCATCTCACCTTTGTCATTTTGCTCTTGCTGTCAGCAGTGAGAAATGACATGTTATTGATCTCATTCATCACTACAAAGTTCTGTTCCTCTCGCTTGAAGTTCTACAAAGAAAAGAAAAAACGGGAAAAACAATTGATTAGATGTTTCATTACACTAAGGGACACACTCGAAGGACAAATAAACATACTCACATGAGACTTGGACCAGAAAATGAAGACCTCTCCCACCATTCGGAAGAGTTCTTCTGCATCTGGGTCAGGACAAGTCAACCATCTTGCCCTGCAGCAGAATTAATAACTTTGAATATCCTTAAGATTACACTGACCATATATGACATGCAAAAGAAAGAATGAAGAAGTCCCAGAAGAATAGCATTTGTGGTTTAAAACTCATAAAGTACCTGTTGTTGTCCACATAGCGAATAAGCAGAGGATAAAGAGCATACAAGTCTCTGCAGAGGACAGCGAACTCATCACGTATGGTGCCATCCTCCTCATCCCCCTCTGATTTTCCCTCCATCCGCAAATGGTCCTCTTCTGCTACTACCTTTGAAGTACGTTTTTTCAGCTTCTCCATAGTGGGAATGAAGTGGGATTTAAGCATTTCTGGCTTTGCCCTGCTGACAATGGGCTGTGAAAACACTGGTACAGAAAATGTTACATCTTTTTATCTGAAAAAAAACAAACATTATACAGTTAAACAAGGATAAACATGGATGAGGTAAAAACAGTGCTCACCAGCCAACCTCTTCATCCAGGAGGCCTCATCAATACCCAAGTTGTTGACTACAATTTTCATGATGCTGCCCAGCAGCTGGTTGAGGTGTTCCGATGTGACATCAGTGCAAAGTCGACCCTCCATATCAGGGAGGTTTTCTGAGCCTCTCTCCCACCAGCGTGGCAGGTAGTTACACAGCATGGGCAAAGTGATTTCAATCACATGAGGCATCTCGGTGTAACGGGCCCCTGACTCTGCCAAGTCTCCTATCTCCTTTAACAGGACATCTAGCTCTGGAATGTCTGGACATAGTTCCTGGACCTCATTGGGAAGACCCAGTACTTTGGAGATCAGACAAGAGGAAGAGAAGGAAAACTCAGAAACAAGAACTTGCTTGACAGGAAATAAATATGGGAAAAAGGATTTTAACTTACTGGCTCTTTCCCTTGGTGTCTTTGTAGTGTAGACAGAGAAAGCATTGTACTCGTTTAGATTGGGCTCTAAATAGGCAACTGGCATAGCTGCTGCTAAGTGGGCCAGACACTCTCCAAGAGCTGGCCTCTGCCTGTAAGCATAATGTGAAATGAGTCTTTAGAAGACTCTGATCATGGATGAATCAACTTTGTAAGGTGTGCAGATGTGGAGTTACCTCTCAACATGTGGATTCTTCACAGTCCCCAGAGAGTAGATGCTGCACATGATGCGATAGCAGGACATCTGTAGGTCATCCACTGCATGCAGGCATCAGGAAGAGATACAGGACAGTCAAATTAAATGATACTAAACTAAATGATACACCAATACTGTAAAAAAAAGTAATAGTGAAAAAAACTTACACATGACATCATCTCCAAACTGGTGCTGGGCAACGTGATCAAACAGGGAGGTCAGCACTGGGAGCAGCGCAATAGTTGTGTAGTTGATGTTCTGGGAAACACCTTTCACTTGCTTGGAAGGTTATTCAAAATCCAGATGTTTATTAGTTTGCAACGGTCAGCAACATCGATCATGTGAAAGGTCATTTAAATGATCATTTACCTGATTGCCCTTGGATACTTTCCCCAGTTTGAGATTCTCTACCATCTTCTCGATGTCATCGGCAGCACTCTCAAAGAATGACCGTAGGCCCGCTTTCACAATCTCAGGCCCTGACTTCATGACCGTCCTAAAGAATAAAGTATGGAATGGAGAAATGAAGTTAAAAGAGATCGCAAAAAAGATATATATATTGTAGTGTGAAGAAAAAGGTAATGAACCTTGCATCCAGTGACCGTGCCAAAATGTGAAGGCAGTTAACAATGGCTGACGCGTCCGTTCCTGTATAGAAAAATACACGAGGCATGCGGTAAAATCTAAATGATTAAACATGTAGTTTTGCTGTTTGTTGTTGATCACACTTCAATTTTCAAAATCTATGCAAGTTAGATCACATTTGAAAGGAAGATATGAAAGAAAAGAGCTTAAAGAGTCACAAATAAAGTTTAGAGACTGACATCTTACCAAAGAGAGAAACTCTGTGCCTCACCAAAGCAGACATTTTACAGAAGATACTACAATGAGAAGGGGAAAAGGAAACGGAATGGAAGGGAAGGAAAGAAACATATTGAAGAAAAAGGAAATCCTACTAAATCGTGAGCAATTTTTGATTTATTGAGACCCTGCTGTGGGTATTTGTGCAAAAGAGAAGGAGCTCACCTTGCAATCATCTCCTTCTCCTTATTGGAAGAATGCCCACCGCTCCCCAGTACTTTTGCAGGGGTTGATAAGAAGTAGAGGCAGTGATTTTTGAAATACTGATTGATGAGAGGCATCAAAATCTACAATAAAAGATTTTTCTAAAGTGAGTAAAGCAATTGGGTTAAATTGCGACTGAAACATAGTAATGATTTAAACTTGATACATTGGTCTCACCTTAGCAAAGAATTTGATTTCCTGCTCATGAGGGGACTTTTCCACTCGTCCACTGCTTACCACAGCCTCTGCAAAACACATAGAGAAAATGACAGTATCAAAACAGTGCAAACAACAAGAATTTAGATGCCATCACAATTCTTTTTGAATAAAACTATCAATATCTCATTTTTTCTCACAGTACCCAGATGAGCAATGAACTCCTGGGCAATTTCCATCCATTTTAACAGTTTTTGCAAGAAGCCATAAGCAAATCTCTTCTCAATGGATGATATTTCAGACTCCATGTCTTTCAGGCCCCTAAAGATAAACAGATTGAACACATTTTTACATTTACTAGATTTTAATCAGTCATTTCCCCCCTAACTTTTTATTATAAATCACACGACTTGACTTAAAGAGATTAAAAATGAAAACTACAGTTACGGCCTAAATGTTTGGTATAAGAGATGCATTTTTACCTTGTGACAGCATATCCATTAAGTTGCAGGAACTTTAGTAACTCATAGGCCTTCTCTCTGTCTCGTGCCTTCTCTTTTGCTGTCAGAGTGTCATAGGGCACCAGCAGAGGATGCGTTCCACCTCCTACACAAGCAAACACACAACCAAAACAATTACCAGAGGTAAAACATTTTATCATTCATATTTCTTCAAAATCACAATTTTAAAAAGAAAAAGAAATCACCTTTGGCTTGTAACTCTAACTTTTTCTTGCGTCCCCAAGTGTTATGGTAATTTTCTGCCAGTTGCTCTGCCATTGACTGTTTAAAGATGTACGTTTTGTAAATTATGCAAGTGTCCATGAGATGAGGATTATAGCACAGACGGCTCAAACATTTTATGTAATACCTGTAGATCTCTGGACAGTCCCATGTGTGAGATTTCAATGGGCTGCGGACTGTAGCCATGGCTTGGGTCATATGTTGCCTGGAATTGAAATATACCAGTATATCATAAGATAAAAAGGGCTACTGTTATAATATTATCAAGTAATATTAGTAACGCCCCCTTACTGTTCCATACCTGAGCAGTCTGGGAGATTTTTCTTGAAGCTGCCTTTTTCTTCTCTGATTCCTCTTCCTCCCTGGCCTTATCTAGGTTCCATTCCCATGCAAGCATCGCCTTGATAGACTCTTTGATTGGCCACCGGTAGATCTCTTTGTCCTAGAGGAAAAGTCAGTGTGACCAGAAAAAGAGATACACGTTGAGATGGTGCACATGTATTCATTGCAGAAGATGCCTGTAAACGTACCTTTTCTGAGAAGGTTTTGTACGGTCTGAGCATGGGATGTGTTTTAGCGTTCTCATCCAACACTTCGCCGTATGACCAGTTATTCTGAATCTGAAATGCAAATATATTCACAGCATATTACATCTTAAACATGTATTGACTTGCCTTTGCTTTCTGTAAGTCTGTATTTTAATAAAAGTATGGATTCTAAGTCACAACATTCTCCACAAGGTTGAAGAAAGTTGCTCCTGAATTGGCTAAAAATCAGTGTTTGGTGTTTCTACCTTTTCAAAGGCCCATTTATCATGCGTATATTCAGCATATTTGTTGATAAAAGGATCCAGTCTCTCAGGGATTATTGTGCTATTGGAAGAAAAATCGGAGAACATTAATTTGGATGATTAAACCGGGGTATGCCGTATTGATAAAAAGCTACTATGATAAATATCATCTCACTTTGTGGTCTCTACTGGTTTCGGGTCAAAGTTTCCCTCTGCATCCACTGATGCCTTCTTCTCCGTTTTGGAGGAATAGCTGGCATCCACATAATCTGGAGGAATAGCTCCAGCAATGGCGCAGATGCATGGCATTGAAATTTTGAAAATTTCATGATCGAATTTCTGGAATCACAAAAACAAGTTTGACTTATGTATATATTTAATGTGCCAAGATGAAAAAATATCATGCTGCATGGAGTTTACCTTATGTGCAAGTGACTCAAAGATTCCCCAGAAAAGCTTTCGAGTCAGATGTAATTCCTCTTCTGAGGCAACTCCAAAGTTGGCCCATCCGTTAGGGAGACAGTAATATTTCCAGCAACGCTCATAGTGGTTGGTTAAAAGCTGTGGGATGTGAGATGGTTAAAAAGAAAAAGTTAGGGGGAAAACAAAAAATTTGGTGTGTTAAGGAATATCTACGGGTCGTCATACCTTCAGTGGCATTTTGGCATACTCATTCAGGATAGGCACATCAAATACCAGCCGTCTCAGCAAATGCTGGAGCATGGATGGTCGTAGATGTCTTTGAGCAAAATAAACAAACTTAATTTAAGTTTTGAATCTTTCTAAATCAAATGACTGAAAACACTTTCATGATGTTATCCTCACTTGCACAAAGCCATGAGGCATTCCTCAATAATGTCTCTTTGGGCTTTTGTAAAGGCTCTGCCTCTCGACAGTCTGTAGATAGTGTGCAACATGGAGTCAATCATTATTGCTCGGTGGTCGCTGCCAGCAAAGAGTGGGGCACACTTTGTGATGAGAGGCAACACTGCAGAACAGAGGTAGCGATTCAAAGCCAGAGCCATCTCCGTGGTGCTGAAAGCAGCCTGTGTGCAAGACATTTTGCAGTTGTTTAAGTTTAAACATGCTGTGTACTATGTACTATTTAATACTGTAGCGTTCCTGTAAATGTTTGTTACTCACAGTGTCCAGAGAGGCAGCAGCCCTCATGTCAGGCAAAAAGCCCACCTCAAGAACATGGAGCAGGAAATCCTGGTTGTCAATGCCATAAACTCTATCCAGGAAAAGCACCATCGGTGCCTTGTGATCTGGCACAAAACTGGCTGACATCTTTGGCTCTATGATGCTGTTGTCTAAGCACAAAATACATAAAAAATGCAAGAGACAGTGTGCATGAAGATATCATCAAGCATATTGTTTCTATTCTCAAATATGTTTCCCTGTTGAACTGCTTTTTTACTGTAATTTCTAAACTATTTACCTTTCCCAAAAGATGGGATCTGAACTGGGAGACTGATGACTCCAACCAGATCTTCAATGGGAACCAGAGACCTCAAAATTGCTCTGATCCTTAGAGCTTCACCCTTACCAGCTTGGATCAACTACAAAGACAAGTTTTGTTTAAAATTTTGACAGTCAAATAAGTTTGGCATGAAGGCTACGACTGTAAAGGACTTACATGCATCTCTGGTGCGCATCGTCCCAGTAAGTCAATAAGTGCAGAGTAGAAAGACATGATGGCATTTCCAAGGTGCACTCTGTTCTCCTCATGCTGCTCCTCTCCTCCAAACCTACATGTAAAAATAGTTGCTCTTTACAGTAACATTTCAGATTCCATCAGCATATTTAGACCCTTCAATTTGTATTATTAAAAGCACCTCTGGCAGTGATGCACAGGCGAAGGCCTTAGCTCTGCTCACCTTTCCCAAGGTATGTTCAATGTGTTTTTTTAAAGATATGCTCTGTTAGGTTCCCATTTTGACTCTGATGAGATTACTGAACACAAATTTGGGCTCAATAGGGGTATCTTCATATTTCCTGAAGTACCTTTGTGACTTATGTACCCCTTTGGCTATAACTTTATTTTGCTTTGTAATTTAAGATTTGTGAGTGCGTTTCAAAATGATTTTGGAAGATTATAAATTGGTGTAGAATGTAGACCTTTTAAAGGACATTTAATGAAACTTACATGGGAAAACGTCTGTCTTTTTTAACACTTGGACCGTCCCTTGCAGGGTCCTCTGATATTTTAATGGCTTCTTCTATCGCAGCCAGCAAACCATTACCACCCTCCCCCCTCAGGGCTGGACCGAAGCACTCAGGTCTCCGAATGAGGAGACGTACAACCACATTGGCATTTTCTTCAACACTTTCTCCTAAAGAACAAAGAAGAAAATGGTTATTTACTGTTATAGTCACATAAAAAAGAGTAAATGTAATTCAAAGATGTGAAATTAGAAATTGTAATATGTAGCAAGGAAAATATCCAACCATTGACAAATACAGCAAAACGGAGAAAGTCAAGGTATTTCTCTCCCCCACATGGATTCCAGCCAATGTCAGGATAACCTTTAGCCAGCAGCATGGGACAGCTCTGAAGTCCACATCCAGCCAAATACTTCACCACCTGCAAAAATGTGGGCATAGTCAAATAATTAGGTAATGTATGAATTTTTTTTATTTTTATGAATAGTTAAAATTTTCACTTTACCATTTCTAAATCCTGCTCTTGGAGAGCCAGTGCCAGTTCATTATTGTCAATACAGGAGGCTGCAGCCACATCCAAGGGTGTCGACCCTCGCATTCCTTAAGAAAAACACCCAATGTTAGCTCTGTTACAATTCACACATCAGGAGACAGTCATCAGCTATGAGGATGAAACTCTGTAGGGATAATCACCGAGGCCAATGCCACTATTCTGCAGAAGATAGCTGAGGTGGTCAAACATGGAACGTTGATTCTGACGACTGATGCGGCAGAAATAACAGAGAAAACGACAGCAGTTTGTCACCACCCGAGGGAATCTGATCTCCTGTTGAAAGAAGCCAGGATTTAAATGTTAGTCTCATTGTTAAAAGTTGCTCCCAGGTGGAAATTTATGGAACAGGCTTAAAATACAGTTCAGCAGATTAAAAAATCTGAAATACCTTGGAGTCCCCACCCCCCAGTACATTGACCATGACTTCCATGACGGTTTCATGCATGCCCAGAGCCCGCATCAGGTTGGGGTGCTGATAGAAAACTTTGTTACTCATGATGTTCCTATGGAAGACAAATGCTAAGATGAGTGTCTATCAAATTTAGACAGAAAATAAGTAACCAAGCAAGATATGAAGAATAATCAGAATCGGATAGCTACCCAATGCTTTGGATTATGAGCCTTTCCTCCTCTGGACCCATCTGCACAATGAGCAGTGAACGGATCTGGCCCAGGCATTCCAGCAGGTCCATGGTGTCTTGAATCGACACTGCATTGATGGTGTAAGCCTTGGGAAGGGCACGCATCAGCTCGCCCAGCCCGTCATACTGCCTGTGGAGGAGGCTGAACATCATGCGAACCAGCTCAGGGTTCTGTATGAATGACTCCTGGGCCCAGTGGATCATTGTGTGGGAAATCAGCTCTTGTAATGTGCCTGGTAGAAAGACAGTGGGTCATATTTGATCAGTCAACAGTCCACCTGTTCTTAAGTTGCTGAGAGAGAAGGAGTTAAGCGTACTCCACAAATGAACATAAATCGTCACTGGACTCACTATGGAATCCGTGACACTATTGTTGCTCTGGTTCAGGCATTCTAATTTCTGCTTGAAGTCATAGTGAAACAGTAGCACAAAGTGGTCGATACACTGGACATGTTACTGATAGGCTCACTTGGTTTTTTGTCTTCCTGTGGCTCAGGCTCCACTTCTATCTTCTTTTCACGGAATTTTTTCACCTTTTCCAACATACGGAGCAATCGTCCACGAACAGAATTATCCACTTCCTCTTCTTCTTCTTCCTCTTCAATGTGAACACCTGAATTTGAAGTTTGAAAGAAGTAGAGGTGAGCATTGAATGTTGGATTTATGCTCATTCTAAATGCTCATCAGATTTTAAACAGTGAATTGCTTCATTTATTAAAGCTAAACTGACCGCAGTGTGCCAACAGAGCATTGTGGAAAACTACAAAGGCCTCGCGGACCTCATCTGGGATTGGGCTTTCTTCATCATCCAGGCTGTTCTTAAAATTCATGAGCATGTTGACCTACACAGCAATGGGAGGAGGCATAAGCAGCATTGACTCCATTTCAATTTCAAAAGCTGGATATGGATTTGTTTATTTGAAAAAGATCGCCAACATCATAAGATAGTTTTTCTGGGCAATTTGCATAGTAACAGTGCTCCTTTAATAGAAAATTAATCAACAAAACATCACTCAAGGACTTAAACACATTTTCAATTAGAAATAATACATTTGTCGATTTATCTCTAGCAATTTCTGTATATTAGAGGGTATATACGGAAGAAGGTGCTGTACGCTATATTAGAACAGTTTTATAAATTATAGCTGTATTCTGAGTGTACCTGCTCCTGTGGAGGAGAGCGAAATTCCCGAGTCTTGCGGGCGGTCTCAGCAGCACTCATGGTGAAAGCCTGCATTAGGTCGTTGTAGCGCTGCCTCTGGTTGGACTGTATCTCGCTGACAAACGAGTCTGAAAAGGCAATGATAGCCTCCACTCTGTGACGTAGCTCACAGTCACAGAAATACTGCAGTAGAGTACACATCTAAAAAACAAAAGCAAATAATAAAACTTATAAACAGTTTAACTGAAAAAAATTTAATTATGAAGGAGACAAGTCTTTTCGTACCTGTAGTTTTACAGACTCAGGTAGTTTCATCTGAAAGAGCCCTTGTTCTAATAGTTCTTCTTTAGCTTCTCCACCAGTGTCAACCGGTTTGGGCTCTTTCTCTGTTTCATCGGCTCCTTTCTCACCATTTACATGATCTGTTTCCACTTCAGCTTCCTCATGTGGAACAACTGGTTCAGGGTCTTCTATTTCTTCATCCTCTATTTCTTCTTCCTCCTCTTCTTCTTCACCAAAGCCATAATCCTCAAATTCCGCTTCTTCATCTCCCCTAACAGCTTCCTGCTCTACACCTTTGACAGCTACAACTTGGGTAGCTTCTGCCTCTTCATCGACATTTAAGTGTTCCTCAGCAGGCTCCTCTGATTTTGTAACACTAAAGACAGTGGGATCAATCATTTTCAGGATCTGTGTAACATCCTCATCATCAAACACACCCATTATGAGCAGGGTACTGATGAGCTTCAGGATCGGAACAAAATGAAACTCAACACTGCCTCCCACTGGATCTCTCATGGCTTGACCTCCATCCTGAACCGCTTCAATCAGCATGTTCAGGGCCTTGGTCTTTAACACCTAGAAGTGCAAATCAGTATACATGTTTTTGTGAGCCAAAGAATTCCCTTAATCTGCTGAAGCTGCTTAATCTTACCTGTAAAGGAACAACTGGGCTCAGCGTGTAAATATTTTGATCTGTTCCCACAAAGCCAACAGAGGAAAAATGGAGCTTTGGACGGAGACATGTTGTGAGACCAACTCCAGGCAAAGCGTGGGATTTTTCTGTATACAGAGTGATAGTGCGAGTTTCATCTGTCATGGGTACTATGAATTCCTTGTTAGTTCCCAAACGGTTCCGTTTGGCAGACTCCAGGTGCATGCTAATGAGCAGGTCATAGAAACCACTCCTCATTGGTCCAGGGAGATAGGTGTTCTCTATGGAATAGAAAAGCTGAGACTCATCGACGTAACTGCACAGTGCGTGTGCCACACGGTTATTCCCCAGAGCGCAGACTGAGCCGTACAGCTTCAGGGTGTGATAGTGGAACTTCAACAGGTCCATCCGTTCCGACAGTTCCAAGATGTCAATACACCTACGTGAAATAGTTGAGCCAACTTTATTAAGTGGACATGAAGAATTCGATCACTGTGCGTCATAGGGCAGAGTGAGACGTGTCTAACCTGTTCTCCTCTGGGATGTGCAGCGCCATCATAGTGAGGGGCTCCTGACACTGCACCATCCAGCCCAGCCTCTCGTTAACACGCCCCGTCTCCGGAGCCAAGAAATGATTGGGCATCCGACTCCAGATAACTGGGGTCAACATCTGGACATCGAGTCTTGGAGGGCACTGGGGGACTGTGTTCTTACGTTCACTGCGGAACATGGCCGCTGAGATGGGCATGATGTTCTGACATGCAATGACAGCAATGCAAAAACAATTAGCTAATTGAAAATGGATTGGGAGTTTTCTATACACTGCAGAGTCATTCTTGGTGGCTAACCTTGAGCTTGCCCAGTTCAAACTGAATCATATTCTGATTTGAAGGCTGAACAAAGACAGCAGGGAATAGTTTGGTGTTGTGCTCCACCTAAAAGAAGATTACACAGTGAGTAAATAACAACTTAATAGGGAACAGTGTGAAGACTAAAGCTTATCAAACCTGGTAAAATGTATTGATCTCTTTTCCATTTGCAGTGAAAGTCATGAGTCCTGTGTCCAGGTCAACAAGACAGCCAATTACAAAGTCCTCCTGACTGACACGGGTCTGCTGGGAACTGCCGAACTCCCCTCCCCACACCATGTAGCAGTTGCTACGCTTTATGCTACAGAAGACAGATAACTCATTAATCACATTTTTAGGGGCATGATTTGACTCAGAGCACTTTTTTTCCCTTTACCCAAAAACAACAAACCTGTCATGAATGTTGCCTTTGTCATCTCCTACAGTGACCGTCACATTTCTCACTTTGCTGATGTCAAAATGAGGGTCGTACTGGTGATAATCTGGTGTGATCCAGCCCACCCAAACTCCCCCTGGTTCCTGTCCTGCGAATATTCGCACTGAGTAATAGTACTGGTGACAGGTGGAGGGGAATGAGAAATAGACATAGGTGTCAAGTAGTTTGAAAACAAAATAATCAGAAAAGGTCAAATTTCTACACTTCAATTTATGACACACTTTAGTGAAAGCAACTTTTTTCGTGTTGGATGCCAAAAAAGGTCTCAGTCATTTAAAAACAGATGAACAAATCATGGAGAAGATTTTGTTTGGATAAATTGTAAATCAATAACTATAAGAAGCTGTCATACTGTTGTGGTACTTTGGATTATGTCCTGGTCATCTCTGTCATCTGGGACAACATCTTCCATTAAGCGGGGCATTGTGGGAACAACAGGTGGTGGTGTTATTAATGCAGCCTTTTTAGCCTTAAAAAGGAACCTGTGAATAACAAATCAATTAAAAAAAATAGATTGCTTGATACAGTCTTTAACACCTCCTCTGAAATGATGCCACGTGCATACCCTTTTTTCTTGCTCTTCTCGGTAGAAGCGTCCTTCTCATTTTCTCCATTTTTAATGGCGGGCGTTTCTTTGGGCACTGAGGGCTCTTTCTTCTCTTCCTCCTGCTCTTTACGAGAAGCTGACTTCTTGAGTATTTCAAAGTCAGAGTCGGGGTCCACCTCTACAACGTCATCCTCCGGAATAGTAAGAGCTCGAGTGAGAAGTGTTGTCCCCGCTGGGACCTTGAAGGTCTCATGAAACTCAATTGGCATGCTGAGTCTGAAGAACAGCATATCTGTGTTGGCGTTCTGAGATCCAAACGTCTTGTGGGTCACTTTGATACAGGGAGGCGTTTCCACAGTCCCATCAACACGTGAAACCTAGATTATTTAAAACAGGGTCAGCTTGTGATCAAAATATAATTTATTCATAATTCAAAGCAACAGTACCTCCATATGAGGATGATCCGTAGGTGCATTGATGAACTGGGGCAGGCTTTTGCTGAACCACATGGTAATGTCTCTTTTCATGTTGATTGCAAAGGGTTCAAATCCCTCTTGCAGTCCACAGATGGTAAAATAACGAAGACTACTGACATTCTGACCAAGGTTGATTCTCCCAACTTGGGAAAGGCCCAGACTGCACACAGGGATGAAGCCTACAAAATGTTTAATACATGCATGAACATGGATGTGCTTTGAAGACACAAACTTGTATGTGCTAAATGCCAGTATCTAGTTTGATTCCACTTATAACTGTACTTACCTTCCCCTATCTCAATATCCTTAAAGGCCATTTCCGATCCCGAGTCACTGATCAACATTTCCCCATTGAGTGTAAACATGATGTTCATCTCCGTGAGGTCAATCATGCAGCCCACCACATCACCTGACAGCCACTGACGTCCAAATGGCTCAGTTCCCACATGCCAGCGTTGAGCCTATGAAAACATTTGTGTGAGATTTTTGTATTATAGAGCCTTAGTTATCATTTTACAAGCTCATAAAGGACTGTGTCCCACCTTGTATCCATTGAAGACGTATGCTAATTCATCTGCACCAAGCTCCGTGTCTGCACGAACGCTGGGTCTGGCCCAGCCCACCCTCATCTCCCCCACCGTCACAGCCTCAAATTCAAAATACCACTTCCCCTGTGTGACGGCATACGATTTCTCTGCTCTAAATACTCTGATTTTGTCCCCACGGAGGCTGCCTGCTCCGTGTCCACCTACATGAATGAGATACAGAAATGAATGCTGAAAAAGCTTGAATAAATTTAGGGTTATGAGATAAAATATCTATGGTTTAGATACCAAATATTGCAAGAAAAGAAAGTCTGATGTCATAATGCTCACAAATGTACAAACTTACTACTCTCCTGGTCAGGTGGCTCTATGTTGTAACCATATCCGAGGAGGGTGCGGACAGCTGCGCAAACTGTCTCTCTGTTGGTCTTTTTCGTCTTCTCATCCAGGAGGTTGTAGGGAACCAAACGGGGATTACGCTTGTTCATTATATCCTGTACAAGTAAATCCAAACAAACAATCAATTACAAAATAAACAAACAAATGCCTTGATCCAGTATGCATGAATAAATCACATATTTATTATTGTTAGCATTACAGGAACCTCTTCATTTTAGCTTGTACCTGCACAATGCTGTAAGTCCAGCCCTGACGAACGCGGTCTCTTGCCCATACATTGTGTCCATTTTCTGCTAGTCTCTCCACAAGAGTGTTCTGATTAGGAGTCAGCTTGACATGATTGAGGTCCAAAGGGGCTGGTTTATATCCATTGCTCTGCATGTAACTAACAAACAATATTTTTGGATCAGAGTAGGTCCTGAAGAGCCGTGTTAAGGCCTTCAGTGTGTTTACTCTGAAAGAGAAACAGTCTCACATATTGAACAGAAAAAGTGAGTGTTTTGCAGCTCACGTCTTGGGGAGCTTGGTCCTTTTCAGGTTCTCCTCTGCTTTCTCATCTCCCATTCCGACATGACAGCCAAGAGCCAGCAGAGTCCTTTGAAATGAAATACACAAGGTATTAGAAGTACAAAGAGATTGAGGCCCAAAGCTGTTAATTAATGGAGGAGTATGACATACTTCAGCGTCTCTCCAGACATTGCTAAATTGTAGTTCTTCTCTGGCTCGGGCAGACTCTGGAAATCTACCAGGCACGGATGCAGCTTCTTATTGTCATCACGAAACTTTTAAAAGTAAAGATTTTTTGGGGAGAAGTTTAGTGTGCGCCACTAGATTTTTTCTCAATGTATATTTGTGTGTATGAAGTCCAAATGTCGCTGAAAACACCCACTGATCCAAATGTCCAGCCTTGTTCAATGCGAGTAACAGCCCAAAGCTCATGACTGTTTTCTGCCAGCTTCTCTCGAATGCGTTCCAAGTGAGGAGGAAGAACAATCTGAGAAAATGAAGGAAATAAGCGCAGTGTACGATGTCCATGAAAAACATAAAAAACAAAGTCAAGGCTGCAGTACCAATCCACAGATCGGATATATAAAGGAAGACAGAATCAAATTTTACCTGTATGGTATCCACAGGGCAGGGAGTAAAGGCTGTATGTGAAAGGGCCTGGGTTGGACCCAGCAGATTTCGAACCGCATCAAAATCGTGTTTATACTCCTTGATGGGTTCGATCCGCAATCGGTCCCTGGGAAGCACTGCCTCATAACACGGAGCATATCCTGGAGGTGGGAGGAACTTGAAATCCCCATGACGGCCACCAAGAAGAAACCGCAACCTTGTGTTGGAAGCAAAAAACATTAAGGAAATTGTTTAAGAGGAAAAAAAAGTGTTCCTGAATACAATCCATTGTCTTAACTTGCCAAATAAAAGTTTCTAGTAATCTGGTAATATTTCAGTGTCCTACTTAACGCCTGCAGAGAAGCTGACGACTGGAAAAAACAGGCCATCCAGATTGAAGTTCTCAAACATTCCCTGAACAGGATGTCCATTGATACGAAAGGAGATGCTGGGTACACTGAGATCCAAACAGCAGCTGACCACATCCTCAGCCGCCAGGACGTGCTGACTGGGAGAAGCAACATGGCGGGGAACACGTCCTGTAGACATATAAGGCGTGTTAAATCCCTTTCTGTCAGAATCAATAAAGTTTTTACTTAAAGATTTGTTGTGTATCCAAATTGCTAAGAATATGCCATATTTTGTTTACCTGACCAGAGGTGAAGCCCATCAAACCCATAGGAGTAGAGGTCATCCCCAACGCCGTTAGCTCCCCAGCCCTCCCCACCACCAGGGTAAGGACTGTAGCCCTCTGTCAGAGCCCAACCCACACGCAGGTGATAGGGCTGAGCAGTAAGGAATGGCTCAACGTGGTCTACCATCACCTCAAAATACCACTTCTTATACTGAGTGGATCCTTCACATGTTCCCAAGAAAATGTTGGGTCTCATGCTAAAATGAAATGAAAACAAAAAAATCAACCCGAATGCATTTTCTGAGAAAACAAAAACATCTACTGAGTGGTAGGTGCTCTTTTACGTTTACCTACCTGGTTACATAGTTGATAATTCTGGTTTGAAGCAGGAGGTCACGACCTGGAAGTAGATTCTCTGTGATGAGATTCTGATTGGATCTAACAGCCACCCCATTGCACACACACAGGGAACACAGCACATCCAGGACCTGGCAAGGAAAAGGTGTACAGATATCCACGAGAGCTATGATCAGCTAGCAAGTCATTGCATTGTAGTGAAGGCTGAGAAAACGATGTAACGTGTTTGGGACCTTGTGATTGCGTCCATGCTTATCCAGAAGAGAGATGATTGATTTAATGTGATTCTCCTGGATGATATTCAACACCTCCGGACTCTCAATCAGAACACAGTACAACACCTCCAGGATTCCTGTCATACAAATGTCAATAAATATTTCAAATTTGAAATCATACAGTGTTATGATAAATGGAATGTTGACAACACAACAGAAACAGGTAAAAGCACATTTCAGCACTCATGTAATCATTTTTCAATCACTATATCTTTGCAACAGTCAAAATAAAAAGGTAATGTACTAGATCTTAAAATTAGAGAGCCAACTGATGTATGTATATCTGGTAAAACCAGTTTTAGCAGCAATAACTTGAAAAAAGAATCAGGTTTAAAATGTTAGCTGTACTGGAAATGTCCTGGTAATTTTTTTTTCTTTACAGTGTTTCGTCGTTTCATTTAAGTTTGCTGAAACGTGTTTATACACATAAGCTGTAAGATATTTGTGTTCTTAGTCTAGTTTGCTTCAAACATGTGGCGGGCTATTAAGACTTAAAATGACCTATTTGGCCTTGTCTATAGAGTATCCTTTACTAAATAACTCATTTACTAAACTGTATAGACTACACACAGTTTGCAGGAACATTGTATTTTAAAAAATTCTTTGTGAGCCAGTGCAGCACATGGGTTCTTAATTAACCCTGGTCCAGTGGAGCAAAGACAGTCTAAAAATGTTTGGTTTTGCGAGATAACAAGCCGGACGCGAATCACTCAGCCGTAAATACCTGAGGAAGCTTCCAAACGATCCAGTTTGCTGACCAGCCAGTCGAGGTTGTCACAGAAAAGGGCGCAGTTTGCACGATTTCCCCTGATCAAAGAGGCTTCACAAACGAGGAGAAGCAGGAAAGCTCAGCAACACAAAAAGAAGTGAGGACATAGCCGATGGACCAGTGCACATCAAATAAAAAACTGACATACCCAACAATTCATACAGTAAATTTACTATGTCTTTCCAAGACTCTGCGGCTTCTTCCCCGGCGTACTCTGAGAAGTGTGCAGCTGTGTTGTACACATTGAGCCGGTCAACACAGTCCAGAACAAGCGTAATCATGCCCTATCACGAAATGAGGATAATAGTAAATGTCAGACGACCAAATAAACCTATACAGACTGAAAATAAGGCAGTTCATTCTGATTATGCCGACCAACCTCTTCTTGGAAAAGGTTCTGTCTGTTCTTGAGGGAGCGAAGCTTGAACTGTTTCTCCTCGTGCTCCAGTTCCTCCTCGGGGGGTCTGAAGTAGAAAATGAGGTCCTGCAGTGATAGCACCACTGTGTCCATGGGCAGAGACGGAGGATTGGCCGATTTATTTTTCCCGCTTAGCGCATCTAGACCTCTGGAGACATGAGAAAAAAATGTAGGTAAAAGAAAATAGAAAATATAACCACAGATATATTAGAATGTAAATGTAAAGAAAGAATTGGTACTTTATAAACTGGGTGAAGAGGCCTGTAGTGCTGTAAATCATTCTGGCAGCTTGAGATTCCTCTGTCTGGGATCGAGCAACTGTGAGTGCATCATCCATGTGACCTTCTTTATGGAGTATGGCCTAAGAATTAAACAACTGCTTCATTAAAACGTATGATCACCACCAAACACTCATACACATACTGACTTTAGCATGATTAGCACTTAAACTGTTGTTAAAGAGTAAGCTGTAATCTTAATGTATGATTTATTCTGTACCTTTCTCTTCAGAGGGCCTAAACGGGCAGATTTAGCATCAACAGCAGCATATGTAAGCCAGAGGCCAGTGGAAACATGCTGTACGAAGCACATGGACTCTCCATACTTGATCTCAGGTGTGCCCATGCCTTCCACGTCACGCTTCTGAGTCACTTCAATTTTTTCCTGTAGTTCAAATAAAATTGTATTGTAGTTCTAGCGCCGAGTGTTATCTATATTTGAACTCATATCATAAACAGCTCAACAGCTCAAACCTTGGAAATTCTGAAGCAGAAGGCTGACATCTTGGAATTTGCTTTCTCGGAGTCCACCAGCAGAAGTCCTTTCTCTTCATCCAAGCACAGGTATCTGCCCGTTGTTATGTGGCGAATCCGGAAGGACTGGCCCCATTTAATGTGGCCTCCGCTCCAACTGCCAAAACACAGAAACAAATGAGCACCAGCAACCAGAAACTGAAGCCATTCAAAAAGAGAAAGGAACTCACGCAATACGCAGGGGCTCGAGTCTCCATAAGGAACGAGCATGACTGCACACAGCGCCACCTTCATAATGAACAAGCCTGAAAAAAAGGTCCACATCTGAAATCTGGGGCTGTAAAACTAAACTCATGTCAGCTTTGTCACTTATTCAATTGTGTTAGCAAATTCATTTCTGTAGATGATGCTGGCTAACATGGATTTGATGTGACAATACATCACAAACATATTTAACATTGAGCAATAAGGGGCTGTCTTTCCTTTTTATACAGAAATGTATTTTCCATAATGTAAATTAAAGTTTTATAATGTCTGACTGTATCTAATTGCATTCAGAAAGTCACCTGCGCTGGTCATCCCCTTGGTCAGCTCCAGGAATGGCCAAACATTCATCCATGTGACCATGGAAAAGCCTGAGCACATATCCCCCAGTCAGAAAACCTAGAAACGAACAGTTTAATCGCTAAAATTGAGTGTTTGAGGATACTCAAGTTTTTGGTGTTTTTTTTGTAACAACATTACAGACCTTCAGCCAGCTCACACCCAGACATCACAGGAGTCATGGTCCACAGCGTTTGCATGAAGGAAGCATCTACCATCAAGTCACCACTTGCGTAGGAAAGGTGCTGAGGAGAGTTCAGATTGTCATATTGGGAAAAAAAGACAATAAACAGCAAACCCTTCTGTGACAGTTCAAGAAATCCAAACATTTTACCAGGTATCGCTCTGAGGAAACACTGACAAGGATGAGGTCATCTCCCACTCTGACCTTCTCACCCTCAGACCTTTGCTTGGAGGCTGGATGTATGGTCCACCAGCAGGCCTCCCCTGCAATGAACCAATTTATTACACAGGATATTCAAATAGTTAAATACGAGCGACCTTAGGCTGGACCATTTAAACCCACCAGTTGAGTCTTCCTGCAAGCCCACGTCAAAAGCCAACTTGTCCGTCAGTGAGCGTGAAGTCGTCAAACAACTCAAGTACTGTCATGTCGAGACAGAAAAAACAGGTTTGCATGATATTGCCTGCAGTTAAACAGCCCTTCAGGGCTCCTAAGAAAAATGACTGACTGACAGATAATTTGAAAACACGCCTACCATACTGGAGTGAGTGTGCTTCAGGAGGATTGCATGTCCATAGAGGAGGGTGCGGTGACCCCCACCTTGTGAGGACTGGGATCAGAAAGATAAGGCAGTCAGTTAAATGTTTAAACAGTAAATAGTGGTAGATCTTTTTGTAGTTAAGCAGTGTATGCAGGCAAAGAAAATGACACAATTTCAAACTAAAGTCATCCCCCTACCATTTAACACCACACAAAATGGAAAAGAAAATAGATTTAATTCATTAAGGCAAAAAAAGGCTATTTAATTTTACCTGTTCGAGTACACAAACAAGGTGAAAAAAAAAGATGACTGAGTGACAGGACTTACCCATTTGTCCAAATCGACTGCCTTCAGTTGACAGATTGAAGGATGGAGGAGAAAATAAATTATGAATTTCACTGGAGTACCACACAGTGCGTACGTTCGTAATATGGTATCTGTATTGTATTAAGGGAGCAAACTATTTCTGTTTAATTTTACCCTACCTCATCAACAGAGGAGTTTGACAGCATCTCTTGTAACGCTCGAACCGACAGGGACTGCTCCAAAATGAAGCAGCAGATAGCCAGGTCTGGGGGAACATTCTGAAACCCAGAGCAACCAGCAAACCCAGTGAATGGAGGCCATGAAAACTTTCCAAGAAATAACACAAAAGGCATCCGAAGCTGCGTCTTTTCCCTACCTGTGCATTTGAGGTGGTCTCGAGGAAACACAGACGATTTCCAAAGCCTTCACACGACAGACACACCTTAATCTGCTCCTTCAGAATAGATGCAGTGCACTGCAGCACCACCTGGTCATCCTACAAAAACAGAAGTCAAAGGGGATAAAACACTTTAAGGAGATGTTTTCTTTTTTTTATTTGTCAAGCTTCACAAATACAATATTGTGGCTATGACCAGAATTCTTCTGCTTCTGTACACAATTCCCTAACCTTCCATCATATATCCTATTACTTTACTTCACAGTTCTTATAACAGAGTCAGCTCTAATCTCCTCGCCTCTTGGGCTGCTGGACCCCCACTCAAACCTCTATTTCCGGCAGCGGCAGCTGCCGTTCACACCTCCCAGTCTGGAAAGCAACCGGTGTTTTGGATTTAACAGTCAGGAGAAAATAAATAGATACTGTAAATGACGGTATTAAACTGGTTCAGTTTGTTTGATGCTCAGGAAAAATAGTCCAAGAATGTGAGACATACCAATTTTTGGTACAATAATGTCTGTCAAACAGCAAATATTCAATTACATTGGAATCCAGCATATGATGGCAGCCCACCTCTTCATTTGGTTCTTGGTTTTTCCCCTCTGTCAACGCTTTGTGGGATGATTCATGTGATTTAATACACACAAAATTTACCTGAAACACTTAATATATCGGTATTTCCTGAAAATAAAGGAAATCCAACTTTAAACTTGTGGTTAAAGACTTCTTAACAGTTTGCAGGATAAATTTTGGAACACTCCTTTGGTACAATTCTCCACTACAAACCTGACATTATCAGAATGATGCATACGAATATGTCTTCAACTGAATGATTCTTAACTATCAGTTTTATTCCTGTAGGTCAGTACCTAATTTCAACATGTTTTCAAAAAGGAGCATCATACGAGTGTTACTTTTTTAAATGTCCTGCTTTCACTTCCTGACCGCCAGCACTAGCCACAAAAACAGCTGCCAAGGGTCGCTTAAATCAGTAAATTGGTTGAGAGTCACTGATGAATATTTCAAGCCAGTGTAATAAAGGACCATTTATGAATGCTGCACGGAATTCTGTTTTTGGGTAATAACTTTAACTAAATAACAATTTTTTTTCAGATCTGTACAGTTACTTTTAAAGAGGCACAATGATGACACTCTGTGGCAGTTATCTGACCTCTGAAAATCAACCAGATTCAGCTGAGTCTTTCAAGGACAGATTTAGAACTGGTTCTACCATCAGATGTGAATCAGCACTGGGACCATCCAAGTGGGAAACATACGTATCATTTCATTTTACAAGCAGGTGTAAGGTTTATCCTCACAGGATCCCCTTCGGTTTCTGAGGTCTCATCTACAGCAGGGCAGCACAGTCAGTTAAAAAGCCAGCTCAATTTCCTCGACATGGCCCACTTATTGAAATATGGAAATATGCCATAAAACAACACCTGAAATGAGACACTGTTGGTTTATGAAGCAATCGTGTTCCCACATGGACTGAAATAAGCAGGTGCTGAAATGGGCCAGGCTTTGAGCACACTAATCCTCACGCAGTAAATATAGACCCCCGAAGAGTTCAGGGTGAACAGCAGCAGACAGACAGTAAGCTAATGACGCATTGTTAACATATTTTTAACACTGCTAAGAAAAAAATATTTAGCACATTTATTACAAATCCCATCTTCATCGGAAAAGTGATTTGAATTGGGCCGAGTCCCGGACCACCCACAGATTAGGTGTCTGTCACTTTAAACAAAATGGATGACTTTTGCCACTCTACAGACGACTGAATCAAGCAGCGATCACTTTCAAGTGAGGCTGCAACACAGTCTATAGATAATCCGTGTCTGGCGTGCGCTTAAACAAGAGCTCAGGTTACTTGGCTTTAGAAAAAACTTGAGTGACACAATGCAGAATATGCACAGCAGTATCAACACTGAGCCTCCAAATAAAGAGTGTCACATTATAGTGGTCTGCTGGCAAGGCCACACTGTCCTTCAACAGGCTGTGGCACACAGATCTGAAAGGGAAACTTGATAGCTTGGCAGTGCGTAATGCATCAAAAATAAATTCTTACATTAATCAAGTAAAAAAGTTGCACTGCAATAAAAAATTACCAGACCACAATATTTCCAGTTTCCTATATTTTCCACATTCTCACGAAAAGATGTCCAGTACAAGCCATTTATTTATGAAGAACAGAATGAAGACGTATGACATACTTAAATAAGCATCAATGATACATCTGGGCCACTGTAATCTTTAGGTATGGCTTTCAAAACTGCAGATGGTCCAAATGTAATTAAAAGTAATGTACTACTGATGTAAGACTGAGCCCTGTTTAGATTTTAATTCTGTGTGCCATTCAGTTATTAGCATTGCATAGTTTAAATCTTGGGTACAAATGTACAAATCTACCCTGAACTTAGTCAGATTCAGGGTAGATTTAGTTTGTTTTATCCTCTAATATTGAAGTCTTTCTCAGCCACGGATGCATTGTTCTGCTTGAAGTGTGCAAGTCTAGATAGCAGAAACGGTCCTGATTTGAATTATTTCAAAATTACAGATATGGTTGTGTTCATGTGACATACGTGTACTTTCTTGCTACTGGCTTAACAAAAGCTCCTACATGTCTGTGTGTTAGCTGTCACCTGGTGACAGGAGTTTTCTTCTGTGTGACAAAACAGCAGTAAATCAAATGTCCATTGGGATAAAAATAGGATACAATACTGACAAAAGAAGCCACCTGCCCATGTCAATCTGTGTGTAGTCCAAGTAAAGAAAGTCAGTCACTCATTCAAATCTTTGATATTACACATTCAACTGATCTCTTTCTTACCAGTGTTATCAGTGTTAGTACAAGTTTTAAGGAGCAGTCAAACAGCATCACTTACTGTACGCAGGAACTGGATCTCCTCCTCTCCGTCTGCACCTTCTGCCATCCTCCCAAGATATTACAAGCTAAACCTTGAGAGATATGGGAAACAGTCTTGTTCACAGTTGTGTGACTCCCGGTGCCACCACATATGGCTTGTTACTGAAGGGTAAAGCGTGTCCCCTGCTTCTTCCAGGCTGTGTTGTGAGGCACAGGGATTGACTGTTCATTATTTACAGCTGTTCTTAGCAGCATCATAGAGAGGTGGAGCAAGCTGACAAAACTGAGACAGCATTTCCAACATGCATGTTGGTCACTGCTCTATTGGATATTGCTTTTCACTCTGGCAAACTGAAATCTTAGTAAAAACAATTGTTTCAATAATTTGTTTGCTTTTTAAAGTAATCCTAAACAGTCCTATATGCAATATTATGTCAGTTCAAATTCCATCCATGCATCCATTTTTATACTGCTAACTCCAATGGTGTTGTGGAGGGGCTGGAGCCTTAATTCAAATTTGAATTTAAATTTGTTGTTTAATCAGTCAGCCTTAGAAATAATCTTAGACATTCACCTTATCTATATATTTATTTGTTTGTTTGTTTTTGGGTTTGTTTGTTTTGTTTGATTGTTTGTTTTTATTAGCATAGCTTTCTGTAGCTCACCAGTGGAGTCATTACACTGTAAAAATTAATAGAATACAAAAATGTCTTTAAGTAAAAGAGAAAATTATATCGGTCACATTTTCAGAAATATTCAGTCAAGAAAACGACTAAACAAAAATACTTATTCAAACAAATTAAATAATTTTCAAACGAATATGAAATGATATGAAGTTTTGTTCATACCCTTTGGTTCCTTTGGGGGGCAGCAGAGTGCGGGTAACACGCCTATCAGCCATTTCCCTTAGAAGAAGAAAATTGTGCATCGCTTAAACTCTTCCCACTTAATTTTAAAATACCAAAGTGCAGCCAGGTAAGACATGCACATAGATTTTATCAGCACAATTAGTATAGCACAAATATGTTGAATTAGTTGGACGCCATGGAGAAAATTTTGTTTATGCTGAACGTTAAAACCTAATGTGCCTTGTTGGTTTCAAGGCTACATGCTAACTGCGATCATGCTAGCTGAGAAGCTCACGGTTACTTCACTTTAAGTCATGTTGCTAGCAGATACATGTCTAGTGTATGTACAGGGTGGCTCATAGTTTAATATATGTCGGTATGTCTGCGATTTAGTCATTTTTGGGGTGGAAGTCTCCATTCAAACCTAAATAATAATAACATTTGCTCTTTGACTGACCTAAAGGAAAGCTTCACTCGTTAGATTCTGATAGTTTACGAGACATTGCAGTTATGTTTATTGTTTTTCCATAGCTTGATCAAGAGAGGAAGGATGGATGCGCTGGCACACATGCTTACAGATCCTCTTGATCCAAAAGAGGAAAACGGTGGACAAATCACAGAGGAATGTATGCTAGGAAACTGCAGAGTGAATCTTCCTGAAGATCTTTTAGAAGACGTGAGTAAAATGATTTTTGCAGATTGCTTAGAAAGTAAGACACAGTGCACATTGTAACTTTTTTTGTCCTCACCTTTTTTCCAATAGCCTGACATTTTCTTTTCTGTGCTGAGTGAAAGCACCTGGAGTGAAGTACTGACAGATTCCCAGAGGCAACACCTTCGGCAGTTTTTGCCACAGTTTCCTGACAACAGTGTGGAGGAGCAGGACCGCACCATCAGCGATCTGTTCAACGACAGAAATTTTAGTTTTGGAAATCCTCTTCATCTTGCACAGAAGTTATTCAGAGGTGCTTGCAAAATGAACGTCTTTCACAGTGCATTTACATTAGAAAATTGATTGGGCTTTTAAAGAATGATTAAAATAATGATGAATTATTTTCTAATTTCAGATGGCTATTTTAATCCTGAGGTGGTCAAGTACAGGCAACTGTGTGCCAAGTCCCAAAGGAAACGCCATTTGTACTCCCTTCAACAGTATTACCACAGATTGTTGAAGCAGATTCTTGTTTCCAGAAAGGTTTTTTTCTATCCATTTAATACGTTTAATCTTATTGGCCTGCAGCCTCTTTCTTGGTCTAAATGTGCCTGTTTCTTGTAGGAACTGCTGGACTTTGCAGTTCATAGTGGTCTGGACTTTCCAGCTAAAAAAAGGATGCCAAACAAGACTCAAGCTGAATTACGGGAGCCGAGGGTGAGAAGAAGATTGAGTCGCATCCTAAAAGAGGTCAAAACTGAGTGTGGAGATAGCAATCCTTCATCTGATGATGATGGTAAGTTTTTGTTTGGTTTTAGAAATCTCTGTATATAATATGTACAAAAAACATTCAGTCAGCAAAAGCAAATATGGGTTAACCCAACTTTATATACATTATTCTAACACAGACGTATCATTATGGACTCAAGGACCTCCTTCCCCCTCCTCTCCAACAACAACAGTCTCCGTCCGAGTTCTTCCCAGCCTCTCGACACAAGACATGAAGACCACTGGTCAGTAATCCATGTTGTATGTTTGTCATGCTAATGTGGTAATTTATGCAATACTGTTAATGGGATTTTTGTTTTGGAACAGAAAAAGTTGAGCTTGGTGAGCTGGACTTGAAAGTCATGCTGCATAATCATTGTGAGAAGAGGAAGCGTCAGCCAGTAAGTAAAGAACAGGTGAAACTGAGAATTGTTTGTCTTTCCTTAAACACTGAGTCACTAAGAATTTGTTTCCTCAGGACCATCCAGACCTAATAACCTCAGACATTCACCTCGGAGATATACTTTCAAGAGCAAACATTGGTCGCAAGGGAGCTTTGCGTGAGTAAACGAATATATATGTATAAACAGGTCCTTTCTTTCATTTTCTTATGACTCTAAGAGGTTGTTTTCCTTGTCATGTTGCAGCATTCTTTGATCTGTCTCTGCCTAAAAAGAAGATGAGGGATGAGCGAAGGAAGAAGAGATTGAGAACAATAAAAGTAGAATCTGAGGATCCCTGTGAGGCTCTTCCACCTTCAGACTCCTCATCAATACTGCCAGTTAACATCATTAACTCCCTGCCAGACGCACCGTCAACACCACAAACAATAATCAAAGAGGAGTACGTCTGTTCTGTTTTAAGTATTGACTGGTGTTAAACGTTAAGTCTCATGGCTAATGCAAGAAAAACCCATGTTATTGCTGCAGAATCGTGGAGGAGTGTCAGAGTAGCCCGGCCGCAGTTGAGGAAATTGCTGTCAGCTTCTTCAGCTTGTTGGAAAATATCTTAAGAACAGAAGCTCTTGCCAGCACTTCACTGGTGCGTTATTTATTTATTTATTTTTGGGGCTGGTCCACATTATAACACCACCATTGTCGTTCCTCAGTTAGAGGAGAGGGTTCAGATGTGGCAGTCCTCCCCGGCCAGCTCCCTCAATGTTTGGTTTTCATCTGCCTCGTGTTGGTCGGATTTGGTTCTTCAAGCTCTGCAGTTCCTTGCGGGAGAGACTAAAGGTAAACGGCAGCGGTCACGGGCAGTTAATGGTGGTTTACCTGCCCTATCCTGGTATCATATAAATGCCTTATCTAATTTCCCCACGTTGTCTGTCTGTTAATCAGATGGAATGATGGCCCTCCCCAGTGGTTTTTCTCCCTTTGCGGAATTTTCTGATGAATCTCAGCAGTGGAGATGGATTGGTGAGTGGAGTTGACTGGTGAAACACCTGCCTGATGTCCTGTCATGTACTGATGACTTGTTATACGCACGGTTTCATTTAGGTCCCACTCAGGACACGGAGAAGGATCTGAGCGCACTCTGCCAGTTATGGCTGGACTCCAAAGACTTTGTTGTCAAGGTACAACACATCTTAAAAGTAAATATTATACACAGACCTGCCATGTTTGTGCTTATCTGGGTTTGGTTCATGAAAGCTTTTGTCTTTGTCCCGCACAGACGGAAAATGAGGAACTGTTAGAGATGACCTCTCCCACACCAAAACTGTAAGTGCTTCTGCAATTCATAGCTATGACATTTACATGTGTTTATCATTTGTGATATTTAATATCCATTCTCATACAGTTCAACTGACTATGTGGTACGGCCCAGCACAGGGGATGAAAAACAAGTATTTCAAGTTCAGGTGTGTTCCTGCTGCAGTACAAGTTCCACTATTTTTCTTCTTCTTTTTTTTTTTCCTTTGGTAAAGATGGATCTTTAATTGGTCTTTCTTCTGGTTTGTGTATCAGGAGCAGCAAAGATACAACCAGCCACACAAAGCTTTCACTTTCAGGATGCATGGCTTTGAATCTGTGGTGGGGCCCGTTAAAGGGGTGTTTGATAAGGAGATGTCACTCAACAAAGCCAGGGAGCACACACTGCTTCGCTCAGACCGGCCACCATACGTCACCATTCTCTCTTTAGGTCAGAGCTCTCACTTCACTCCCACTGTGTTGTGCGACTGTGGGTGGCTGGGTGATGTAAGAGACCCTTAACCCGCCTTTCTTTGCTCCTTATCTAGTGCGAGACGCAGCAGCCAGGTTACCCAATGGAGAGGGAACAAGAGCTGAGATCTGCGAACTGTTGAAAGACTCGCAGTTTCTCGCTCCAGAGGTCACAAGTGCACAGGTATGGAAGTCACTGACTTCAATCAGCTTGAGTAGCTTTTTTTTTTTGTTTTGTTTGACTGTGAATTATTTGTCCACTTGGCTGATTAAGCAGATTCAAAATGAAATGGATGCTCCCTGTTGGTCAGTGGCTTTGTTTCCTTTTTAGGTGAACACAGTCGTTAGTGGTGCTCTGGACCGGCTTCACTATGAGAAAGACCCCTGTGTGAAGTACGACATTGGGCGCAAACTGTGGATTTACCTGCACCGCCTTCGCAGTCAGGAGGAGTTTGGTAAGCAGGAGTAAGCTTCAGATTGGTGGCAGAGTTTAAGGTTTTGCAGTCCGGATTTGTGGCATATTTATCCGAGCAGTGCTTTCTGAGGAAAGAGACGTCGCCATTTTGTTTTGTATTTTGATTTTTACATTTCAATTCAGCTTTTTCTTTCCCATCCATCCATTATCGTAACCGCTTAATCCCTATTGGGGTTGCGGGGGGGACTGGAGCCTATCGCAGTAGTCAATGGGCGAGAAGCGGGGTACATCCTGGTGGACTGTCCAGGGTCCATCACAGGGCGCTTTAAAAAAAAAAAAAAACTCATTTACAAATGTTTCTTGATCTCTGTTCACTACGAAATACTGATTCTGTTTTCTTTTCTCCCAAAGAGAGGATCCACCAGGCTCAAGCTGCAGCTGCAAAAGCAAGAAAAGCTCTGCAGCAAAAGCCGAAACCGGCTGCCAAGCCTGTGAGTTCGCAAACAGTGTTCACAGACCCATGTTAGACTTCTGCCTTTCTAGTGGGAGTGTGCATGCATCGCTCAGAGAATAGAAAATAATAACAATAAACATATTTAAATGCAGAGGCTAACTTTGGATTTATATTTCAGAAGTCTGGAAGTAAAGATGGAGGCTGCAAAGTTCCCGGAGGTTTGGAGACAGGACAGGATTTGGGCTCGAATCCCATGTCGCCAGTCCCTACAACACCCACCCCGACCACACCCGGAACCCCCAAGTCGCCTTTACCATGCACGGCCACCACACCAACAAAAACTGGAGTCTCTGATACGATCAAAAGCAGCCCAGGGTCAGTAAGAGACAGCTATGCTTGTGTCCAATATCTGCTTAGTTGTTTCATTCATACAGCGTAAACATAAGTATCCTTCTATCTCTCGCAGTGTTCTTCTCGTGTCCTCACCATCTCTGCCTCAGCTGGGAACCATCTTACCCACCAGTCAGCCTTGCCCTCCAGTCTCACACCCAGTGACATCCCAACATGCGGCTCGGATAGTGAGTCACCTGGCGGCGGGCACCCTCCCTCAGGTGCGAGTTGTTTCTGCTCAGGCTGGGCGTGGTTCTTCAGCAGCCGGTCAGCAGGCCACACTGGTTCACCAGACCCCTCACCAGATCCGGATGCCGGTGTCAGTGGCAGCTAAGGGCATCTCACAGGTAGGCTGAACACTTGGTGGGTGGATTTCCTGTCAGAGCTCATTCTGCATGTTTAAGTGATTTTTGTTTGATGTTTATGTCAATAGGCAGTCGTTTCGGTTCCTCTGAGAAGTCAGTCTGGTAGCAGTCCGGTTCAGGTTCCCACCACCTTGTCTGTGTCAGCTGTAACTGTAACCAAACCTCCAACTGGATCTCCTGGTAGCCCAGCTAACAACCCGACTTCTCAAGCTGTGCTGCAAGGTGTCACCAGCCCGAATATCAAACAGGTGAAGTGCTTAGAAATGGTCATCTTAACCTTTTCTGAACTTTTATTCCCTTTAATACACAGTTCCTAATGCTAATAATCCTGTTTTCCTGCAGGTGTCCATCACAGGACAGCTTGGAATGAAAACCTCAGGTGGTGGAAGCATCCCAATAACGGCTACAAACTTGCGTATCCAGGGTAAAGATGTCCTCCGTCTCCCACCATCTTCCATTACCACAGACTCTAAAGGCCAGACGGTGCTGCGGATCACCCCGGACATGATGGCCACTCTTGCCAAATCCCCAGTTGCCACTGTCAAACTCACCTCCGACTTCTTGGGCACTGCCACCACTGGCAGTAAAAGCATATCGGCCACTCTTCACGTGACTCCGCCCCACCCGTCAGCCTCCTCTGCCTCCAGCACTGGATCCTGCGCGGGGGATGCGCAGACCACCAAAGCTACCCCTGTTTCCTCCACCTTACTGAAGGCGGCAGGAGACACTGCCATCCGTCTGATGCCCACACTGGCCGTCACAATGGCTGACCAAAAGTCCAGGACCTTCTCCACCGTCAGCTCTCCCGACAAAAGTGGTGCCACCATCCGGATAATGCCCGGCCTGGGCGTCATCCCACAGAAACAGGGGCAGACCATCACCGTGACGACCACCACGGGCAGTAAGCCTCTCACAGCCTCGACGTGTGCTAACGTCGTGACCATGGCTGCCAATGTGGTGGCTGGTGCCAAAGGGATCACGGTGGCCCCCGGAGTCTCCGGCGCCCCTCTGACCTTAGGAACGGCCACCGCTACGGTGCGACAGGTCCCCGCTACAGTCGTTACCACGGCAACGGTAAGAAAGCTGCTCACTGTTTTAACCATGCATATGGAATGACTGGAATATTCTTGGGTTTTAGACTGGTTGTTTATAAACAGACCTAAAGTGTCCTTCTTTATAAGCTTAAGGGATGTATTCCTTTGTGAACTTTTCATTGCATTTCAAATTTTATCTATTAGGTGGATATGGACAAACCATTCCAATGTGAATGTTGTTATATTTCTTCTTCACTCAATGTCTGTGGGAGGTTTTTTAAGAGTATATATGTTGATTTGCATAGTTTCTGCACTTTAGTTCTCCTCTAAATCTCAACTATCACCGTCCTCTAACACTTGGTTGATGGCTTTGGCTGGGAATTATGCTTTTTGTCAGCCATTAACAGTGCAGACTGATTGGCATTATCACATTTTCAGTAAGGAACTGCTAAAGACACAATCCAACTACCCCCTCCCCCAACTCTCTAGGGGAAGCTACCAGCTCGGATTACTGTTCCCCTCACTGTTCTCAACCAGCCTCTGAAAAGCAAGAGTGTTGTGACTACACCAATCGTTAAAGGAAGTCTCAATACAAAGTAAGTCTGTGCTTTTATCGAATAAATTAAAATAAATTAGGTGTATTTGAGAATTGATTTAGATGTAATCTTTCACCTTTCTATTGCTCCTCTGTTATAATAATAATAATATCAAAGTGATCATTTCTGATTGTATGCTGTAATTAGCTGAACTAACAGACTTTTACTCCCCCGGACTGCGAGCAGTATCAGCACCCTGGGCAGGAATATCATCCTGACTACGATGCCTGCTGGCACAAAGCTTATCGCAGGAAACAAACCGGTCAGTTTTGTCACAGCACAGCAGTTCCAGCAGCTTCAGCAGCAAGGACAGGCCACACAGGTGAGAAATAGATGGGCGTTTGTACTGATATTTGCCTCGCAGATCACTCACTTGCTTGTTTTTTTTTCTTGGTTTGATTTGATGTTTGTTTTTCCCCCTCTTAAAGGTTCGGATTCAAACGGTTCCCACGCAGCAGCTCCAGCAGCACATAGCAACGGGATCCCCAAAATCTGTGTCCACAGTTGTTGTTACCACAGCAGCCTCACCCAAACGTGCACCGGATCCTCCACCTGCTCCTCAACCGTGACCTGATCAGCCTGCAGTGTTATAAAGCCCACCACAGTTCAAAATACATCAGTATCAGATTTTTGGATCTTTTCTTTGTTGCCAGGCTTTTATCATGGTTGCAGGACTTTTTGCCAATCTCCCAAGATGGACAATGAGCAAAGCTGGAAACCTTAAAGTAAATACTGTAGCTCGGGTTAAGGTTTCCACATTCTCCAGTGGACCATGGTGGCATTTTTCCAAGTTAACAGAATCCCACATTATGTTCAAAATGTTCAGTAAGTTTTCCATATTGTTACATCTTAAACATTTATGAGCAATTTCAGACATGTTAATTTAACAATGATTTCCCTTGTTAAAGTATCAGTATTCCAAATATTCCAGTAAATAGTCCTCAAGCTACTAAGCAAGTTGTTGTATAAGTCAGGAATAGCATTGTCAATAGTTTTAGTCTGTCATGTATTTAAATGTTTAATTGGAATCAATATGATTGTGTGTGCGCAGTTGAATTTGTTCTGTTGTCTTTTTAATTTAGTTGGAGCAGATCAGACATCTCACATTACAACATATTTCAGAGGCATTTCAACAATGCACAAAAGCCATGTTTTATTTTGCTTTTTCCTTCTTTTTTTTTTACAAAACCTCCAGCACATTATACTGCACAGCGCATGCCTCTCATATTAACAATATTAAATCTGATTTCAGTAAAACTGCAAAGACCAGTAAACGTGCCTTCATTCTTCCTCTGAATCATCAAGCAGAGCTTTCTGAGAGCTTGTTTTTGAAGATGTATTTCGCATTCCAATCTCAATGTCTCGTCCTTTTTGCGAGAATCGCCTCACTATGCTGTTGGAACAACGGAAATAAGGCATATCAGTTCAAAATCAATCAGCAGCTTTAGCCTTTTTCAGACACCATAACAGATAAACTGTTGGCCTCAGGCAAAAGGACTTATTCAATTTAAGATATACTTCCTTGAACAAACAGTAATGAGGAAATGTTTTCTGAAGAAAAATGTTTACAGTAAACAAAACCAAGCTGACTTTGAAAACCACTATAAATACATGACCCCCATAGATCCCCTGTAGCCATACCTCCCAACAGGTCAGGGCCACCTGAATTACTCTGTATTAGTGTGTTAGCTTGAAATGGGTATTTTAGTATGATTTTTGATGATTAGTTGTGATTATTGTTTGCTGTCTCACAATACTGAGACCCCACCCACACCTCCAGTCTTAGCAACTGTCCTAGCATTCCACCTTTTGTGGAGTCAAAGAACCCACCCCCTTTTAATGACATATTTAATATAACAGAATTAGATATACTAAGTGGGCCTTTTTATGTTGTTTAATTTCCTGCATCAATGAATCTACACATTCAGGTTCTTTTCGGTTGTGCTCGTTCATATAAATGTTCCAGAGATCATATAAATATTAATCCTGTTCTGCCTAACTGTGGAACAGTAAGAACTTGTTGGAACTGAAGGGTGAGATACTTACAACCACACCGTGAAGGAAGTGCTAGCCACTAGAAGTAGGGCTACAGCCATATGCCAGCAAAAGCACATTGTGATAAACATGATGTTGTCATGTAGCTTCAGGTCCCAGGCAGGTCCTCTCAAAGGATACAGCACGAATCCAATCTGAAACAAGAAGTATTTTAATAAATGAGATGGCTCACTCTGTGCTTAATGACACAGCTACAAGCAATTAAAATTCTAGAAAATCAGTCTGAAAGCGCAAGTTGGTTAATCCACCCATTTTCTGCAGAAAAATAGATGTGGTCATGTCATTTCTTACATCCACCTGAAGACTGCTTTTGATGAGTTAAGTACTGATGCCTCTGCTGAAACACAGGTACATGTTATTAAATATCTGACAACACATCTGTTATCAGGTTTTTGTCGTTTCTCCAATTGCCACTCAGAAGGACCTTCTCAGTGGCTGATATGAGGCTTTTTTTATGGATCATTAAAACCAAAAGGGCCTATAGAGAAATGAACCATGTTTGTTGACTGTTGCCTTGGCCACACTCAGTACATGAGCCTTGGAAATGGAGCTCTTTGGGATTTACAGCAAGGTCCAAACCCTCGCTTGTCAAGTAAAATGAGCTAATTCGCTAACATTCTCTGAGCATTGTTACATGGCAGTTGGCTATGATGGAGAAGTCTTACAGTACCTGGTGAAGCTTTAGCAACGTGACTGGGAAAAAAAAAAAAAAAAAAACTGCTCTGGAAAAAACAATCAATTCACAGTCCAGTATGTAATGACAAGAATGGCCAGAGATGTTTTGGGATAACCTGGTAGAACCATGAGCCCTGCAGGATGAACAGGCATGCTCTGAGCAGCTCCACGACAATGTTGTTCCTTTGAAACACCTCCAGCAACACGCAGGCCGATCCACCAAACACAGCCACCAGCAGCAGCGAGTGGACGTGGGCATCCAGAGGGGGGCGAGCATGGACATGGTAATAGAACAGAAATCCTGGGTGATACAACAGAGTCAGGCACATTACGTCGCTGGGAGACGCGGAATTACGATGAATGCTAAAATACAAAACTCAAACCAAACTCCCGTCCAGCTTACCTTCCACAAAAAGAGCCAGCGAGAGAGCGAGGCGATCAACGCCAGCGGGGATCAGTTTGAAGGTGTTACTGGCAACTAGGGCTATTCCAGAAATGCCAAAAAATAGATACATCGTGCTGTGCTGCCAGTTCATCAGCTTGACCCACGAGTTGTTCTCCTTGTCATAGAGGTGGGCGTGGGGCCCATCCACCACAAACTGCTCAACCATTATACCTGTGTGACGGGACAATGTTTGACAAATATGGTGAGGTGGCAACAGGCCCGAGAGTTGAAGGTGCATTTGGAGAAGAACTGACCCACAACTGATGCAAAGATCTTTAACCCTCCTTCAAAGTAGTCCATCCTTTTAAAGAAAGGTGGCATGATCTGCTTTCCTTTTGGCTGTTTCGACCTCCAGTAGTGTTGGAGAATGTGTTTGACTGTTAGCCAAAAGCCATAGAAGAGGAAAAAGGAGCCAGGAATGGCGTGTCCTCCAAAGTTGGCCATTGTTTGGCCTGTAAACATGACAATCACAAGTTACTTTACCAACATAACATACGCAGTTATTACTGGACCTTGCTGCTTAAATGGCCTTTGAATGCAAGACACTTAGATGTAAAGTTTACAGTACAGGTTCATTGCTATACAGTAAATTCACCGTTGAGTAAATCAACAAAGGCAAGTGGACACCAAAGGGCATCTTAATAGTATTAATTCTGGATACTTAGCATTACACATCTTGTTTCTCCCTGTAAGACGCATTCATACAGATGATGGCCACTTATTTGTCTTGCAAAACTGACATTCAAATTAAATAGATGTGATCTGAAAGAAACATGCTGTTTCTTCATATCAATACAGGGGGGGGCAATAAGTGACTCCACGTTTTTCTGAGTCGTTTAAACAAAAGCCAAGGACATAACGAATATCAAAAGCTTACTACAATGCCCTTTAAATAAAATTCTGACTGAAATGTTGCTTTAGCAGAAGCCACTTTTTTTATCAGTGTTAGGCTTTGCGTTATGCAGACAGTGTTAGTGGGCATGCAGGGTGGGACTCAGTCAGACAAGTTTTTCTTGATTAGTCCTGCTTGACATGCTATTCACCATTTCTTCCTTCCGCATTTTAAGTGTTCTAACGCATCTACACAAAGACAACTGTCAATATGTCTGAAGGCAGGAAGGCAAATACAGATAATATTTCCTGATTGTTAGGACTCATCTTGAACACCAGGTAAGATAATCCCTGCTTAGAAGCTGCCCTGTGAAAAAACACAATCATCTCACAGTGATGGCGGAAAAAACATACGTACCTTAGGCTGTTGTGTTCCCAAAGAAAATGTTTGACCCTTGGCAGGTGTCACCGTGAGAGCTCCCTGGTTTGTGTAAAGTGCGAACACCTGCTGCCTGCTCCTCTAACCTGCACTGACAAAACACACAGCCCCACCCCTCATTTACATTAGTCTCAGCGAGCTGGGCACATCCTCCAGGGAAAAAGGCAGGAAGTCAACACCTGTTCACAGATCTCGCTTTTTTATTATTTAACAACACAAATTAGCATGTGCCACACTCATAAAGCGCACACTTCTCGTGCTGATGGAAATACAGTGTCGAGGGAATACATTTACAGCATTGAGATACATCGTAAGATTTAATTTGAAATGCATTTTAGCCTTTTTACATTTTATCAATCAAGTTCATTTATTATATCAATTAAAGTTGTGAAATATTTTTGGAGCTGTGGTGTAGCTTTGGAGCACAAGCGGCTCTCAGTGAGAGCTTACATAGGATTTAGTTAATGTGTAAACTGTATGCACACGGAACGGCAACAGCATTGGCCTGTTTCATTGAACTTTGTACTCTTTTTAAATAAAACTTTATTGCCATCATTATCATGTTCAAAAGATGATCATTTCTCATGAGGTTATATGCCACATAGCAATTTTATTTAAAAACCTAATCTTGTGAAATAAAAAGCCTAATTGTGCTGATCTTCCCTCAGTGAAAAAACATAACATCTTGTGCAGAAGATCTTTACAGGATCACACAAAATAACTTCTTCTCTCTGAATGGGTTCTCTGATGAAGGTATCGGAGTCACCAGAGGGTCCTCTTTGGCGTGTGTTTCACAGTAGGCCATCAAATCGGCGGCTGCTTTAGATATCTGTACAAAAAGGTTGACAAAGACTGTTAGTTAAAGACATGACAAAAAAAAAGAAATAAGATCTGTTTTTAGGATTGAAGTTGCATTTTAAGGTGCATGCTAGATACAGAATATAATCATTTCCTCAGAGCTTTGGTTTACTGGCATATGACAGTATGGCTCACAAATAACTAAAAAAAGATTGGTCAGTGATGACATCATTTGATGGCACGTCCATTGCAAGCTGACTCACCATCATCCTCTCGATGTTGACCTCCAGCTTAAGTTGCTCCACCGTCTTTCTTGCATCTGCAATCTTGGCCATGTTGTTGGACATTCTGTCCCTTACCACTGAAGTCAGTCAGCCTGCAGAGAGTTGCACACAAGAATCATGTTGAAAGGGTGTGTGTCTGTGTGTGTGTGTGTGTGGGGGGGGGGGGGGTACAAACAAACCAGAGCTGACAGTCCTAAGAGTGAAATGACGGAACGCATAAGCTGCACTGATTTGAGTCTGTTTCAATTTGCTTGTTAATTCTGCTCCCTGGGTCTCAGCTGCAAGCGGTGTAGGGAGGGTCTCAAAGGAGGAGGGCAGGGGAGCGGAGGCAGAGCAGCCCTCCCTAGGGGAGGGCATCCGCCTACCAAGACTGTAAATACACTTAACATCAACATGTTACGAGCAAATCCTGCTCATCATCAACCGCAAATCTAAAGTTGCTTTTAATGCCATGAAATCCCTTATAAATATAATTTTGCTGAAGGCATTGTGTAAGATTACTACTTATTACTAAAGAGTTCAATCGGACGATGAAAGAAAAGTGACTTTTTAACCAATAGCAAAAGACTATTTAGTTTGTCACTGCGATGCAAGTGAGAGGGGATCTCAGACTGATTTTTACACACTAATACAACACCCTTTTGAGATATACTAACATCTTCATCACAAACAAAGCTCAACGGTCACACATGATCTTATTGTATTGCATCCGTACAACAGCAGATAAAAAAAGTAAATCTGTAAGCATTTCAACTCACCACAAAGACAGCAATCCCAAAGCTCCAGTAGGGAAAGTACACTTATCTTCAACGGGGTCCGTCACACCAAGTTACAGTAACAAATGATATGAGATTAATGACAAAGATGAGGAGGGAGGCTTCAATAGGTTCCCTCCTTCAAATAATTAGCTGTGGCTCTGCCTCCAGGATGGGCTCAGTGCAGTAAAAAGGCAACATGTGGTGTGACCTTCATCTCTGTCTCACTCACTCACCTGAGTTAAGGTGGAGCTGGTGTACTGACCTTAACTAGCACCATTTAGATATACTGCAGAAATCAATATATACGAACTATGCGCTCTCACTGAAAATAAAAACTATGGACAGTATTTAATGCCTAGAGAACAGTACCTTAAATACTTCGAAATTTACATTTTCAGTGACTGTCTATTTCTTTGTTCATCCTGGGATGATTCAGTAGGGCTACACAGAGCATTGTCTCTATTTGCACAATTCTTTTACATTTGTGACTTAATTTGGTCAGTAAATCTTACCGAAAAAGCGTTGGAATATATTCATTGAAATACTGACGGGCAGTGAAATGACTTTTCACAAGGTGTTAGTTTTCACAGGCACCAGTGAGAGTAATTTGCCTCGATATCATCTTAAAGGTTGTCAATCTTTCCTGTAGAGCTGACTGTTATTTCACAGAGCAGCAGGGGGCAACACGGCACTATTATGGAGTTAAATGTCAGGGGCCTCATTAACGTTTGTTTCCTTGCAGTAAGTGATTTCTTTAAACGGGAAACCTTCTTTATATGTTCACAAGGTTTTTCTTTCACAAAAAAAATTATTATAAATTGCTGTCACTATGCTCTGTACATCAAGTGTTGAAATTTTCCTTATGAGCATGATTGATTAATAAATTCACAGTCAAATCATAATCATCTATCCTATCAGCATGTCCCCTATCTCATACTGGTTTTTCATAATTGATGTTGCATCATAGGAACCATGCAATCAGATAAGATATCTTCCTATTCCATCAACAATAATATCAACACGTTTTTCCTTTTTTCTTTCTTCCTAAAATATCTTTGCTCTATAAAAATGTTTGACTTTATTTTACTTTTTTGTCATACAATGGTGACAAAGTCTCGCTCAAAAAAGGTTGTAAAAATAATTGCGATATCTTTTCATCTTACATGTCTAGTATGATTTGTTTTGTCTAATCATACAGATCACTGACTGGTTATTGTAGTCTGTGAATCCTGCAGCTCAGTGTGGGACAGCCTTATCTGTGTTAAATGACAAAGCAAGCGGACACTTAACATGAAGGATCTACAATACTCTCACCTCAGTTTCTTTGATATAGTTGGTCCTAGGTGATGTGGAACCAACAATGCATACATATAACTATAAATACATTACATATATATTGGGATTAACTCTATCCTGAACATATGTAAGGGTCTGCAGAGTTGACCCTTACAGAATTTTCAGAAAATGTTATTTGAGAAGGCACACTAGATTTCAAAGCATGACCTCAGTAGACAATGACAAGATGTAACAAGAGAAGATGGCTCCTTTTGAAAGGGAATAGATTAAACTAAATACTACACAGGGAGTCAGTGAAGGGGTTCATAGCACGAAGAAAAAAATATGCCTTCTGGACATCAATTCATATAAAGCTCTTGGAGTAGACCCTAAAATGAAATGATCACCCTCATAAAATCGACTGTCTTGAAGTTTTTAAGTATCATTTCAATAAGTTGTACTTTGAGTCTGTTATCTATATTGGAGAGGAAAAAATCCTCCTTCCACATTACCTCATTATTATATAGAGTTAAAATATTGTTCATGAATAAATCACTGTTTTTTTATTGTTCAAAAGGAAGAATGTAATTAATTTTTGGAGCATGTAAAACTTGAAGAAGTCTTTTGTCTAACCCCACCTTAGGCTGCTTCTGACTGGAAACAGTTTTGAAGTATCTGTTGGCACACTGAGGCCCAACCAGACATTTAGGATGACTTTATAATAATTTACTGCAAACACTTTTACTTCCCATGGCACAGTTACCTGTTACTTATAACGGAGCGTAGTTCACGACTTGTTGACTAGTTATGAACAATAATTCATGTGTAATCAGCCTGTTATTTGTTGCATTATAAGTTGTGTGGCAAACAACCCCCTTAATAGTTAAGGTTTTTACTCACTAACACTGAACACACTGAGATTCTCAGAGTGCATGTTTAACTTCTGTTATGTCCAGTCCACTAAAACAAAGAGCCTTTTTTTTGCAAGAAACAGAAAGCGAGCTAGTTAGCTTAGTTATGAGAATTGAGCTGCCTCCAGGGTTGTACCATCATAACTGAGGTGGGCGTGTAGGAACAGCTCGCTGCTAGCTAGAATGAGAAATAACGTTGTGTCTAGCAAGCTAAAATTTCTACAGAGATTGATTGTAGCTCGGTAGCATAGAGTTTGTTGAGGTTCAGGCTGAAATTAAAGCCTTTTTTTGCGACTTTTAACTGACTCAATTCTGCAAGTCTTTTTGCGCTAGCTTGTTAGTCCTTAAGTTACCAATAGCTAAGGGAAACTAGAGTAGGACTTTAATGGTCAACGGTTATTCAGCGTGCTAGCTACTAAAGAAAAAAAAAAAATCTCCTAAGCTCGAACATCCATAACGCAACACCCTCTCATTTCTACGTCCACAACCGGCCGTGTGCGGGGTGTCGGCGTTGTTTGTCACCGAGTTTCTGTCTAACATGATGTGTGGAATGTCGGGATGACAGGAAGATGGCAAACGGGGTTGGAAGTGAGTAGCACTGGAGCACGGCAACAACAACAACCAACAAAAAAAAAAATCTACCGTTGAAATGACCACCACTAACTTCCCCTCCATAGCAGCTTTAGCTCCCTGCCGGGGGGATGCTGCGAGGCTTAGTGCTTGTCATCATGTGTTGACAGCTCCGTTCGCATCGGGGATGGCTTCTACTGAGCAGAATATTGCACGAACGAGCTTCTTTTTTTTTTTGGGACGCAGAGCCCGAGCAGCCGAACATCTGCAATGTACTGCAGTTGCGACGAGATGTTCGCTCCTCAAAAAAAACTGACATGTAAATGAAAGCCAAGCTCCAGAGATGAGCAGGACTGTCGGTGCCGGGCCTGGGAACGACAGCAGACCATCAGCAGGGCACATAGGCTTGTTTTAGAACTGTGCACGACAAAAGGGGTCTATTTTAATTTGATGTATTTGTCTCTTTCTCATCTGTAGAGCACAAGCTGCTTGTGGTTGGACCGACAGAGCCATGGTCAGTGAGGGAGAAGCTGTGTTTGGCCACATCTGTCATGAAGAGTGGAGACCAGAACTGGTAATGCATTTTTTGCAGGTGCCGGTAGCGTCGGTTTGAATGGGTACAAATCCTGTCAGAAGCTGTCCTGCACAGTCAACAGCGTGTGTTTAAGATGTATTGAACTGGCTTTTATTGCCATGTAAAGACTGTGTTATTTTTTCCACGCGTCTGGGCGTTTGGCCCATGTGTGCCGGAACATGTCTGCTTTAAATATGCATATGTCTCTGTTAGGTATCGAATGAATAACTAACGAAGCGGTATCTAGATATAGCTTAGAGCAACCTAGTAGCATGGATGTAAACCCCTTAAGAGAGAGCTGAGAATCACCACAGAACCAGCCAAATGACAAGGGTTTACCTTTATGTCATTTTTCAATCTCGACAGGGTCTCTGTCAGTCGAGCCATCAAACCCTTTGCAGAGCCTGGACGACCACCTGACTGGTTCTCTCAAAAGGTACAGCATATTCAGAGCTTAAACCTTTTCAAATGAACCCAACTTGTAATCTTTGGGATAGCTCACAGTGCTGATGTTGATTCTTCCTTGGATCCTCACAGCACTGTGCCTCCAAGTACTCCGAGCTCCTTGAGACAACAGAGGCCCCGAAGTGAGTAAAAAAAAGACTTTACCCTCAGACTTCTGAGATCTTTGAGAATTGTTACTTTAAACTTGAATAGATGACAATGCATTGGAGCTTGAGTAAACTGAGGATGACATGAGGTGATGCGTTTGCTACTTTTAGGCGGAAGCGTGGGGAGAAGGGGGAAGTGGTGGAGACAGTGGAGGATGTGATAGTGCGCAGGCTGACAGCTGAGAGGATTGAACAGCTTAAGAGGTTGATTAAAGAGACACAGGAGAAGCACAGGTGACAGGAACAGCATTTACACAACATTATAATACCCTGAAAACAATTTATTTGACGGGTCAAAGACTTTAGTGGCCAAAATGTCCCTGCTCTTCACAGGAAACTGAAGAGAGAGGCTGAACTCATTCAAGCAGGACATCTTGATTCCAAACTGGAGGAGTTGTGGGAGGAAATTTTACAGTAAGAGTCGGAGAAACGTACCTCGGACCTGTTAATATTTCGTTTGGTCTTTGTTATGTTTGGACGGAGTGCAAAAAAAGGTGATATGTTTGGTGTCTTACAGGAAGAAGAAGCAGGAAGAGGAGGAAGCAGAGTTGAAGAGAAAAAACACAGATGCTGCCTATCAGGGTATCTCTTTAAATGTGTCAAATGCAGGGTGAAGCGAAGATGTTAATCATTTATTATTTTCTGTTGAGATCAAGCAATATTGGCCATGAAGACCAGCTCAGGCAAGAGAAAACCCTAAATTAGCAATGGATTCATTTACATCCCACTTGTCTGATATTTATCCAAGGCAATTTATTAATGGGGATTTTGGGGGGTTCTGTAACTCGACTAATGGTAGATGTCAACTAGGAATGTTTGAATTAGACCAGAGAACTTCTGGATGAAAGATGAGCACTCTACCAACATATTCCACTCAGCTTATAGGCCACCTCAAGCGAATCAAGGCAAAAGAAAAGAAGGCAACCGTCGGTTTTTGAATGACTAATGAAAAGCCTTCCTTTACTGCTTCTCCCTCATTCAGCCAGACAGGTGGCAAAGAACCCACCAAAGCGGATGCCCAGTGTCACCATGCATTCACCCTCATCTTACAGCTCCCCAGGCCAGGACTTCTCCCCAGGCGACCCACTCGAGTGCTTGACTCTGGATCTTGCTTCCTCAAAAAATGTAAGGCTTTGCTAGTTTACACGTGTTTAGGGACGGTCCAACTTTGGAATACTTTTTGAGTTTGAGTTTGTGAAGATTCCTGGTGCACAGTTAGAGTAGAAACTCCACATTGAGACCGACCCTCACACATTGAAGACATTGAGAGCACTTCTCTGTGTTTTCCTCTCTTTGTCTTCAGGCTTCAGTATCAGCCAGGTTGATGACATTTGCTGAGACTTCAGGACCCAGTACTGACGACATCCCCCCCGGAGCACTTCTAGACGACCCCACTCAAAAAAAGCTCCTGGGCCAGAAAGCCACACCCCCACCTTCTCCACTCCTGTCAGAGTTACTGAAGAAAGGCAGTATCCTGGCCACCAATGCTAGACTGGTTTGTAATACCAAACATGATCGAGGCTGGTGGTTTTTTCATGTTTGTGTCAGCGGTAAAATTACTGTCATATCTTGAAATCCATTAATAAAAGAAAGAAAATCACGTTTTGTGGCCTGTTTGTGTGTTCGTTTCCCAGATTGGGGATGGTGATGGGTCCACCAGTAACTTGACAGGAGTGCATGACTTGCATCTGGCTCCAGCCTGTCAACCTCTGTCTCAGGCAACAGGTACAGGCACAATGTTTGTTCATTTGTTTGACCATGATTCTGGATCACTGTACTTCTGCTGTCTGCTCACATAGGGGCGGCTGAGGGCCTCTGCTGCTTTGTCTGCGTTTTGTGCTTCAACAGGTTTGTGCGCATGCTTGCGTTGCAGGTGCCCCGATGCTGTCCCGTCTCCTGGAGGCAGGACCCGCCCACTTCTCACCTCCATTAGGCTTTATGGTCAGTGCAGACTCTGGAGCTCCTCTCTCTGCTGCCACTCCTGTTTCCGCTGACTCCTCCAACACAGCAAAGACAGGTTTGTCCACTCTCTCAGACGCGATCCACAGACTGAACCCCGTCTCATCCTTAGGGGCTTTGTGAGAATTTCACTGTTATATTAATATTAATACAAAAATAAAAAATGACGACACGGATGTTGCCTGTGTGCAGAGGTGCTGTCCGCGCCTCTTGGATGCCAGGTGATCTCCACAGAGGAAAAGGTGTCAGCGGTCAGTGAGGAGGATGTAACCGTGTCCTATATGGGAGATGAGCTGGACCTGAAGACAGTGGGGGACATTATTGCCATCATTGAAGAGAAGGTTCAATTAGACACCAAAAAAAGTTGTCGATAAACTAAAGTAGTGTTTTAAAGCTCTTCTACCTGTTATTCAATTAGTTTGTGCATCAGGGTGGATTCAGGTGGTTGGTGAAAGCTCATTTGTTTATGTACTCCTGTTTACTTTTTTCTCCAGGCAGATGAAGCTGCAGAGGCTTTGGATGCAGCTGCTGTGGAGGCTGCTCTGTCCCTTTGTGAGGAGAATGGTCATACCCTGCCAGGGGGCTGGAATACCGGGCCTTTCCAGCCCCAGGAGCCTGATCCCACAGTGGCCTCCCAGTCCTCCGCTCTGCACCACGGCCTGCAGGGGCGCGCGGAAGCCTCACTTTCTTCTCTGTACAGCAGTCAAAATAACAATCTTAGTGTGTTTCCTGTGGAACAGAGGAACCTTCCTCCCACACCTTCATCTTCATGGAATTCTAATTCCCTGGAGCACTGCCACAGCCCGACAAACCCACTGTCGCAGGCCATGAAAGAGGCTGGACAGCTGGGGGACCGCAAAAAACACACAATCGAGAGTACCATTAAATGTGAACATGATACAAAGGCACAACAAAGACCTGAAAAAACCAGCGGAGGTACGCAAACTAACCCTTGAATATTGGTCTTCATGTGTGTTCATGTGTGCCTTTTGAGTAACCCTCTCCTTACTATTCATCTGCACTATCTTGGCAGACTCAGTATTAGAAGATATCCCACAGACAGAAAGGGAGCTTGAGGTACAACACCCAAAGAGGACAGAGCGAACATGATGTTTGTGATTGCTGTGCTGACGTGCGGAGTGTGTTGCTCATGAAAAGCTGTGCAGTGCGAGTTTTGTGTGAATATCTCCACATCTCTCTCCGTTAGGAGACAAAGGTGGAGGATGGAAGTAGTGTTGAGGGAGGAGAGAATGCCTCGGAGAGCAAAGCGTACGGTGAGGTCACCGGGCCCGATGTGTGCGGAGAAGAGGAGGGCGATGGTGCAGAGGAGTTCTCGTCAGAACCAGAGGGGGAAATGGAGCTGGAGCCCGCCGCCAGCGAGAGTGAAGATGGATACAGTCTCCACACGGCGTCCTCGTCCCTGCAGCTGCACACAACCGCCGACTCCATCCCCAGCAGCCCCGCCTCATCACAGTTGTGAGTAACAGGGACACACCGTCATGGACCTGGCGTGGGGGTGAAAGGCGCTTCCTCGAGGTCGCAGTTCTGATCCTCTCCTTCCTTTTTTTGTTCTCTGTGCCATCGTTGTGAAGCTCTGTGTGCAGCGAGGACCTGGAGGCCCTGCAGGCGCAAAAGATCTGGAAAAAAGCCATCATGCTTGTGTGGCGTGCCGCAGCCAATCACAGGTCAGGACAAGACCCGTATCCGGCACACTCGATCCCACCTGACGCACTGCTTCCAGATTTCCTTTACCTAATTCTTTATACAATTACCGAGAAAAGATTTTGTCTGACCCTGTCGTAGGTATGCAAACGTCTTCCTCCAACCAGTCACAGATGAAATAGCTCCTGGATACCACAGTATTGTGCACAGGTAACTGGAGTGGGTAAATGTGTTTACAACTTTGGTGAGAGACATTTAAATTTGCCACAAATAACACAGGATTAACAGCTTGATTCATTGTTTTTAACCCCTTTAGGCCCATGGACCTGGCTACCATCAAAAAGAACATAGAAACCGGTTTGATTCGTACCACCGCTGAGTTCCAGAGGGACATCATGCTGATGTTTCAGAACGCCGTTATGTACAACAGTTTGGACCACGATGTGTACCACATGGCTCTAGAGATGCAGCGTGACGTCTTGGAGCAGATCCAGCAGTTTCTGGCGACCCAGCTCATCATGGAGACGTCCGAATCTGGTATCAGCGCAAAGAGCCTGAGGGGCCGTGACAGCACGCGCAAACAGGACTCTGCTGACAAGGTACTCCACGAGGACTTTTATCAGAAACAGAGCACAGAGGGAAAGACACGAGTGAGACATCAGGTGGAAAGTTCAAAGGAGAGTTAGACCAAACTAAAGCTGCAAACCATTTTCCAAGCGTGACATCTCAGACAGCCATTGGTCTTTCTTTTTACGACATGAAAATCTATTTGATTTGGTTGGAAACTTCACATGTTCTGAGTTACACAAAGCAGTATTATTACTTCCTAAAGACAGCACATTTTTTAATTATACCGATGCAATATGGAAATGGAGAGGAAGATAACTTTCAAAGAGAAATGCAATTGTGACTCGTGACCTCACACTTTTTCTGTTTCCTAAACTCCTTTTTAATTGAGTGAAGAACAGGTCGTTTTGAAGTAATGTAATGCCAATTGTCACTTTAAAAAATGATCTTGATAATTGTAAGAAATCTTTTTATTTTCTAAATTCCTTAAGATTACTTGAAAGTAAGATTTTTTTCCCGGGGTTATTTATTTGATTAGTTCAGAATGTTGAAGTGACAAATCCCACACATGAAGCAAGTTTTCTGTGGATGTTGGGTGGTGATTGCTTCTTTATTTCTTTAATAAAACTCCTACTTTGGAAAAGTAGTTCAGTGGCTGAATGATCAAGGAATAAGAAGGTGTCTGTCTTTTTATGCAGAAACATTACAGCTGGTTTCCTGAAGCCTGTCGAAATCAGTTTCTTGTATTTTATAACTGATGTCATTCCTTCTCAAAACTTCTGATGTGCATAATGTTCCTTCTACAGGACACTGTGTCCATGTCTTCACCTGCCTTCCTTCTTTCTCTTTTTGTAAGTATCCACCCTATTCCTTTCAAAAGCCCCCCTTCTTATGTAAGCAAGAAGCATGGAATGAAAAGCACAACAGTTAAAAGAAAAGGAGTATAAAACGTATTAAGCCAGGCTAGAATGAATGTGTATGTCAGAGTTATTTGTTATTTTTAATAACATGCGTTATTTCTAAAAGCTCCCTGGTTAAAAGTGATATGGCATTGCCTGCTCTTCAACCACAGGATAGCGGCACCAGAGGGCGCCGCAGTGCCATAGAAGCCGACCTCAAGATGAAGAAATGAAGCCTGGGTATGAAAGTACCATCCGACAGTGTCCCAGACATGAAGTGAGAGGAAGGAGATAACTGTTGGTCAGTGTAGTGTGATGTTTACTTGGACTCCAGATTGATTGGATGCACATTAAAGCAGTGGGGCTCATTTATTTTGTGACAATAGAGACAGGGATTACATACTGTTTGATCCACGAGTACTGTGGGGCGTTCTGTATGACTATGGTCAAACCTTTCTAAGATATAACCGCAGATCACTTCAGATTTAACCTGCTCTGAGGTTCATGACATGGCATAAAGTACTAGTTAAATGTTTTTACATACCTGCTCATCCAGAATGAATGGGAGTGTTTGTCTAAGCCTTTGACCCGTACTGATAATGTGGATAAAAGTTACTCAGCTGGGATAAAATGGATCTTATTTGATGGATTTTCTGCAGATTTCTTTTCCTAATAAATAAGTAAAACCCATGTCTGAACTGTCTGATTCAGCAACCTAAACCTGTCAAACCTAAATGAAGACATTTTCATTGCTGGTGTGAAAATATAACTTTGGAGACTTTTGATATTTAATACGTGAGTGGGTTTTCCTGCTTTGACCAGAGGCAACTGATGTTATTCTGTCCACTTCTGTAGCTGTGTGGTGGTTTTCCTCGCTTCTCCTCACTCTGGCAGACCAAAGCTCTCATCTCCATTTGACTGCGCCACAGAGCTCCTGACAACACCCACAGCTTTGGAAAGATTTGCTCTTTAGTAACACTTACATCTAAATAAATGAAGCAGGCGAGGTGTAAAATTTGGTTACATGATTTATTTTCGGTTATTTTTGGCTGAGAGCTTAATTCTGCAGTGTAACTCGAGTGCATTTCCACACTGATTTGATTCCAAAACCTTAATTTCGGTTCTTAATCACAGTAAAAGATTTACATGTTTGGAACTTAACACTGTGGACTTGAATATTCCCATTAATGTACACTTATAGTGTCAGGAGGTCATTAAGATGTGCTTGCTCTAAACAAAAAATAGAAACTGAACACTCGCTAGGGTGCATGCAACATTGACAATATGGAACACAGGAGTAAATATGAACTTAAAAGTGCTTGAGATTAACCTGAATATTCCACAAGTGAGAACAGCTAAGGCAGTTTGGCAGGCGTAGTGCACAACAACAAGCATCGATGTCTGTATGAGGGGTGCATGGCATCGGATATTTTATTTAGATATATATATTTTCAAATCCCAAAAAGTCATCCTCCCTATTCATGATGCCCGGACCTGACAAAAAAAAAACGAAGGAAGGTTTGTACCCATCTGACTATGTCCACTTTAGTTTAAATTTACCGAACAAAGCTCTTTGGAAAAAGATCTGTACAAAGGGTTCAAGGTTTATAAAACACTTCATAAAAGCTAGGTTTGTGCACGTTTTTTTAATCTTACATCCACTGCCAACCACAGAGCTGTCAGTGTCAGACTGGGAACATCGGGCGTACGCAGGAGCATTACTGGGAAGTTTGTTTAGACGCACTTCAACTGGACCTATCCAAAGTGCGGCCTCAGAAGCTGGACGACCTCTGCTTTAAACATTTTTTACGAGAGCTGTAGAGCAGACGGCTGGCGGCAGGTACGTGGATTTTCAGTCTGCTTCAGCCCATAAATGTTACGCTGTCTGTTGCAATCGTGTGCAGAAGGTCCTGGTGCTGTACCGTGTCATTCCACTGTACAGCTGAGCTTTGATTTGTCCAAACACTGCAGTCTTATTCAGGTCACAGTACTCATTTCCTACAAAAAAAATAATTATGAGCCAAGACTCTCAACTAACATTCACTCAGCTACCTCCTAAATAAATACACCTAAAACAATTCAGCTAGACCACAAACACATCTGAAAATAAATAAACTACAAAACTAAAACAGGTAAACCATGTATGTGTGGACATACTACAGCCTTTGTGACCCCAAAGGGAGACTGCATATGTCATGCCATTTCTATAAGAAAGTTTGAAGGCTCTGAGACATCATACACACGGCCACAGTGGGTCTGCACTCCATGCTGCTGTGCCAGCAGCACACACCCAACTCGCTTTTCTACCGTCGATGAGGAGGAGAGAAGGCACATTGTTTCCAGCGGCACATTCTCCCGCTGACCGCACTGTACCCAAACAGATTTGCTTAACAAAGTGGCTAGATTGGACGGTTTATACACTGCTAAATTTCCTCCTCTCAGTCGGTCCTCATTTGACCCTCAGCCGCCCAACCAGTCGCTGTAGTTTGTCACAGTTGTCCAGCCTCATGGACTCCGCCTTCTGCTTTAGCCGTTCGTCCCGGTAAAGTTGCCCCAGGTTTGCCAGATCCGACTCTGGAGGGGGAAAAGATAAAAAATAAAACATTACAATTCTTTAACATAGCCACATTGAGCAGCAGATGTTAGCTCTGGATAGCCTGGCTAAGTGGAAAAAAAACCTTAAAAGGAAACTGATCACTGAATGACACCGGTCGATGGAAAGACCCAGTCTTTCTTAAATGAGATTGAAATCCTTATGATTACAGATGCAACCTAATGTATTTATATAGATCCTTAATAGATATTAATTGTTGCATTTGATATTAAATACACATGTAACAAGTAGTAGTAATAGTTGGATATATATATATATATATATAAATGTTTTCCAATATTATTTCCTTAAAGTAAACCTATTCAGTTTTTTTTTCCAACTCTGCTTTTTTACTTTCTTACCAAGTACTTTTTGCAATCCATTCTTGTATGTCTGAGCCCCCACATGAACAACTAAAGCTCTCACACATCACAAACATGCTTTTCTGTCCCAGGTGCAGAAAACTTGATAAAGGATCTCTGATAAGCTAGCATCAGCTCAGAATGCCTCCATGAACTGCCTGTAATTCAATATGAACATTAAAGCATGAAGAATCATGTCTATCATCATTCCTGTCAATTAAGCCGATTCCCAAGAAAAAAGTCTACATTTGAGATTACTGAAAACAAACAGATTTAAAGCAGACTTCCTTCCTGGCTCCAATACATTGCTCTCTTACTTTGCTGCTTCTCCTTCCAGCAGCTGCTCTGCAAGTGTTCAATATAGTCACTCTCGATGGTTTTCTCCAGTTCCTCCAGCGCGGCTCCACGGTACTCCTTCTCGAAACTTTTATCCACGTAGTACTGCACACCCATGTGCTGCGTTTCTCTGGAAACCACCAGCCCCATGGCCCTGATAGCAGAAGAAACCCCTTCGTTTAAATGCATTCGGCGGCTGGAGGGTGTTAATCAGGGTGGAACCAGAGGATTTGCTGAAATGCCTCTGGAGTAGGGATGATGGCTTCTCAGACTCACGGCTTGTAGAAGAGGCTGTAGGGTGGGTTAGTGGCCATCATCTGAGTGAACACTGATATGAGGATTAACACGAGCACAGGTAGGAGCTGCAGAAGAGCTGTGAAGGTGTTCTGTGGGCAGATGAAATCAGCAACGATTACAAAGCCTGCAAAACTTTATGGAGGCTGATTCCACTCAACTCAGGCCAGCCAAATACTGGCATACGCTCAAATAAAGGTCTTAAGGGCTAATCCCTCCCCACTGTGGTGCTCCCGGGCCCACTATTGATGGGAATGATGCAGCATCTCTACAAAAAGAGACAACATCACAACAGTGCGGTTGTTTAGCAGGGATTCATGCTTATGTTGAGTGAGTCACTTGCCTGACTCTGGTTGTCCTCCGCCACCTCCTCGCGCCTTTCCTGAGCGCGGCGGCGACGAGGCTGATAGAACTGCGAGTAGGAGGCTCCCTGGTTGGTGTACACGTGGATGTTTCCTGCACGGAGTTGCACATCGGTGCGCATTAACATGCAGAAGCACTTTTCCACAGAACAGATCTCCCTTTATCTGGCTGTGAGGAGGTTCAGCTGTTCCAAACACTAGCTCTGCTGCAGATAATCCGTTCAATCACAAATCACAACTCTCCCAACGCACCTGTGGGAAACCTCCCGCCAAAGAAAATATTGAAGAGTTCCTCGGGGGAGATGTCGGCCTCGAAGTCTCTGTGGAAATTCCTGTGGTGTCCGTGGTGAGTGCGGCCCGAGTGCTGCGGTGCGTTCAGAGTGCTGGCCTGATCCCCGTACTGGTCGTACTGCTGCCTCTTCTCTGCATTGCTCAGCACAGCATAAGCGTTTCCTATGGCTGTTAGGAGAAACGGCACACATTTAGCTGGGACATGAATAGGATGACCCTCAGACATTAAAAACATGGGAATTGGAACTCAAAACAGGAAAATGTGGAGTCCTTAGCATCTTCAGATTGGAGCTCACAGCAGCAGGGCTCTTGGGGGTAGAGGAAGTTTCTCAGCAGCTTTCTGTGACAGCCTTTGACTGCCTGCAGCAGCTTTCTGTTACAATAACCTGACATTTTGCTGCCCTTTTCATCTCACGCAGTTTCTTTTTCTCACTTTTCCTCCACAGCTGATCGTCTCCAGCTCTCCAATGGCTCCCCGGGAAAGGGGCGCCACACTGATTTAAAACCCCTCTCATAAAGCGAGACAGATACTCCCATCAAATCCATAAAAACCTATATTAAAGCCATTCCTGTGAGTGATTTCATTTTTTTCTTAAACTGCTCTCGTGTTCTGAGTTGTATTCTGACTCCAATAGCGGCGAAGGAGTTGTAATTTAGAATCAAGGATGAGAAATGACACAAGTCAAAGCTAATTACATGCTGATGGATTCTGAAATACCTGTGTGTTTTACATTAACAATGTTCTGAACATTATTCAGCCAAAAGGAATGAATGAATGTTAAATGAATAAATGAATGAATTGTAGCTGATCCAACAGGGAGGCACATGGAAATTACATGGAAACTGCTGCCCACCAACATTAGCCCAACACAACTGCCTGACTTTAATATCAGTATCAATTGAAATGCAGGAGGAGTGATCCAGCACAAGGCTCAACTTCAGATTTATTCCAACCTATAAGTCTGACATGCTTCTGTAGTACTGGTCACCACCTCTGATTGTTAATACACACACACAAACATAAATATGTATTTATATGGAAAAAATACCTGCGATTTATCATTACAGTCATCAGGAGAGCTATTGAAAACCCCACTACATTGGAATCCCAACGCATCAGCATTGAACAATTCTGCTTGCAGCCGTTTACTTGACTGACAAAGCTCTCTCTATGGTAGTAGCACCTTTGAATGCATCTGTGGCTCCTGGGGCAAAGTTCTTGTCAGGGTGGAACTTTAGGGCCAACTTCCTGTACGCCTTCTTCAAATCTTCATCGCTGGCATTTTTATCAACGCCAAGGATTTCATAGAAGTCCTTGCAATTCTTTATCCTGAAATTACAAATGTTGGATATTAAAACACAAACTCCTAAACTCCAAGGCTTACAGAAGTGCTATTTGAAAGGTTACACAGTGGTCATCATGGTCACACAGAAATCAGTGACATGCAGTTACAGAGGCCTCTTTAAACGGACTCGCAAAAGACTCGCAAGTGGCCTTACTTTTAGTAATACTTGAATATTTTGCCAAGTCAAAAGATAGGTCAGGTTATTCTGAGTGTGTGCCACAAATAGGCTCAAAGCTAATAGGGGTACCAATCAGCCTGTCAGAGGAGTGGGTGAAACAAATAGTGACCGAGCACCTGAAAACACCCTGGCGTTGATCCTCGGTGTAGGTCTTCTTTTCGTCACCATGCACATGGCTGCTCTCCTGGTTCCCAATGTCCTCGTCTCTCCATCCTGTGGGTGGAGGCACGTGGTTGGCTTCTGGGAAAGCACTTCCTCCGTTTCTCTGAATGGCATCGATCAACACTGCAAACAGCAACGATAGTGTCTGTGGTCAACTGACAAGAACAACGTAACCTAAAGACAAGAACAGATCTCCGTCAAAAAAGTGCACGGACACAGCTCAACTAACACACCAAGATAGATCAACCTGTACAGAAAGACGTTACAATCAATGAGACTGATACCTGTGGTAAATACAACCAGATCTTTAGATGAATTTATCATATATGAATCAAATGCACATTTAACATAGGATGACAGAGGATGTGCACACTACAGTGCATCTTTTTAGCTGTATAACAGATCTTTTTTCATGCAGGTGGCTTATGCATGTTTTTCTGCAAAGAGCCCAAAAGTAGCAGGCCTATATCATAATGTCCAGATGATACTGGGGCAAAGGAGGATAAAAGAATTAAAAAAGCAAGTATAACACAGTCAGGTTTAATGCTGCGCTGTCTCACAGTCTTTGGTGCTCTCCACGAATTGCAATGGGGGAGGGAGCCCCGAACGAGCAGAGCCCAATTTGACCATGAACCCTAAATATATGTTCACTGTTAAAGCTCGACGGCTACTCTGAATCGATAGATTGAGCAGGAAAAAAAATACACACACCCGGCACTTAACAGGTAGGAGTATGTGAACTAGTTGTGCAACGTTAGCAAGTCCGACTGTGACTGCAGAATGTGCGTCAGCTAATTTTACCTCTGGCCCGGGTGCTGGGGTAAGTATTCTGCGCCTCGTACAGCAGCTGCAACGCCCGATCTTTTCGTCCCGACCGTAAACATAGCTTCGCCTTCTCTATGAGCCTGTCTGCCTCTTCTTTGTCCATTTCGGGGCTGCGGGGAGGGGGGGGGTTAGACGGTCGAATAGCTGCCTATACAGGTCTGTCCCAAAACAATGTGCGTCAGTATCATGTGGTAAGGAGAGAAGACGAGCCGCTTCGGCTAACGGTAGGTAGCCGGTTAGCTTTGGTTACAGACAGCTGCGAACGTTAGCCAGGAGCGAGCCGACAGTCACTCAAAGCCTCTCGTGCTATCCGGCTAAAAAACGATGGCGGTTGATGTCAGGCTGCAAACTGGCCGGCAATTGGGCCATTATGTAAACTTAAGGTCCCAGAAATGCCAGCTTTGACGAATAGATTTAGCTGTTTTTTAAAGGGACACCCTACTATTTTCCAATGGTCCTCCGGTCCTGTGATGGACAAGAGGTGGAGGACAGACCACAATGGCGTCACTTCCGGTGTGATGGCTTCGAAATTGTTAGAAAAAGCGCACACAACATTTTTTTTTTTATTAAAATGATCTTTGATATGTATTCAACAGCCATTTAAAGTATGATAATGTCACTGCTTCTCTGTTTTATTTCCTAACTGTAACAGATACATGATATTGTTGTTTTTTTTACTGACTTTCGTGTGTGAAGATACACTCAGGTCTACAGCTGGAATAAAGAATACTTAAGAAATAGATTGTATGTGCATAAAATAAAAGCGAAATTAATGAAGAGTTAGGAGCGCAAGAACGGAGGAAATTTGTTCATGCATATTTTATTCAAGAGTAAAAAAATGTGATTTGTCCCATAGGGCATGCTTACAATGTGTGTATTATTTAGGAGGTCAAATGCCAAAACATATTTCCATACATAATAAAAAAAAATGCTGCAAGATCAAATCCATTATATTCCTTTGCTGAAATATGCATGTAGACCATACAAGAACCAGAAACAGAGGAAGGAAAATAACCATAAGCTAACTTGTAACGATAATAATAGCAGTAAATATAACCAGAATACAATGTTTCCTGTAAATGTAAGTGTGACACCTGATTTTCTTTGTGTCCAGTTCATTTACATTTGAATTCCATGCTAACATGCTTTGGCAGCCTGAAAAGTTGCTTTTCACTGGGATTATATTCATTCACACTATTGAACATTTTCTGTACATCAGTACAACAGAAAAAATAGAACACAAGGCGTCGCACCTTAAAAGGGCATCTCTGCATACGACAAATCAATATAAAATTAAAAGCAGTGGTCATAAATAAAATGATGAAAAAGAAAAGAATGGATGAAAAAATCAAAGGAAGCCTATTTATAAAAATGTGTAGAAAACAAGACAAATAAAACTACAAATATAATTAAAAAATAAATAATTCAAGTTTACTATTTGAAACACAACTATCACGATTATAATCTCACGTAACAATTAGGAACTTAATTGCATGCATTGATGCGTTCCATATCATAGATGTGTTGTGTTAAAAGTCACTTTTTGTCCATCCTTAGTTCACATACTCCTATAATTGATTAGAAAGATGGAATATAAATTAGAAAAAATATTCATGAATGACAAGAAATTCTAGGAATTCATAGATGGATGTTGGTTGGAGCTTCACAGGTCTTTAGCTTTCCATTTAAGATATTTTAAAAGAACCAGCTTAAATTGTTTTTCTTTTCTTCAATTCACCTCAGAGAATTCTCAACAACAAGATGGCAGCATTTTTACTATAGAAAAGAATGTCACAATTAGTATTTCAACACACTGTCTACATGGGACTCGTTCTTTTTGGCTCACATGGTGATTGCACGTGTCAGGGATGTTTTTCCCTCTCATGTTCCTCCACTCTACAGCACAGTTGAATTAGAATTGGTTCAGGGAAATTGGAAAAAATAACAACAATCAACATGTTGTAAAATTAAGCACTATAGGGAAACCATTTTGTGATCAACTCATAAGCATAGAGTACTTTATGCATTCCTGATTAACTCTAATAAAACCATGTAATATTTTTGTCTAAATGAAGATACCAAATAACTTTACTATAACCAAAGTTGCATTTTGTTGTCAGTAGCTTTTCTTAACTAAATCAAGCTCAGGACTCTTAAAAAAATGAAGTCAATAAGTCTCCTGGTGGATGTAAGCCTGCGTATTCTACCTGAAATGATGCTCTTCGAATACTAAATAAACAACTTATCTGTTTAGTTTTTTTATTCACAAATGCCTAGGACATCCATGTCCAACTGATAGAGCGCTTTGTGTAAGCATAACATCTCTTTGAAGTTGGATCACAGCAGAGTGCAAAAAGTCATTGGACGATGATGTACATTTGAGGGACAGCACATAATCTGACTGTCTCTTCAGTGTAACCAATCCTGTTTTCCATTGTGGTCCAGAAACTTGCGTTAAGGTGAGCAAGTGAGATCCACAGCCGCAGCAGAAGTTTTTTTTTTTAAACCACTTTCAATAACCTGCAAGTTTTTTGTGTTATCTTTGTAATGTGAGGATGTCAAGGTGCCATGCTCTTCAAATGTGATATGTAAATAACCTTTTGTTGATCTGGACAGGAAGAGGACCCATTGAGATTCACCTGCACATGCTAATGAATTAGGCTCTTCACGCAGGCCAGCAACAATTTTAGATGTCAAATTCTGGTTTTGAATCTGTTATGCTGATGAGTAAACAGTAGAAAAAAAAGATTCCCAAAGGTTCTTTTCATCTCCTCGTTATTATTTGTCGTTGGAAGATGGCTGAAGCTGACAGATATGAGAAAAGGAGCAAGGCTGGATATTACTGAAACATATTCAAAGTGGATTTTGACCTTAATAGCAGTGGCTTTGGCTGTTAGAGTTGAGAGAACACGTGATCATTCTGTCCTCTTTCCCTTGCAGAACAACAGCATCTTACTACAAGGTAAATCAATAAATTTAAGTCCATTGGTAAGATCGCTCGCTTTACTGTTTGCTTTTTTCCCTTCCATTTGACTTTTTTTTCTCACAAAGTGATGTGACCTATTACTAGCAAAACATGTAGATAAAGAAGATTATTTTTTCTCTCGAAGTGAATTGTGAGTGATTCATAATAAATACGTTATAAAACAGTAAAAGGGTTTGTGTGGTATGGATACTGCAGTTTTGTCTTCCGTCAGGCCCTGTGATAAGGGAGCACACGTGTGCCAGCACTCAAAGCAACATAACCCCCAACAATTCAGTCTGTAATTGAATTGAAACAAGGGAACAAGTCAGACACAGCTTTCAACCACACTTTTTGAAGTCAAGCTGCAGCCTGCGGGTCTCTTCTCATCGCCACCTTCGGCTGTTAACCTCAGCTCCCCCCTCCCCCAACTGTGCAATGACACATCGTCATAAAATAAATGACCTTTTTGCCCGTTTTTAGATTTGCTGCAGATTTCATGTTCTATCTGTGGGCCTGGTTTATAGCTATGTTCTGAGGCCTGAATTTCTGATTTAGCAAAGTCTTGCTGCGCAGCGCAACATCGGCACGGTTCTGACGCTCAGACAGCACATCACTCGATGTTGCTGTTGTCTTCTGTGCCGTTTGCCTCTGACATATTCATCTTTCCCATGGAGTGACCGACGTGGTTCACCCCGTCTTTGCGAGGCGGCATGCGCTCGTTGATGCGGTCTAGGCCTTTGGCCTCCTCAAAGCTGGTGATCTTGTGCTGAGGTGAGAACCCACGGATAGCTGAAGAAGAGAATACAGATATACAGGGATCAGGGTCGTGTAATGGCATTCTCCAGTGGTGTTTCCTGTACTATCGGAACAAAGAACAGTTTGCTAGATAAAAAGTCAGATACCTTATCATTTGTGGTCATCCGCAAACAATGACACGTTGGTGAAATAGAACTTGGTGAAAAAAGAAATGTGGATGGATGTTGGATTTTTTTTGTTCATTGAACGCATTAATAAAATATGCAAGGTAGCATAAAATACGTCAATAAAGCATGTTCTTACTGCCAAACACATTTCTAAACAAACTATATAATGTCATTTATCATTGAAAAGGGCACAGAAATAAACGCAATAGTGTAATAAAATAACAACTACAGGGATGCTGGTGGTGTTTGATGCTGTCACATTCTTCAGCTATGTGATTTGTGGCGATCACTACAGAAATTGTAACGATCCTGATTTCATATTGAGGCTCTGGTCTTTTTCTTTTGCCTTCACATGGAACACTTTGGTGAACTTGATGGAGGCCATTTTACAGACCAGACCTGAAACTAGTGCTTTGCAGCACTTTATATTACAGGATGTTCATTTGCCATGAGCATTGCTTGATACCTTAAAATGCAATTCTTCCAGTTAGTGCACCTCTCCATTTAGGTGCAGCGATTAGATGCTATTGAGGACTGTGAGTGAGCACCTCAGGTTCTCACTCATGTTTGATCTCTCACCCGTTTACCATCCTTCCAGTGTTTACTCCTCACCACCCGGGCTTCCATTAGAAAACAGTCCCTCGGAAATCCTTCTGTGTATTCATTCGAATTGAACCTTATCCAGTTGAATGACTAATCTTGTTTATTTTTTTAATTAGCTGATTCAACAACTTAAAACATTCTGAGGATGAAGTTAATGTGGTGTGCATGTACGTAGCAGGAGACCCTGAGAACATTTTGAGAACAGGTGGGAGAAGGAGCTCAGGTTTACCTTCTCTGTCCTCATCATGCGGCTCGATGGCTTCAATGGCTTCAATGGTGGCTGAAGGGGGAGGAGGGAGCAGGTTACTCCTGATAAAGCCATGCAAATGTAAAATGCAGCCCCAGGGAGAAGGCGACTCATGTTTTGGCCAGATGAGCTATCCATGTTAATTGTCAAGGCAGTTAAACTCAGATGAGTGCCATGCTTTAATTCTGAGATAATTAGCATAATTCTGTGTTTTGTTCATTCATAAACAAAAAAACTAAAACAATGACGGAAAATAACAGATATATGACACGGTGACGAGTGGTGGGCTGAAATGAGTTATAGACTTTAGGAAAGGGCACATAACCTTGTACTGGTTTTGCCATCTGTTTATCTTTTTCGTTTCTTCTCTGTGTAACACAGCTTTTCACAATATAGGACACCGGTCCTGATCTCCTTGAATCCTTGCTCAAATGAGATTTTTCTCCTTTGCTTATCAACATCACCATCACAGGTATTAAGGAATAAACACCTGCTTTGTAGTTCATCAGCCCACCAATCAGAGAAGACTGGGCCTTGCAGCAAGGGAATGTTAAGGAGGCAGGATCTAAAACCGAGTTTTTAAAGCTAAGTACACACAGATATCTTTTTTTTTTATAGTGTTTTCTCCCAAATGTGGGTTCAAAAGGCTAAAGGCAAAAATAATAATAATCAGAAAACTCTGGGATTATCATAAACTTAATGTTCATGTGTACAAAGCTTTAGGCAGAAAATTCAACTATGGTGCAACAAAGTTAAGAAAAAAGAGTGTTTGCTTTTTGTTTTTTAAAACACATAAGCATAAAAAAGGGATTATGAAGATGTATATGAGTATGATTCTGAATCTATAAGTCTTTGCTTATTTCTGTAATTAGGTCCAAGGAAATATCATCCAAGATTAGATGGAACAATTTGTAATGATGGGTATTTTTAAACTAATTTGACCTCCCTGGCAACTTAAGATGGGTATTCTTGACTGCAAAGTTGAAAAAGGTTTGGTTTGGTTTGGCTTGCTAACATTGTGCTCTACAACACAGTGTATGTGAGCCTACTGGGACCCTGAAATGCTTGTTTGCTGCTTTTAACGTAAGAAAGGCTTAAAAATCTAGTGAAAGACTAGAGTAGAACTGAGAATGATGATGAGAAATAGAAACACCCAAAAGAGGGACAAAATCGTAGAGAAGGATGAGGCTGAGGCTTGTACTCACCACTCTGCAGAGTCTGTCTGCCTCCAGAGAGAACCCCGCTTGGCAGCATGCCAGTGGGCGTCAGGCCCTTAAGCGTCAACACATTTTCACTCTCCTCTCTGCAGAAAGTACAGAGACAGGATCGAAAAATTGTGCTGAATCCTGATCAAATTGGACAAACGTTCAAGAGAAACATACCATTACTGAATATGAACATTCCACAAACACACACTAAAATAAAGCCTACCTGAGGACTTGGAACATTTTAGCCATTTTGCCAATTGCACGGATCTTGTTTTTGATCACCTCCTTGCGTGCTGCAGCAGCATTTGCTGCAAGGAAATATGGAAAACGGCCCATTAGGGATTACAAATATAACAAAAACAGTCACCATCAATATAAAGTCCCATTCCAACAGTAAAACTGTAAAAAATAAAATAAAAAACTCATTTGTGCACCTCCAAAATGGAAATTGAATGATCTGCTTTACAAATGTAACTCCACCTCCTCCTCTTAATACAGTAAATATGAATATATAAGTATCCTAATCTGGCCAAGCTCACATCTCCCACAACTAACAGCTGCCACCAACGTTTCCTTTCCCCAATTCTAAAAAAATGGTATTATTAAAATATACATTTATGTATCCACAGTGTGACACAGTGTTCACAAGTGCTTAGTCTATATAGTTAAATGAAATCTTGTTTTTTAATTACTTAATCTATGAGGGGGGAATTGCACTGTGTATTTTTTACTTAGGTGAGTATTTCTTATATATTTACATAGCCTGCTGTGCATTTCCTGGTCAGATTATAACATTTGGTAAATTGTTTTTTTTAAAATAAAAGTTAAGAGCTGTTTGATCTACTTTATTGCTGAGTTTAAATTAAACAATGCAGCAGCTGTAAACATATGAAATATAAAATGCTCTTCTCAAGATTTCTCACCATCAAATATCTCATCTTCATCATTCATGAGTTCATCATCAGAGCAGATGCTCAGCACATTCACCAGCATTTCTGTGACTGTGGAAAAAATGGGAAGGAAACAGGTATTCACAGAGCAATGAGCCACGGCCGAAACCGACTAGTATGTGATCACCTGACAAAAGCTTCATACCCTTTTCTCCAACAAATGGCAGAGACCATGTGAAGACATCCATAAAGTTTGGCAGCCAGTAAGGATGCGGTGAGCAGTTGAACTGTCGAATGTTCATGACATTGTTCTCATATTTCAGTACAGCAGCTGCAGGGGAAGAAGAGGAGAGCCAGGAGTAAGATTCTGCTTCATTCTGCCAAAAGTCCATGTCCTACCATTAGATGGCATTTTTACACTTACATTTGTTTAAAAATACTGACAGCTGACAGTTTAAATGGGCAAGGAAGAACATTTAAAAATTGAGATAACAACTGCCTGATCTGATTAATATTAAAGTTAAGTAAAACCATAACAAGTGTGTGTTGTTGCTTTTGAGTAAAGACTGCGCAGTGGAGTAGAGTTGTGGGTAATAAATCTGCTCTCTAAGATTAAAAGGAAGACTGACGTTTAATGAGGTCTGATTTACATACGGGTTCCAAAATTTTATCAATATAAGAGCTCAGACTGCTAAATTAAGATTGAAATTATGATTAACAGCCCTTTAATACTTTGGATAATTTTTCTGAACCGCACCTTTTCTAATAACATTTACAAAAGCTCAACAGCGTAGGTGGGCTTTTCTTTTTTTTTTATTCCATGCAGCACGCTGTAAATGGAATTTCATTTTTAGTATGCCCTATTCTTGAAAAATTAAATGTGATTGTGTGTAATAAAGTATACAGCTGTGTTCCACAGTGTGTACTGGATGGAGGTCACATGCACAACAGCCCTTTATGAACGTATTCGGAACGTTATTCTGGGCTCGTTTTTTTTCCTTTCAGAGAAGCAGAAAGAGGCTAAATGTGATATTCAACCACTAGATGGCTTTGCTGAGGCCAGGGATTGCTGACACTGTTACATCAGGAGGTATAAAGCCACATGGAGATAGTCAGCAATGCTGACAGTCCCTCCCACGCGCCCCATCTCCCATAGCCTATGGCATCCAAGACACAGATCTGAGAAACACAAACAAATGGGGGCTCCCTGATGCGTTCTTATGCCTGCTCACAGCTAAATGCAGTTGCATTTACTTGTGCGGTCTAGTTTGTGTATAAAAACATTTACATAAATGCTTTAATCTATGGCAGAGAGATCACTGGTGAGAAAGGCTTCTTTTAAGGGTTCTGAAATGTCACATGTCCTATATGTGGTACCTAAAGGTACATAAAGGTGCGTATCACCAGGCTACCCTTTCACTATTTAACAGGTATTCTAACCGAATATTCATATTCTAATATATGATAATATATCCAGAGCAATAATATGATAAGAGGACATAATACAATTTAGCAAAGGAATATTGATGGATTTCTTTTTATTTCTATCAATATAACCTTTGTTAGTAAAAAATACACTCAAGAATTTATTGATACAACACTGAAGTGTTTTAAAACCCCGGACAGAGCTGCAAAGTGATTATGTGAAAAAAAAAATCTGACCTTTGTTATTGTAAACATCCAGATAGTTGGGCGCTGAGAAGATGGTGATAAGGGATGGGAATCCAGTGGTCTGGCTTTTGCGATACATCCGGTAGCTATAAGGTTGTCAGGCAGAGGTGAACACAGAGAAGAGACAAGCTTACTCATACATATGTAAAGAATAACTGTGGAAGAGATGTTCTGTTGTTTTCTTGAGAAGTTGTGTCCTTTAATGTGCACTGTTGTGACAACATACCCAGCATCTTGTGCTTCATGTGCTCGGATAATTGATAGTAGGTTATTGCTCTGTAGGAACTCACAGACAGCTGGATAACTGGGAAAGAGTAAAAAGAACTACCCATTAGAATATTACTGATAAAGCTTTTAAGGTGATGTAAAGTCAAATACCAAGAGTAAAGATAAACAGTGTAAAAAATAAGTTAAGTACAGACATATATTTTTGATTTGTTTTATCACACGACATAACTTTGTATTGAATCAAACATATGGAATTATCAATCCCTATTATATTATCAACTTCAAAATAAATCCTGTACTATGGGTCATGGAAACCAAACAGCCACCTGCTGTAAATAAGGGCTAAAATGCCCACATACAAAACTATGAAAGCATCTAGGAAAATGGCTCATACAGCTGGGACAGGCTCCAGCTGTCATTGGGCAGGATCCTACTAGGAATAAGCTGTGTATACAATGGATGGATGGATGGATTGTTGTGATTTGTTGTTGTTGAATGTTCTGGGCTGTCATATGCAGATAATTGAGTAATTATTGCTTGCCATGATCAGTATTCATCGTATATTCAAATTTTGGTGAAGATTGCCACTTTTTATCATCATAGTTCTCTATCTTTAGTTCAGTCACATTAAAATGGCATATCGAGGACTGAAAGTAACAATCATTTTTAATAAGTTAATCTGCCAGTTATTCTTTTGTGTGACTCAGAATGCATACAAGGAGATTAAATGTTAAACAATAGTTAATCAAAAAAGTCCATCACAGTTTCAGAAATATTGAAGGAATGCCTTTGAACCGCTTCTCTCATTAACAAACTAAAACAAAATGAATATTTAGTTTATAGTATCAAACGAAGCGATAAAGGTCAAGACAAAGCTACGGTAAACCCACAACAACGAAGAATAAAACCTTCCCGACCACAATCCTGTCCCCCTGCACCTCCACGCTCTCTCTGCGATCCTTGAACCCATCAAAGTTTCAGAAGTGTTTTAAAATATTTAAGTGTTCCAAGGTTTGTTCCGGAAGAAAAACAAGGAGACCACTGTGCCCTGAGTACCTGGTAAAACTGTGCCACCCTCTCTATTTACATGTGGTCACACGACCAGCATTGCTTTGGTGATCAATTTAGGCTGAATATGTTTTTCACCTTGTTTTATGGCAGCTATTTGGACCAGATACCTCAGCAGAATGCTGCTATCAAAAAATGTTATATAACTGTTTCTATTAAAAACCCATCCACAATGCATTTCTAACCTTAACATAAGGACAACTTTTGCATCATACAGTGGTTCACAATTATGAAACATACCTACGTACACTAAAGTCCTCTGATTGGGCTGTATCTATTGATCACTGTGAGAGAACACTGTGCACTTGGTGCCTGTGGATCACTCTTTCTCTCCCTGTTATGAAAACGCGCAAAAATGTGTCTGTGAGCCTGTGAGTGAGAACCAGTGAGGGATCTGTCAAGTGAGTATGAGCGAAAGAGACTGAGATGGATGGAGGTGATGAGCTGAGATCCAGAAACTGAGTTCTTGTTTTTTGTATTTCTTATTCTTTCTTAACATTAACAATCTGTAAATATGGTGGTCCTCACATTCATTTAATCCAATAAGAATAACCTCACAGACGGCTTGTTTTATCAATAGATGTAATTATAGTCACTTCATAACATATAAAACCTTGGGAAATGTAGCAGGCAATGGCAGGAAGATAATACCCAACAGCCACTTTACAATTTAACAATATTTTACAGCAAACACTATATCAAGTTGTGCCCCCAGGTCAAAAATGCACATGAAACATAATGTTAAAATGTCTTGTGGAAGAGCTCTAATATGATGCAGAGTTTATAAAAGGAGCGTGCACAAATGGGATACAAATGTCAGTCGTTCTCTCTTTCAATAATTAAATACATTAAGCAACTACTGAAATTCTATTCGTGAGAAATACTCAGAACTGATGTATTTGAACATTCAACACCCTCCCCCCATAAAAATAAAACCCAGGAAACCACGGCACTTTGTGCCGAATCCATACTGTATGGATGGTAAGAGTCATAATGATGGAGAGGTAAGTTTGAGAGTGAAGGCAGAACAAAGCCACAGGGAGATAGATGACTATAATAGCAGCATCCTCCACACATGAACATGAATAATCCTCACTGAGCTCCTGTCTCAGTGAATAGCGATCAGTGACCACTTCACCGTGAAAGAGGAAGCTGTTAGTCTTCATCAATCTGGAGCATCTGTTTTTGTTCTTTGCTTCTTATTCACCCAAAACAGACACTTGGGTAACGATTTACCAAACAATAGAATATGCTGTTGTTTTTATAACTGGTTTCAGTCCAACTGGATTTATTTTGTTAAATAAAAATTATATTTAAACAAGTGGGAAGTTTTATATGTGAAGAAATGATCAGCACTGCTGAAAGTGATGCCCACAGAGGGAGACAACAGGCTGAAATATGCATGGCTGCCAGTATGCTAGGCCTCGCCGGCACGTACTTTAGTGAAATATTTAATCTAATATAAACTACAACAAATGACACGTACATTTCTACCTGCACTCTCAAATTCACAGACGTGAGAACTACAGTTGGGTTATGATGGGACTCTGAGCTGAATGTCATTTCCTCTTCGATGGAGGAACACTGAAAGTCTTCCGGACTCTTTCTGATTTGAGCAGAAGTGCAGCTCCCACGCAGGGGTCTGTACTGTTGTGTGCCTTCATTAAGAAAACTCTCACTAAAAACTGCCACCTAATCTCTTCTCCTCACCACCACCTACTTCCACAGCTCTCTTCCATGCCCGGCTCGAACGCAGCTATAATGCAGTTAATCCTCATGGACACAAAAGAGGGAACTCTCAATACGCTTTAAGGACAAGTTAACATATTCGTGCATAAAGCCCTTTGTCTGTGTGCTTCTTTCTGTTTGAAATTTTTTACTCTTTTTGGTTGTGCTCAGGCATCAACAAATGTTAGATATGTGTTAATAATGTATGACTTAACATCTATTTTTGATATCACAAGCTTGTTTGCTCTGCTTCAGCATAACAGTCCAATTCTCTTGATAGATTAAATGAGATTTCATCATTCCTGATAACATACAGTGTTTACCTTAGATACAAGCTATTCTCTTTCTCCCATCTCTGATTATAGTAGCTAAGTGCAGAGTGCAGTGTAAAAAAAGTGTAGAAACACTTGATAACTTGCAGCTCGGTTTTAGATGAACTGATATATTTTCCTTTGTTTTTGCATTTGTATATTCTTTTTTTCATTGTAAGCCAGTATTCATGGTTAGAGCATGGGTTGAGGTAATGCAGACAGCACTGTATATGGAGTCTATTTTGGTGATGGATGGTAGAGAAAGAAAACATAACTGCAAAGTTTCTGACAAAAAATGCATTAGGCAATCCTTCAAAAAAAAAAAGCTGATGCCTAAGAATCTACATAGACACGGGTTAGATTGTTGCAATCTAGGCAGCTGACGTAGTCTCACCTGTAAAAGTAGGAGCAGCCTCGCACTGTGTTGTGGCTGAAATATTCCTGGGTTTTTTCGTTGCCAAAGTCTTCCAGAGGGTCGGCCCACAGCAGGTCACACATGGGCCCGAATGCTGGTGGCTCTTTGAACCGGTCCAACTGCACATTTTGAAGCACAATGGTAAGTCAAACACAAACATGGGAGATGTAAGGTACTAAGGTTGGTGGCATAAGAGCACACAAACACCTTTTTAATGTCATCTAAAGTGTGTATTTCGGGCGAGAGTCCGCCATGCACACACAGAAACTGTTGGTTCATGAGGGCAGCCAGAGGGAGGCAGTCAAATGCATCCATACACGAGTCATACACCTGCTCTGAGTACTTGATTTTACCTGAAAGAAAACAGAAACAGAAATATGATCAGCTGCATGTGCTCACAGTGGGTTTTTACAAAATGATCATGCGCACAATTGAGTTCTGGACCTTACCAGAGATGGGCAAGGCTGCAGCTAACAGACAAATAACACCACAAACACTGAATGGCACTCACATTCTTGTTTGAAGGTGAAATATTCTGTCAAATGTCTACATTCATGATTTCCACGAAGTAAAAATAACGTCTTTGGATAGAGGATTTTCAGCGACCAAAGGTATAAAACACACTGTCAGAAAAAAACACACAGGCATATTGTTATTTGTAGCAAAAAAGGCAGCCTTAAGGTTTTTTTTTTCTTACAGCACAATGTAGGAATATTCTCACCTCAATACTGAAGTAGCCACGGTCGACATAGTCGCCAAGGAACAGGTACCTTGTGGTGGCTGGTGATCCTCCCACTTCAAACAGCTTCATAAGATCAAAGAATTGCCCGTGGATGTCCCCACAGACTGTAAAGCAGCCAAAGGACAGCAAGTGTTAGAAAATTGTGCAAATCTCACAGAAAACATTGATTTTTTTCGTATTTTTTTTCTCTTCGTGTTCATGTTTGGACGTCGATCTCCTAATTACACGTTGCTGTTTTCATACGTGTTTAGCGTTCAATATTGGGTCCTTTTCTTTTTTGCTCTGTTCAGTGAAATGGATTAAACGGACAAAAGCGTTAGACATGTGAAATAACAGATATAATTCTAAGGTTTTCTTGTGGACATTTCTTTACTACAGACAGTATTGATGTTGATATGTAATGCTTTCAGCTGTAGGAAGAGCAGGGGGTCCCCTTTTGCTATTTACTGGTTCCCTTTTTGCTGTTTATTGGTTCCAGAAAGTCAAAGAAACAAGGCGACAGTGTCAGACCTGATGGAGGCACAGAGTCCTTCATGTTTTGAATCACCTGCATTATTATTTTTCAAAGATTATATGTTTTTTTGTGATGACACCTCAAACGTAGACAGTAAATATGGATGTTATGTAAGAAAGACGATGGCATCAAAGACCATCGCTGACACTAATTCTAGTCTATGTAATGTTTAAATTTCTCTCATACCACTCTAGTTATGGTATTTTCTATGTACAGTTAGCCTCAAATAATTTTTTTCTTAACCAGTCTGCATGTTTGCATGGATCTGTGAAGCATACACATTCCCTCTGTATCTGTCAGATTATCTGCACACTTGTGTTTCTTTGCCTTACTGAAAAAAAAGTGCAGCACAATACAGAACATAAAAGAATTTAAATCTAAACACAGTAAACATCCTTTCTGGAAACTCTACATGCAGTGCATTGTGGCAAATTGGAGGGAAAACCCTTCTTGTATGATTTCATGTTTTCTCTTCTCATGTTTGTTCTCGTCCACATCACAATGCTGTTTTCTCTTGCTAAGTGGTGCAAAAAAATTCTTTTGGAGTGCCTTATCCCTCCTCTGCAGGCATCTGTTGTGGTGTATTACATTTCCTTTGTGCTATGCAGTGCTGTTAAACAATCTTGTCGTCTTCTTCACTGTACTGCTCAGACATAGGCTGCCAAAACATTGCACTCCACGCAGTAAAGTTGTCCATTTCGATCTCCCACTTACAATCGGGTGTCAAAATTGTAATATGTAAAGGGTCACACCAAGAGGATGGGCAAACGTAAAAAGTGACTCGAGTGCGGGTCATTTAAATGATGCCGACAACTTCATAGCCCATGGCTGTGCGCGCAGACTGTTTGAAGAAATGCCCCATAGATGATTTCACCGGCTGAAAAAAAACTGCGAGACATAAGTAATAATGGGAGTACTTTGAACAATTTGATTTGAGGATGTGATAGTAATGAGCTATATCTGTGATGTTTGGCTGAGGGGCCCCTGTCCTTCGCGTGTGAAAAATGAGAACCTCTCTCCCCTCGAAGGGGTAAAAGAATCTCAAGCCCCCTGGGAGATATATACTTTTTTCCCACTGAACACTACGGCTTTAGTGTGCAAACCTACATCTCATTTCCTTGCTGCCTTCAATTTTTCATTATCATCTCTCTCTGTCTCCTTCTCTCCTACTCAACCTCCATCTCCTCTCGCTTTTCCGTCTCCCCTATCAGCTCCACAGTGGCCTTCGCCCACTCAAAGCTTAGAGCAATGTGAGTGGGAGACTGCTTGTGTGACTAAAGCAATCAAACGCACACATGCGCACATAGACACAGGCGCACATACAAACACCCATGGAATCCATGCATGCAGGCTGCATTGAAATTCAAACACCACCCGAGCCCACAAAAATACAAATGCCTGTACACAATACTCAGTTCATCATACATATTTTATTCTCAAAGCATAAAGCCTCCATTTAGACGAGGAGCCTCAGACCATTACTTTAGTCGGTGCGCATTTCATCCGTTCATCACCTCTGTGTTGGCAAAAGATGCTACTTACTTTCAGTTATGTCAGTTAAGCTGATGGGACGTTAATTAGGTGCCAACTGGTAATTACACATGTATTTAATGTAATGGATAACAGAATGAATGTAGTTCTTATTGGATCAAAATAAGTATTTTATGTGTATTTGGATCAAATTATGACATGTACAGACAAATTCACCTATCATCCATCCACTTAGTCCAGGTCGGGTTGCGTACGTCTGTGAAGTTAATTGTGTTTGAATAGGAATAGATACAGAATGGAAGCACAGAGAGACTCAGGGAGATGACTTGTGCCAAAGCTAATTTGCAACATCTGTTATTAGCGCTATAAACAGGAGACCATCACAAGCAATATAAAGGTGAGGGTACACTTTTAAATGATGTAAGAAAGTTTTTTCAAATTTTTGCATCAGTTTCACTAAAACCAATTTCAGTCATGCTAAATTGAATTTATCAGTCAGACTAAGAAAGAAAGCTAGCAAAAAGATAACAATTTGACGTGAAATAGGTTGTTTGGGATTAGTTTTGACTCAAACCGACGAAGACGCCCTGTGCATGCGCCTTCTTCTTGATCTGCAAAAAAGAGAAGCAGCAAAAGAAAAAGAGCAGTTTGCAGCTCTTTTCTAAAAACAGAGAAGTGTTTTTTTTTAGCTACAAGGGTGTTTAATTCATTGTTTCAAGGGTTGTCGGTATAGCCACATAAATTCTATGTACCTGTTTTTTGTCTTTGACATAATAGGTAAAGGTGAAAAAGTCAAACACTAATGCGTGAGTACGCACTCACAGTTTCGTCGTTTGAAATGTGATGCCCACTTATGGTCACAGATAGCTATGAAAGCTTCACCCTCTCTACTCTTCAATAAAGTCGTCAGTAAAACTTTGGTTGTCCTTTTCATTTAACCCAAGCATTAGGATTTGACTGGTAAAAACAAACAAGCAAAACAGCAAACAAAAAAAGAAAAAAAAACAATATTCAGCAGGCGTAAATTTCTTTTAGAACTGAAATGAATAAAACATGATACAAAAAGTTAAGCGACGTGAAAGCTTCTTCCAAATGTTTTTTATAGCATCTTATTGTGTTAATATTGTCTCAAAGCAACGTTTCACCTGGAAGAGAAAAGTTTACACTGCTGTTTCAAGCCAGGATAGTCTTGTGGACTTGGCTTTAACTGGGTGGAGAAGCTAAAAAATGTCACATGTTGAGCCGGTCTGGTTCTCCCTCCCACTGCACGTGTGAAAACCACCCAGACAACATTATGCAGATACAGCTGCTCATTTCAAGAAAAAAAAAAATGCCAGTGCCATTATTGCTTATGAAAAAAACATTTTTTCATCAGCTTTAAAGTCAATTTAAGTGTATCACCAAAAAGAAACAGTGGCAGAGTGGCTTAGACAACACTAACGATATATGCTGATCAGAATAAAGACATTAAGCAACAAATCACTGGTAGGGATCTACAGACCAAACAAGGATGATAAAAATAAAACATGTCCTAAAAATGACAAGCTGCGACTTAAACGAGCACGCTTCAGTGTTTTATGTGCATTTCTCTACCTGCTTATTCCACCTTGCGTGCTGCTGGGAGGCTGCAGCTCATCCCAGCCACCCCCTTGGTGAGAGCAGCACCTTATTCTGATTGCAATAATATTCAGATATTCTTTTGACATGATCAGAATACAGGATGCACCATTTATTTTCATGTCTACATTATACAGAGTGAGAATAATAATTGTCTGATTAATGAGTCATGCCCAACTCACTTCCTGGGAAGTCACTGCAATATTTGTCCCCAACCAAAGCCCTTATTTAACAAAGCTTTAGTGCCCCCACCCCCAACCCCAACCCCCCCGTCCACAGCCTTTTCTGTTCTGCACCTCTGCTGCCACACTATATGACAGAAACAAGCAAGCCCATCTATGAAAACATGTCCGAAATAAGAGGGTGGAAAAAAAAAAAGAGCGGCAGCATGTGTTGGCAGATGAAGTAGTAGGATGGAATATAGCTTTTGAACTGTAAACAAGCCTACACAAAAATCACAGCGTTGTGCACAGCTTCTTCTGACAATAAATCTTATCCACACTCAGATGATCAGAAAAGTCTGTTTGCATGGCAGTGTGACAATCAGAGTAAGATCTTAATCCGGTGGTTATCACAAAAAGCTGAGCATGTGGCCACTGTCAGGGAACAGATTAACATTGACTACATTTATTTGTGCACTTTCTGCTATTATAGATTTTTTAAAAATATGCCAAGTAAATTGTGAACATTGAAACAGGTGCAGGGACTTCATTTTGAGTTTATTTGACTGTTAAAAGATTAGATACCTGTGACTGGCGCCTCGATGTCTAAAATAGTTTTCTCCTGACGCAGGATAGCCGCTCCCTCGTTGACGATCCGAAGGGCCACGGCTTCCTCAACACGGCCCTCTTTGGTCAGATGGGCCTTCAGGAGATCCACACGTGGTTTGCTTTCACAGTCAAAGACTTCCTTCATTGTAAGGCGGTGGCTCAAGGGGAAGGGGACAGCTAAGGAGGAGGAAAACAGGCATTTAATGACATCTAAGCACTAGAAATGTTAAAGAAATGCCATCCATTTTTAAGGCTATAAAAAATCTAATTCTTCAGAGTGTTTCTGCAAGACTGGTAAAATCTCTCCAAATGGCTTATAGTTGGTGTACATTATTCATTAGCAGAGCTCCCATTTAAAAACAACGATTTCAGTGCCCATGTAGAGTTTTGTAATTTCTAAAACTGCATGAAAGATTTAGGTAACGTTCACTCTGCCTGGATCACTGAAGCCTGTGGCCATTAAAATGCACCAGTCACCACCCTCCAGACAGCCTGTGAAACTGTGAAATCTAACCACCGATCATTAGTCTTGTGGTGGCAGTGAAGGTTGTTTTTTTTCCCCTTTAAATCTGGTGCTGATCTCTGCACGCTGTGACTACCAGCTTTCTGGGCCTGTGAACTGTCGTTAATCTAGAGATCATCTGGCTTAACACAGAGACCTCTTACGAAGTGTCTGAGCCCTATATGGAAAGAAAATGAAGTTAGATGACGTCCAGTTGCAAATAATCTGACATATAAAAGTGAAACACACACACACACACACATACAACACAGTGGTACATTTCAATGTGAGGGGTATGCTGGCCAGATTTGTGCGGTGTATAGAACAAACAACAGTGCCTAATTAAAGAAGAGTCTTAGAGCTTATGCTTAAACTGTACATGATCAAGACACTCTTTAATAATGAATGCTACACCAGAGAAATCTCAAAGTCACTGCTCCTGGGATAATAAGGCAAGCCCCAGAGAGTGTAGTTAATGGGACCAAAATTTTTCACAGTGTGTATTTGGGATGGCGATGTGTGCTTTGACACTTCACCGACAAGTACAAACTCTGTTCTGTCAGTACAGAGAGAAAGTAAATGAATCTACTCGGTATAATAACACTGACTCAAAAGTAGCGTACATTTACATAAAAAGGTGAAGCAGTGTCTCTTGACGGATGGAAAACGATTTAAAATAACATGTTGATAAATGGTGCTGTGGGTGCTTCATCGTGCCTCTAAGTATGTAAGAGTAAGCCATGAATAATCATTTAAAGCTTTAATCTTAACAGTTCCAGCAAATTACTAAATGTATAGAAGAAAACTGTTGTTACTAGTCACATTCATTATATAAAATGATAGAGATATTGGGTTTTTTTTAGGCAGCGTGGTTCAGAAAATCATCAAATCTCCGAGCAACACTTTCAGTGGTATATGTTGCAGTTGTCTCTATGTGTGACATCTGAGTGGCAATTTGACTGGTTTGATTTTGAGAAAAGTTTATATTTTACAGAATCACCATGTGAGAAATGCATAGACGTATTCTGTTGGTTTGTGAATCGATGGCTATATGAAACTGCACTCTTTTTATGAAAATTTTTTGTACTCTTAATAGTAATGCTGTGACTGGTGATCTTTGATCTCATGTACAGTACATAACATTTAGATAAAAATCCATCTTTAATTAGTCTTGACCTGATGAAGTTCAGCTGGTTATTGGGGTTCAGATCGTTGCTTGAAATATGTTTCAGCCAAGAATAGCACAGAAATGCTCAGCAGAGCCAAGTGTGCCTCTTCTTTGATCTGTCCAATATTAAAGTTGCAAGTGCTGACAGTCACTTTTATTATTTTTGGGTCTCTTATTATATTATTTTGGGTCAGCACTTGCATGGTGAGCTTGCCGATTCTCTTGTTTAATTTGCTTTGCGACCAGTTCACACGCAACGGGGGGTTGTTAAATCATCACACAACAACCACTGTCAGAGCAGAACCTTCCCATGTTTTCCTCCAACCATAAGAAAAGGGCTCTAACAGGACTGTAAGAGCTTGATCCCTAACTAAAAATGTTTTTTTTCAGTCTCAAGGCAGAAGGCACTGAGTTTTGTGGGAAAATGTAACATTACTATGATTCATTAAGAGTCATTCATTTAATGGGTGTTTGTAACCTCTACATTTCAGAATAGATTTTGATAGTAATATAAAAAAAAAACATTCCAGATTCTGCATAACGGATTATTTCAAAGGAACAGGAATATGTTGACATGAAGGCGACATACAAGTAAAGCACCCTGATATGGACGTAGTTCAGAGATGAAAAACTGACTTCTGCTCAGCACCCGAGCTCAGTTGAACTATGAAATACTGTATGTTGCCGGGCAACAGCAGCAGCAGCAGCAGCCGAGTGCTGGAGTACAGCCAGTGGCGCCACAGAAAACTGCAATTTGCATTGAAGGTTCACATAGATACAGTACTGTGTTAGACATACAGTTGACATGTCAGATTTTTCAAAATCACACTCAGTGGGATCCGTTAACAGTTAACACTCTGCAGGGTTGAAAAAATAACCATGCGTTGTCGGTTTATGCTGCTAAGGAGCAGCCCCGGGTCCTGTCCTGTCAGTATCCCCTGACAGGACTAACTATAAGCAGGAGGAGCAGGTATAGTACACATACCCTGGTGTTAGGCTTTTAATATCCAGCCATGAGTGTACTCTCTGCGCCTCTAACTGCAGAGTCTGCTTTGTTAGATATTTGAGGCACTACTGTGTAAACCTCCTAACTAATGTCAATGTTAAGATTCTGTAAAGCCAAGAATGTGCTGTCAAACCTTTCTATTTATTCAGCACCACGTGAACTGTCACAAAACGTGTGGAGTGTTTGTGCATGAGGGAACGAGTGACTGACACATGGCCTGACAGATTATGTCTCGGGGTAAAGAACGATGGTGCACAGGTGGACTTATGGCCTCATGCTTCTTGATGCTCACAGCACAGCCCTGACAGTATTGTGGAAAACAAACTGCATCGGCCAGCAGATACTGTACCTTTTTTTGTGCTCTGTCAGGTTAAAACGGTGTGCTGTGGTTTAGGTTAAAACTTATCTATACAAGAATAAAAATAGATTGGAGTAGCTTGTGGTGTCACTTCTCAGTATGTGTGCTGTACTGAGTAACGGCGGGATGTGAGCGTCGTACCATCAAAATCACCACTACCTTGATAGCTTTCTTTGATCACCTGATAGCTTCATGTTACTGTTTTTTTAGACTATTTTTCGCTTCTCAGCACTCTGGGGGATTGTTAAAAAGACTTGGCTTTTTAAAGTAGAGTACAAGAATAGGAGAGCAGATGAAAGGGACAAAAAGAATACGCATATACCTGTCTAGCAATTATGAACTACATTAGCATAAACAGGAGCACCTGGCAAAGAAGATAAATGAGCATTTGGAGAATTGATTACCGTTTTCCTGCAGTGAAAGAGGGTGAAAAAACGAAAATTCAAGTCAGAAGTGCTCCATCTAACAAGGTTTTTTGCACACATAGCCTGAAACTAAGTTAGTAGGATAAATGTAACAAATACATAACACTGTGAGGGTTTCAAACTCCTGAATGCTCGGTATTACATGATCATGTTACAAAAGCAAGAAAGTGAGTCAGAATTCTTGGCTGTGTTGCCTGTGCTGATGTGAACCTTCTGTTTGACATATTTTTTAATCCCAGGTTGAAGCTTAGCCAACAAAAAAAACACAATCATTTTGTTTTGAGTAGAAATCCTGACAATTGCTAATACCAAGCTTCTTTGTGCAAAGAAGCAATTAGGTGCACAGGATCATTTATATGATTTTTATGAATTGTATGGTACCTGTACAGGGCAGTGCTATAGCCATGTGGTAATGTGATAAGATACCCATAGAAAAAATGGGCTTTTGCATGCTGAGTGATGGGGTCTGTCACTCTGATATATCTGTTTGTAGAAGAAATATAAGATGTGCTCTGATCTCTTTCATCACACTGACAAGCAGTGACAGATTATAAGAGTGTCTAAGAGGAACGTGTCCTATTTGCTGATACCGTAGAAAGATCATTTTTAAAAGTTCTGACTCTGGCAAATAAAGTTAAATCAATTATGGGAATTTGAATGTAACGTGCCTGCAATTTTGGTCATCTAAAAGTATCAGACAATGGAGAATCAGTTAGTGGTTCTTTAACTCTGGAGCCTAAAAAAGGACAAAGTTGTTAATGCTGACTGAGCTGTTGGGCCATTATGATAATACACTGTATTCCGACCGTGCTGTGTGAGCTGATCCATGCTCACACTGATCTGGGATGAGTGAGTTATGGCAACTGTGAGCACTTCATCATCCTTCATTGATCAATTCCTTATAGACCTTTTTTGTAATCAAATTAAAACCGGCCTCACTCCTGGCAAAGTGTACCCTATTAAAAGTGAATCCCATGCCCTCTTCCTCCTCCTCTGGCCCCGTCAAAGCCTGTGAAATCCTGCTGCATCACTGCTCCAGCTTCTAACACAAAGCTAGGCAATTCAGCTTTTCCCTTCCTCCTCACTTCTCATGCCCACTGGAGCCTGAGCCAAGATACAGTCGCATCGACCCAAACAAGATTAAAACACGAGCACATCGGTACAATTCAATCATTTCGCCGTCTGCCCGCACACTGCTGCTGCCTCTTGGCTTTGTGTCCCTTTTCTCCGTGGGGGCTGTGCAGCAGAGAAAAACTGGATTGTTTATCAACATCAAAGCTTCAGGTACCCACTACCATCACCGCGCATTCAACTTGATGTCCATGTATTCGCCTTCAACGCAGACGGTACGACGAAGGCCACGTCCTGACAGGCTGCAACACTCGATATCTTATGTAATACAGCCGTAACCGAGCGGGAAATGTAGGCTAACTTACATTTTACCACCCGATCGGTGGGGTTTAAGACGATGTCAGCGTTAGACATCTTCATGGGCAGTTGCTGTCCTCGAGGCTGAAGCGTTGGTCTCTCCCTCTCCCTTTCGGATCGGCTCTCGGTTTGGCTATTTCTTGTCGAAATGCGACTGATGCTGTGGCATCACTCAGATGATGCGCCCCCTCCGTGCGTCGGTGCTGCGCCCGGGTAGAAGTGCTGCTCCCCAGGCAGGGATGGATGCTGGCTGCTGGATGCTGGAGGAGCTGCTTCTGCTGCGCTAAGCTGTTAATGTGGGGGAGGATGAGAGAGAGAAGGAGGGAGGGAGAGGGAGAGGGAGGAAGAGAGAGAGAGAGAGGAGGGAGGGGGGTGTTCTATCCCGACATGGCGGTGGAGGGAACTCCCACGCAAATGTTTCACGGGACTGCCTGATGCTGCCATCAGATGGAGGCAGAGTTGGGGTTACCCCCACTGCACGCACCACAGTGGGGGCTGCGCCATGATCTGCGATTCTGGAAATTTGGTTACGCCCGATGAGGAGAGCGCATGAGCCACCGTTTTGGGAATGTTAATGTTGATCACAGTTACAGATGGACGATATACAATCAGTCCGCACGCGCACCTGCACGCGAACATTTGACGCTGTTGCGTTGTTTGCAAAGGAATTTCACTTGGTGGCGACAAACGAGCAGGTTTTATATACGTCGTATTTTACCAGGACAGTGTTCTGATATCAGCAGCGGAACGATGGACCCAGTGTGTTATTTTTCTGCGTGCAGTGAAAAGATCACTGAATGCATTTGGGGTGACGTGATGGTGTGCCAGTTTGGGTATGTCACAAACACAAACCACATTGACATTGACTTTGAATAAATGGCTCGCTAACACAAACTTAAAGTTCCACACAACTGAATTCCTTCCCTCGTCCACTGAAAATCCATCTTTAAGATCCACCCAGTGAGTTATAGTTACTCTGACCTCATAGATGGCCATATGAATCATGTTACCGTTAGGCTTTATGAATAAGCATCCCATTGTCAGAGGTAGATTTGAAAAGGTTTGGCTAAAGTCATTAACCATTATAAAAAGAAAACAAAAAACATCCCATCCATCCATTATCAATACCGCTTAATCCTTATATTCAAACACACAATTACAATAAAACGTTAGGACTTTATGATTGGATCTGGAACCATATGTGCATTGTCTTTATGAAATATAATGATTTAAACAGCATTTATAAACGTTTGCATTGTGTGGAGCCACTGCTTCAATGATTTTCACCCCCATTTTCCTTTCATTATTTAAACATGTCCTCTTTAAAAGAACTACCTTGGCTGGGTTGATGGAGACTGTGTTATATTTGGTATATAGGTATTCCATATATGCCCTACCTTTCTACATCTTACTCTCTTTTACAACATCCTCTGGGGCCGTTTGGCATGACCTGCACCTGGGGTCTTGTTCGGTATAGTAGACCCCAGGCTCTGTAGGTCATCTGTGTTGATGACTTGGGCTTTTTTATTTCAATTCAGATGATTCCCCAGGATCGGCCTTACTCTTTCCGCTGTGGCTGACTTCCATATGGCCTTCTCATCATTGCCATTTGCCTTCGGGATCCCGTGGTATTTGGAGCCATCCTCAACATCTGCTTTCATGCCCGCTCATTTATCCCCTTCAGCTGAGATCAACTTGCCTCTGTTTGATGTCATTTGATTGCATTTGTTGAGTGTAGAAGACATAGGCCTCAAAAAGAGGCACATCAGTGGTCCAATGTCTTACTCAGCATACAGCTTACTCTCATCCTTATAAAGGTTGATGACTGACAGCGCCTCCACTTCAGAACCAGCATCCATAGCCATCATTGTTATGTGGTTGGGGGGGTTTCATACAGTGAGGATGGAGCTCCTGCCAACATGCTGCAGTTGATATTAACTTGTCCAACTGGCTTGGGATAGGCCTACAGGGATGTCCTGCACAGTCTTGATGAACAGTGTTATTGTTTTGTTAGTGTGGAGTCTCAAGTTTTCCAGTATGTAAGTGTGCAGAATTGGATTGTAAGTTACTTGTAGTCCATTTAGGCGATGCAACGGTTTGGGATCTTAAAAACTACTGTACCCTTTGCTTATGTTCAATATGTGTAATCTCCTATCCAATATGATGCCTGACAACAGCTTTTATGTTGCACAAATGCAGTTCGCCATTCAACCCATTTGAGACTCTTTCTTGGACTATCTGCATCTGTGATGGTCACTGCTTGCTGTTCTGAGACATGCTGTGGTCAGCTCTCAGATACACCAACCATGGAACATTAATATTATACCACAGACTTGTCCAATATTAGGGTGTCTCAGCATTGGTTGGGATGAGTGTACACTTTGGATGGGTCAGTGGAGAGTCAGAGCCACCATAGCCACACTCAGGGTCAGTTGTAGACAAAAACAAACATGGTGATGGTGGAGAGTATCTGTCTAAATGGGATGAGGTGTATAGTTTAGCATACATTCACTTAGACTTTCTTTGAACAATTTGGTCATTTATGTTTGATATTTTTCTTGTTTACTCCCTTCGTGCAATACTGCACAACACTGACCCCAGAGTTTTCAGAGGTGCTGCTTTATTTGCTTAGTTTGGGTTTGGGTCCTTCAATGCATCTGCTTGTGAGGCATTACAGGATCACAATCCTTCTGTGTTCACATTGAAATAGTTTTCTCTGCTAGCAAACTCAGGTAGAGCCTGCTGCCAGCAACTAGCTAAGATCGCTGATGTTTTTTTGGAAAGAATGGTTTTTTGTCAAAAAAAGATGCAAACAGTCCAGAGTGAAGTGCAATATATAATTAGAATGGGACTAACAACATGTGAATATCAGTTGAAGTATGTGAACAACAATAGTAAATAAAGACTTACATTTTTAGTTCACTGGAGCTTTTTGAACAAATTGAGCCTTAGATTTAGGTTGTTCACTTGTACATTGAAGTATAGAAAAATAAATAATCAGCAGAATCTAGATATTAGCGAAAGGAAATTATTTCCACATATCGACATATCTGCACATCTGAAAAATTCTGAATGAAATTAAATCGCCCAGGTAAGTGCTGGTTGACAGAGTTTGTGGAAGCACAGACATAAGATTTCCCCCTGTACACGTGCAGTACTCAGATCTACCACTAGATGGCAACATCGACTTTATTTTGACTGCAGCAACAGCTGGCCCGAGCTACAGCTGCTCTTCAGCTTATGAAGAAACTTCTTCATTTAAGTTGGATACATTATTTATTTACCAGTTAAAAGATATCTAATCAGATTACACTTTTTCTTTCCTTTCCTCTTATTCCGAGAAAAAACAAACAGTAGATACTAAGTCTGAGCATGTCATGAGTGGCGGCATAAGTAATAAATAACTAGAAATGGAACCAGTGCTGCAAAAGTTTACACATAGTGTAACTGACTAATGACATCTTAAAAAATCCATGGCACTTCAAAGACTTTGCTGACAGAAAAAAGTCATAGGTGGGCATGCAGTAGTTGCCAATGTTACAGGGAATGACGAACCAACAATTTAGAGAAACTGATGCTCCATGTTTACAAACGGCACCAAAATGATATTTATAATGTATCTTCCATTATAGATTATACACATAACCAGCTGGATATTTTTCCAAAAAAAAAGGCATTCCCCTTAAATGACAAACTATAGAAAATGGTGACTCTCAGGGCATCGACAAGGGAAGGACAGACAGACCAGATTTTAAATGAAATGTACACAAGTGTAGCCTATTTCTTCAGTAGCTATGACGTAGTGGCAGCCACATTTGCTTACCAAACCTTCAAATACATTTTTTGATGGCATGCTGTCTTGGCACAATAAGACGAGAAAAAAAGAACCACAGAAGGACCTACTCAAACACAGTTTACTGTCGTTTCTCCAACTCTAAGCTCCCACATAACTGTCAAGCCACATTGTATTTGGTTCAGTTACATCACATAAAAGAGAACGTACTTTATAAGTACAAAATCCGAAAGTATGAAGACATGGGTACACCAATGTCTGTTGACTTAATACACTGACAGCCAGAGTCAGTTGTTACTGTACTTATAAAGCTATTTGAATGAGTTTTATAGAATGATGCAGGTGTGGGCAAGGACTTGTCTTTACTTATTTGACTCGGATGAAAGTTGGTATTAATAAACAAAATGTGTAGCAAGAAAAGAGAAAAACTCTTTCCACTATTTTGCTTCATAATAAGTTTCTTTACTGCCCACCTGGAGTCGGTTCTACCTTCTTTGTCGCATTTTTCAAATGGACACTGTATATTCACAGTGCAACAAAAGCTGAAGTTTCCTCCTGCCTCTGGCTGCATGTTCATGGCAGCTGATTTAATACACGAAGCTGCAACCCGCACAGACCAGTCTTATGGAAAAATGGGACATAGCACCTTATTTTTCATGGTTTGCCATGGGACTGGGTTCTCAAGTCGGCTGCTACAATAATAACACTATGTTTACTTTGTCCGCATTAATGCATTGAGTCTTACATGAAACGATCTCGATTTGGGCTGCATGTTTGTTGGTGCTACATAAATTAAACTTTTTTTTCAATTGAAACCACCCAATTTGCAGTCCTTTTAATTTGTTTTTTATTATCAATGTGTAGCAATCAGTCTGCATTTATACAGCTTAACTTGGCCCTACTAGCTTTTGTACAGTGTGTTTCCTAGTTGGCCATTCACACACTACGGGAGGCAGGCCTGACATGCCAGGTGCTCAGTTGCCATCAGGATCACGTTGGTGTTCAGTATCTTGCTCAGTGAAGCTACAAGAGAATCGAACTGCTAACCCTGTGATTGGTGGACAACTCATGATATTATCTCAGCCACTGCCCACCTAAAGGGTCCCCGGTGTTAGCAGAGAGCCATAAAAGTGCTTTGGCATTATTTGGTGTCAGCTGGGGAGGCTATGCTTGGTATGTCTCAGATGACACGCTCGCTATAGCATGAATATCAAAGTAAGAAGACATTATTCTGGTGTGCTCCAAGGCACAAATATACCGACCTGTACTTTCACAGCTCACTTACATTAACTGCTTACTCAACAGCTAAATGTAAGGCAACCTAACTGTGTTTCTCTGTGGTAACCAGCCACAGAGAAGCCAGAGAAGTATGTTTTTTCAAATAAGGGAATACAGCGGGCTGACTTAGTCTTTTTCAGGCAGTGAAATACACAAGTTGTTAAGTGTTGTGGTCTCGTAGGTTTTCGTGATCACTTTCAGGATGTGACCAAATGCAGGTCAGTATTTCATATTTGCTTGGATTTGGGGGTTAATTTTTTAAAAACATATAATTAATTTTTTGTTACTTCTGAACTGTGAAGATTAATTGATAGATTCTACTTTTGTGCAAGAAGGGAAACATAGACATTATGTAGAGTTACTATAACCAGCCTTCCAGAAATAGATTGGTTGTTCTAAATTTGTTGCCGTGATTCTTTAGAAGTCCGCTGCACTCGCAGCATTTTACAGTATGAGGATAAATCTGATGTTTGGTGTCTCTCCCTGCTCCCTTCATCCCTTACATACCATTTTTTGGGCCATCTTGCGGGGTTTTCCTACAACGCTGGCCATGTGTGCAGCTGGGGATGGAGACCATGCAATGCTAATCCTCCTCCCCAGCTCAGGAAAGTACCCTGCCTCCCTGTGCAGAACGAAAACAACAAAGAGCTGAGTGTGGCTGCAGCCTCCGGGGTTCAGTGCACCCACCAGAACATGTTCAAGAGTCACAGCTTGCTGCTCCCTCCTACCCATCTATCCATGCATGACTCTCCTTCTCTCCCCCTGCCTTCTCTCTTTGACCCTCTTTTCAACCTATGAAAGGCACATATGATTGCAGACGGCAAAGTAATATTCCTCCTTTTCCAGAGCTTAGATGGCAGACCTTAGAAAGGTCGAGAGGGCTGCTTTGCACATTATTACAAACGTGTGAAAGAATCTGGTCCTTATGTTTCACCCCAAGGGGGTAAGAAAGACATGGTCTAAACCCTTTAACTAACACACAGAACTAATAACAAAAAGGAAATGAAGTGCAAAGTATGACTACAAAACTTGACAAGAAGGGATTCCTTCCTTTCATTATCTTCCTGGGAAAAAAAAGCTGAAGTTAGCAAAAAAATCAAGAGGAACATGGTCCTTATTTGACTGTCACTTTTTTTCTCCTTTTAAACACGAATTACCAAATCACACACAGACGGACGCTTGTTTTGGTAGCTCCTGCCAATCACTTCCGGTTGAGATGACGTCAGACCAGCTGGGTGGTGATATCAGAAAACACAGCGTGTTGGTAACAGCCACAGCAGAAAAGTCTCATGAAGTGACAGCCCACTGGGAAAATGTAGTTTTCCTATCTGAAGGAGGAAGGTTTTTCATGTCATTGTATTCTAAAGCTGTGTATGTAAGCATAATGCTTCATTCTATTGAAATAATGTTTTAAATAACACCGTTGTAACAGAAGTAGTAGATTGTGAAACGACACACCCCAAGGATGAAAGGTAGACATGCAAATATATGCAACCTGAACCCATTTTCTTTTATGATTTTGCCAAAATATCAGGATGACTTGATACCATTCCCCCCTGTAGATATTTAGAGGAGTTTCAGTTAACAAACAGTATACTTAGGTATTTTAAGGATCATGAATTCTAAAACCAGCTTTTCAAATGTTCATACTCGTGATGTTATTGTTCCATCTCCTATTCGATGTCACCTGTGCTGTTGTGGAAATAAAAGCAGAGACGTAGTAAAACAACGTTGGGTAACAGACTGATTTATTTTAAGACGTGGTGTCGTCATAATCTTAAAGGCTTTTATATTCCTGAAATAACATTTTCTCTACGTGCGCTTTGAAACCAACTCCCGTGCGTAATTACGCATATGGTGGCTTTTTGACCTCTGTTTACGAAGTGAGTGTCATTTTTGTTAGAATGCATTTATTTGCAGGGGAGCTCGCTTGGCCACGGGCAGAGTTTGTTGAACACCACCCCCTCTTCTCTCTTTCTCTCTTCAGCTGCCGCGATATTTTCCAGCTCTGGAGCCTCAACCGCACAGCTCGATCGATTCGCATTGATTGTCCCTGACGAGCTGCTCCACTTTCTAGCCAATGTCAGCCAGTCTGCGATCGGGAAGGAGAGAAATGAAGGAAAATCTCTGCCGCCCTGGCGGTGTCATTTCCACACACTTGGGTTGGCCGCCTGCCAGCAGACAGGACAGTCGAAAGAAATGGAGTGGACTTTGGTTTTGAGCGAGAGGAGGAGGATTTTTGTCTGCTTTGCACGGTATCGTTTGTTCTTTATACACATTTGCCGATAATCTTGGTCCACTTGGATTATACTTCCACTACCCAGCAGCATTTTTCGACGAAAATGTCACTCTTAAAAGCACAAGTTAGTTACAGACTAATGCGTTCACCCCACATCGCCTCTCATCGGGGCACTTTTGTGCCTTAAACTATTCGGATATTGTGTAAGAAAAACTTGAACGACCACTCCAACACAATGTTACAGGACATAATGTCGTTTTGTTTAGCTATCCCCCCATAGTTTAGTTTCGAAACACCCCCTCAGCTGTCCTGAAATCAGACCGAGCCGCTCTCTCGCCGGGCGTGCGCCTCGCGCAAAAAAAATCCAGTTCACTTTTTCCGCGGAGCTCCAAAAATCTATGAAATGTGTTTGCATGTTCCTCTCTGCAAGCGGGGATGTAGAGGTGGGATTGCAAGGACCGAGAAAGCTCGGGGAACCCACGCGTTCAGACGCTGAGAAAGTACTCTTTTCCAGAATAACTTACGGTAAAAGAAAAAAATATTTCCACAATTGTCATCAACAGTCAGACACTCCGCCGGATTGTGTTTTCGGAGAAGAAGCCGCTTTTTCTGGCCCCTTTCCTATTTTTTTTGTGGTCACCATTCGGCAGGGCAGGCTGAGATACGGACCGCTCGGACTGTGGCAGCAGCCCTCCCGTCTGCTCGGAACTGCTTTGGTAAGTGCTAATAAAACGGGCCCGTGTCTGCAAATATGCAGATACGCGGATGAGGAGGGAGGAGGCGTGGGACGTGAGGGAATCATACTTTGTTGAAGTCTGTTGAAAGTTGGGATGTCACCTTCATATAGGATCAAGTTGGATCGGGGTGCATCTGTGTACCCTCAAATGCGCGACAGCAGACCATATGCTGGTACCGCAGACTGGCCAGTGGGTTCCACTCTGGACAAAAGCTTCCCTCCCGTGTTCAATTTAGTCTTTGTTGGAATAACACGTTTGTCGCTGACCGTCAGCGTTTGCTGCTGTTTTCACGGTGCCGAAATGAAGATGTATTCCAAACCGCTCGTTTTTAAACCCAACCTTTTCCCAGTAGTCTGGCCCCAGCATGGATCGGCACCACAGGACAAAAAGTCCAAGGGTGTGTTATTAATCAGGTGCTGATAAGGCGCTCTGAAGTTCACTCTTCCAGTTACTGGTCGCGCATTGTTTTTGACACAGTCTCCTCGTAACGTAAACTTTTATTTACGTGCCATCCCTGAAGATAAACTCAATGAATAAGGGTCTGTTACGCGACCTGTAACAGACTCAAACAAAAGCAAATAAGATTACACACATTTCTATCCTCTTTTGCACTACTAGGTTGTTTTTTTTATTCCGTTAGATCACCATTAGGAAGTTGCCAGGTAGCTTTTGACGCGCAACCCCACAGATTTACAGTCGCTCCCCTTCTGGCTATCCGCCACCTATAGCTGCTCCAAGTGCTCCATATGTATGCGAAAGATCTGGATTCCCACTATTTTCGGCATGATTGTTTCTCTCCCTCTAACTTTTTTTTTTGTGTGTGTGTGTGTGGAGCCTACATAGTCTAATTAGGGTCAAGAAGGCGCAGCGGGTTATGGACGAAGGATAAAGGCTGGGATCTAATTATTATTACCGGGGCTTTTTCTAACCTCCTCTCTGTCTGTGCGTGTGCGCGCGTCAGTCGATTAGAGGTTGAGGGGGGGGGAGCTCACCCCAGACAAGTCCAAACTCTGCAGACAGCGCGCCTGAGGTGTGCGCGGCTCCAGCCCATGCGGACGCTCTTCCCGCGTCTCCTGAGGCGTCTTCAGCTGCTAAAAGGAGCAGAAAATGATTCACAACCGTGCCGCGGAACCGACAAAGCGTTTCCCACCCTCGTTAAAATAAAAGGCTGTTACCTGGCACCTGCGCATGTAGTGACGTCAGTGACGGAAACTCATTCAGGACCGCTCTGGCGATTCACACATGGGCGCGTGCGGTTCAAGAAGCAGTGGTTATTGTATGGCACCTTTTCCACTGTTGACTTTTTTCATGGTGATTTGAGATCTGTGATTTTAATTAGTAGGAGAATTTAGTTTTTCAATTATTCAGGAATAGCGTTAGGAAGCGAGCATGGTATTTTTAAAAATATGTTAAAGGATTACATCTTCAAAACAAAAGATTAGACCCGAACCGGGTTTAAATGCTTCCTTTCTTTGCCTTTCCTCCATCAACTATTGACTGAACTAAAATCAATGACTGAGCTAACCAACCATTCATCCATCAGTCAGCTGTCACTGTATTTTGAGCTGGCATTCATTTGTGTACACACGCAGTTTTTTTTTTTCTTCAGATTTTGGCACCTAGACACAACAGCTGGTGTGGAATCAGACACGAAACATCAGTTGTCTGTTTGAGATAACAAACCTGTTGGCTTTAAAGCTATGTTAAGCTAAGAGCAGCATGTGAAAAGGCCTGTATGCAAGCACCGCTGTGCGGACAACATGGACCTGTAGCAGTGGAGTTGTAGGTAACCTAATATTGCTGTATTTCAATGCTAAGTTTGTTAAATGTTGAATAAAGCCAGATATTTTTTGTAGATGTTGTAAAAGATACCAGTTTTCATGTAATATTAAAACAGAGTGGGCGCCGATGATACCCAAAATCTTTGCTACACCTTTCTTTGACTCACCATTATGATCAAATTTGTCAGGAAAATACTTATATTTAGAATATATGTGTGTACTAAAAGGTCAAATGGAACAGATTTGGCATTTTTAGAGGAATAGCTTGTGCATCTCCCGTTCTTCCTAAAATTGATCAACTGATGGACATTAGTCATATGTTTATGGCTGAGAGAAGACACTGCTAAAGTAAAAGGTTAATTCACTCTCTAAGTTTTTTTTTGTTTCAGGCAACGTGCAGAAGTCTTGCAAATGGAAATACAAAACTCCCTGCACATAACGCGATGAGAACATGCTTCACAAAGCAAACGAAAGCGAAAGGTTAGACTGGGAAATGTTTTAGGTCAAATTATTAATTCATTTTTTTGCTCGGGAAGGTTTCCACCTGAGTGAAATGATTCAGGTAGCTCCTGTAGCTGTATGACAACAGCTACAGGAGCAGGTTGAATCCGGTTACTGCTCTGGTTTTAGATCTTCTCCATTGCATTCCGCACTGGGACAGTCTTTATGAAAGAGAAGGAGGTTCAAATTTTGATCCGTTTACATCATGGGTGACGTGCCCCAGCACCATTGTTTTATGTTTTGAGAAACAAAGCGGTGATGCAATTTGGGATTCACATTGAACGCTGAGCAGGAGCATGAATGCGAGCATTTATTAGACTCATTCTGGAGTTTAAACGAGACGACGCAGCAAGAAGAGTTACTGCGGGGCGCCCAGTGTTCTGTTGGCCGGCCATGTCTGGAGCAGCTGTAGTCTCAGCACAGCAGAACCACGCTGCACACAGGTGTGAGTGCAGTTCGTCTCACCTCCATCACTCTCTTATCCTCAATAGTTTCTCTTTTACATCTTTCCCTCACCTCCTGTTGTTTGTTTTTTATCCAACAGAACATTGTTCTGAACAGCACAAAAGAAGAGGCAACACGACTGTTTCTGTTCTGATCTGCCCATGCTGTTTTTTCATTTGCATGTGTTTGTGTTGTTTAATTTTGTGATGTTCCATTCTGGTCAGTACTTTGGGGAAAAAAACAACTCTTTCTGAAGTTTTTTCTTTTGATTTTGGCACTTGGTCACACGAATATTGATTATATAATTTGTTTCGATGGCTATTTAAAAGATTAAGGCTGAATTTACATGTAAATGTACTAATATATGCGCAGCACGCGAAAGTGAGTGGGACAGTACTGGAGACTGTCTGAAGCTCAATTAACGTACCACCTGCCACCCTATAAAAGTTGTTAGGGAGGATGGAAAAGTTGCTAAATGTAGCTACAAAGTTGCTAATTGGAAATGGTAAGGTGTGCTTAATTTTTGATACCTGAAGAATGGAAATTTAGTAAGTATCTACAAAACAAACAGCTGAATATTTGCCTAAATAAGTTTCCTGTTATGGTCAAAAAGTAAGCTTTATTAGCTCACCTCTCTCAAGTTATCACTGGCTCCCAGAAAAAGGGCTGATAAATATCAACAGCATTTCATTGCAACTAGTTGGAAGAAAAATGCCATTTTGCTTTTTTAAAGGTTCAGTTTTTGACTAAAGCAAGTTTCTTCAGAGATTTTCTTTCCAGTTTGGCATTTTTTAAAGTTTGAATAAGATTGGTACAGCTACTCAGTGACACAGCAGCTTAATTGTTGGGAAACGCAGACACCATCTCACCAAGACACCAAAAGTGGTCCCAGTCCACGTCTTGGTTTTCACAGAATACCAACAACATTTACAGACGCATTTGGAGCTTTTTATTTCACCCCCCCCAGTTGGTCAAAAACATTTAATGATTTTTTTCAACCATTAACGGTAAATTAATCACCCTGCGCTCAAATAAGCTTTCATGAAAGTGCAGAGAAACTGTGGCTGTAATGATGACAAGGCTTCAAAGAAAAGCTAAAAAATGACACTGCCTCGCAGTGGCAGTTTGCCTCCTGCAATTTGAGTTTACTTGAACAGGAGACCACCAATTATATCTGTGGATGCTTTGATTACAGGTTATCAGGATGGGCCAGGGTTCTAAAATCTCCCGCTGAGCTCTGTCGTACGTCTTCTAAAAATGCATCATTCATGTAGTTGCTTGATCACATTTGTCTTTTAGACCATTTATACCCTGGTCTTTATCTCCGGCCACTAATCCCGCGCAACACGTTGTGTCGAGATAGAGAAAAATCAACAAGGGAGACCAGGGAAAATATCAAGCACAGCTGGTATTTATACCTGTCTTTTTGTGCAGGCGGCATAACGGAAATGTGACTTTTGTCAGCTTTGATATGCGACGGCTAACGAAAAGCACTTGTCAGACTCATTCACAAAACCTTTGCCGGAAAGCTCTCTTTTTCAGCCGGTGCATTCAGTCCGTATGTAGCGGGTAATTAAATGAACATGTTTACAGAAGGAAACGTCACTTGTTGTTTTTCAGCAGAGTGAGTTGCTGTTCTGCATGAAGAGACGGTTCACATGAGGACATAAAGCCTCTCTCTGAGCGAGGTGGCGAGGGTGTCATAGGGAGGAAGTGGAAGAGAGTGATTAGCGAAAGACTAGATGCCATGCTCAGAGTTTGTGATGATAGAGACAGTGTGACGGATAGAGCAGATGTGCATAGACACTGCTCTTGAGGATTGATGTGAGGCTTAAATACCACACATGCCCCAGCTATAGATTTTCACAGAGTAGAGAATTTGTCGTAACTGATAAAATTCAGAAACGTGAGAAACACAAATCGGGGCACAGCTTTTTAATGTTAGACTGCTTTCTTTAATTGTTGTGATATTGCTTCTTCAATTTTGCCCAGCAGCAATATTTTGATGTGAAGATAGCAATAGTCATTTTCAGTGAAAGGTGTGAGTTCTAAGTCTTAGGAGAGCAGCCGTTGATCATAAAACTTGACCAATATTTGATCTTAGATTTTGCTAAGTAGGTTATTGGATTTTTATTCTTTCTTTACTTGTTCAGTCACTCTTGGTTATGTTTTAGAAAATCAGTCATTTCTAACTGTGAGTGCTTGAACAGGACAGTTGGTATGTAATGAGTAGAATCCCTCCCAGTTGAAATGGAGATCCCATATTAAACATATAAAGGTAATCTTACAGATTACAGATTGTCATTACAACTTGGTTACATTTTTTCTGTTGTTTTCCTGATGTTACTATGGGGGAATTGTCACATCAATGCAGTCCACATAAAAAAAAACACTTGGAGGATCAACAAAAATGAAAATGATCTTATCCAGATCATTTTAAAGGGGTGCATTTAATCCCCAACTATAAATTTAATAACATCCAGAATCCATAAAAAGGTGTGATGGTTTTGCATGATTGGCACAAAAAACAAACAGTAACCGAACTTGAAATATTTTATACATTTTTTTTAACTTGAAAAGAAGAATCCAAGTCGAATGTACTGTTTACTTTTGCATTTGCCCCAAAGTCTTTATTACAATGATCTTTAAAAGCTAAATGTGAAATAGTTACACTGTGTAATTAGAAAATGGCCATGTGCATTAAAATAACTTCAACGGCCATAGAAGGTACAACTTGTGGTTAGTACACGCCTGGAAAGTATTTTCCTGGTGATCGTCATGTTTTCGTAAACCAAACTAGGTAGATTCTTTTTCCCTAAAAGAAAAAAGCAACTAAAACAAAAAAAGTGTGACGATGATTTATGACATGAAACCTAATTACAGGACTCTTAAGGCTTCTGTTACTAATTCGTGTTTTTTTAATCATTCCATCGCCCAGACATGGACATTAGTGGCCTATAAAAGATGCTGATTTCAATAACTATTCTGCATGCTGAAAAAAGATGTCGGGTTTTGACCGGGCAGTATGTTATGACTTAGAAGTGAGAATGTGTGAGACAAAAGTGTCTCAGTAAAGGATTAAAAGTTGGATCTATGGATCTCAAATGAGTGATAATCTAAAACTAATGTTCACCTAAAAACTTGTGTTAATTGAACTAAACTTAAATATTTTACAAAGGAAAAAAAGAAATGCAAAAGTTCCTGCAGCATCGTTTTAGCTCGGGTGTCAGGGGACTGAGGCAAAGAAAGTCAGAAACACCCCTATGAAGTGCCGAGTGACATGAGTGTCATCAAAATTCATTTGGAAGTTTATCTGTGTTTTGAAACCCCCCGTGTCAGCGCCAGGTCAGCTGTTCTGTGCGAGTGGGATAATGGTGGTCTGCCTGAATCGCTGTGCTACAGGTCATTAGTCACACCGTGAAAGCTGGTTCTTATGAGCTGCTGTTTGTTTCCAACTATAGATAATGAGGCAGTTTATTAATTATGCAGGATACTTGAGTCTTTTTGGCATATTTACTCAAAGCATACATGAATCGGTTGGTGTTTCACATTGTCATTAGCCAACAAATGATTTACTAAACTATTCAGATTTAGTTTAATCGTAGCCAGCGTCCTACAGACCATGTATATCATTACATTTCCAAAGATCAACATTTAGGACTAACCACTAAGTGGATCATTTCTTGTTTCCAGGATCCCAAAAAACCCACAAAGCTCCCATGAATCACTTTGATGGTTCCCAGTGCTCTCCAGCCACAGTGGAACACAGATGCTCTTAGCATTGAGAGGCATTTGGGAAACCGGACCCTGGTCAGTGCAGTAGTGGGAGAAACTGAAACTATGGGGCTGAGGGGCTGCGGAGCTGGCTCTGCTTCGCTGGCGCCACATCCCTCTGAGCTGGTGAGAATGTGGGGGCTGTGCTTTTGCCTTTGAAGCTTTACCTCCCACTAATTCTGGCCTTCCAATTTCCACACACCGCACAGACACCCCCTTCCATCCTCTTCCCCTCCCTTTCCCTTTGTTTCCCTTATAAGGACATGCCCGGTCATTTCCTCGGCTTTTCTGTGGGAGGTGGTGTGCTTGTTTGTGAACACGGACAGGTCAGAAGAATGGCATAGTTTTTCTTTTCACAGCGGTCACGGGAATCTTCTGCTCCGTGCACACGTCTCTGTCCTCAGGAGTCACTGACTCAAAGCCCCCCGAGCTCTTCCCATCGTCCGAAGGACCTCATCTAATGTAAATTAAATGTCCTCCGTAAAACTAAAAAAAATATTGAGCCGACTGTTCGAAAAATCCCCGTGAATATATCGGGGAGGCAAATCCAAAGGCCAGTTTGACGGTTTTTAGCAGGCTTCACCGGTTGCTTCTAAAAAGGGAGATATTTTTCTGTTTTTACCATCAGTCAGCAAGACTGTAACGAACTGACTGTCAACAAATGCAACATTTTCTGAGTTCATTTAACTGTGACCTGGTCAAAACACTTTGACTGATGCCATATTAAGTTAAACTCAAAAGAAAGTTCAACAGGTTTAAAAGGTTAATTTTCAAAGTTAGTGTCCAAACTGTCTGAACCTCAAAATATTTTCTATAGATGGAGCTTGATAGTCTTCGAGGAGAATGCAAAGCAAGCGTCCCTTCACTTGTAATCCATTTTCATTTACAGAGAGAAATTTCTGTCCTCTGTACGACTTAATTCATTACATTTTATTATATTTAAATAGCAGGGATTTGGCTCGCTGCTTTGTAATTTTCTTGCCAACGAATCAGGGAAGCTGTGGGGTGTTTCTTCATGGTTTTGGAGAGAGTGGAGTTTGATTAGTGGATTGTTGTGTTAAGAAAGAAATTAGAGGTATTATGAAAACTGATTTTCTAAGGCTGCATGTGAAGTGAATACTGGCAGAGCTTTGTCGGTGTTCCTCTTTAATTAAACAGGTTGAGCATTTAAAGATGATTCATTACAGGTTAATTCATTTAGCCTTTTTTGCCATTTTTTAAAATAATTATTATTCTTAGATTAATTTATCAGACTGAAGCTGGTTCCAACTGAAACAAAGTTTGTTTGTTTTTTTGCTGATTGCTAGTATTCAAAGGCCTGGAAAGTTATCAGACAAAAACACAGAGAAAATGTATTGATGGGTAATTTTTTAAGTCAAATGCTGTGTCAGGAGCAGCATGTTGGGATTTTCAGCTGCCAGCACTACTTATGAAGTGATTCAGATTATTAGTCTGAACTTTTCAAGTTGCCATGACTAATGAAAATTATAACTTAAACTATTTCCAGTTTCCACATGTGATTGTATTTAGTTTTCAACCTGGTCCTTTTTGCAACCGCATTAATCTTCAAATTGCTCTTCCACTTATTGGCTGCCTGGTCTGCACTGTTTTTCGTTCATTGTCTTCATGTTGTTAGTGATGTTCTTTAGCCACACAGCTCAGTATGTTAGCAAAAATGGCCAAGAAGTATTAAGTACATGATTCTGCAGCACCGAACAGCAAAGTAGCACACGTCAAATAATCATCTATTAGAAGCAAAGGGGAAACAATCAATATAGTGTATATGAAAATTGAATGAATTAGTTCATTATTTATTATGGTAAATCATTTTCTGTTGAAAAAAAAAATCTAATCATTATTAGTGTGTAATGTACACTCTTCTGTTCTCTCCTTGTGTGAAGTCTCCCGATGGCCCCAAAACCAAGGCGGATGAGGGCTGAGCTGTAGTGAGGGCAGAAGGCTTCGGGGGCCTGCCTGTCATTGGCCGGCTGATTGGTCCATTTAGGTGAGGTACCACTCTCACCGGGGCGAGGAACGGACCGACAAAGAGCTCTTCCCCCGCTCACCCCCTGCCCCCCTTTCCACCCTTACCCCCCAACCCAGGAACGAACGCTCTGGACCATGTCTAGCAGGCTGTCGGAGGGGGCTCAGACGGAGGACCTGGAGCGGAGTAGCTGCAAACCGGACTCTCCTGTGGTAGAACGCAGGAACCGCAGCGGCATCATCAGCGAGCCCCTCAGTAAGAGCCTTAAGAACTCTCGCACCCTCTCCCAGTACACAGCGGTCTCCTCCGCCACGACCAATGGACACACGGATAGCAGCGCGGCGAAGAGCCACTCGGCCAAAGCGCAGCCGCCCCCGCCGCCCCAGCCCACGGTCTCTGCGCTGACCGCAGCCAAGCTGGACCGGACCCTGGAGCAGGTTCTGGAGGGACAGAATGGCTTGCTGCACTTTGCACAGGCGGCAGCGCTGTTAAAGAGAGCCGGCATGGAGCACATGCTCCTGCCCGGGGGCATGGGAGTGGGAGTTGGCGGTGGAGACGCGGGCTCGGGGGCGAGCGACTTGGAGGGTACGTCTGTCACGGATGCCGTAGGTGGCCCTGTCGACTTCCCATATGGAGTAGGAGGTGGCTTCCCCTTCAACCCGGGGCTTTTCATCATGACGCCGGCTGGAGTGTTTCTGGCGGACAGCGCACTGCACATGGCCGGCCTGGCCGAGTACCCCGCACAGAGCGAGCTGGCCTCCGCTATCAACTCCGGTAAAAAGAAACGGAAACGCTGCGGCATGTGCCCGCCGTGCCGACGGCGGATTAACTGCGAGCAGTGCAGCAGCTGCCGAAACAGAAAGACAGGCCACCAGATCTGCAAGTTTCGCAAATGTGAGGAGCTGAAGAAGAAGCCCTCTGCTGCTCTGGAGGTAAGAGGGTGGTGGTAGTCAAATGCTGTTACTTTCTTCATTATTGTCTGCTGTTTAAAAAAAAAAAAAAACACATTTATTGTTTTGAGCCATCCCAAATGCTCCAAGTGGAAAACAATACATCCCACATGAGACTTGACATTTGGAGTTGATCCAAAAAAACCATCAGAAAAGTTTGAACTTGATCAAATGTCAAGGAAAAGAACAAGTATGGGCCCTGAATGTCTATTTTCTTGAACAAAATAGTTTTTCTCTGTTTCTTTTTTTTTTGTGGGATGATCTCACAGGGGAATGGCAGGTTGTGAGGAGCGTAGTGGTTGTGTTCAGGGCCGGTATTCTCGATGCAGGCTCTTTAATCTGAATGGGCTGACCACACAAATACCATAGCTACAACTTTTAGCAGGAATCCTCATTTAACTGCACAACACAGGGTCATAGTTTTTCAAAATGAAACGTTCATTCAAATATTTCCTGCACGTCCTCCTTGTGCTTGCCTTTGCGGAGGAAATGTAAATAAAATAGTCTCGTGTGGAGGTAGAGTGGCAGTAATTGCGAATGTGATTGTGAATATGTGTACAGTATGTGCTTGCATGTCAGTATACATGTGTGGGTATGTTTGTGTGCATGTAATGAGGACCATCTGGCTACAGAGCATCATCTGGAGCACCAGGTGTCAGTGTGGCACATGCACCCCCCTTCCCCTTTTTTGCTGCCCCTGTCCCTCTCCCCCCTGTGACAGTTCTGCTCATCTAAATGGCCCTCCACACTTCCTGTCTGTTACCCTCCATCACACTCAGTGGCCTAACAAACCCTGGCTGTGGTGACAGAATGACCAATCATGAAATCAATCTCAGCAGATGTTCCATCTAAAAGGAAACAAACTTCTATGGATAATGGTGTCATTTTGCCATTGCATAATGAATTGACGGACGTGTAACATTGCGTGAGCATAAAACAGTGCAGGGGCCGCTGGTGTAGCTGACACAAACAGGATCCATGCCTCAAACTGCTAATGGCTTTACTACCATCTCTTTCGGACGTTGATTGGGAGTGACAGCTTGGCCTCATGCTCACAAGCTGAAAGGTTAGTTGTGCAGTTGGGCTGATTTGGGCCGTCCATTATGAAATGCTCCTCAATGGATTATGTGTTTATTAGATGCATTTAAGTGAGTCTTTTTTGAGTCAGCGTGTGATGTCTATTAAGATATTAAGTGTGTAATAAGCACAGCTCAGCTTGATGTGCCGATTTTCATGGAAGCCTTTAGTTCTTCCTTTAATTAATTGTGGATGGATGACTTGAGAAGGTTGACTTTTTTAATTGATGAATGTCATTTTTAATATTAACATTTATTACTATAAGTATGGCAAAGGATCTTTCAGAAAGCCCTTATCAAACTCAAACTGAGAGCTCTCATTTTTGTGCCTGAGCCCAATGAAACCTTGAGCCCACTGTTGTCACACCACATCCACAGTAATATTTTCCGTTGCAGTAGGTGTATCGGATCAGGTGATGATTCTGCTGTGTTGGGCAAATATTTGGCCACCCCCGGTCAAAATGTCTGTGAGAAGTTAAGTGAGGAAAAGATGACCCCATCTCTCAAAGGTCCAGAGATAACACATTTTCTTAATACTTCATGGATTATAACATTACTATTTTCTTCCTTAGAGTTCTAGAAAACAAAGCGTGTAAGTACTAACTGAAGCAACATATCCAGGTAATAGCTGCAAATATTGTTGTGTCTTTTGGGCAATTTCTGGGCTTCTTTCCTGCAAAAGGTTTCTATATTAAGAATCTATGCATTTGTATGCATATAGATTGGTTTGGAAAACAACATTTGAAAGCCTGCTAGAGTTATAGCAAAACTAAAAACCTACGTGTTCATTCTGCCCAAAATGTTTTGACCCAACTTCATCAGTTTGCAAAGAATCGTTGCTTATTATGCATCATCACGCGCAACTGAAAAGTGGACCACCAATGCAGAATCTGATCAGTCATAAGGTGTCTTGCAGTTAGTGTTTGGCTGTTTTAATTTTAGCTCTTCTTTCAGGAGTTTCCTTGTTTTTCTAGACTTCAGCTGTCATTTCTTTGTTATAACACGCAGTGACACGATCAGTCAACACCTGACTTGAGAAACAGGTGGGCCAAGCAAGCCCTGGCCTTCACAGTGCATCAAAACAATAATATATTGAGGCCAGAAATCTTACCTTAAGCTGTATTACTACAACTACTTCTCATCAATTCAAGTGATGCTCTCCCTTTTCTTCCTGTATGGCCTTGTGTGTAAATGTGGTACACATTAAGCTGATATCATATGGTTTCTGCCATGCATGTTTAAAACCTTCTGACACAGCAAACTGGCCTTTGTTGAGCTTTTTTGTCTTAAATGCTCCCAATAATTGCTCTTATTTGTTAACTTTCCTTGTTCCCTAATAAAAAATGTAGTTAGATTATTAATGGTACATTTGTATGAGATCTATTTATGTCACTTTGTACTTACTGAGGTTATGCGACTATGACTCCTCCTGCATGGATGGAAGGCGGATTATGTTATCAAATGTAACAGGAACATGAGAGTGAGCAGAGTGAAATCAAAAGTTTACTAATGATTTGAACATGCTGGGCCCTATTGTGGCTGCGTAAACAATAGTTATGCCTGTGAAAATGTAAAACTGAAGAAACTTCAACTGGCTAGGGGAGCCTGTGAGTTCTAACCATTTGGATATGGTTTAAGAAAGCATAGCATTTGCAAATCATGGATTTTTGCATCGCCTGACCTTTTCTTAGCCTGACTGTGGACAAGATGGAGTCTCACAAGCGGTTAGGGCCTGAGACTTCGGATAAAGGCAAAGCTCAATTCTCACTGGATGCCTGAAACGTCCTTAAATGTTTAACACATGCCTGTTGTTAGAAATAATGTAAATAATAAATTAATCAATAATCGACTGAATTAATCGTAGAAATCCAAATGTAACCTAAACTTTTGCTTGTCAGTATATATGTTGTTCAGAGGGACCAAAAATCTATGTTTTTACATAGTTTTTTCAAATTTGCACTATAACTTTGGCAGTTCTTGTGGCAAACGTCTTTACACCCACAGGTCTAAATTTAAAAAAGAATTGTGCAGTAGTTTCCAAAAAATTCTACAGTGTACATAAAGATTGTATTATTGCATAATCCTAGAGAAGAAATCTCAGGAATTTAAGTCGCGCTGAACTAAAAGAGTTATTTTTCTGGGACCTCGGGGACTAATGAAGCCAGATTCTCAGGCTTGAGAATCACTCATACTTATGAACATTTTTTATTTTGATGTTGTATTCATGAGTTGCAAATTAAAGAGAAGATTGATCTGTCTCATTTAATGAATCAGAAAAGTGGTTGAACTATGCCAGTTTACTTTGTATGTACTTTGAATAAATATCTGTTATAAAGGGGTTTAGTTTGAGAGTCTGACTTGCAATTGATGTTGTCATGGCAATTAGTCCAGAAGCACTTTTTCACAATACTGATGCCAAATTAAAGCACTCTTGAATATTCATGAAAGTTGATAATGACACAGGTCAGCACGCTGCTCGTGCTGGCTTTCAGCTTCCACACTGCCAGTGGCTATTTAATATGAAATAAGCGACAGAAAAAACCCTGCAAGATATACCTTTTATTACCTATTTTAGCCGTTTTGGATTCTGTTAATCATCTTTCATGACAACATTTAAAACTCAAACATGCTAATTTATGCGATGGATCTGTCAGGGACCAAGAACTGGCTACAATTCCTTTCTTTTTTTTGTTACCTGGGTAGAATTTTCTATTATGCAGTGGAAAACGTGGCCTATTTTTAAAATGTTAAACAAACAATGTGCAGCTGAAGTGTTGAGTCAAATTCTGTACGATATTTAACAGCTCGGAGGTGTTAAATATCCTAAGGTGTTTACATGGGATTTCCAATGAAAAGGTGACAAACACTGATACCAGAGGGAGGATATCCTGCTCATCTATTCAGCTTTAACCCCAAACACCCCAAAATCTCTTGTTGTATGTTTGCATCCTCAAAAAAAGATTGTGGATTGCTTCCTTTACGTTTTACAGTTGGTATTTAACAGATGTGACATAGTTGGTAACCTGTATGGTGCTCCGGGACAATACATTTGCTCAAAATAAGATTGATGTTCTCCATCTAACAGGGATCTTTAAAGTAATTTGATAGTTAACCCAAACATTGACCGTCTTCCTCTGCATGGAGCGGTGACAATAAAATAAATTTGTTCTATTTTCTTTATTATGTACTCCATTAATAGTCTAGTAGCTGTCTCAACAGGCTTTGTTATTAAGTCAACAGCTCTTGTTGAGCAGGTGATTAGATCAGAGAATACAGCCGCCTGAGCCGCATTGTCAGGGAGTGTGATGTCACCGGTGTGAGCTAAATGTCAGAGAGTGAGGTTCATGGAGAATGAGGGCAGAGATTAGCGAATCGGTTCCGAATCACAAATGACAAAACTGTCTAGGTTATTAAGATAACAATTCAGATGCCAAATTGCTTGTTGTGTTTTCTTAAAATTGGCTTCTGCAGGAGAGATTTCTGTTCCCATCAAAGGCTTTGATGCATATTCAGAGCGACTTGGACACCACCTGCGCCAAAGCAGAAGATCTCCTGGCCCTCAGAATCCCAGTGAACGGCAGTGAGCCTCAGCTGTAGCTCAGACAGCCCCAGAGCGTCACATTTCCCTCCAATCAAAGATGGAAGGGTACATCCCCATCTGCTGTGACGACTACATCAGTGTGTGCTTTCAAAAGGGGCATGATCTCTTATTCAGCATGAGTCTTGAGGTTAGTTTGCTCCCTGCTTTTGGATGCATTTGGGTTAATCTAAATATCCACAGTGGCGAGTTCGAAGACTGCAGGAATATATCTTTGCTGTTTTTATTTATTTGTTTTTTTTTATACACTGCATTTGCATTGAAAGTTGTTTGGATTTTTTTTTTTCCTTGTGTTTAAATGAGGCCGTGAGCGTATGCACGTTGGTACATAAGTGCAGTCCTGCAGCACTGTGCTTATTTTAAGGGTGTTGATGGTTTCCATTGAAAGCTCATGGCAGCTCAAAGAGTGTAAAATTGGCAAGTGAGGGGGAGTTAGCATGCTGAGGCCTTTGCCACCTCATAGCTCACTGGCTGAAGATGTCTGGATTTATTCTGGGAATGTTACATTTGAGAAAAATAAGTGGGAAGGCAGTTCCTCTCAGCTCTATGTCTAAATACCCTCCAGGGGTGTCAGTCTCAGCGATGCTGTTAAGTGCAAAAAAAAGAGGCAAAGTCAGGGTTTGGAAGTCGCACTCTGCCTTGTTTTTACCTGAGTAACACAGTTCTTTAAGGAAGCACTTTACCGGTGAGTGGCTAATATCCAATATAGAGCTAAAATGTGATGGGGACAAGAGCTGCGTTTGCTTTTTCTTGTGGAGTAGGATATTCTGTGGTTAAAAAATGTAGGTTGTGCCAAAGACTCCGCTTGTTTGTCATTAGACACAGCTAACACCTGAACGCTGTGTTTTCCTCGGAGACCCACTTTGCCGGCGTCAGATGCTGATATGGGAGTACGGTATTCCCTCATGGTCTTTCCTGGCTTCCAGACACCGTACACCAGACAGTTAGGACAGCGGAGACTCATACAAACTGACAGGCATGCAGACTGACGCCCAGATACATGGATGTGTGGGCAAGTTGCTGGGCAAACGGAGGGACAAGTAGGAGTTAACGGGAGGTTAAGGAAGACGGAAAGTAGCGGAGAGATGGCAGTGAAGCAGCAACTGGCAGGGTAGACTGATATGACTGCATTAAGCTAAACAGTAAGAGATACAGTAGCTTTTTAAAAAACATTTTTTAAATGAACTGATTTGGTAATTTAATAGTCCAAAGAGTTGTTATGTTTCCAATAACAGTTGATGTCACATCAGTCTTTCTTATATGGTACTTTTATTAATAACTGAAATGTGTTGTGTAAAATGAAACAAGAAATAAATGTTTACTTCATGGAAGAAACTACAAGGTTATATTTTTTTAAACCCAATTAAGTCGTGGATTTTTTAAAAATATGGTGGAATAAGTCATCCCACTTAGCTCTGTATCAAAAGCAAATATTTTCTGACTCCTGTTGCTCAGGAATTGTCTTTTCCTTTATGATATATCAAGATGTTGGCCGGCTGTACAAGTTGAACAAGGGAATCATCCTAGGGCTGTCTGAAACAAATATTATCTCTTATCTTTTTTGGATTAAAAGACTACTTGTGAAAATAGTCATCATATGAAATAATGCCTCTTGCATTCCTGTTTAATGAAACGCATTCTGAGGTATTGCTCCAGCTTTGGCTGCAAGATGTAAGAAGATAAATCAAATCAGTGTGTTAGAATATCAGTGAAAACCACCGGAGAGGCAGTGTTGAATCCAAAATATTGTACTGTATCTGTGGGTCCTTTGATTTCATTGTGTCAGTCGTTGTTATTACTTTAAGGTAATCCTGATAATTCCATGACAACAATGAGCAGAGAGCTGAGAAAAGCCCTGGACTACAAGTCGAAGTCAGCATTGTTTTTCAGGAACTTGCATCACTAGCACCCAGCAAAATGTGTCCTCCTCTTGTTGTATTACAAGCAAGAAGGTTCGCGGCACGCCGGAACAAATGTGCTCGCTTTTGTTTAAAGAAAAAACAAAAAGGGAGAAAGAAAAAAAAAACTCCATCGATTTTAGTGATTGGCCACTTCACACCCACAGATCCCATCTGCGTGAACCCTTGCAATCAGTGGTGGTGAAGGAAGGTTTTCTATTCCTGAAATGCTGCCATTTTCCCATTGATTGCACATGTTTGATAATGAGGAAACACAGCATTACTGCTCAGTCAAGGGCTGTGTTGTTTTTTCCTCCCACACATTACGTCATGGTCAAGCCAGGCCTTTTACCAGGTTTTCAACATATGTGGCGGTGGCAGATGTTGCTGTCCCCTGTCTGTCTCCTCAGCAGCTGAGAGCTGCTGTGGAGAGGTCACCCCAGAGACGGATGAGACTTGACTGAAGCTTATAGGCAAGCCGTCAAATTACCTTGACAGTATTACGACTGTTAACTCTGTGTACCCGTTTCTAATACAGACGAATGCTCAGAATACACGTGCTTTAGCTGTTTTCCGGTGGTCGATGAGTTCGCGTAATTACGGTAATTCTGCTGCTGGAGAAACGTGTTCCCTATAAACCCGCGTCCATCAAACGCACCGTCGTTCTCAGGCACGTAAATGTGAGCTGTGAGCGGCCTTTGCTGTCAGATTATTTTTGATTGAGGCAATTCAATACATAAAACTTTGTTCTGGCACGGGAATGATTTCCTTGTTTGACGTCTTTTTACAGGAGCAAATTTTATTTATTTTTTTTGACGGCAGGAGTTAACTTCAAGAATGAATGTAAATTCAAACCTGTGGAGCTCAAACCCTGCTGTCATCCAGCTTCACGCCAGTTATGAGCAATAGCAGCCATAAGAATACCGCCGTGCTGTTTCAAGGGTAGATGAATGATTTAAGTGGGCCTGAAAAGTCGTTTTGGCGCGTATTGCCTTTAGATTCTCAGAAACTTCTCTGAACTAATGGGCCATTTGACTCAGAAATGGCTTTGTGGAAAAACTCATAATTTCACCACAGCTGTGTAAGCGAGCTGTTCAGCAAAACAAAAAAAAAGTCTGATTTTGTTCAGGCGACAGTCGCTTTTCGTTTTTTTGTTAGTTTAACTAAAAAAGCAATACAAATATGTTGGTGTTCTCCTTTTTCTTCAGTGTGACAGTATGGAATGTTTTTTTATAATTGCAATCATAGCATGGATCCATAAACAAAACTTCTGCTGTTTGGTACTAATATAAAAGTGAATTTGATTCCAGTGTGTATGAGAATTTTAGTGGAACAATCTCACATTTTGGTGTGATTTTGGGGGTGTACTGTGAGAGTCGGTTAACATGCAACTGCGTGTGGAGGTGTGTGACTGCACTTGAATACATATTGGTTCGGTGTGAGTGTGTGTGGGTGCATAAATGTTTGCCGAGCTCCTCGCGCAATCGCTCCAGGCAGAGCTGGCAAACGGAAGAGGCCGTGCTGCAGAATCGAGCTGCACTTTGCAGGACGCCAGCCACGCTGCGGCTCCGGGGACCGGAGCTGTGCTCTATCTGCTGACTGGCAGGCTGCTGCTGAGCCCTGCAGCTGCATGCATGTGTGCCACTCCTGCTCTTTTGCAATCAGACACGCTGGAAGCCACAGAGAGAGAGAGGCGGGGGGACGAAGAGTGGCTTAGCCGTTGACGATGGTGTGGGAGACCAACGTGTGTGGTGGCTAAATAATAAATGTGGCATATTGGGTTTTCGACGAAAGCCACAGTTCAAATCTGCTCCTATAGTGCTGCTGAGGGCAGACATGTAGCGATTTCACACATGCTGCTCACCTGGGGACAAAGAGTCGGAACACAAATAGGGTAGAGCTGATTAGCTGTTTAATTAATTAGTTGATTGACATTAATCAAATTGCGAACATTGTGAACTCCAAAACGAATCCCTGGCACCATAATATGTTTGTTTTATTGCCGTTGTTGCAAATTGAATGTTTAGTTTTTCATATTGGTGAAACACTTGATGCCGTTAACCAATGACTAATAATTAGCTGTAAATTAGCTAAAAGCCTGCACGTCAACTCATTTAGGTTTCTGAAGTGGAATCATATTTGCAAGTACATAGAAAAAAAGTGCCGTTTTCATTAACAAGTCTGTCCTCCTCCTTTCTCTCACCTCCCCTCTCCTCCTCTCCCTTGTTGTCTTCTGTTTTCTCCAAGAAGGTGATGCTTCCTACAGGAGCGGCGTTCCGGTGGTTCCAGTAGGACTCCTCCTCCACTCCCTACCCAAAGCTCTGCCATCAAGTGCAATGCCAACCTCCTGGATTGTCTCCGGAACAGACACTGGTTAATAAACAAACTAGCAACAAATACGATTATAGAAAGAAAAAAACATACAAAACAAAAAAGAAAGCCGAAAAAATATCAGTCAGATAATGGATGCACCTACTTATTCCTTGAACCAAAAATGAAGCATAAAGAAAAGCATCTATGGCAACTTTCATTCCCTTTTCTATGTTTCCATTTTGGTACCTTTTGTCCTTTTCCCAGCTGTTTTTTTCTGTCGCTTAAACATGGAACTGCTCATTGCCAGAAACAGAAATGATGGACTGAGTGTGGACAATCAACTTATTTCTGTGTTTGGTGTTAATGTTGTTCATGTGTGGAAAGAAACAGTACTTGTGTAGAGAATGTAAATTTACAGCTATATTTTAAAACTAGTGGCTAATGGCAAACGTTATTGTAATTCTTCACCATTATGTTACTTAAACCCTTGTCTATTTTATGATTCTTTTTGGTGAAGGGTATTGTTTCCAGACAGATCAGTGGATGTCCTTTGAAAGACAAGAAAATGTCTCAAATTGTGACGCTGTCAACTTCAGATTGAGATTAAACTGAATATTGTTATTGGGCAGAGCTCCAGAGAGCCTTCACTGGGTTGAAGCTGCTTTTTGCCAGAGCCATCACTACTGTAATCTCCTCAATAAGCCCTGCTCTGCATCTCCAAACTTTTCCTTTTTAGTGAAACTGGCAGCCTTATGTTACTGTGGCCCTACTGAGCATGTGCCAATACAGCTCAGGGCAATAGCACCAAGAGACAGCACTTGCTCTGAGTCCACCCTACTGAACGCACTGAGACAAGATTGCTTTTTTGTGTCTTTTTTAAAAAAAAGTTTGTTTATTTGTTATATTTTCATGATTTTGTTATGTTGCTGGGTAGTTAAAGCTTTTAAAAATAACCAATCTTTGTATTTGTTTAGAAAATTGGACTGGTTTTGTGAATAAAGAGGAATGCATGTATCCGTGTCAAAATTGAAAGTTTTGATGTTTGTCCAATTGTCTGTTTGCATGTTTTTTTAACAGTTGTTTTGACTGACAGAAATACTAAGCGTACGTTTTTTCACAGATAAAGAGACATGTTACCTTTTATAATTGGATGCTATGAGGATTTTTTTTCCCCAGCAGAACACATTAAAACTAAATCAGTTGGTGGTATGGATCGCTATGATGTCCTTGATTTGACTGAGATCTCTGTCCCTGCTGATGTAATATCTTCCTATAGAGGTGCGATGGAGCCTTGTAATGCTAAATTGTAACCAAAAATAATTTAAAAGATGTTTGATTAAGAACTATAAATGGATGGATTGTTTCTTCAGAGTCCATGGAACCTTCCCAAAAAACGCACCGAAAGCTTTCATTTGTTTACAGTGAGTCTTCCTCTCCAATGAGAGCTTTGTCAAAATTCTGGAAATCAGCGATGGTCATGGATTTCTGATGGGAAGCTGTGCCACTTCTTCTGTTTCGGCTATCCCGAGGAAGCCAAGATGGAGTGCGATGTGAATTTGTGGTCAAGTTTTGATGACGACATGGATATTTTAAAGTAGCACTGACTTATAACCCTCTCAAAAATGTGGTCAGCCTCATATGGGTCTTGGCACAATTACTGATTCCAACACCCCAGGCCGGTGGCACGGGAGAGAATTTCCATTTCCTGCAAAGTGATGACTCTCAGTGATGTTTTTCTTCTTCTTTTTTGGTCACTCTTTCGTATCTAGGTGGAGAAGCAAATGCAGATTTCAGCCTCAGCCAAAGTGTGGAGTGGTTTTAATTAGCGACTATCCACGGTGGACGGCCTAGTGCGGTGGGTTTGTGTATCAGCCTGGAGAGTGGAGAGTTGGAGAGCTATATTCCAAGCCCCCCCCCCCCTGCCCATTCCCTCCACCCCCACATCCCCCTCAGTGACAGTGCTGGGCTAGTGCCATCGCCATGGCGATGGGGGGAGTGCTCACGAGTGTGTGTGTGTGTGTGTGTGTATGCGAGTCTGTGTGTGTGTGTGCGTCTGGGGGTGGTGGCTAAGGCCTTTCATTATTAATGTGCACCGCGGCGTCCTTACCTCCTCGGAGCCCGCACAGCTCACTGCCTGACCTGCCATCCAAGGGAGAGGGAGAAGGGAAGGGGGGGGGGGGGGGGGGGGGGCTGAGGAGGCAGAGATAAAGAAAGAGAAGTGAGCCGGAGAGAAAGAAAGAGACAGCATGACCAGTATAGTGTAGCAGAGGCATGTGAGTGTGATTCACACACTTTTTTGGGGGGGGAAATTTGAGTCTCCCAGATTAAGATCTTTAGGTTTACTCTGCAGGTTTTGGGTGTGGTTGCAGGTGACTGTGGCTCCTGCCCGCTGAGCTGTAGGATCCCAGGGGAGGGGGTCATGTGGTGCTGGTTACGGCCGTCTCTAATGCAGAGGGGGTGTACGGCTGGTGAGCAGGCCTGTCACACTGGGAAAATCCAGGAATCTTATCACCGCCTCACAGACACTGAGCCGCACTGATCTACTCACCCTTGTTGCCAGCAGACATGCCCTTCCCCCCATCCAAATGCCCCTGCATAAGCTGGCCCCTTCGCTGCTCCGTCGCCACCTTTTTCGTACGGGGAGATAGCAGGAACTGATGCAGTCCAATTGTTGAGGAGGGAGGAATGTGGCTTGTAAAATGTGACCAGCAGGAAGAAAAACAAGTCGCGCAAGCCATGGCTCAGCAGAGAACCGAAGAGCCAGTAGAAAGAAACCTTAGTCTTACTATATGACAATTAAACAGGAGAAGAATCACTCTGTAAATAGTAAAGACACGTTATTATAAAGTTCTTCTTTAAGCACATTCTTAAACAAGCCTCTGATGAGTGTTAAATTGTTCAACTGCTAATGTCATGAAAACCATGTCCTACCTCAATAATCTGCTAGCACTTCAAACTAATTTGATCTGATACCAGAATCAGACTAAAAAAAGATTGAGAGGTAAAAAAGGTAAATAGATTTCAAGCAACACGTGTTTTCCAGTATGAATGAGCAATACCTCCTCATTTTGTGCCAAACTTGGCCAGACAATCGTCAATAATTTGAGGGAAAAAAATCACAGTGCCACATAACAAAGGAGTAGAAAAGCAAATAACTAGAACATCTGTCCTCCTTAACAGTAGCAGCTCTTTGAATAATGTTGATGTAAATGTGACACTGGAGACGTCATCAGTACGATTATGGTACCTGTATCATGGAAAGAACAAATTAAGCGAAAAGTATGCATCATAAAATAGTTTAATGTTAATATTTAAGAGTCTGAGGAAATCTCAGGGGATTAAAAAGAGCACAACCTTCAATGAAACCGAAGGCAGCGTAGCACGAGAAACCCGCATGCTTCTCTTAAGTGTTGCCACATGGGTTTGTGAGTGTGTGGAAAACAATTGTCACTCCACAGTCTTCGGCTCCATTGAGAGACGTAACCTGAATCTGTTTTACTCCAGGAGGAAGTCGTACGTCAACTCTGCACAGATATGCTACTGAGTTACTTGGGCTCAAGCAAATGTCAGATGGACAGAAACTCACATTTCATCTGCTTCTCGGAAAAAAACTGACGTCTGGGTCTACGTGGCGAAGATGAGAAAGACCATCCAGACTGTCACCGGGGGAAAGGTGCAAAAGCCAACATCTGTGATATTATGGGGGTGCGTAAGCGTCCACAGCATGGATGACTTCACATGTGCGAAAGTACCGCTGACTCAGAAACATTGACTGGAATTTTAGAGATGCGGACTCGCATCGAAGCAATGTCTTTTCCTGGGATGTCCATGGTTATTTCAGCAGGACGGTGCCAGAACTTCCTCTGTTTGACTTCCCACAGCCTGGCTTCACAGAGATAGACACAGACTGCGTGTGGTTGACAGAAAGGCCCACAGATCTGTTTAGTCTCCAGTTGAAAATGTATTGAGCATCATCAAGAGGAATATCAGAAAAACACGGCTATATCCTCTTGAGGAGCTTAAATCTTGAATTCAGTGTCAATGAACAGAGATTCTTCTGTGCATCTCCAGTTATCCTCAGATCCAAAACAAATAAATAGACGAACGCTAATGGAACAGAATGGTAAACATGCTTTATTTTTCTGTCTGTCAACAAATTTGAATTTGTTGATATATTTCAGTATTCAATTAACTTTGAAAATGGATTAACAAATTTCTACATTGGTTGCATTTCTGAAAACATGCCCAGTTTTTACTTTGTTCATTCACTATATAGTATGCCTTCTAATCTATGTACTTTTTTGCCCAAGTTAATGAACAGGTGATTTAATGTCTTCCTGAAGTGAATCGTGTAACATTAATGACAGTTCATATTCCGAGAATGCTAAAACAACCACTTTGCCAAGTCTTTGGATGAAAGATTAACAGGTGGCTTCTGAAAACGCTGTACATTCTGTTCAGCTTATTTCATAAAAAAAGAAAAACTTCATGCACGATCAACCAGATGCTGTGAACCTTTCACAGTACAGCTTCACGCACATAGAAGACACAAAAGATTATAATTAGATATTTTCTAGTGCATGTCTAAAACAAGGGAGACCAGATTGCAGTAGAATCAGACCATACTTGCCAATGGTGCAGAGCCAACTTAAATAAAACAATTCAGTGTGACACTTACGCTATCGCCTCAGTGCTGATGGCAAACTTACTTATTATGTCTTTATGTTTTCTGATGCACTCTCTCAGAAGTGTTATTGTCCGAGTTGCACTATTTCTTTCTTTAAAATCCCCCTCCGCTCGAAATGATCTGATCAATCAACGAAAGCATACACCGGGTGTGTAAGAAATTAAATGGATGGTGAACAGCAGGTCCTATTTCCGTCACAAGGTCCACGTGATTGCATTAACATATGGTGAATCTAAACCACAAGTCTTCAAAGAAAAAATGTAACTAAAGAATCAAGGGTTTGCTTTAGGAATGTCTTCCCCAAAATCTTTTTTTTTCACATGAATCACAGCTAAAAATATTTGTTCACCACAAGTGTTGAACTTGTCATGGTTCAAATTAAGCCAGCACCATTCAGTTGAATCTGTATGATAATTGTGGACAGTTTGAAGTGAATAGAAACTCCCAAAACACTGAAATATTGAGTTCTGTGGTGGTTTTTCAGATTGCCTAACTGCATGAAGTGGTAAAGTGACCCATGTATAAAATAACTTTAACAGTTTTCTAATAGATATGTAAGATTGCATTTCTTGCTAATCCCAACAGTTGGGAAAGTACTTCAGGGTTATTGTTAAAAAGCAGAGTTTCACTCTTGAGATGGTGTAAAGGTTACATCATGATGTTAACCTCCATGGACAGCGTCCAAGAAAAAGACCCATCTCTTTTTACAACTGCAAGGCTAAACTTTGCTCAGGACTCCTGGTGAATACCAAGATCACATTATTTGCTTGTATAAGACCAAGAATAATTTTTGTTTATATGAGTTACAGTATGTTTGCCGGGAAGCTGGTCAAGTCGATAACGGTGCAGACGGAGTGCTGCATGGAAGTTGGAGTGCAGGGATATGGGTCAGGTGCCAAAGGTGTTTTGGGGAAAAATACATTTCAATAGCTCCCTATTTCCAAATGCCAGTATCATCCCAGCAGGATGGGATGAGAGGTTTAATAAAAAAGTTTGCAAATGTCTAGAAAAACCCCCAATGTCAACTTAAAAACATGAAAATGGCTTTTGTTGCATTTAGTTCCTCACTATGAAAATAATGAGGTTTTGAATGAAAACTCCACTGTGTGCAATCTGAAAATTATACATTTACCGCATGGTGACAGACGCTGTACTCTTTAGACATCTCCCTCATATTGGACACTTGTTTTGTGTCCTGTAAAAAAATAGGAAGAAATAAGTTGTGGCAAAATTACTCGAAGCATTTGATTATCTTTGCTATGCTAATGATAAAGCTACGCTGTATGTACCATCAAAGCTGACTGACCTCTGCTGACTCTTGGATTTATCAGCAATAATTCAGAGATAATGTCAGGAATGAAAATTAATTTTGTCTTCACAATTGTTTGTAAGGCAGAGCTACAGCACTGACTGCTGGACCAACCAAATATGGACACGTAGGGGAGAATATGTGCGCTCTGATATATTACTTAAATGCAGCCTGCATGGGGCTGAATCCTAAATCCATGCGTTTATGTAATCCAGACTTGATTTGTAAAATTTCTTCTTCTCTGATTCTTTTAGTCATGCTGATGGAAGTCTTTAGGTTGCGGCAGCAAGGGTCTGGACAAGATCTTGGACATTTCATCAACTAACACTCAACAGGGCATCTTTTAACTGATCACTAAAAGCACATAGTTCAGCTTATATCCATGTTTAACAACTGATATTTGAATTGTGCGTCTTT